TTAAGCCTCTAATTAAGGTTACGCTTTACTTAGGCGGCCGCCTACGAGTACTATACGACGAGGATATTAAAGTCGTCTTTAGTAATCGAGTAGTACTCGCCTTTAGTCGTAGGGTGGTGGTATCTATATAGATTATTAGTAACGGCTTTGCGAATACTTTAGGCGAGTATATACCGTGTTTAAGTCGCTATGCTCGCTATTATCGCTGTTATCTTTAGATTACGAGTAGTACGAGTAGTTTAAAGCGAGTACGAAGGTAGCGGCGTATAAAGTTATACTAGAGCGACAATAGGCGTTTAAATAGTATTATTTTCAGTAAAGGAGAGGTTTAAGTGAAGCGAGAAGTGAAGTAAGGTCTATCTAATAACAAGGATTTAGGGTTAATCGAGCACCTGCCTAGGTCATGTAGGTTGAGATATTGTTAGGTGCGGCCTGCCGTCTGAAGGGGTCTGAAGCTTGTTTGACTTCACTTCACTTCACATCACTGTTCGTTCACTCGCGTCTCTGTCACATGCTTTCAGCACCCATCACATCATCTCATTGAAGCATGTGTTATGCAAAAACCAAATCTCGATCATCATATCGATTGATTACAATCGTCTCAGTGAGGCTGACAGATATTTCGGATGTGAAGGCTATCCAGTCTGCTCCTGAAATTGTATCTTCAATGCTGCTGGACCTGGCACGTATAGCGATGCCACAAGCCTTTTAGATGAGACTAGGCAATCTCGAGTGAGGAAGATCACATGAAAGTTGCGCCATCGCGACTACCCCAGCAAGCAATATGCTCCCTTTATATTTCATCCGGAATCTCTTTTCAACACTTTCTTCCACCTTGACATCTTCAACTTCCTCACCCTCTTGGTCAAACGACTAGCAAGCAACTATCTCCTCACATCAAACAGCTTTTGACTCTCGAGGGCTTGTGCAAAAGCCGGACGAGACACCGGAGTGCCAAAGGCACTTGTCACATCCGCCCCCTTTCATCATTGAACGGTTGGTGACGAGACCTGGTCACAAGCTGCTCTTTCAAGCCACCCACCGACCACTATAGGCCTCAGATGATCACCGACGGATACGATTATTCCTGAATCATCCTCCCTCTCACAATATAGAAGATGGCCGGCTCGAACTTCTCTGTCGAAGCCCTCATGAACTCTCACCATGTGTTCCACCAGCTCGGAGATGATATCGCTCTGGTTTCCAAGACTCCTTCAAGACCCAATCATCCAGCTCCAGTCACAGAGGGCAGCACATGGTTGATTACATACAATGGAGCCCTCTGGCCGGCCATGGTTTGTGACGTAGATGGAGCACCGGCCAGATTCATCGCAAGTCGTCGTGGTCCTCATGAGTTACCAGCCATCCTTCTTGGAAGACACAAGTAGTAAGGATTTAGTATGTCAAAATCTGGATAGCGGACTGACGTATTACAGCATCTGGGTGTCGACGCAAACCATTCGAGAGTACGACCCAAACCGCGACTATCTTGCAAGCGCGAAAAAGTTCGATCAGCCAGAAATCCTGGCCACAGACGATGATTCTACAAAAGTAGAGAAGCAACGACAGAAAGCATTTCGTCAGGATGCGCCGGCATTTTTAGGTGCCGAGTATTGGCACAACTACATCAGTCGGAATTCGCAGGTGCGCAAGCTCGAAGCAGAGAGAAACGCACAGGAGTCTCGCAAGAAGAGCCAATCGACACCAAAACGACGTCGCTCTGATGAAGACAGCTTCTCGTCCGGAAGCCGCAAGCGACGTGCCACGGGCGAAAAGGGTCACTCAACGGAGTCTAAGGGATATCCGACGCCAACGTCCTCGAGGAAGAAGAGCAACAGAAACATGTTTGGCCTGGAGTATGCTCACTTGTTTGGAGGCTGTCATGACGAGGGCACAGAATCTCCGAGCAGAAAGGCAGGGTCGACTATGTATAGTCAAGTGGTCGCTCGGGCTCAAAGAGCTAGGCATCACGACGTCGACATCGACGACGACACGGATGTGGATGGAAGCAACGGCTTGTTTATGCCAAAGACCGGCGATGACAAGGCTCGTCACCAGAAGTCCCCATCATTTATCAAGCGCGAGCAACGACATGCTCCACCACAGGTGGGGTACGTCTACTTTATCCTTGAACATACCACTGAAAATTAACCTGTTCTATAGTCCAAACATGTGCCGCGTCCTCATCAGCTCCAACCGCTCCGGCATCATCATCCCTCTGACAGCCCTTGACAACTGCTTCTACCTCCACCAGCGTGAAACATTCAACAACATCACCAAAGAACACATCATCGACCTCCGCAAAGACCCCAGGGCCATCGATCAAGCCCTCACCGAGCAACAGTTCCTCTCCATATACGACTATCTCCACACCGGCAAAATCGTTCCCCACATCACCCCATCCACCAACGGCGACTCCATCTCCGCGATCGAGAAAACGCGATCCGCGCAGATTCTCAGCCAAGCCTTCGTCGCAGCCACCAAGATCCAGCACGAGTATCTCCAAGAGATCATCCAACAGAAGCTCTGCAGACTCCACCCGTTGCCAATTGTCGCGATCCCTCCTGTCGCGAGGGAGATCCTCAGCGTCACGTCCCCAAACGGCGGCACGAAAGTTGAGAAGTTCATGCGGGAGTGGATTATTGATCATGTTGGGTGGGATTTCTGGGATTTGTGTCCGAAGTTCAGTGAGCCGATCCACAAGTTGATCACGGAGCATGGGCTTGCAGAGGTGGTGTTTGGGAAGGTCGTGCAGAGGATGGAAGGAGAGAAGGCGGCAGCGGACAGGGAGGAGGCTGAGAAGACCGCGGCGGCGGAGGGGTTGACGGGGCCAATGGCCCCTATGAAGATTGAGGCGGCCACTTTCCAGGCAAAGAATATTCCAGCGGGAATGTCAGCGGAAGGGCAGATGGGTTCGAAGAGGACTGAGGCAGAGCAGACTCAGTTGGAGACGATGGGCCTGCTGGAGCCGGAGAACGCTAAGCTCGAGCAGATCGAGGCAGAAAACATCGAAGCAGAAAATCCGGCATTAGAGAAGACGGCAAGAGAGATGGCCGCGGCAGCAGCAGAGAAGAGGGCGGCGGAGAGCTTGAAGGCACAGGACTTGGCAACTTCGAACGCGAAGCCAAGCAACATCGACACCGAGATGGCAGGCACGGAGAAGGTGGAAGAGCCCGACACGGCGATACCGGAGAAGCACGAGCGAGAGAAGATGACGGACCTCTACAAGACGGAGCCAGAGACGACCAACATCGAGAAGATCAAGCCGGACAGCACAATGACGGATGGAATGAAGGCCGAGCAGCAGCCTCTGTCAAATGGCAACCCAAACGAGGCTGCCGAGGGACCAGTAGAACCACTCCCCGAGGCAGTCAGTGATTGGCTTCATTTGTGATAGAATGGAGGCCGACTGTGGTGCTGGATGTACACAACACCACGGGATGCGCGCCGTGATACGACTCAAAAAGGCTTCACGAACATTGAATTCGATCCTTGCTGCACTGCAGTAGCTGGAGCGATGATTGAGATTGCTTCTGATCACATCACGACACCCAACAACTTTTCGACGACATGATACAAACACACACATCTGTACTCTGCCAAAGAGAACAGCCTGGAGTTGATTCAAGACGACAGCTAGAACATCAATAGCCTACGAGAACCATGAAATGACATGAAACGAAATGACATGACATGACGCGAATCTCTTCCAAAGTCATTACACCTCACTATGCATTCACACCACCCCTATGCTCTATTCTACAGTACACACGCACATCATCCGCCCCCTCAAGTAGTCACAGAGGCAGGCAGAAGAAGAGTCATCCATCTTCATCTTCGTCCCATCGTGCCCGCATTCACGCAAAAGGGCACATCAGAAGACACAGAAAGAAAAATCCCAACCAAAACCGGTTTCGCACTCCACCCAAATGCTTTCAGTCAGAGTCACAGAAAGCATCATCTTCTTGGTACATCCTGCTGCCGCTTCACTTCAGAATTCTCATCGCCGTTCTGTCCCCGTAATTCCAGATCATCGAAAAAACGCCAGTCGCTGGTTGAACTTTTGGGGGGTAATCACAGGTTCGTTGGTAGCTTCGTCACGATTTCGTTCTTTTTTGCCCTTAACCGCAGCCAACGCCCCCGAGCGAATAGAATAAAGTCGCATGTGGAAAAGAGAGTATCTGCATTATCCGGTGCTGTTTGGTTGGTTGCAGGTAGAATGGAGAGTCAAATGTCGATTGTGATCTCATCCGCCAACCAGAGGTGAAAGGAGATCCGGCTTCACAATCCCAGGAGGCGGCCGTGGTGTAACCCGACGTGGCGGCTCGTTCTACATCATCGCGCCCATCGGGCTTCGGGTGAGACGGTGCTCTTGGCTCTGTGCGAGGTTCGTGAGCATGCTTTCCACTTGCGGCGCCGTCTTCATCCAAGGCAGACCCCAGATGTCGTAGGTCTGATTCTTGACGAGCTCCAGCATGATGACGATCAGACCCCAAGGATGCGGTCGGGGTACCATCAGCCGCTCGCACAGCACACGCATGATCTGCTCCTGCATCTGCTGTGATCCGACACTGAACATGTGCTGCAGCGCCGTCGAGAAGTAGTGCGTGTGAGCGTTGACGTAGCGCACCTGGTTGACCATGGCCGAGACATGGTGGAATCGTGCTTCGGGGCGGCTTTCTCTGAGTAGGCGCTCGAGGAGGCGAGCTGGAGCCGCTGCAGACGAGAAGACGGAAGATGCCGACGTAGCATGCATGCCGATGTAGAGGATGAGAGCATTGTGCAAGATCGGGCTGATCTGACCATCCTCGCGGTCCACAGCCGCCAGGAGGTAGCTGAAGTCTTGCTCGCTCAAGTCGCTACCACTGCAGACATGCTCAACGACAGCTTTGATGCCTGCCTCGTTGAGGACGTTGCCAACGTCGGAATGCACAGCTGGTGCCTGGCGCACTTGCTCAAGTCTGTTGATCTTCAATCCAGGTGTGAATGGGTCCGGCTGGTCGTTGAAAACGGCACGGCTGGCAGCGCTGTTGACGATGTTCTGTAGCTGAAGACACTGCACTGGAATGCTTGCGTTCAGCTGCATGTGGTTCTCGATCAAGAACTCGGGGTAGTCGTGATGAAGCATGGTGAAGAAACGCATCACACCGCGGTAGAAGTCTTGGACCGCGGGCGGCGAGTCCGGAATTGACAACAACTCGGTCAAGTTCTGGAAGAGCACCGTCAAAAGCCTCGAGTACATGTCCCAGGCGCCGCTGGAACGGCCAGCGCCAGCTAAGCAGGCGGGTACGAAGAGTCGATGGCCCAGAAGAGCAAGCCACGGAAATTGGAAGCCAGGCAAGTATCGCGGCTGCAGTACGAGCAGCGCTTGAGCGAAGACTTTGTGGACGTTGTGGTGCTGCTGTGGAGCCAGCAAATGACGGCGATCGTGGAGTTCGCAAAGCATCGACGAGAAAAGGCGGTAGTAGACTCTTGGGTTCCAGCGTTCTCGCTGCTTGTTGTGATGATCAGACATGATGAGGACGATCAAGCGAAGCAGCGCCTCCAGCGATTTCGATGGCTTGGCCATCTGCGCATCCTCGTCGACAGGGCTCTGGTTCAGGATCAAAAGCACAATCAGCTTCGCGAGCGAGTCTGCGTGGATGAAGGCTTGGCTCGGAGTGCCATATGGGATGCTGCTAATCCGCTCGAACTCGTTGTAGGACATCTCGGTGGCGGTTCGAAAGAAGGTCATAGCCTCTTGCGGTTCAGAGATTATGCGCTTCGAATGGAGCTGCTGCACGAAAGCGAGGTGGGAATGCTCGGGGAGGTCCTTCCTCTGAAGTCTGACCCATTCCTCGAAGACGTATTCGAGCTGATCATGCTTGTTGGACTCGGCCTCTGGGCTGGGCATGCCGTTGATCTGGCTGGCTGGTAGCTGGAGCTTGGACATGATCTCTCTTCCAAGCTCAAGGCCCGGCTCTTCTTGTAGCCAGTATGCAAGAGCTTCGTATGTGAGCACAAAGTCGGCACGGAAGGAGATTGGCGTCTCGCCCAAGAGAAGCTCCTCGAGAATGTCTTTCAAGAAGGGGAGGACAACCACACGGCGCTGCTTAATCGCTCTCGAGATCTGGCTATCGACCTGCTGGAGATCCATCAGACCTTCGTTAACGAGCGAGACAGCGGCTGCTGCGTTATACATGCGATCGTCATCAGATGTCGCAAGTTGCATGGTGAGGTGTCTACCCGCTGGCACTGACATGCGACAGAGCTGCATGAGCAAGCGTACGAACACCTCGATCTCCAACCGCTTCTGCGCGGTCGTGTAGATCACGCTCAAACATTGTTGACCTGAGAGAAGGGCAAGCGTGTCTTGCTGTGGCGTGCTCTCGATTAGGTGCACCAGCTGGCCATAGACACGGCGAATGGCTGCACCTTCACCGATCTCGCTGATGTGCTCCTCTTTGGCTTCTCGCGAAGTCTGCTGAAGCTCTTCGATAAGTTCGGCAATTCTCTGTCCAAGACTGTTCTGGTCGATGTAGCCGTTGACCTGGTGGTGGTTTTGAGTAGCAACGCTTGGTAGGCGCTGCTGCTGGGTCGGACGTGGCATGGCGGGCGCCTCTGCGGGGGTAGGAAGACTCGGCAGGTAACCCTCTGACAGTACGTCAGGCAACTGGCGATTACTGTCTTGGGACACGTTGTTGGCGTGGGCCGCTGGGGCTATGCGTGCCTGTCGTCCAAACTCCTCGTAAAGGCTAAGCTGTTGTCTGTTGAGGCCATTCTGGTCTTGTCTGAAGGGCTCGGGGATGAGAGTCGACCATCGACTGACCGGTGTCTGAGCAAACGGCTTGTTGGGTCTCTGTTCGTTGTGCAGCCTCCGATCGTTTATCGCTTGCTCGAGTTGCAAGTCGATCTCGGCCAATGAATGATCTTCAGCGGCGCCTTCAACAAGACTGCACACCGTGTCAATGTTGTCGTTGACAAACATCAGTATCTGGCCTTCTGGAAGCTGTTCTGGCAGAGCGCGGGCAAGGAGGCGGATGTTGTTGGTGATGCTCATCCTGAGTGGCTCCTTGCATGTGACCAGGGCAAGGCTGCCAGAGAGCGACTTCACCATGGTATGCGCAGAGTTGCGAACCTTGGCCTCCTCGCCCTCAGTGATGAAGTCCTTTTGAATGAGCTCTGCTGTCGAGATGGCGGCGATTGTGACAGATCTTTCAACCACTGGAGCAATGATCTCATAGATGGCTTGTTGAGCGGCATTGACGAAGATACTGCGCAGTTGCTGTTGAGAGAGATTTCCGGCTGCCTGAGGAATCTGAAGCATGCTTCCCATATCCGGCACTGCCTGTATGACAGCTTCAGGCGAGAAGCGCTCATTGGGTCCACGTTTAGACAAGCCCATGAGGGCCATATCGCCAAAGGCGTCTGGTCCGCCGTCGGGAACGTAGCTTTGGAGCATACTGTGATCCACAAGAGGTCTCGAGCGAATGATATCTGCTGGCTCGATGTTCTTAATCTCGACTTGGAATTCGCGACAAAGCATCTCAATCTCGAACTTCATGTTCAGCTTGAGCTCCATGCAGTGATAGAGCTCGCTCATCAGGCCGAGCAACTCCAATATCCACGGATTTGGAGGCTTGAACACTTTCGAATGTGCAGCTTGTGAAAGGGTCTTGCACGCGAAGGGAATGGCTACCAGCAGTCGCTGGGTGTCGTAGCCCTCCAACAGCAGGTCCTTGAACGACAAGTTGCGGTGTAGGATTGGCTGATTCCGTGCCAGTGTAATTGATCCCAGCCAGACAGCCAAGTTTTTGAGAGTCGCCCGTTCGTGTTGGTTGTCCATGGTCGACTGAGCATTCAACATCTTTTGACAGCTCTGGTACGTCTCACGAAGGACTTCCGCCCACAACATCTTCTTGTCGAACTTTTCCAGTACATTGAGGTAGAGGCCCTGAAAGTTTGGCTGCGACTTTGCCAGCTCGTCAACCAGGTAATGGGCGAACCACTGGTGATACTTCTCGTCGAGGGCACCATCGATCTCCTTGAATTTCTCTTCCAGATTTCGCTTCGAGACGTTGTTGAGGACGAACATGACCTTGTCCGAGGTGTCTTCGTCTGGGTCCTCATAGAAGTTCTCTCGGATCGGTGGATCGACCTGGATAGCCGTGAAAGGAGGAGGCTCAGACACTGCGGAAAATTCTTCATCGACGACACCATTTGTGATGCCGTTGATGCCATCTCCGTTGAGCGTGAGTGGGTCCTGCGGCGAAGCTTCCTTCAACGCAGCTTCTGCGGCGCCGATAGCCTGAGTGTTTTGCAAGCTTGGGGTCTGCAGAATGCGCTGCGCCAGGTGTGGCCACTCCTTGAGACGAGGAAGCACATGGATGAGGGCCTGCAAACCGAATCGGTACATTGGATCCTCAGGACCGTACTCGGAGACCGCTTCGAATATCATGAAGATTGCCGCTTGTTCGGCAATGCCATGGAGTACGTGGTATGACACCAAGCCGCCAAAAAGGACGGCTGTGGTAGCCAAAGCCTCGTTCGGATACTCGCCGAAGCAATTGTATTCCTCGAACAACCCAAACAGCATGGCAGCGAACAAGTCTTGCTCGGCAGGATCTTCTGAAACTTCGAGTCGATTGAGCTCCGTCACCAAGTTGTCGGGATTCGTAGAGCCTCCGTACATCTCCTTATAACGCTCTTCCATGTCTCTCGTCGCATTGTCCAGTAGGCTGTGGCGATGTTGGCCATTTGGTGCAATTCCATTTGAGTCAATGATCGCGTCTCGCTTCTCATCCTGTCCGTAATTGAAGAGCCGTGGGTAAAGCTGCAAACATTGCCTATACAGCGGGCCCATCGAGTCATCAGGGGTGTTATCGACAATGAGTAGGAGCAAGGCATGTACAGTCTTGATCGTAAGAGGCGCAGTCGATGGTGCACTACCCTCACGCTGGACTTTGGCCTCATCGTCCATCTTCCGCTTAAGAAACTCGGCACATGCGCCGGCGAATTGATGTGGACCCATGATGCCAATGTGCTGTTGGGCCCATTGCTCAAGATCACTCTCGCCTTTGCCGAAAGCATAGGTGACGAGGTCGACAGCCATCTGATTGGTAATGTGGAAGAGCGGCTCAAGCCAGCCGTGCTCCTTTCCGTGCTCGAAGATGAATGGCAGCAGCATCTGATCTTGGCCGTAGAACTCTACCATTCTGCTCGCAGTCCACTGCTTGTCGTGCTGCCACACCGCGTGCATGACAAAATCGTAGTTGTCGTGGAGCTTGGTGAGGAATGGATAGAACAGCTGCTTCAGTGCTTGGTCTTGCAGCGGCGCCCAGGGTTTTGGTACGGCGGACGCTGCGCACACGAATATCGTCATGTTCTGGTTGATGACGCTATCGGGTATTCCAAGATGTTGAGCGAGGTTGTAGGTCTCCTGCGATCTGAAGATCATAGTGAAGAGTGCCTCTGTCGCATCTCGTGACACAAGTGGGTGCTTGATTGCCTGTTCAGCAAAAGCCCGCACGCTATCCGAAGCTGTGGCGAAGTCAGTCAAGTCGAATGCTTGCCTGAGGTTCGGTATTTGCATGACATCCAGCTCTTCTGAAGTGGTCTGCAAGAAAGCCACCACAAAGCTCAACTGCGTCTCTGCGTGTTGCCATGAACCACCCCACAGCCCTTGAATGTCAAAATTCGAATACTCTCTTGCAAGAGGCAACAGGGCGTTGTACAGGGTCAGGAACTGCTTCTTCGTCACTCTCAGGTGTTCCCTGTCGAATCCTTGCACCACGACGTCCGTCCAATCAATCTGACGTCCAGATCGATGTTGTCGAATGCCTTCCACTAGCACGTGCGGATCGTAGAGCTCGCCACCACCCGCAATCACAGTGTACAAGAGCGCACATGCAATTTGCAGGTAAGTGAAGTCGCGGAGATCAACTCCACTCAGTGTCTGCTTGCAGGCTTCAAGACTGGCAGTGCTTCGTGGACCTGCCCGCTGGAGGTGGTTTGCGAGACGCGAGTCATTGCCTGAAAGTAGGTCGTCCAGCACCATGGCTGCCTCGATCGCAGGTGGAACCCGCGACCGTAGGTTGTTGTATCGTAATCGAATGGCGTAGAATAGACTATCGCGCTGCTCTTCTCCCCAGCTCTGTGGAGGATCTTGGATGAGATGTTCGACAATCGATGCGAGTACGAGCGGTGATGGTTCGCTGTCAGGGTCGGTGACTTGAGGGTTGGCGAGTGTGTTGAAGAAATTGGAGATGAAGTTGGCGGTTAAGATGGCATCGGCTGTGAAGTGAAACGATAAAGTTAGTCTTGGCTACTGCAGGTGCACATGCAAACATTCGCGATTTGGCGGGGCAGGAACGGGAGTGTGCATGGTTGTCTTTCTCTCACCTTTGGAACGCAGATCCGCCTTGGTCACTGCTCTGCACGCAAGTACTAGCGTTGTCTTGGAGATTGGATCCAGTCGGAAATGTTCAACGAATGTCGCCAGGTCGAAATCGCGGAACAGGTCGCCTTCAGATGTGTCAAGTGACTGCGCAATCTTGTCTGCCTGCTGCGGGTCTTTGGCAAGTTTCTGCATCTCTTCTAACAGCAGCTGATAGCTCCCAGCGTTCTCTTGCCCCGCCGGCGCACGCGGCGCGCCGGGAAAGATTGTGGACGCATTGCTCTGGAGCAGCCGTCTGAAGTACGTCGTGGAGACTTCCATGCCGCTACCATTGACCAGGCGTCTGATTTTCTCCGCCTGAGTCTCCCACTTTGCACGGTCAGTGTCCTCCTTGATTGTGCTCAGGAGGATGTTCAACTGGGTAAGGACCAGGCTCGTCAGTTGACTGGACGAGCCACTGGCGCTGTGTGTGCCGGTCGGTGATGCTGGAGATCCAGCGCTGTTCGATAGAGAAAGCGAGGGCGAGTGTCGTGCCAGGCGCGAGGTACCTCCCCCTGCGCTGCCAATGCCAGCAGACGACAAGCTTGCGATAGAAGCAGCAAGACGCGGACTTCCAGCAGCCGTAGCGTTGCGAGAACGATTGCCTAGGGGTCCCACAGAGCCAGGCGGCGAAACGAAGGAGCTCGCTGACGATGTGGAAGACTGTCGACTGGTAATCTGGCGATTGGCGGCCGCTGAGATGTAGTTCGAGCTTGCGCCGGTGGGCGACTGGGCCGGGCGATTCGCAGCGGCGAAAGAATTGTGGATAGCGCTGGAGGTAGAAATGGGAGTCAGCCCGGCGCGACGGGAGGCTTGGTGGTCGCTGGAGCTGTTTCTGGCAGCTTGTTGTGATGGTCTTGTGCCTCTGGCGGGGTGGACGTCGGGTGGAGGAGGAGAGGTGAAAGGGCGGCTCATCGATACGGCGCGAACATTGGGGCAGCTGCGTCCGTCGGGTGAGAGTGAGTCGGGTTGTTGGATACGGGAAGCGGCGGTGGTGGAGGTGAAAGTGCAGTCGTCGTTTCTCGAGGCACATCCAAAGATGCACAGACGTTGCCCTTCTGCCAAGCAGGGACGACCCGTGGTGCAGAAGCTGGCACGTGACTTGCAACTTAATTCGATATCAATTCAGGAGTAGCATAAACTCTAACAGACACACCAAACTCTCAACCCATCTCTCGACTCAGTATGTACATCTAGAGTTGAATAAATCTGGAGCAGGTAAGCTCATTCCTGCTAAGACCATCATCTGTTGAATTCCAGGACGTCTCTTCAGTCGAAGTCACTCTCTATACACTCTTTCCAACGTGTTCTCCACTACCGCTTCAGATTCACCAAGACCAGGCATCTCGAAGGAGGGCCTGGTCACAGCACAATAGCCAGCCAGCTGCGGCGTCGACAACTCTTCCACCAGTGTGTTCCTCGTCTTTATGACCGCCAATCTGGCAGCTCTCGATCGCCCACGACAGTACCAACTTTATCCATACGTTCAAATGGCGACTCGCCCGCCGCCGTTGCTTTGTTCACGAATCGACGGCTCTTCTCAGGAAGCGACCCTGTTGGCCAGAAATCAGCTCACATACAAAAAGATCCAGTCCTTTCGGACAAGAAACTGACCAGCCATCGCATTAACCGCCGGAATAAAGCTACTCGCCAGCAACGCCCAAGGCAGGACCTGCGAGAAGGTCAAAGGCGTCGGATCGTCCACCTGGTAAAGCTCCGGCGTCTTCATGTGGGCCGACTCGGTATGGTAGTGCGAGTATGTGTAACCTGTGAGGACGATCCCCACGATGGTGCTGATGATAGATACCGCGATCGAGCCCCAGCCTACATGCTTTTGCCACTGGTTCTGGACGAGCCATTCCACGAGGATGGTCACGCCAGCCAGAAGGATGCAGATCACGAGTACGATGTACTCGGCCAAGCCTGCGTTGTTCCCGGTCAGGAACTCGATGCGATGCGATAGAGTGTCCGTGCCGTTGCCAGTCGTATTGGTTGCAGTGAAGGTAGTGTTGGTCGTGACATTGCCTGCGAAGTCGACCAGGTCCCCCAAGCCAAGCCAGCTCTGTGCGTTCATGTTCTCGAAGCAGGCTGCTGGCATGATGGCCAGGGACTGTGCCTCGTGTGGGAAATGGCTCGATTTGCGTGCTGAGAAGACGATCCCTGTCAGGACGATCTGAAGGACGATGGGCAGAATGCGGGTGATGGCGACTCGTCGGCCCTTGGAGATGAAGTCCGTAATGTTGATCAGAGAACTGAGATGCACGGCACTGCTCATCAACAACATCGAGCAGACGACGCTGTAGTCGTAAGCCGAAATTGTGCAAGACTGATCGTTTAGGGTGAAGAGGAGGGACAGTGCAGCGACAAGCTGCTGGTCGCTGAAGGTATGGAGCAGTGTCTCGACAGTGTGGACCAACTTGAGCCAGTAGCGGTGGTTGCTCTCCCTGGCTTTGTGAAGCATGATCTTGTCATAACAGAGGAAGACGGCTAACAACAGTGAGGCAATAGCTGTTGCGAAGAACGATTTGAAGATCTGTGAACGTCAGTCGAGAGGGCCATTCGTCGACGACATTCGACTGACCAGCGTCCCCGTGATCTCGGGGTTCGGCTTGAGCTTTTGGTCTTCGGTCAGGCCGGTGGCATTGGTATAGAGGGACCAGTCGCATTGGACAGTGGTGTTGAGTGCCTTGCACTGTTGAGCACTGTGAGGGATGTGCCAGCCGCTGGGAAGGAGCTGCATCTTGGCCAAGGATTATTCGAGTCGACGTTTGGTCAAAGTAGAGAGGAGTACGTTGAACCGCAAGAGACAGACGCTTGAGACATCGCCAACCTGTTCATATACCTTCCTGTTGAGGCCGCATCGATCTAGCCATTCTCACATGGCTGTTCACCACCAGGTATCTGAAACAAACCCCGGCGAAGATCCTCGAAATGGCGAAGACCATCAACAACACTGACCGGTGACCGATATGCATTCTGCAAGATCTAATTGCTCTCCAAACATTGATGTCCCGTCCACCAAAGCACAAACCCACCCTGAAACTCAAGCTTTGCAACTTTCGGATAACTAATCCAGCCAAATAAGAACAGGGCGGCCTCTAGATCTCGGGCACCCTTCTGAAAACAGCCACGACGGGACGGAATGCACCAAGTTCCAACCACGGCACTTCTCTAGCGTGTGAGTTCCGCAAGATCATAGCGTGATAGCGTGAGGCTGATGAAGATCTGCCCCTATGTGCCGCTTGTGCAGAGCGCTAAAGCCAGCCCCGTATGTGCCAAGAGGTACAAGTTAGGCCCAACGGGCACCACCAGGAAACCCCTAAGATGTCAATGCATGTGCGAATGCATAGTGGTGGAAGAGTTTAATGTTGTTTGAGAGGACTAATACGTTTGGAGAACGGAGGCACGGAGGGAAGCCAAACGCAGCGGTGTGGATAATCTGCTGCACTTGCAGCCTTACGGAGCGGTTTCTCTAAGAACAAGCTCAACTCACCGAGGTGGTCCCCAGGAAGCCATCTCAGACATCGGGAGAGGAGCGGGATTGTTCTTCCATCGAGACAAATGTTCGCGTCGACGAGGACATATCATCCGTCTGTGTCTTGTTGGTCGACTGATGAGCTACCAGTCGCGTTTAGGAACTTCGATCCCACGATACGTTCGAACGACAGCCCGACAGCATGGACTCAGATCTTACGACGCTCATCAGTCTCGGACAATAACAGCTCGGCAGACGAACCCCAGGACAAGAACAAGACGCCAGAAACAGGCGATACCCATCATGCGTTGCCCGTCTTGCATTGAACGTTCCACGTTCACCAGCCGGTCGAAGCAAAGCAATCGTGTGCCTGGGGCCATCAAGGCAAGAAATTGCGTCGTGTCAACCGAGAAGAAGACCGAACAGGAAAAGGAGCAACCTGTGCAAAAGACCCATCCAAACTGACAACCCCTAAAATATCAGACGTCGCGCCCACGTTCGAATAATCGCCAGCTCCAATGGCGTCCTTGTCGTTGAACTCGTACATCAGAAAAAGGTGGTATGATGGTGACTTCCAGCCTCGTCAAGTCGCATTCATTGCAACGACAAGCACCACAAAACAGCTCAAGTCCTTGAGTTCGCTGCTTTCCCCAACGGTGCCTCGCTAAGCTGATATCGTTGATTGCTGGCGTGCAACATCCAGTTCTTGTCAGCATAAGACCCCTGAATCTTCGATCTCACGGTACTTCGATGAATGAACAGCATTCACTTCTGCTTTTCGGAGGCACGAACGACGTCCCAACCAACAAGATTGAGACATTTCTACCCCTCATGTACCTGACCGAATGCTGAAGAAGAGATGCAAGCCGAAACGATCCATTTCTCCCGGACAGCACACGCTGCGTGTATTGGCAAGGACGATCACAGACGCATCTGTAGGAACAAGTTTGGCTGCTCAAGGAGGACATACACTCATAGAAGAAAAGCGACTCATCGAATCTAAACGAAAGGGGGTATCTACGCTACGTTACTATCTCAACAGGGTCATTACAGGTATCTCATCATCCACAACGCCATCCGCTGTATACAGGCCTCGATTCTCGTCCTCATCATCGCATCATATCATTCTTCTGAAACCCACGTAATCCTCGCGTCGCTTCTACGCCGCCTCCTTGCCCTGGCTGCTACCAGGCAGAGGAACCTCAGCTGGCTGCGATTGCTGCAATGTCTCTTGGAGATCCTGTGCAACGCCCTCGGCGATTTCCTCGGCAGCTGCCTCTTCTTCGCCGGCTTCTTCGTCGGTGTATTCGACTTCAATGTCGTCGCCGTCATCATCATCATCGTTTTCTTCTTCCTCGCCGACTTCTTTGACTTCGCCTTCTTGCGCTTCACCCTCGGCGGTTTTTGCGAGACGGATCTCTCGGCCGCGCTTGTGGCAGTACCAGAAGACGAACATTAGGACTGCATGTATTGTTAGCACAATCTCCTTGCGAGAAGAGAATCAGTCCGAACAACTTACTGAACACCGCCAACGACATGACAACATTCGTCGTGCTCGCCAGGAACGGGAACCTGGTAGTCAGGAAGTTCACTGTATTCCTTAAGATCCCGGCAACAGCACCCTGCTTGCTCACCAGGCTCTTAACACCCGGGATCTTTCTCTTCTTCTTGTTTGCGTCGCCACCCTTGGCATCCGCCGCCTTACTGCTGGCCTCAACGAATTTCTCGCCTTTACTTGCTGTCTCCATTCTCCTCTTCATCTCGTCATCAGGCTTCTCTGCAGCGGCAGCAGCCAAAATCTCAGGACCCACGACCGTCCCTAACTTGCTAGGCAAGCTCTTGACGAGCGTTTGCACGAACGGAGGCATGCTGTTGAACTGCTTTTCAAGCGTCGGTCCCGCCTCCCGCATCAATTTATCCATGTCCTCATACGCAGTTGGCACACCGTTCATGGTATCCTTGAGGACTTGGGCGAAGCGCTCGTAGAACTTTTGCGTTTCGGCGCTGAAGGCGAAGACGCGGTTGTTGATGGCGGACATGTTGAGGTTATCGAGGAGGACTGAGACTTCCTTTTCTTGCTTTTCTTTCGTCTTCTCCTCGTTGATAGTACCATCTTCGTTGTAGACGGGCTCAGGCTGGCTATCCTTGTCGCGCGGTCTCGCCCAGTTGGGGAGAGATGGGTACGACGAAGGAACGTAGGAGGAGGCGTATTGCGTCCAAGTACGTTGATCGCCTTGCCCCTCCGTCTTCTGTTCGCTGTCCTCTGGTTTCTTGCCGGGGCTGGGCTTCATCGACGGCAGGTATGAAGCCCACGTCTTCTTCTCTCCAGATGCATTGCCCTTATCGTCCAGCTTGACTTGATTATTCCAGCTTCTCGTAGCTGCCTCTGCTTCTTCCTGGCTTGGTAGCTCAAAGCGATTGTCCTTCTTCCTCTTTTCCTTCGTGGCTGGGCTCACGGGCGGCTCTGGCTGGGTCTCGGGCACGACCTGGTCGCCCTCGCTGGCAGCTTGCTTCTCCTCGTCTGTCGCGGGCTTCTCTTCGCCATCTTCGGTGATCTTCGTCGGCTCGGCGCTTTTCGCGTTCTCTACGGCGTTGTCCTGCGACATGTGCTTTTCCAAGAACTTCTCGTCGTCATCCTTCAGGACCGGCTCTTGAGGATTCGTCTTCTCCAGATCATCTTTGTTCTTCTTCGCGCGCGCGTAGGAGGAGAGGTTGAAATAGGACGACATGGCGTTGCGCTGGATTGTAGGTGTACAGAAGGAAGAAATAGCAGGAGAGAGATGCTGCGTGGACCTACCTCATCGTCGACATTTTGCACCGCCACTCTGTCATTCTCATGCAGATCCAATTGGTGTCGCAAGCTTGACAGCTCTCGACCTGCGCCTCGACGTCACGGAAGATTGGCATCGTGCAATCGCATTTCCGGGATCTGGGAAGCAGATCGCTGATCGTTTAAGCATCACGTGATGACTCTAAAGCTGTGAAAGGCATAGCGTGTTTGGGAAGAAGACCTCACTTCACTTTCCTTCCACCATCCCATTCTCTTTCATCTCATCTCCTACTTAACGCTCTGACTTCACTAATACTGAGACAGCTCACTTCATCGCCGCCTGGAAAATCTCACTCGGTCCTGGCCTTCTCAAAGTGGAGCGCATCTCCATCCCCATGACTTGCAAGCCGTCCATGCAACTCGCGATGCAACTATGAGCTTGGTCGCTGCCAGATGGACGGAGAGATTCGTTCTGTTGGCAGACATCACTTCGAGTAGAATGCCTCTGGTAGAAGCCATCACTTGCATATCAATTACTTCGGGGATGAAACTGGAACGTATCCCGATCTCGAACACTCGCAAGCTGTCTGTGCTGCTCGAGGTGCAATCATGAGCTTGGCCACTGTCAATTGCGGAGAGAAATGGTGTCTGTACATCGCTTTCACTTGGGCGGATCATCGAGGGTGAAAGGCCTCACCCATGCCTTCGGGACTCGGATCAAAGACTGGCGTATTTTCATATCCATCCCCGATGCTTACAAGCTGTCCGTACCACTCGAGGAGCGACCGAGCCTATAGTTGCTATTCGATACACGAAGAGGGCATTAAGATTGTGTGGAAATTCCACTCCAGGCTAGACAACGGGAATAGGCCATTTTACTTGAAGTATGTTCACCTAAGGCTTCGCTGATGTGAAATTACTTCTACTACTTAGCAAACACTACAAAGCGCTCTAAAGCGCTCATGTGTGTTTGTTACTACTTGTAACATGTGAATATGCACCTTAAGCGCTAAAGTAGCGCTTTGTGTAGTATATAGCGACATGTAAACTGAAGCGCTATAAGGCGCTCTAGAGCGCTACAGTGTAATTAGTACTGCTAGTAACATGTGAACAGAGCACTAAACCGCCGATGTAGCGCTGGAAAGAGCGCTTTGCAACATGTGAATAGAGGCGCTTTAGCGCTGTTGTCACGGGCGGTGAAGAAAGCTCGACAACGCACGCTCCTTCCCTATTCAGCACGGATCCCGTGACGACGCTAGCGTGGGCCATCCACCTGCCAACCAAAGCTCGACTCATCCCCGCGACACACCACCTCTCAAATTCCACGACATCCAACATCTTCCCTCGGTCGGTCACAGCACCACGGAGAAAACTTGAAGAAACTTCTGACATCACTTCACCTCACTCAACACATCAGCACTACTCGCGGCGGGCGGTATGGCGTTCAACTTGTCATGGGCGGGCGCACCATTGCCCGATTTCAGCGGTCAGTCTCCAATCGCATTGCTACGCACCGTGCGACGGCAGTCGCATCGCAGGGCACGGTCGGCTTACGAGTAACGGGGAATAAGTACTGACTTCACAGATCACGAAGAAGACAGCGCAGACGACGCTCAGCTGGATAACGGCTCAGGATCTGAGGCGGACGACGGCCAGTATCGAGGCGACTACGACGGCAATTCCGTAAGTATCCCCGAGAATCTCTGTCCGACCGAGCTGCCGGAGACACCTTCAGCACAACTGACAAGCTACAGACCGGAGAGATAGACGACACTTTTGCAACTTCACATGCCCAAAGTAAGGGCAAAGGTAAGGGCAAGAAGAAGAGCATCAAAGAGAGCGGTACCGCCGCTGTTCCAAAGAAGCTCACACTCGACCCCGACACGTACGATGCGCGCCTCATCGAGCTCAAGAGGCAGGGCTTCACCGACGAACAAGTCTCCCAGAAGCTCAAGGATGAAGGCCGCATTCAATATGAAGCGAAGACAGTGGGTAGCCGCTGGATGCGGCTGAAGAAACTCCTCATGCAGCAGGAGGACGAGCGACTCGATGATGAGTTGAGTGACTGGCACGAGGGCGAGGTGCGGGATAGCAACTCACAACGTTTCACACAAGACTAACGAATCTAGGACGACCAACTCAATGCGATCGCTAAAGCAGTTGCTCCCAAATTCGATCACCAGATCCAGCTCCTCGAACAGCGGAGATGGCACGAGATCTCCCTGCACCTCGCCAACAAGCTCGGACAGAGGAAGTACACTGGCAAAGCATGCCGCGAGCGGGTTGAGGCAGTCAAGAATGGTACTGCCCTTCCACCAATTGAGCAGGCCAAGAACGCAGAAGAGAGACGTCGAATGAGAGATGAGCGGATCGCCGCCAACAAGAAAGCTCGTCAAAACGCCCGAGACGAACAACGCGCAAAAGAGCAGCGAGCCCAAGCCCGAGCTGAGGCGAAGAAGCGTGACCTGGCAGAGGCGACGAGAAAGAAGATTGACGATGCTCTTCAAAAGCGGAGTGACAAGGAGACTGCCGAGCGGATCAAGGAAGAGCGGAGGATCAACAAGGAAAAGGAGAAGCAGCACAAAGCTGCTGTGGAGGCACGATTCCTAGCTGAGAAACAGTGGATTGCGAAGCGCAAGCAAGCTGAGGAGGATCTGTACAAAGAGCTGACGGGCTACAACATGGGTGGCAAGAAGCCTGGTCGCATGCGGAAGGGCAAGGACGGCTACGAGGAGGAAGAAGAAGAGGCCGAAGCCAGCGACGTCTACGACAGCGAGGAAGAGGACATCATCGACCTGATCAACGACGACGACACCGACGAAGAAGACGCCCCCGGCATCTCCGACAACGACGACGACCTCGCCTTCTTCGAACCCCAACCCCCGGCCGAAGAAGAAGACACCACCACCACCCCCAAACCCCGCAAACTCTCCACCCTCCTCGCCCCCCGCGCCGGTCACATCCCCGCCCCCGTAACAAAAACCACCCTCCTCAACCCACGCAGCATCCTCACCGACGCCGAACTCGAACGCCTCCTCTTCTACCGCTCGCTGCCCCGACGCGGGCCCTCCGAAACCCACGCCGAAGTCGTCGCGCGCCTCGCCGCCAACGACGAAACGCTCAAATCCGACGAACTCTCCCAGCTGCTGATGCATCTGAGCGAGAAGAGTAAAGGGAAGAAGTTTGAGAAGATTTCCCGCTTGCGCGAGGCGGATGCGAGGGAGTGTGATGCGGGGCAGATGGGGGTGAGGAGTACGGATTTGGAGTTTGTGAGGAGGTATGAGGGGTATTCTGGGGAGTTTGCTGGGCTAGTCAGGGAGATTGTGGAGGAGGAGGGTCAGATGGTGGAGTAGGTGTGGTTTACATTCTGGCAGGTCTTCTCTGGGGTTCGGTTCTGTACTGAGCGTTTGATATATTGATTGATGGCGTGGATAGACGTGTTTCTCTGGAGATAGCTGCGTGAAATCAAAAAAGTATAGATATAGCTTACGTTTCAACCTCACCCACGTGAATCTTGGCGATGGCTTCCGCGCTGTTGTTACGTTCTGCGGTAGAATGTCGTAACACGAGTGCAGTGCGAGACTTGTTGGTGGCATGGGCGGAAGTAACGCTGCGGAGATAGCAAGGCGATTCACTTCAATGATTCAGCGACGTTCGACGTTTTTGTTGTCTGCATTGTTCACAATTGTGTCTCCACTGTGAGGCTATTATCCCCTCCCCCCAACATCAACATCAACATCAACATCAACATCAACAATACAAATAAAGAAAACCAATTCCAAACACATCATCCCATTTTGAATTCATTACCATAATCACATGCCCTTCCCCCCAAAAAAATACCACAGTTCAGAGCTCGGTATCTACATCATCAACATCGCACAAACAGCAGCAGCTGCAGCCGCAAACACCACCAATCCCGATCCTCCCACCTTGACACCCGCGCCCGTATAAGGAGTGATAGGACTACTCGAAGGCGACGGCGTAGGAAGGTACGTCGTGCCCAGCCCCGTCGACCCACCGATGGGTCCCACGGGGCCGGGGACAGAAGTAGTCGGGTAAGGCGCCGGCGCTGGGGCGGAGCTGTATCCAGTAGGTCCCGCGACGGGGCTCGGGGACCCATAGCCGAGACGAGGCTGTGTGGTCGTCGAGCCGCCCGTCGTGACGGTGTAGGTTGTGATCTGGACCTGCGGCACCGTGACGGTTGTGAGCAGGGAGGTCGTGATACTGCTGGAGGGGATTGTGGCGCCCACGGATTCGCCTGTGCTGTAGGTCGCCGGGACCGGGTAGACGGTGCTGTAGGTGATTGTGGTGCAGGGGACGCTGGCGGGGGCGGTGGGGGCAGGCGAGGAGCCGATGGGCGCGATTTCGGTGCTGCTGCTGCTGCTGTAGGCTGCTGGGGCTGTGGTGACGGTTGTGCCGATGGCGTAGGAGGTTGTGTGGGTTTTGGCGGGGCAGTTGGTCACTTCGGGGGCACAGCTGGTGATGGTTTCTTCCTTGGTGCTGTAGAGGGTGATGGTTTGGCCTTGGGGTGGGGATGCTGGCGAGGAAGGAGCTGGGGAGGTTTGAGGCGAGTAGGAGTAGGACGCGGCTGGGGTGACGCTGCTTGGGCAGGCAGTGATGATGGCTGGGTTCTGGGGCACGTAGGGAGCGCAAAGACCCATGAGGTAGGAGCCGGAGCCTTGAGTCTCGTCGTGAGAGCCGGACCATGCGGAAAGGCACCCCCAGACTTTGGTGATAAAGTCGTTGTTTTTGCAGAAGCAGTCATAGTCGTCGTTGCCCTTGCAGGAGGTCAGGTACATCCACGAGTTGAGACACTTCGGCAGTGTACTTCCCGACTCAGGCGTCGGTGTGTAGCCAGTAGGAGAAGAGCTCGTCTCAGCAGCAGTGACTGGGCAAATCGTGGTCGAGATAGCCACAGTCTTGGTGACAACGGCAGATGACCCGCTCTTGGCTGGGCAGTTGGTGACAGTTGGTGCACAAGAAGTGATGGTCTCGAGCGTGGTGGAGTAGACTGTCGATGTCGAGTACGAAATGATCGATGGGCTCGTCGTCACTGGCGACACCTCCGTGCTGGAGCTGCTGCCATATGCTGGAATGCTTGGGCTAGAGTAACCAGGAACGCTGCCGCTGCCAATTGGGTAGGACGAAGTGACATTGTAGCTTGGGACCGATCCAATGCTGTAGGCTGGGATGGTTGGGGTCACTGGGGACGACTCGCTTGAAGATGGCGTCGAATAGGCAGGGATAGATGGCGAGCTGTAGCCTGGGATACTCTCACTGCTGGACGAGCTCGAGTAAGCTGGAATCGAGGGAGAGCTGTAGCCCGGAGCAGAAGGAGTCGACGAGGTCGATGGCGTGACAGGCGAAGTCTCGACACTTGAAGAGGGGCTGGAGTATGCCGGAATGGAAGGCGAACTGTATGCTGGGATGCTCTCGCTGCTGGACGGGCTTGAATATGCTGGAATGGAAGGAGAGCTGTAACCAGGAACCGAAGGAGTTGAAGAAGTCGAGGGTGTGACTGGTGATGACTCGCTGGACGAAGGACTTGAATAAGCCGGAATGGAAGGCGAGCTATATGCCGGAATGCTCTCACTGCTAGAGGAGCTGGAGTAAGCTGGAATGGAAGGCGAGCTGTAGCCAGGAGCAGATGGTGTCGAAGTCGTAGGAGTAGCAGGCGAGGACTCGCTAGAAGAAGAGTACTCTGGGATGGAAGCCGAAGAAGTAGTCTCACTGCTGTAAGCTGGGATCGATGGCGTGGAGTAAGACGGCGGCGCGGTCGACGAGTACGCTGGAGGAGTGCTGGACGCGGAGCCGCAGTTGAAGCCCACAGAGTGAACGCCAATGTTGCAGCCAGAGCTCTTGTCGCCTGCGGGCTTGAAGGTCACGCTCTTTGCACCACCGCACTGAGAGTTCTGAATGACGGTTCCGCCGGCGCTGCAGGAGTGGACCTCCTTGCAAGTCGATCCGTCAGGCATGTCGTAGTGGCACTCGATATCGGCGTCCTTATCGGATGATACCTCGAACTTGTCCAGAGACATGGTCTTGTCGCCTTCGCAGCCAATCGATGGCTGGTCATCGAGAGGTGCTGTGATGCATTTGGATTGGAAAGTACGCTTGGTCAAGAGATCGCGTTTGCCGAAGGAGTTGGAGCAGGACCAGCCACTGAACTTGTTGCTGCCGTAGTCGCTGAAGGAGCCCTGGTTGAGTCCACTCCAGTCGTAGCCGCTGGCTTGAGCTGGAGAACACTCGTTGTCGGTGTTGTCAGGAGTCGAGTATTTGGAGGGGCCTCCCCATCCGCCACCACCATAACCGCCGCCGAAGGCGAGGGCCTGGTGGGCTGCGAGACCGGCCGCAGCGAGAGCTGTCGTAGTGAAATGCATCTTCGTGATCGCTCAATCTATGCCAACGTAGATGCTCGAAAGATGTCTTTCTGCAGAATTAAGTAGTTTGAACGATGGACGAAGCAGGCAGTAAACGAGTGACCTGACTTCAAAGAGAAACTGTTTGATCAACAACAACAAAAAGAGGTGGTGGGATAGGGAAGATGGAAGAAAAAGACGCAGGCAACCTGCAGGACAAACACTTCTCTTTCTATTCATCGACCGCAACCCACAAGCACATCTCGCATCCGAAACCCAGGACTGCAAAAGGTTCTTCTCCACCAGTCAGCCCAAGCAGTCGACTGTGTGTCTCCCATCGGAAGGGTTTGACGCTGGGTCGGGCGGTACGTGCACGTGTCAAACGACGTGAAGGCGGCCATGCAGCCGCCAGCCGAGCGTCTGGGAAGACAGAGGTGGCGTCGAAGATATCCCTTTCCGGCAGCTCTTCCTTCGGAGGCTGGAGGCTAATGCAGGTACGCAGGATCTTGTCCTTGTTTCACCATTCTTCTTGCTCGCATCCAGAAAGCCTTACGGTCCCGGCGGCCGTTTTGGGCCAGCGTGGAATACAGTAGTAGGTCCAACGTTTCCCGTTGCTCGTGCAATCGACCTCGTGGCTAAACGACCTCATCGTCATCGGGGCGATCAAGGGAAATTCTTCTGGTCCTGCTGGAAAACCCGGCTGGGACGGAGATTGACATTACCGTCAGCGACCCAGTGGAGGGAAAGCCGGGTATTCTAGAATAGCACGCAGCTGGCCATGCTGTTGAGGAGTGAGGCCCGAATCGAGAGACATATCGACTCAGCATGGTCCGATATGTGGTGTAGTATTGGGCGCGGGCGCGTCGCCTGTGTGAGGGTGTTTTTCAGGGCATGGCTTCTGATTGGCTCGCTGGCGTGGCGCAAAGACTGCATCCTTTGTCTGCGGGCGCGTGTTTGAGACGCTGCCGACTCCCAATCATCCCCTCGCCTTTGCTCCGACATCCTGCGTAGTGCATCGCTGCTGCCAGACTCGTGCAGAAGGCGAGATGAAAGGACGTCGAAGAGGAGGCTGAGTGGCTGTTCCCCTCTTCCTCGGATCCCCCCCCCCCGGTTCAGTGTGGAGGATGCGCTCTAGGATGCGCATTATTTCCAGGACTTCTTGTCTCCGATCGGTATGGACCCAGAAAATGGATACACGGCACAGAAAGAATTTGTTACATCTTCTTCCATTCGGAACCACGATAGAAGACTCGTACAGAGACCTGTTGCCACCTCTCATCGCCTGGATCGTTGAGAAACAACCACCAGCCGGTACACCTGCATGCACAATGCTCGCCTCGCCTCGCAGCCAGACAGGCCTCTCTCAGACCGCCGCGGGGAAGACAAGCTTATCCGTTTCCGCCACCAGCCATCCAAACCATCAAGAAGCACATGGCAGCTCTCTGGCGCTGTGAGTCCAAGCGAACGGATGTCTTCCCCAGACTGGAACACAACGAACAGACATGACCTCATCATCGCCGCAAGAATAGCACAACGAAGTACCACTGCCAAACGGAAAACCTGCTCATGGTTTTCCTGTTTGAGTGGCAGTCAATATTCGATGGCTTGGCCGGGGTTGCAGGGTCCTTTAAGTGATCTCTCTGCCTATATCGATTTTTTCTTGCACAGCCCCAGGCGCTTACGTTGCTCGTGTAAATGAGTTTTGCTTGCCATGGCACGTGTGAAGGTGACGATGACTGGCTTGGAACTATACTCTGGCTATACGAGTTGTCGTTCTGAAAGGCGGAACAATATCGATCATTCAATAGCGACTACTGAGACGCCGTGTCTCATTGCTTCACTATCATGGATACGAGGACGAACTATCGTTTCACTGCGAGCTGCTGGGGGTCGCTTGCCATCACTAGATGTGCCAGTCGTCTTCAGCATCTCGTCGGTGGCAGCATGTTCCCTGGCCGTCGACCTTCCTCTCCATCACTGTCTCTAGCTTGAAGGGCCAAGGCTGACGAGCACACTCACACATCCGCAGAGACAACCAAGCAGCGACAAAGATCCGCACTCCACTACAGCGCAGATGCCTAACGTATCTGCAAGAGCAAATTGTCGCCACACCTTTCGAGAATTGCAGACAGCTTCGAAGCCTCATTCTGCTTATTGAATAACAGTCGTTTTCCTTGGCGCACGCATGTCGACTTCGGCTGGGACCCCGGACCTTGGAACCGTGATGTTGTAGACTCGACTGCTGGACGAAGGACATCTGACGCCACGGCTTTCAGCATCAACTGTTGAGCAACACGGCGTCCCCATTCATCGTTGACATCGCCACAAGAGCAGAGTGTGCGCTGCCTACTTCATTGTACGACATGTTAGAGATCCTTGGAGACCGCCGACGCTGGGTCTATTCGCAGAATATCGACGGACACGAAGCACAAGTTGGAACAAATGGTTTCTCTTTATTCTGAGGGAAGGTGGTCCTGCATCACGGAAGCTTGCAGTGATGAGTCTACACCCTTCGACCTATCCACGGCTCCATTATTAGGGTCTCGTCTCGCACTAGCAAAAGTGTCCGGAGTTGGTAATCCCGTTTCTACGCTAAAGAGCTGTTAGTATAGTACGACTCCGGATCTCGCTGGACCATGAACCAACGCACGAAGAAGGAAATAACATTGACATCATAAACGATGATGTCAACGGTGGTGCAGACGCAGCCGTTATCGCTGGAACAACCCTCACTGCGGCACAGGCGAAGCAGTCTTCGATACAGACTGCGACCAAGGTCTATTCGCAACTGTCGATCGCTGGAAGTGGTCTATAGCAGTCCGCGGTTAGCTTCAACCGTCACAAGGCTCGCATCACCCTCCAAATCCAGCTAGAATGGTTTCTGTGCTGAGGCTGGGCAGGCAATGGTTTATCATCTATTTCTGCCCACATCTTTAGAGGCGAGATATAACTCCATTCATTCTGACTCCACCAGCTCCACACTTCGTTGTTTACGAAATCTCTACGACTTTGCTCACTCAAGCATACTACGACTTCATCCTTCCATTTCGACCGATGCGACTGATTCATCACTGAAGACATCTCGTCGAACCAATCTCTCATCATATCTCTTCGAATCAGAATCTTCCGCAACAATTCCTGTCGCTACGATGTATTCGGACCTCGCAACATTCCTCCTCGCATGTCTTCTGAGCATCAATGGAGTGCAAGCTGCAGATATGACCACAACACAGGTTCGTATTGGCCATCGCACATTCGAGTCCCCAACATGTTTCTGATGTATCCTACACAGCAACCAACAGCCACAGCCGGCCTCTGCGCACAGCCCGCCTTCCTCAACCAGTACATCAAGGGCCAGAATCAGTACTGCTGTGCCGGTGTGCTGGACATGGACACGAAGAACGGCCAACCATACTGTTGCATAGGCAACAACAACGCCGTCGCGACCAACACGGCCACGTCCTTCGAGACCAACAGGAGTGGCACCATGGCAACGTGCTCGACGACCATTCACGTCACTGAGAAGGACTACACGAGCAAGGTGGAGGCTGCGGGCACGAAGTATGGGGTTTCGTATGTCAGGACGACCGTCAACGCTGCGAGAAGCACCAGCATTGTTGCCGTTACGCCGACTAGTACTGGGGCTGCGGTTGCGGCCATGACGCCCGGATTGATGGTTGGTGAAGCGTTGATCGCGTTGGGCGCTGTCGCTCTTGGGCTTTGATGAGGTGAAGCTGTAGAGAGTCGTCTGTACTATTGTGTGAAGAAATGTGTTGATCTCGCACATGTACATGTACCTACGATGTTAACTTATTTTGAAACGCATCCAGAATTACCGCTTTGGGAAATCCATCCGAGCTAACAAACGTTGCTTCAGCCTCAGCAGAAAACACTCGTGCTATCTATCTATATATAAGACTAGCTCTGCAGCGGTGCGAGTATAGCCCAAGTGATGTGCGGCTTCCCCAAGCGAGCATCCGGGCCAAGTAAACTAGGCGTGCACCACAAGCAAAGAACAAAGCCCTGTTCATCTTCATCAATATCGCCGACGACATCTTTGATCCTAACTCGTCATATCATAACCATGCGCGTAGAACTGTCGCAAGCATGCCTAATGTAGGATTGCCATCCTTCGCTTGCCGCACATGCAAGGCCCGCCACCTGCGTGTAAGTCATCAGGCCTCCAAGACGCGATCCGACAATGCCACTATGCTAACCGTGGGTGTCCCCCAGTGCGATGCAGCCCGACCCTTTTGCACACGCTGTGTGTCCTCGGACCGCGTCTGCGGCGGCTATGACCACGAAACGACCTCCGACCTGCTGTTCAAGATCCAGACACCCGCGATACGCGAGAAAGCGGCCCGGCAAGGCTCTGTGCGCGCTAAGAACGGCAAGAAATCAAATGCGTCACGGTGAGTGTAGCCTTATGCTTGTCACTCCGCTCTGGAAGTGGTGCAAGTCGTTGAATCCCGCTCAAAGCACCCGATCGGATGTGCGTGCCTCATCAAGCAACGCCGAAACCCCTACGCCTACGGCCACGGATGTCGCAGCGGCAGACGTCAGGCTGAGCCCTTCGGTCCAAGATGCCTCTCAAAGCATACAGAGCCGGGTGCTGGTCTTTTTTCTGGACAACATGTCACTCTCAATCAGTTCCCACGACGCTGTCTGTAAAAACCGCTTCGGGCTCTCCAACCTCAAAGTCCGCTCTGACTTTCTTCTCAGCTTCAAATCTATCTACGCGGCCCCGACTCTCGACTCGGACCGTCGGCCGAGGTGCTGTGCTGCTCCCTACGGGCCCTCGCCCTGGGGGCGGCTTGGAAAGTAGCCCATGACAGACGCCTGCGGAAAGATGCCCTTTTCAACTATGTCCACGCCATGCGGACTATTGAGGCGGCTCTTGCGGATCGCCAGTCATCGACGTCGGATGAGCTCCTATTGAGTGTGAAACTTCTAGAACTTTTCGAAGTATGTTCTTTGTATGCTTTTGCTTCTGGCTGGGTAGAGTTTCTGACACGACATGTCTAGTGTCTCTGTTCAGAGGATCCCAGCAACCACGCCTGGGCTCGCCATGCGATTGGTTCCGTGAGTCTTGTTCGATGGCGTGGCGAGCAGAACTTCGCGACACCCATGGGGAAGAGCTTGTTTCATTCCGTGCGGTTTATCACGGTAGGTCTCCAGCAGACCTCAATGGCGGAGCGAAGCCTGACCTTGTCAATAGATCATGACATGCATCCACTACTCCGAGCGTGTGCGACCTTACCGGGAAGGAGAAAGCTGGACCGAATTGTCAACGGCTCCATACGGAGAAGAGCCCGCCCACAGCCTGATGAGGACCGCGATCGACGTGGCAGCATTAAAGGCGAGCGCCTGCGATATGTTCGACAAGGAGCACAGTCCACGGCCAGAAGCCCGCGAACTTGTAGAGCTAATGTCACGGATCCACGAGATCGACTGCCGTCTCCTGCAATGGCAGCAGGGCCTCCCCGAATCATGGCAAAGCTACCACGTCAAGATCGAGGGTGACGACGGCGACCGCCCGCATCGAAAAACGTGGGATGGGTATGTCTACGTGCACAGAAACGTCTGGGTGAGCGCCCACGTCACCACCTTCCACGTGTTGCGCCTGCATGTGAATGCCATGCGGCTGCGGGTGTTGAGGAAGTTTGGCCGTGGCAGTCAGCCGTCTCCGTCGGCCGAGGGATGTCTGCAATGTCTCCAGCATATTGCTGATAATATCTGTGCCTGTGTCGCGCCCGCGGTCAGGGACGTCGTGCTGAAGGGCGACATCCCGTCCGGCTTCAAGGCCGATAACATTGGCGGTCGGGCTGTGGTTAGTATCGTCTTCGAATCACTTGTCGTTCACAGGACTGACCAAATGAGACAGTACGTCAAGATGTGGCTCCTGGCGACTCTGGCACGGCTCGAGACCATATCGACGGAGCAACGCCAATGGGTGATCAATCTCATGGCCCTCATCTCGGCGCGATACGGCTTGAACATGGCGACGACTTTGTCACAATGGCCGGCTAGTCTTGTATGTCAAGAAGTCCGCGAACCGAACGGGAAACTCCAACGAGAGCTTTTCGTGCAGGGGCTTGAATTGAAGACCCGTTGATGTGAAACCCGAGGACAATTGGATTCTAGGAGTACCAAAGCGAGATACGATTGTCAATTATGTACATGGGTCCGCGCCTTATGCTGCTGCTAGTGCTGCTACTACAACTCCATAGCCTTCTCAAAACAAGTCCCAGCCTCACTCGAACAAAGACTCTGGTTCGCACCAGGCGCATTCCGACACGTCTGCTCATCCTCCTGACAAGCCTCGCAAGCCGAATGCTGAGAAGCACAGAACGAATGGTTGGTCATCGGGGCATTGCTGCACGACTCCAACGCCTCGGTGCAGCCGTAGTATCCCAGGGTCGTGCCGCCGGAGACGGCCTGCTCGTAGCAGATCTGCGCTGCGGGCGTGCAGTTCAGCTGGGCAGAGTAGTTTTCGCCGGCGCCGACGCGGCAGCTGTGCTCCTGGGTCGCGCAGGATTCGCAGGCGGTGAATCTGGAGGTGCAGACGGAGTCGGCGGTTTTGCCGTCCGCAACGTCTTGGGCGCAGGCGGCTTGGAAGGTGTTACAGTTGTAGGTGACGAGGGATTGGGCGCTGGCTTGGGCGATGAGGGCCATGAGGATCATTGAGGGAAGCATGGTGTTGTTGGGGGTCTTTGGATGTCTATGGAGAGTTGTTGTTGTACTTTGCGGAGGCTTGTTGTAGATGTTCGGATCGGTTGTGGAGGCTGAATTGGTTCTGATGAACAGCAAGTCAGTCCATCCGTGGCCCTTTTATGTTCGTTCCCCTCTGAATTTCATAGATGCACAGTCGGTCATCGTGCATTGTCCGTCTCGTATTCTGGCTGTAACATGACGATGAAAACCCATGCTACTGGCGAACGTGTTTGCCGCATCCGGCCAGAAAGACCGCGCGAACATCGAGCCAAGAATAGTCGTCGGTGTTGATCGGCTTTCTGGCTATTTGGCTTCCAAGCTGTGCGTGTTTATTTTGTTTGGAGCCAGTCCGAGAGTTCAGGCGTCCCAAGTACTAGAGCTGTAGAAGCATTAGGGCGAGGCTGGGTTGTGCTAATTGGGCGGAACTGCCTATTCGAGCTGTGCATGATGGCATGGCATGTCGATCTTCTTCGTAGAAAGCTTCACGTCGTATCCTTGGCCACAATGCGGATCGACTCCTTGTGAAGAAGTGATCGGCTTGGTCTACTGTAGTAGTGTCAGGCGTACTCATGTATACACGAGTACAGCAGGAATAGTAACTCTGTGGACCTTTGCCTCTTGGAAGTCCTTCATCCATCTGGAATTGGGGGACAATGGGCACGAATATGTGGTCCTCGGAATCACACCTTCCCGAAGGCTGAAGGATGCCTACCGCTGGCCATTCTTGCGTAGGATGCAGCCTGAGCAGCGCTTCGACAGTTTCACGGAACGAAACTATCCACAAGGCGTACTTTTAGACAGCACGAAGAAAATATATGTATCAAAGATTTCAACTCCAGACTCGGAACTTCAACTCAGCATCAGAACAGGTCTGCTATCTCATATCAGCTTGCTACATTCCCTTAGCCATACTCAAGACTCTGTCGCACCTTGTAACGCATCAGGACCTCCAGCGCTTGTACGAGTCCCTAGTAGCAAACCGCCTGTTCCAAAGCAAAAAACCGTCAGCGCTTATCCTCCCGATTACATAGTTCCGCAAAACGCCGAAACAAGGAAAGTAGCAGCTCACGGATGGAACAACCTGTATTCACAGCTAGCGTCTGTTAATCAACGTGGTGTGCTCCACAACCAGCGCAGTCTGTATCCGCCGTGCCTCGCGGCATTTCAATCGCAGCATTTTGAAGTCCAGGGCCGATAGGAGAGCCAGACGTCCCAATGGCCAGCACGATGGCGAATGTCCAGAGGATGTCCAGGAGATGCATGTTGTGAGATTCGAGAGAGGAAAATGCGGTGTAGAAGAGGGCGGTCCGGGCTGGTGATATTATGCCTTATGAGTTGGAGGCTGGAAGCTTAGCGTACTTTATATATAGAATTGAGACTTGGAGTTTTAGGTGTCTCGTTGGAAGCAGCATGCTCCCTGACCGTCGAGTCGTATCATCGATTCATCTCAACTTTTGGTGAAAACCAACTCACTGCCCTTCATTCGAAGTCTTGCTCTGCTGTCTTCACTGCAGCTGTCTCACAACCTTGATCAAATCACCCGTCACACCCATTGCCGTCACATCGCCACCAGCGCCCGCGCCCTGAATGATGAGAGGGTTGCTGCCATATCGTTTCGTATAGAAGTTGATGATGTTGTCGCTGCCCTTGAGAGCAGCAATCGGATGTGAGGCATCGAACTTCTCCAAACCGACCTTGACTTGCTTCGAGGGCACGTCGATGCTGCCCACGAACCGGACGACCTTGCCCTCCTTGCTCGCTTCCTCCTTGATCTTGTCCATTTGGTCGTCGAATTGAGGTAGCTTCTCCAGGAACTCATCCCCAGAACTGCAAGACTCCAGTTCCTTGGGGATGAGGGATTGCACCGGGAACGATGTGGGCGACTCAACGTTCAAGCCCGCAATCCGCGCGAGAATGGTAAGCTTCCTCGCAACATCCAACCCATTCAAATCATCTCGTGGATCCGGCTCCGTATACCCCAGCTCCTTCGCCTTCTTCACCTCCGCCGCGAACTTGCCGCCTCCACCACCAAGTGGCTGGAACGAATTGAACAAGAACGACATCGTTCCCGAGAACACACCCTCAATCTTCGTGACCTCATCGCCCGTCTCGACCAGCTCTTTCAACGACGAGATTACAGGCAATCCCGCACCAACAGTCGACTCATGGAACACGTATCCGTTGCTCGCAGACCCAGTGCCATTCGCTGCTGAGCTGAAAATCGCCTGCCACAGATCAATCTTATCCGAGAAAGCCTTCTTATTTGGTGTCACGATGCTGATCCCCCTCTGCAGAACCATCGGATACAGTGATGCCAATCCCTGATCAGAGGTATTATCCACCAGCACGACCTTTCCCGGAGCTCTTGCCAGCTGTCCAAACGTTTCGTTGAAAGGCGGTGGTGGGCTGCCGTTCTTGTCGAGTTGTGAGGCTACGGTTGTGGTGTCGAGGTGTTCCCAGTTGGAGCTGAAGAGTTGTTTTGTGCTGCGGCGGGCGAGGATTAGGCGCAGGTCGATGGAGGGGGATTGTTTGGAGAGGCGCTGGCGGAGGAATGCGAGTTGGTAGAGAAAGGCTTTGCCGACGCCGCCGAGGCCGACGATGGCGATGTAGATTTGCTTTGGGGCGGACATGGCGGTGTGTGTTCGTGGAATTTGTTAATGTGACTATGGTGGGAGGAGTTTTCAATGTTGTTCAGGAACAAGAAACAGTGCGGGGCAGCTTTTTGTGCGGGGCTCTGAGTGACGGCTTGGCCCCAGGCACGAATCGATTAACCAATACCTTATACTCCATTCAAATGCTCATGTTTTCAATGCTCCTGCCTGTCAAACCCCTCTGCGCCTCTGTATTTTAGTCTCTCATAATTACCATGGCTCTATTGGGAATTGAATCTTTCGATCTCCATCCTTTTCATCCACCGCCTTGCCGTCCTCGAACAGAGTCCGCTCCACGAATGTAACTTCTCCTCGCGTGTTGACCAAGATCACCGTCTGCTTCGTCGTTCCATAGGCCTCTTTTCCAAGAGATAGTTGGTCTGGAGTCGGCGTGCTCGTCCCCTCCGAAGAGCTGATTTCCTGCCCGGCTGCACCTTTGGCGGGTGGTATCATGATTGATGTTCTCATGTAGTAGACGTAGTCGTCCCACGACTCATCTTTCTTTCGTGTCGGTAGTGCGTCCTCGCTGAGTACGTCAAACAGGTGCTCGATGAAAGTGTTCTGATTATACCCAAACGTAATGCTGCTGGAGATGGCTTCCTTCAACAACTTCTCGCCGTGGACCACCTTAGGCCAGGTATTGTCACCGAAGTGACTGTTACTGACAGCATGCGTTTCTCCCACTGTCGTAGCGATCCGCTTCAGATTCTTCGTAGACTCTGTTCGATTTGAGACAAGCGCCAGGCCAGGCATTTGTGGATGCTGACTAGTCGTGCCATTGGCGGCCGTTCCATTGGCATGTCTGTTTTGGGATGGCCCTGGTGATTGCAGCTTTCCAAAAATCATAGTGAACCCACCAACGTCGTGGATCCCGTAGCTCAATAGTCTCTGCACGAACTCTTCGTCAGATTCCTCGGACTCCGGGGCCACAGTCAAGAAGGCATTCGGCATGCCTCCACGGCTTTTGCTCATGTCAACATGAGTGTCGCCCTTCTCTCGGAAGTTGGTCAAGATAGTAATGCGGCCTTGTTTGGTCATCGCGAGCCATGTTCCTCGTTCCTTACGTTTGGTATCTCGTCCTCCGAGAACATGGTCGTTCGGCGTATCCCACCAGTCTGCACGCAAAGTTGGGCGATTGATGAATTCATCGCGGTTACTGATGAGGATGAATGGGTACTCAGGGTGAGCAGTAGAAAAGACGGAGATGCACATGTTGGCTGTCGGTATTATCTTGAGGCGTATTATGGATTCTTGAGCGGTTGCAGCTGCTGGCGTTTGTTTGCGATGGTCTTTGTCTTTGGCCAGTTCCTGCGTGTGACTTCGATCACCGTCCACATCCTCGGCTGGGGCTGGGGCGTTCCATCTGGCGGAGAGGTGACTATGCTTGGGAGTACAGCATATCTTGTGTACGAAGAGGATAGAGTTCGGACGTCATGCGCGTCGAAGTTTCACTTGGCAGAGTTCACGCTAAGGAAGTGGCTTGAGGGGTAACCGAGCTTGCTCGGCTTCCCCACAGTCCTGAGACGGTCGAGTCTGTTTCCTACAGTCCTTGGCCCAGCTCGCAGGAATGAATGGATACGAGGTACGTTGAAGGTACACGCAGCAAGTTGAAAGTGTCACATTCGTGGCTGGAGAATTCGTATCTGACTGCTGGCACAACTGGACAGGTCTTCAACTTCCGTCAGCTCGACGATTCACCTCGTCTCATGCTCAATCATGGCACGTACAGTGCATCCTGTCCAGCCGCCACGGGAACATGTCGCTCCTCAAAGCCCGCCGACACCTTATGCAGCGCGCCAACACTTCGTTCTACGAGACTCCACCGTAGTTTGTACCCTTGCGGGTGGCGGATCCGAGATGCTGATCGTGCCAAGCTCCTATGAAGACCGAAACGATATTGGAGAGGATGCAGATTGGCGGCAGGCACATAACGCAGCCGATGCACACAAATGCTGGAAAACCACTTTCATCTACCAGCATATCGAAGATCATCCACATTTGATGAAGTGATGCAACCACCAAGCCTCGAACATGGAGTGCGAACTCAACACCAATTCACTACAGGTTCATTCGCCCAGATCCTTGGACTTGGTTGCCGGTGATAGCAAATCCAGGTGGGCCACCTTTAAGGACTTTCCTCGATGTCAACCGCAGCGAGATGTACGACACACGCACCACATTGAACCAGAGCACGGCGAGTGGTCGAGTGAAAGCGAGGTACAAGAGCCTTGTCTACCAATGGGCTCTCCAACTTGCAAGTGCTTGGAATATCTCCATAGCCATTCCTTTGTCCAGCCAGCACCGATAATATCGATCGTATTCGGAGATCTGACGGTCGACTCCTGTTGGCTCACTTCGCCTGGTCTGTCCTTATCGATCCTCGGATTCCTCAACTCTGGCTTTCGAACTCGCGATGGGCCAGTGCATCATGGAGACATTCTTAGCGGTTATCCATTCAATCCAATTGATCATTTGCCGCGCACAGAACGGATTCCCACTCTAAAGACTGATTTATTCATGTGGGGATGTGTGGTATATGAGCTTATGACTGGGTTCTGGCCGGGTGAAGGGCAGGGAATTGAAGATGAAGAGATTGCGATGTTGGTCCCAAGGCATGAGTGGCCGACGCTCGAGAGCGAACTCCTCGGAAACGTTGTAAGGACGTGCTGGACGGGAGAGATGCGGAGTGCTGCAGAACTTGTGACTACGGTTCGTAGGGTTATCACAGAGCTTGGGGCGGTGATTGGGGACAATGGGGAGGTTGTACATCTTGACATTGAAGGGTTGACGATTTGAATTCAATGTCGTTTATTAACAGAGTTTGGAGGTCATGCGCGTCGAAGCTTCACTTGACAGAGTTCGCGCTAGCGGACGATTAGATAAGGGCGGGGCCGTGCTCAAAGGGTCCTGCGGACGTGACCTTTGACCTTTGACCTGTGATCCAAACGACCGCCTGGCACCGGCTGCCACACACCACCTCTCCTCTTCCTCCGCCGCCTTACCTGTCATCTTCAATCTAACCCCATCTCTGCCCGTTCGCAGGGCATCTGTCTGCGTTCACTTCTCTCCCGCATCCGCGACGACGACGACGACAAGGTCACGCGAGCACCCACCGGCATCATGTTTGGCTTCATTGCGGATATCCTCACGTATGTACCACACCCCGCAAGCAGTAACCGACAATGTACGAACAATCGCTAAAACTATCGACAGCTCCGTCACCTCCGTCCTCCTCCCCGTCTTCTTCTCCTACAAAGCCCTGCGAACCTCCGACCCAGCCCTCCTCGCACCATGGCTCATGTACTGGACCACCCTCTCACTACTGCTGGTCGTTGAGAACCAGTTCAACTTCATTCTCTGCTGGGTCCCATTCTATAGCTGGATCCGCTTTGGCGCACACCTCTACTTGGTCTTGCCAGGTCAGCAAGGCAGCGTCTTCATCTACAAAGAGCACATACATCCTTTCTTGGAAGAGCATGAGCGGCAGATTGATCGATTCATAAGCGATGCGCACGCCAAAGGAAAAGCAGCGGGCATGGATGCTATCAAGAAAGCGATTGAATACGTTCGGGTCCAGGTCTTCGGTCAAGAGCCAAGCAGACCTACGCCTCCACCAAGCCGCAATGTCAGCTACACGACGCATCTTTTCAATCGATTTGCTATGCCAAGTGCAAGAGAAGGTCTTGCGGCTGCTGGTACAACGGATGTCTTCAGCTTGATTGGAAAGGCTCTCCAACAGACGACGTACCCTGACTCTACCACAACGGGCGAGCAAGCACGAGATCTGGCCAGTTCAGGCACTCTGATTCCACCGAACCTTGCAGGCGAAGAGCGTACAGACTTTGTCAACACTCAGCGTGAGAGACTTAGGACGCTACTCCAGGCATTCGACGCAGAGGCTTTCAATTCAGCGGATGCGGCCACGAGCGGCATTCAGCCACGTTCCTCAATGCCGCGTCCGCCATCGAGTCGGAAGTCGTATCTTGCGCCTCCGGATTCATACTTGGAGCGATCTCGATCAGAGTCCGAGTTTGAGGACCTAGCATACGAGACGATGCCCGATCCCGAGCATTTCAAGCCTCCACCCCCTCGCGAACAAGTACCTCGTGCGCCATCCGGCAAGGAGAGTGGTTGGAGCAACTGGATCTGGGGAAGCTATGGTGAGCGCGATTCGGCTATCAATCCCAAGAAAGACTTATAGACGAGTTCTTGCGCCGACATTCACGACTTTACGAACACATCCAACAGGGAGGGATCAGGCGTTTGCAGATGGGACATCGGCGTATTGAGTACGCTGCGCCAGGCAGGTATTGAATGACTTGATGAGGTAGTAATATGCCTCGGTGATGAACAACCATAGACAGAGCCGCCAGAGCTCGAAGCTCAAAGAGATGAATATAACAGTCTTGTTCATCTGAGCGTTCCCAGATCGAATGCCTCCTTGCGTCTGAGTGGCTGTGGTACACGTTTCAACAATCGATTTTGGCGACAATCCTGCAGAAGACGGTAGGTGCCTAACGGATCAGGCAGCAGGATGGAATATCGACAAAAGCTAACAATTACTTACGCATGAAGACAGCCACTTGTGCGAGACATGCTCACATTCCTACGCAGCCTACTTCCCACCGCGCCCGATGAAGACTACGACAGCACACGCATAACATCCGACCTCGAACAAGGCCCCGACCCAGACCCCATCGCACCCATAGGCTACGAACTCACTCGAGGCAAACACTCCACCGCAGTCCCCTGGTCCGCGAGCCCCAACGCCGAAGGAAAACGCGGCTACGCAGGATGGTTCGAAAAATTCGAGGGTGTCGTCCACAGAGACGGCACAAGCGTCCTCGTCTTCCCCTCCCACTTCATGTACGAGAACCCCATTACCGGCGAAGTAGTGTACAACTCCATGGGCTTTCGATCGACGATGGGGATCCGAAGGAGAGGCTTGATGAGGTTGTCAGGATCTACGAGTGGCTTTTCGAACGAGGTGATAGAGTGAGAAGTCACCCCCGGATTGTGCACTGGTTGGGGAGGACGAACACTGGGTTCTCGCTGCAGAGGTTGAGGCCGGGTCCGATGCATTTTGAGAAGCAGAGGGGTGATGGGGAGTTTCTGAGGTTGTACTGGAGTTGGGCGATGCAGGTACTCAATGCGATGTCGTTTCTTCATGGACGAGGCGTGCGTCTGGGGTCTTTCTCCGAGGATATCCTTTGGATCCGCGAGGACTTCTCGATTGCGGTGGCGTGTCTGATTGGCGCTGGGTGCGAGAGGGAGCGTGTAGCGGTCGGTGGATTCGACGTTCCCATCACGTCGCCGTGGCATGATGAGAGCTTCGAGGCGCCGGAGCCGGGCGTGGATGTGACGGATTGGTGGGATCGACGCATTTCAGGCCACGTCAAAGCCGATCTGGTCGATTGGGCCAACATCGTCTTCCGATGGATGGCTGGGGTCGACGAAGAGATTCTACGCTTCCACGAGGATCCTGATAAGCCCGCTCCGGAAGTCAAGGACTCCGTCTCGAGGCGCTGGTGGGAGGCGTATCGGTATCGAGGGGAGCTTGTGGGGTTTCGACGGCTGGAGAAGAGGTTGTTGGGGAATGTGATTGTGGGTGTACTGATGGGGAAGTATGGGAGTGCTGGGGAGGTTTTGGAGCAGGTGAGGAGGACGATTGGGGAGGGTGGTGGAGTGGTGTGTGGGGAGATGGGGGATGAGGTTAGTGGGGAGGGGAGAATCGAGGAGGGGTTTGAGGTTGTGCAGGGTGAGGGTGGAGGGAGTCATGAGCTGAGGCTTCGACGGACAGACCTGCAAGACAACGATTTGGGATGAGAAGTCTGAAAGTTGCCGTTGCGTTCTGTGAACATCGTAAGTCTGTCCGCCTACTTCCTTTTTCAGGAAAACATCGCTTCGCGAACATTCACCCACATCGTCCGTGCACCACTCTTGGCCTTGGATCGAAAGTGGGATTTATTAGAGTGGGTCTTATCGTTACCGACAAGGTTCTCCGCGAGTTTGGGAGCTAGTACTTCTCGATGAGTACCTGCAGCTAAATGGGATTACTCACTCGCCTAAACTCCCACGCTGATGCATAGCTCTTTGCGAGAAATAGTTGATTTTACTCATTGGTCCGGAGGCGAGCGAAGGAGGATATTGCACTCAGCATTCATCGTACTTCATCTTCCGATCCCTCAGTCACCATCGCTCTTTCTCACAATCCGTCCTGCTCTCCCCTCTTCAATCCCGCTCCAAAAAGAAAATGACACCTCCAAACCTCAAGCACCACCTCTCCACCCTCTCCCCAGCTCCAATCCCCTCCCCAGACCCCATCCTCCAAGTCCGCACAGGCAAGATTGGAACTCTCGGACCGCAAAAGCTACCCTCAGCCATCTACAAGCAAATGCAAAAAGTGCCCATCTACGTCACGGAACAAGGCCTCACCGGCGACCAACACTACTATCCCGCACACAAGGAATCGCACCGCGCCGTCCATCAATACGCCTCGAAGAACTATCTCACTTGGCAGAAGGAGAAACCCGACCTGGCGCATTTGTTCCAGAATGGAGGGTTTGGCGAGAACCTTGTGGCGACGGATTTGATCGAGGAGAGTGTGTGTATCGGCGACATTTGGTGCGTTGGGGATAGGGAGACGGGTCTATTGATGGAAGTCAGCGAACCTCGGAATCCCTGCTACAAACTCAACGCACGCTTCCAATGGTCTCGCGCGCTGCCCCGAATCCAGAAAACTGGGCGGGTGGGTTGGAATTTCCGGGTCTTGAGGCCCGGATATGTGTCGACGGGAGATGAGATGTGGCTGGTCGAACGGCCGAATCCTTGCTGGTCGATTATGAATGTCGTGAGGGTGCTGCATGGCAAGTCGGTTGAGCCGGCGTTGTATGAGGAGTGCACTGAGCTCAGAGCGCTTTCGCCGTACTTCCACGATCTTGCGCTGAAGAGGCTCGCGGCTGCGACGAGGACGTACACACTTGTGGAGGCGGCGTATGTGACGTCGAGGGTCAGGCAGCTGACGTTTGAGGTGAAGAATGGTGACAGGATCAAGAAGCCGGAGTTTCGACCTTATGCGTATGCACAGATCTCGTTTGGACCGGAAAAGAACTTCTCGAGGTGTTACTCGATCGTGGACGGCAACCTTGAAAAGTTCACTCTGGGTGTTGCGCTTGACGGACAGTCCAGAGGTGGCTCGAGATATCTCCACGAGAAGTTGCAGATTGGAGATGAAATAAAGATGGGCCCTGGTCTGGACCCCGAGGCGACGGAGCATGAAGACCGATGTATGAGTGACCAGAACATCGAGAACCGAATCGTCCTCATCGGCGGCATCGGCGTGACAGCATTTTTGCCCGCAATTCGCAACTGGGAGAACCAAGGCGTGAGATACGAGATCCACTTCGCCGTCCGCAGCATGGACGAGGCAGCGTACAAAGACGTCCTGCCTCAAGCCAAGACAACCTTCTACGCCAAATGGAGCGGCGACAGACTCAACCTCGCCGCCATCATCCCAAGACCGGCCGCAGATGGTAAACACACCACCAGAATCTTCTGCTGCGGCCCCTCGAAAATGATGGCCGAATGCCAGGCCCTCACGACCAAATTCGCCTACCCGCCTCACCTCCTCCACTTCGAAAGCTTCGGCACTGTTCCAACCGCGGGCTCCATCCTCGGCGACCCCTTCGAGGTCGAAGTCCACGACACCGAATCCGAGCGGAAAGTCCTACTGGATGTCCCAGCGGACAGGTCGCTTTTGAGGGTTTTGAATGATGCGGGGTTTGACGTTATGTCGAGCTGCCAGTCGGGCGGGTGTGGGATGTGTAAGGTTGCGGTTTGTGGGGGTGAGGCGGTCTATAATAGTTCGGTGAATGCGCATGAGCGGCCGGATGTGATGATGACTTGTGTGGATCGGGCGAAAGGGGGTAGGGTGGCGATTGAGATTGATTGATGGTGGGGTTTCGATGGAAATGGTAGCTATGTTCAGCGTTTCATCTCCATGGCAGGAGAGTTCGATTCCGATTCGATGGATGTGTCGATGGTCGTCTTGTACTTATTCATAATGTATCGTTCCACGCTACTCGCTCTGTGGAGCATGCGATGTAGCCGTCATGTTCATCGTGGAGGTTCGTCTAATCGTCAATTCATGTCTCATCTTCCTCCCGCCGTATAGCAGCCTCTATGCGATCCGTCATCTCCGTCCCACCTCCCCCCTTCTCCTCGCTCTCCTTCGCACTCATCTGCGCCCCCAGCTCCGCCAAAAACTCATCCGCCTTCCTCTTCGCACTCTTCCTCCAAATCTCATCTCTCCTCGCCTCAATCTGCGCCTTCCGCTCACTCATCTTGCTTTCCCTCTCCTTTCTCCTCTTCTCAGTCTCTGCGCGGTCCCTCTCCAGATTCTCCATCTGCTGCTTCCGCTCCCCGGTATCGCCAGAGAACTGAAAGAAGCCCGTGCCTTTCGTGCGGACTTCCTTGTGGCTGTCGAAATGCTCTTCGGGTGGCGGTGTTAGGCTCTTATCTCGTTTCTTGGCGAGTTCTTCCATTTGCGCGGCCCGTGGCTCGTCGGGATCGAATGCCTCGTGCTGGATCGTATCCCCGTAGATCACATTCGCAGGCGCAGCAGGTCGCGCCGTGTAGGGATCTCCCTCCTCTCGCAACGACTGCTGCTGTTTCGCCCGCAGAATATCCAGCCGTGTACCCGTTCTCGTCCGCCCAAACTCATCCACATACTCAATCTGCTCGGCCTCTCCATCCTCATTATCGTCATCCTCATCCGAGTCGTCCTCTTTCCCCTCCGCCCTCCTCTCCGCCCACTTCGCGTCAAAATCCACCGCATACCGCTCATCCGCGTCTTCAACGTCCCCCCTCTTCATCGCAGCATACAACCTCGCCTTCTCCTCCATCTTCCGCTTACTCCTCTCCCACAATCCTCTATCCAGCGCCTCGCCATTCGTGGTGTGTTTCTGCTCGAACGTGCCTGCATCGTCGGGTTCGAGGTCGCGTTTAGCGCGCTTGGCGGTGTTACGGTTATGCGTAGCGAATATATCCTCTTTTCGAGATTTCGAGCGGCTGGATGGGGGCTTAGAGGAGGTGCTGGTTGTGTTGGAGGAGTTGATCAGGGAGCTTAATTGTGAGGTGAAAGACAGAGTTGTTGAGGATGAGATTTCTTTGCCGCCGGCGAGGTTTCGTTGTCGTTTGCCGCCGTAGAGGTGCGAGTCCTTCTCTGACATTGTGGAGACGGTCAAGGTTTTGTGATGTGCAGTTGTTGTGTCAGGTTGGAGAAGTGTTGTCGGAAGGTGAGGTTGGAAGGGCTAATCAAATTGCAATTAAATGAATAGCGGGCATTTGATTCAGGGCGTCTTGATGTGTCACATGCACATAGCGATCGTCTGTTTGTTCGCTGTCGGAAGCTGGGTCATACGAATAGGCTTGTATTCTGTCGGAGATTCTTATCTTTATAGTGAGGAACTATTTCTAGATTTATGGTGGGCGACAGCTTCAGCCACCTCAATACTCTTCTGTTGTACCAAATCTTAGAAACGGATCTATGTTCTCCTCAAAGGGCGTTGAAAGCAAAGACCCAGCGGCTACTGTCGAGGCCGGCACTGCCTTTGCTGTGATGTCAGAGGAAGGGAGGTTTGTGCCCCCTACGGCACATATGTTGGCCTCATACGCTGTGGACGAATTCACTCCGTCAGGCCTAAGTGATGTTGACCCACGGCCTTGTGATATCTGCCAAGGCTGCGCGACCACCGGACTTGCTGGCACCATTGTCGAGACGTCCATTTCCATAGGTGCACTTGATCTTCGTTCTGGTCGTTCCAACACCCGCTTCATCTCCAGGAATCGAACGACGAAGGTCTCGATCCGTTTCCATTCATCTACACCCATTTGATAGATGCTCCTCACAAGTTCGGCTTTGAAGAAACTCTTCATGTGTTGAGCATTGGTCGTCACCGCTGCAGATAGTAGGACGAGCAGTCGAAGATATGGTATTGACGCCCAGGTGCTGTTCTTGACCCGTTGGATGGCGTCAAACACGTGTTCCACGAGCTTCTGGTTCTTTGCATGCCGATGTGGTGCTTTGTTGACGATCACGTTGAACAGGGTTGACAATGTGAAGTAGCAGCATCGTCCCAGGTGGATCGAGTCCGGATTCAGTTGATCCTCCATACATGCATGTTGACCGAAGGCCACTAGGCCCGCTCTGAACGTCTCTGTAGCCTCCGAATCGGTCGTGGGATGTGAAGACGAATTGTTTGAATCGGCTTGTAGGCAGGATGATGCATTTTGTAGTATCATAGGCAACCCTTCTAGCTGCTCGGCGTGCAAGACCTGGTTGGATTGCTGCAAGGCTTCTTGCTCGGCGACGAGAATCGGTATTAGCTTCGCGAAAGCGTCGAAGTCGGATGGCGATTCAGACGACGACGTATTGGTGGCCTTAAGTGTTTGAGAGTTTATCAGGATTGGTTCGCTGTCGAATAGGACCGCATAGAGTAAGTCCAGCGTTTTGATCATCATCGGAACCCCTTGAAGCTGAAGTTTATCGAGACCTCCTTTTAGTGCAATTACACTCTGAAGGCCTTGCAAGTGTGTCAGGGCTTCTGTACTGCCTTTCGACATCTGAGAAAGGGTCAGCACATGCCATGATGCAGAGCTATTTGCTGTCCTTACTTCGAACGACAGTAAACATGCCAGCGCGCCAACAGTCTCATCAGTAGTTGCTAAGTCAGGCGACTGCATACGTCTGCTAATATGACGAAGTACATTTGCTTTGTATACCTCGTAGTTGCCAGGCGGTCTATTGGGCTGGACCGCGTCAAGGTGACCAACCGAAGCCAGACAGCACGCTGCTAGGAGCATCGGACACTGACTCTGGTCCCAAGCCTGACCAAGCATTTTGCCCGCAGTCTGTGAGTTTCGTTAGTCGTTGACTAAGAGTGTATCGGCTGGCATTGACCAACCTTCGTTTCGACACCAGGAAGAAGCCAATGGAGATCTGTTGTCGTGTTAGTTACTGTTTCATGGATACCAAGAGCCTCATGAGACTGACGCACAAGACCGGCAGAATCCGAGCATCTGCCCTATCTGAGCGGTCGATCCGAAGAAGTCGTCTGAGTCGTTGAGCCATGTTGCTTGCTCTTGGGTGACGTTAGAGGGCGACGGCTCTCCTGTCATTGCAGGCTGCCAGTACGCAGACAACGAATCCATCTGCGTCGATTTAGGGTCGAGCTGCCAATTCTCCATGGCGTCGACAGCGCTCATGTCGAATTGAGTCGTCGACGATGGCTGCGATATGTGCATGGCTTGGAAAGAGCTCTCGCCATCCTTTTGCGAGACGAACGGCATGGGTCGAGGGCTGGCGGCGCTTCTCGAGGAATGTCTTCGAGATGATGACGCTTCTGTCGACATCGAGCTTGTTGATGTTGCACGCTCCCGTCCTGGCCATGCTGGACTGACGCTTCGACTGTGTGGCACAGAGAGTCGTTTGCCATGAGGCTTGGCACCCGGCTTACCAGCCTCGCGCTCTTCTCTCTGGCGTCTTCGAAAGTCTAAGGCAAGATTAGTGAACCAGAAAGAAGAACTTCCAAGCACCATGCTCACCTCGCATTGCTTGCGAGCGGACTTTTCTCCGCGTCTGGAGATCCTTTCCTCCAGACGAACCGCTGACATGCACGAATTCAAGCATATTGCCGCTTGGCGAAAGCGAAATGTATCCGCGAAACAAACTCGTCACTAGTGGGCTGCCTGATGAGGTCGTATTCCAGACTAGCTGACAGCAAAGACGGTATTGTATGTCGTGATACGAAGGCTTCGTTCCAAGTCAGGCTCCGTGTAACTCGTCCTGGAGGTTGTTATAGGCCTTGATATCTCGGTCTGGAAGTCGTCGAGGGAGTCTCCCAGCTTTGAATGGATGACGCTGCGCCATCGCCATCGTAGTAACGTGCGAGCGCTCGCCAGGGCGATGCAGAGTCGAAGGGCATTTCCCACGGATTGCCAGTTACAGAGCCAGCTCTAAACTCAAACTCAGCTGTAGTATGCTGCCTGCCAACAACAATTGAGCGGTACCCAAATGGAGTATGGATCGGAGGCGCAACTACAGCGCACTTGAAAGAGGAGTTGCGCTCGGCCAATCGCTGGGGTGCGCATCGGGCACTGCGGCCGACTCGAATAATACCATCTCGGCTAAGTTCTATGCCTCAGAGGGCGCCACTGCCGCCGAGTTTCACCGTCTCACCCCCGGCCATCCTTCGTGGCCCCAAAGCGACGGGCGGAGCGCGGGCGTGAGGCTGGTGACGGGGAAGCGAATAATGTTGCATGCGCGGAGAGTCAGCGAGGAGTTGTGAGCATACGGCACGGAGTTAGAGAGACGTCCGGCTGGGATCAGGCTAGGCTTGAACGGGTTCGCGCTCCCGCTGATTGGAACCCTACAGGCGTGGTGGGTCTTGCACTTCAGTCGCAGACTGCACGTCGACCTGCTCCCCCATCGCAACCACTTCACTCCATCGACAACGATCGCGCCGCTCACAGCCGTGTTGCGTTATTCATCAAGACACAACACCATCCCGCCGATCTCTAGGGCAGTCATGGCGGCTCGATCGGCTCTGGAGGAGACCGAATTGGCCGAGATCCATCGATTTGCGGTGCAGCTGGCCAAAGACGCGGGTCAAATGCTACTTGCTGCCGTCGAGCTGCGCGCCGGGAAGACTGTTCGAGAAGGCCATGTCGAGAAGGAATCCGCCGTCGATCTCGTAACACAAACGGACGAAGGTCAGTCTCCTCTACTCGTTGGCCTTGAAGGACTCCAGGCCACACTTTCTAGGGTCTTTTCCAAGCCCTTTGCGGTCTTGTCAAAGCCCTAAGGGATATGCTTGATGTTCCTGGCGCGCAAAGCTTCTCGAACATTACCTGCTTGAGGATGGCTTCGCTAGGAGAGTTCATCAAGTCGAACTCTACGCAATATTTGGCTTGTCTACGTCCGAGCGCTACAACAACAGAGAACTGATTCGATACTGGAAGTAAAGATGTCGAGGCCTTCATTCGCTCAAGCATTCAGGCAAAGTATCCTTCTCACGCGTACGTCACATTCTGCAAGATTCGTGCGGAAGCCCAGGGCGATAGAATCGCTGCTGTCATGACATATCGGCCGATGGACTTGCTGACTTCAATTTGCCTTCAGATTCTGTGGCGAAGAGTCGTACAGTAAAGGGGGATCAAAAATGTACCTAATCCCACCAACAGGGCCGGCCTGGTGTGTCGATCCACTAGACGGTGAGTGCTGATGTATCTGTGTTGGATTCGTGCGGCCTTGCTCATCAACGCACACGCAGGTACCGTAAACTTTATCCACTTGTGCCCCTTCTACTGTGTTTCCATTGCATTCACATGGAATGGAGAACCAATGATCGGAGCCATCAATGCGCCATTCCTCCGGCAACTGTACGTGCCCTAAGCCGGAACGTCTGGGGATGACTACTGACTAACCGTTCTGACATTAGTTTTACTGCATGCCGTGGGCAAGGTGCATGGCTGAATGAAACTATCTCGTTGCCTCTTGACCGGTCGCCAATACCGCCGTTACCGGAGAGTGCACCTAAAGGTTGCATCTTCTCCTGCGAATGGGGTAAGGACAGACGAGACGTGCCTAATGGCAACCTTCACCGGAAAGTGAACAGTTTTATGAACATGGCAGCTGAATTGGGAGGTCGAGACGGTAAGGGCGGCCACGTGCATGGTGTGCGCAGTCTCGGCAGCGCCACGCTTGATCTTGCATACTGTGCGATGGGCAGTTTCGACATCTGGTGGGAGGGAGGATGCTGGTGCGCTCCCACAGCCCTATTTTATATGATCCTTCTGACATGTGGCTGTTTAGGGAATGGGACGTTGCAGCCGGCATTTGCCTTTTGAAGGAAGCAGGAGGCTTGGTGACATCTGCTAACCCTCCAAACGACCCAAGCACTGCTCCTGTATTAGACGCACATCTCGGCAGTCGACTGTATCTTGCTCTCCGTCCAGCTGGAGACTCGGCAACTGAGACCGGACGGCAGACGCAGGAACGTACCGTCAGAGAGGTCTGGCGAAGGGTCCAACAACTGGACTACAACAGACCCGGCGTACAGTAAAAGAGCAACGTCTGCATTAAGCAAACGGGGAGCTGACTAGATGAGCTTGTTACTACAGAAGGATCAGTATTGGCGTTGTTTAATCAGCTAAGAATACAACGACAACTTGTCTATACGAGGACGCCCGCGACGAAATGGCTCTCTTCCCGGCCCGAGGCATACCGAGGGCGTGCCGATATTGCAGTACCACGGTGATCTCAGCCTGACTTGGTATATCGATGCCAAGACGATAAAGGTGTTGGTGTAACCTCGTGGCTCCACGCGGAAGTACAGCGCTACAACTACTACATCAAACAGCAACGCGTCCAACACACGGCATTTCCTGAACAGTTGCCTACAACCGTGCTTTTGCCAACTCCTTCGCGATCACTTCCTTCACCTCCTTAACGGGGAGCTGATCAAGCGTCCGGCCATGCCAGTAAGTATGTTGTTGCAGACCTTGATAGATCATTGCCTCGGTTCCAATAATGACCTGCCAGCCAGCTTTCTCCGCGATGCCACCGAGTTCTGTCCATGGAGAGGGATGGTAGCACATCTCCAACATCGCTCCTTTGTGAGGCTTGTTGAGGAACACCTCTGCCACTCTTCTCGCCTCCTTCTCTGCGTCGGTAGAAGGGGGGAAGTTAGGCACGCAGGCGACGATGGCCCCTGGACCCTCAAGCCCTTCCGCCTGAGTAGCGTTGGTCACATGCACCAGACCATCGCCATACCCTTGTGACTTGCACCAGCTTATCACGGCGTCGACTTCACCCGCATCTCGATTGACGAGATAGACAGTCCGGCACTTCATGAACTGGACTAACGCATACACAGCCGACCGTGCAGCGCCGCCGCCGCCTATGACCATACCAGGCCGGCCGTGAAAGAGTTTATCAGGCTCAGCGATGTTCTGGTAGAAGCTCTCCCGGACTCCTATCGTGTCCGTGTTGGTTCCGATGAACTTGTCGCCTCGCCGGAAGATTGTATTCACCGCACCTACGGCACGTCCTTCATCCGTGAGGTCATCCAGGTGCGGAATTATGGCCACTTTGAATGGCATCGTCACTGCGGAGCCTGGTGAGGGACGTTAGCTTAGATTGTTCCGAAGAATGGACCGATCTCGAGCTCACCGTAAAGCCTTGGGTCTTTGATCAGTCTGAGGAATTGGTCGATGTCTGTCGATTCCAGCAAAGAGAAACCCAATGGTAGGCCTAGTTGCTCGAAGACTGTGTTGTGTAAGAACGGCGAGTAAGAGTGGGCGATTGGATATCCGAACAGGTAGCCGTGGCGTTCGAAATGATCGACTGCTGGTGCCGGACAGGTGACGATTTCTTGCTGTTGCGTTTCCATGTTGGCCGAAAATACGTCTTGTTGGGCCTTGATTGGACTTGAGTCTAGGCTTCGCAGTCCTTTGGATGAAAAAGATGCTCTCGAAAAAGAGGACTCAGCGAGGAAACTTGATCAAAGGTGTAAGTACGGTACGTTTCCGAATTCACCCAATCGTCACGCAGCTTTCAGTCAGCCTGATTGAATGTTTCGTACGTTTCCTCCACTGCCTCCGCCTCGTGGCGACACCCATGGGGAAAGAAAGTTCATCTCAAAGCTCGGACCGGGAGTGCCTTTATCCACCATGTGACGGCCATGCGCAATCGGCGACTGGCGGCTCGGCGGCACGTTCGTGTGGAGACAAACGTGGAGTCGGCGCAGATCACCTCCATCTCGCTCCCAAGCTGGGCTTTTCTCGCCACGGCAAAGTCGAGTCTGGGCGGTGGACTTGCTGGCGTAGCGCGAGAATTCTCTTCCCGCATGGCGGAGGCCAGATTACGACGATGACCATGGCGACGCTTTTCATTCACCCATCCTGTTCATACGTCTTCCCCGTGGGGCTCATTGTGTGAGGTGGTAATAAGCCATATCTTTCCCCGGGGTTTTCACAGGACATTGTCTTTTCTGCTCAGGTCAAAAGTCTGTTTAGGTTGACAGCTTCTGTAAGGAGTCTATTCGAGTCATCCTCCTTGCTTCCTTCGACTACGACACGACAATCACGCCCAACTATCCACCATGGGAGGCTTCCTCACCCTAGTCGAGGACCGACCGACGCCCAAGAACGTCTACAACTGGAGAGTCTACGCATCTGCAGCGATTGCCAGTTTCGCCTCATGCATGATCGGTTACGACTCTGCCTTCATCGGCACGACATTGGCATTGCCGGCGTTTATGGACGAGTTCAAGTTCGGCGAGATGAGCGATTCGCATCTCGCTCTCGTCAAGTCCAACATCGTTTCCATCTACCAAGCGGGCGCCTTCTTTGGCTCGTTCTTTGCATACCGTGAGTAGCACAGCGCCATTTTGACCATGAGACGTCACTAACAAGACGATCTTTAGCCTCTGCATTCTATCTCGGCCGCAAGCTGAGTCTCATCATCTTCTCCCTCGTCTTCATACTCGGCGCTGGCCTGATGTTGGGTGCCAACGGCGACCGTGGCCTTGGCCTTATATACGCCGGACGAGTCCTTGCTGGTATTGGAGTCGGTGCGGCCTCCATGATCACGCCAATCTACATCAGTGAGATTGCACCTCCTGCAATCCGTGGCCGCATTGTCGGCATATACGAGCTTGGGTGGCAGATCGGAGGCCTCGTTGGATTCTGGATCAATTACGGCCTCTCTGAGACCATGGCACCGAGCCACAAGCAATGGATCATTCCCTTCGCGGTCCAACTCATCCCAGCTGGACTGCTTCTCACTGGAGCCTTCTGGATCAGGGAGAGCCCACGCTGGTTGTTGAGCAAGCATCGCCGCGAGCAGGCGTTGAACAACCTGTGCTGGATGCGAAACCTAGGAGCTGAAGAGCTTTACATGGTAGAAGAGGTGGCAATGCTGGACGCTGCTATGGAGGAGCAGGCCGCGACCATCGGTGAGGGCTTCTGGAAGCCTTTCAAGGCTGTCGGCCGCAGCCGCAAGGTACAATGGCGATTCATCCTTGGTGGCCTGCTCTTCATGTGGCAGAACGGATCCGGAATCAACGCCATCAATTACTACTCTCCAACCGTATTTGAAGGTGAGCGATACATCTAGTATCGATCTCAAACGATTACTAACAAGTTTCGCAGCCATTGGTGTCTCCGGGACCAACACTGGCTTCCTCACCACTGGTATCTTTGGCGTCATCAAGACTGTCCTGACCTTTGTGTGGATGTTCTTCCTCATTGACAACCTCGGAAGAAGGAACCTGCTCATCATTGGTGCTGCTGGCGGTTCCATCTGCATGTGGATTATCGGTGGCTACATTTCCACTAGGGATGTGTCTCAGACCTCCGGCAGCTTGAGCAGCGGTGGCATTGCTGCCATATTCTTCTTCGTAAGCAACCATCATGTTTGCAAAGCGATGTAAATTCTGACTGTTCGATAGTACCTGTGGACAGCCTTCTACACGCCATCGTGGAACGGTACCCCTTGGGTCATCAACTCCGAAATGTTCGACATGAACACTCGTGGCCTGGGTCAAGCCTCTGCAGCAGGTAAGCATACCTTGAATGACCTCCACATACTTTACGGAAGCTAACAGTGGACCAGCCAACAACTGGTTCTGGAACTTCATCATCTCTCGCTTCACTCCCCAAATGTTCGACACGATGGGCAACAGCGGTTGCGGTGTCTTTTTCTTCTTCGCCTCCATGATGATTGCCAGTATCGTCTTCGTCTGGTTCCTTTTGCCAGAGACCAAGTCCATCCCACTCGAGGATATGGACCGCCTGTTCGAGACCAAGCCTGTGCGAAAGGCGAACAAGATCATTATCGACCAGGATCGTGAAAGGGATGCTGAGTTCCGTCACGATGCCGAAGGTGCGGGTTTGAGTGTTGCAAAGGAGAAGATGGACCATGTTGAGAAGACTATGGAGAGGGACAGTGATATTTGATTGTCTCTAGAGTATGGGATTGAATGGTAACGATCGCTAGCTTGTATGGCTATGAGGATACGGTGTACAAAGGCCAGATAGGCGATGGAGCTCTGCTCTCGCAGTACGACTTGTATGAATCGAAACGTCAAATCTATGGACTGCATTCTTATTCATCATTCTATATCAACCGCCTGCCCCGTCTCCATAGCCTTCTTGACAGCATCACAAACAACCAACGCCCTCAACCCATCCGCCCCCGTGCATCTCGGCTCCTGCGTTCCCCTAATAACGCCCACCAAATTCTTCACCTGCTCATCAAACGGCACCTCGTTCCCAACCTCCACATCCTCCACGCTCAACAACCTCTCCCAAGTCCTTTGCCCCCCCTCTCTATATCTCTGAAGTTTCATATCACCCACACTTAACGTCCCCTCACTTCCAAAGATCCTGTAGAAATCCTCGCCAGAATGTGGCAGCTTGGGATTCTCACCAGTGCCGCTCTCGAAGAAGTGATTAGAAGGCGTGGCGTCTGAGAGGATGAAGGTCCCTACGGCGCCGGAGGCGAAGCGCAGGAGGATCGCGGCGCCTTCTTCTGCTGGATGTCCGCGTTGAGAAAGTGTCTTCTCGGCGTGCACGCGGGAGATGGGACCGAGGAGATATTGCAGGATGTCGACCTCGTGGATGAGGTTTATAAGGATGGGGCCGCCGCTGGAGGCCTCTGCACGCCATGCTGTTGGGGGTGCGAAGTAGGAACCTGGCTTGTAGGTTGCCCAGAGGCCTGAGACTGCTATGGGACGACCAACTGCCCCCTCAAGCAGTGCGTTCTTGGTAGCTGTGACATATGGATTGAAGCGTCGATGATGACCAACGAGCAAATGCCTTCCTGCCTCTTCGGCAGCAGTGATGAGTTGCTTTCCAGAAGCAATGTCTATGGATATAGGCTTCTCTACAAGCACATGAATGCCTTCCTTGAAGAGCTCTAAACTCACAGCGACGTGTGTGCTGTTGGGAGTACACACAATCGCAGCATCTGGACGGTGACCCTCTGCTACCATCTGCTTAATGCTCTCGAAAAGGGGCACGCCGAAGGCCTCAGCTACCTCCTTCGCTTCAAGCCGAGGGTCCACGACGCAGAGCAGCCTCGCGTCCGGGTTTGACTGCACGCTTTGGGCGTGTCTTGGCCCAATGAGGCCTGTGCCAATTACGGCGATAGTGAGGATGTCGGCTGGCATTTTCGTCGCTTGCAGCAGGAGGGAGATGTCAACGATAACGCAGAGTGGAGTCCGTCGAGGTCACTGCTCTCGCTCACTCTCGCATTGTTCTCGCTTCGTGAGTGTCCATCCTTCGTTTGTGGATAAGTCTTGACTCGGGGGTGTTTATTCTTTCATCCTTTTCAGATCCATTGGAAGAGGTGTCTTTCAGGCCACCACACAGTTAGGTGAATGACCCGCTTGTCTTCTTGTGGCGCTAATCCTAGACCGTCCTGCTGTTGAAGATGTTCTTTTCTTGATCTACTCTAGACTCATGCACACCGTATCTCTCAAGTCGCACCGAAGCAAGGCCATACAGCTCGTGCAGTCGCCCCTGACACAAAATCTAAACATAGACGGTCGCCAAAACGTCCCATGTCTTTCTCGCCTGTCTCTCACGCGTGGAAGAACTCTTTCCAGCCTCGCCAACGCTTTTCCCAGGCCGCGCTTGCATTCATCCTGCAGACTAAACACAGCTCCGGACTTCCTCACGAGAACGTGGCTCACCATGATAAAGTCCTTCCAGACGGTGTGGGTCCCATTCAGGCAGGAGCGATAGGGAAAGAGAAAGGCCTGTGTTTGGTGTTGCACTTTACGCGACGTCGTATCACATGGGTTGATCCGAGAACGATTACTGTACGACCTCACGCAATACCTATCTCGTGCCTTGCTACTTCAAAAGGTAACTTGCAGCTTTTTTGTTCCTCTCCTTGAGAATCGCCCTTTCCAAACTCTCTATCTCTCCTCGTCGACAACATGCCTTGCCGTCCAGCAATCTGCTCACACTCCCTCGGCCGCGCCTGGGTCCACGACCTCCCCTCCAAACTCGACCAAGCCGCTCGGCACGGCTTCGACATCGAGCTCTTCTACGAAGATTTGTTCTACGTTGCTAAAGAATTTCCCGGAGGCGCCACTCCCGAAAACCACATCAAAGCCGCCCACGAAGTCCGATCCTTATGTGACGAGCGAGGTATATCCATCATCTGCCTGCAACCTTTCATGCACTACGATGGCCTTCGAGACCGAGAGAAGCATGCGGAAAGGGTCGAAGAGATGAAGCTTTGGATCGAGCTGGCGAAGAATCTGGGGACGAGCTTGATTGCCATTCCGTCGACTTGCTTGCCTGAGGAGCTTGTGAGTGGGGACCTGGATCTCATTACTCAGGATATGGTCGAGGTTGCGGATCTTGGTGCTCCGGAAGGTATAGAATTCGCATATGAGGCGTTGTGTTGGGGAACACATGTCGATCTTTGGGAACGATGCTACGAAGTCGTGTGTCGGGTAAATCGTCCCAACTTCAAGATCTGCTTCGATACGTACAACTTCGCTGGACGAGTATACGCGGACCCGACCTCGCCTGCAGGGAAGAACCCAAACGCCGACGCCGATATGCAAGCATCATTAAAGCGGCTTGTGCAGACCGTCGATGTCAAGAAGATCGCCTTCGTCCAAGTCGTTGACGCAGAACGATTATCAAAACCCCTTTTGGAAGACCACGAGTTCTACAACCCAGAGCAATGTCCTCGAATGAGCTGGTCGAGGAATTGCCGGCTGTTCTACGGCGAAGAAGATCGAGGCGCTTATCTTCCCATCAAGGCCATTCTCAAGGCCCTCATCGTGGACCTTGGCTACGAAGGCTACCTCAGTGCAGAGCTATTTAGCCGCACACTGATTGAGCCTCAATCTTCAGTGCCTGAGCAACATGCACGACGTGCGGCTATCTCGTGGCAAAAGATCGTTGCCGACTTCGATCTCGACAAAAAAGAGGCCAACGGTCGTCCCCAACCAGCTCTCGAGCAAGCGCCACGCGCCCAATTGTGACTTGCCGACAAGGTGGAGATGGCGTTTGAATGCAGCGAGTGGCTTTGGCCGCAGCATAGAAAGATAGAAGCATAGACGGATCGATGAGCATTGTAATGGTAACGATACCCATATACCCTTTGAAAAGGAATTTTGCGTGAGCGATCCTAGAATTTTCACTGTCGTTGGCGTGATATCTTGGATGGATGCTGCACATCGTCATTGTGCGGCAGTTCTTATTCATCTCTTCCTCCATGAGGCTTATCAACCAGCGTCCTTCTCAGCCTCGTATGCTTGGGAGAAGTCTGCAAACTCGTTGGGCTGCATATAAGCCAGCAAAGGATCCGAAGGCTGATAATCGGCCCCGAAGAACTCTGCCAGGTCCAAATCAGGCCCAAATCCCAGGTTCTCCATGAAGTTTGGTTTCTGGGTCGAGTCAGTGCGATCGAGCATGGCCAACTCCTCGAAAATGTCCCCTCCTGCTCCAGCCTGACTAGTAGGTCCCGCTTGCGAATGCTGGTGTGGTTCCGGCATTCGGGCATGAGAGCTCTCACCGAGCCAAAGGGAGGGAGTGGCTGTGGAGACTGTCATTTGTGCCGGTGTACTTCCTGGTAGAGATTCTGTCGTCTCGTTTGGAATGCTCATGAATGGGTACTGAGTCTCTAAAGACATGCCCTGTAGGCCTTGTGATCCTGAAGGCTGTACATTCCAGAAATCCATTGGAGAGGAATGCGTGCGGGCGTGAGTAATAGAGGTTGCTCCGACTGTTGGTAGATTATTTAAATCGGTGTTTTGGTCCGACTGACGCCGGTTGGCCAGAAGCGCAGATGGATGCTGCCTGCTGTTGTTTGCGCTGCCATTGCGAAGTAAGTCAAAGACAACACTCAGTTCCTGAGGAGGATGGGGACTTTGGGGAGTCGCCGTGAGACTCGGCGGTCTGCGAAGAGCCATGCGAACGAGCTCGTTAAAAGTACTTATTGACCTGGCTGGTGATTTCTGTGAGCCTGATTCATTCGCTGGGTCTTGCCAAGGCGACCATTCGTCCAGTCCGTCTTCCTCAACAGGACCAACTGAAGTGATGTCTTCTGGCTTCAAATGGGCCAAGGCTCCAGTTTGTGAGGCAATAGTGCTTTCGAGTACGAACGCCGCAAGGTACGTATGCTTCACGCGATCTCCTATGAGCGAGCTTCCAGTGTTCTCTTGAGAGGTAAGATGGGCCATTAGACGGACGGCGGATCCGATTGTGAGCCAAGCAGGCAGTAGAGTGGCGTTCAACAAGTCGACGAGGCCCAAGATGAGTAGAGTCTTGACATGGCCAAGAGTTATGTTGGCCTCCTTTGGAATCAGAGATCTGGCGATGTCTCTGCATCGAGAAGCTTCCATCCTAGCCTCGCCTTCCATTCGCGCGGCCGCCCAAGTCATTATGCTCCAAAGCTCGGCGTGGTCAGACGAGACAGCTTCGTTCCTGGGTAAGCCAGGTGCAGGGTACGAGTACATGAGTTTCAAGATGTCATGCTTTTCAGTGATGGGAAGCCAAGTCTGGGTGAAGGTAAAGTAGTCTTCTAGCATGGACCATGCCTTCGTCGGTAGCTGCAACCTAGCCACACTTGATTGCGGTTGACTGAAAGAGCCTTGAGGGGGCGAGAAAGGTAGCCCAGAGCCTTGTACATCCAACAAGGCTGCATGCCCATCTGAGGGTGCTGACTGAGGTGGCGAATGGTACGGCACATTGACCTCGCCGAAATCAGTACCGTTTCCTCCATAGGCACTGTCATTGAGCTGTGCGGCACCTGAATCATCGTCGGTCTGCTGTGGGATCTCGATGGTGGCACCGGACAGAAGTTGGTCAATCTGTCTACAGACAATGCCGTTCCTCCAAACTGCGTGCAAAGCGTCTGATGCATTAGCCTCCTTGAAGGCAATAAGTTGATGGACTTCTTCGTTCGGATTCGGAAGTAGTTGAGACAGCTTCACCTCACATCCAGGGTAGGTCTGCAAAAGCCAGGCGAGTGTCAGCTCCAGGGTTCGAATGTAGTTTGGCTGAATGCCTCTCTTCTTCGGCTGCTCATGGTAAGTACAAGACCGGTTCTGGATCTCGCATGTCTGGCAAGTAGGCTGTGCTCCATCACACTTTTCTCTCCCTGCTCGGCATTGATCGCAGGCCCTGGAGACGCGAACACGCTTTGCTCGGTCTGCTTTCTTCGCTGCCGGCTCTCCGGTCTGAGATGGTCGCTTGCGGCTTGTGGTATCTGTGTCTCTCTCTGACGGCCCATCGTGGATATCCTGCAACATGGCAGCACGGCATAGTCTGCCATCAACAACGTGCTGAGAAACGAGGCCAAGTTGGCTGGTGAAGTGTGTTCACAGTGGGTCTCACCACCGTGCGGAGCGAATGGGGAGAAGTGGGGGAGGAGGAGCAGGCCGGGGCAAATGGCGGCAGCAGCAGGTCGTCATCCTCGAAGATACCACCTCGTCTCTCCTCCTATTGATTGATTTTATCGCCAGGCGAACAAGTGCCCAAGACGAATGCCGGTGCTAGCTTCTGCTCGTCACACGGACGTGTCAACACACAAGGACAAGCCTCCACAACCCAAACGGCGGCCACGATGATTCGTCCGGGAAAAGACTCTTCCGCCGGAGGTATCAATTTCCAGGCTTGTAGCAACACCACAGTCGTGTCGTCCTAGTCACCCGCTCTGCACAATGTGCCATGATTGGGAACGAATGAGGCGCTCAGCACGAGTTCGTCTGTCTTTGTGGACTCAAGATCGGAGTGATCCACTTCCGTCGGTGCAAGTCTCACTCACCTGACTTCTCACATGCTTGAGCCTGTGTACCGGGTAAGATATCCCGAGCCACTTGGCTATTGCAGCAGTTTCATGCTCGTTTGAATCTAGTCCTTGTCCATCTCCATTGCTAAAGCAATGCCGTCAATGTTGATGCATCGATAACAGCTCGAAACAAGATGGCACACGCTGACTTCCATCCAGTTCAACACAGTATGGCGACAATGCATGCAGGCGTCAAGCGGTCTTTCCAGGACATGAACAGACCTAACTCAAAGGAACCTCTTATCCACCAAGTCCCGAAGTCAAGAGAATCCAGTGCGACGCCCACACCTCCAAACGGACCTGCATCAAATGTCGGAAGGCTCGAATCGCTACCTCGGAAGATCGCGTTCAAGTCGGATGCCTCAGTTCTGCTCATCGGCGTTCGAGGTGTAGGCAAAAGCTCTCTTGGATTTCTCGCTGCTACCGCTTACTCAAGACGCATGATCGAGTCTGATAGAGCCTTTGCAGAAGCCGCCGGATCATCCAGGACTGTGTACCGAAAACTACATGGCCCAGCAGAATACCACAGGAAGCACTGCGAAGTCTTGAAGCAACTTTTGACAGCTCACGGCAGGCATGCTGTGATCATTTGCAGTTTCGCCGACCTCGAAAGCGACGGTGCCAAGCTGCTCCAAGAGTTCGCTCAATCCCATCCTGTCATATACGTGACGAGGGACGTACCTGGAATTTCAACTTACATCCGCGTCTGGACGGAAGAGAGGATTCAGGACTTGATTCGTGCAAGCGAGGCTTTGTTGCGAGAATGCTCGAATTATGAATTCTTCAATGTCAGCGAATTGCTTGACAAGGATGCCTCGCACGATGGCAAAACTCCATACAGCAGGACTGTGAACGGGCCGTTCCTTACTCTGAAGCGTGCGGAACATGATTTCCTCAAGCTGTTGCGAAATATCATTGGAGACCACGACAGAGGCAGATCACATCAATCCGCCTATCCACTATCGCAAATCAGCGTCGACAAGCTGGAGTTCACCTCTGCCGTGACATTATCCGCAGAGGACGTCGTTGCCCATAGATTGAACCTGGACGATGCGCAAATCGGCGTAGATGCAGTGCAACTCGATGTTAGCACGAGCCCGCGAAACAGCGATACTTGGAAACTTGGGAAACACAGCTGCTTCAACCTGGTGAGCGAGGCTTTCGCGAATTTGAGACGTTCGACAATCTTGCCCATTACCATCGTAGTGGCGAAAGAGGAGGATTCCAAGAAGTCCAAGCAAGTGAGCAGGTCTCAATTGCTCGAGTACTGTCTTCGTCTGGCACCGGAGTACTGCGCGCTGGATCTTACCTTGGAAGATATCCAGCTGAAGTACCTTCTTGCGACCAAGGGAAGGACCAAGATCATTGGCGAGTTTCTGGCTTCTCAACGCCTTCATGATGGTTGGCAGAGCCAGCAGTGCTTGGACATCTATCGAAAGGCCCAATCTCTCGGGTGTGATTTGGTGAAGATTACAATGCCTGACGGAACGCTCGCAGACAACTTCGCCATCCAAGCATTCCAGCAGCGTGTGCAGAGTCTACATGCAGGTCATGGCACACGTCTGATAGCGTACTGCACGGGCAGGCAAGGACGAACATCAATGTGCTTCAACAATATCTTAACGCCAGTCGCTGCACCAAACAGGCCGATCGACATTACCATTGAAAGGCCCAGAGTCGACGCACTACCCCTTGTCACTGCGAAAGAACGGAACGAAGCATTGTTCGCAAGCTTTGTACACGAGCCGATGCGATTCTTCATCTACGGTGCTAATGTGAGCTTCTCGCTCTCGCCAGCGATGCACAATGCAGCGTACGACGCTTGCGGCATGCCACACTCGTACAGAACGCACTCCGCATCAACGCTCGAAGATTTCGTTGCTCTTGTGAGGGAGCACGACTTTGGCGGTGCAGCCATTGTGCAGCCGTTCAAGACGAAGACGCTCACGATGATGGATCTGCTCAGTCCTCAAGCCAAAGCGATCGGGGCCTTGAATACAGTCATTCCCCTCAGGAACGACTCCGTTATCGAGTCTGTTTCCAGCGAGGTTGGTATCTTTCGTGAACGCAACCGAAGTGGCCCGGTCAAAGCTCTTTATGGCGACAACACAGATTGGATTGGCATACGAGCTTGCATTCGGCGTGGCCTCTCTCCCGCAAATACCGTTCGCCCGTCAAGTACTGGTCTTGTTTGCGGCGCTGGTGGCATGGCTCGCGCTGCTATATATGCCATGATCTCGCTCGGCGTACAGAACATCTTTGTCTGCAATCGCACGAAAGGCAATGCAGAAGAACTGGCTGAGCACTACAACCGCCTGATTCGCACGAACGAGATTGCAGAACTCAGCCCATCAAGCGCTGCGACCACTGCAGTCATTCCTTTGGCATCGTTCGAAAGCGAATGGCCACCAAACATGCGCCATCCAACCATGATCGTGAGCTGCATCCCAACCCAAACAGCTGATGGCACACCGACCAACTTCACATTGCCCAAAGACTGGCTTGGCAGTCGTACAGGTGGCGTCGTCGTAGAGCTGGCGTACATGCCGATTGTGACGCCTCTGGTCCGACAAATTCAGAGCGAAGGCCGTAAAGGCTGGATCTTGATGGACGGTCTCGACATGCTTCCCGAGCAAGCGTTCGCTCAGTTCGAGCTGTTCACTGGCCGACGAGCTCCGAGGGTGCTGATGAGGGATGAGGTTTTCCGTCATTATAGCGAGGAGGAGGGATACCCGCCGCATGGCGCTTTGAATACGGATTCTCCAACGCATTCGTGATGACTGCGTGATATGAGGAATTGCAAATCTCGCTGCGAGGCTACGAGTCATCAATATGCATGGCTCTGCTTTCGACTCCATCCGGGCCTACGATCCATTGGCCACTTTCCACCAAGTCACTGAATCTTTCCAGGATCTTGTGCAGTTCGTTCGCTCTTGGGAGCTCGTGCAATTCATCCGGTTTCTCATCTGGCCTGCCAAGGAGGCCCTGAATAGGACCTACCATTCGGACCACGTTCTCGTACGGAAATGCCTTGTCGGCATCGCAATCTCCAAGGCACAGTCCCGCAGGAACTTCGTCTCTGACTTCCAGCCGGCGCTCTTCATCTGGCAGATCGTCATTCTTGAGCAGCAGGATGGGTGGTGTTGAGCACGCCTGGCCAAGTGTCACATCCTGGAAGGGCTGATGCACGAATTCCTCTGCGGTCAAGAGTCTCAGCCCGGGAGCTATCTTCGAGAATCCTGGTTTTGCAGCTCGACTGAGGAAGGAGAAGGCGAAGCTGTCTCGTCGCAGACCCGCTCGTCCCGGAGTCTTCACCGAATACACACTTTCTCGACAACACTTTTTGACAAAGCTCTGCTTTGGCATCCGGGCTTCAATCACTTCGATCAGACGGTCCCATGCCACAACCGCCATCTCAACATCCTTGGAGGTGAAGGGGACCATCACCCAAGGATCAGATGTCTTCTCCGTCCTCCTGGCGCCAGTCCTAGGATCTCGAAGTTCCTGCTCTGGAATCGCTTTCATGGCGTAGCCTCCTGCTGGACTTCGAACATACTCGAATGGCTCTGGTCCTTTCACGCTTTTTGGAAGAGCCACCACTTTGTCCGCCTCGATCATGTCACAATATTCGGTTAGGATCGTTTCCAGGGGCTTCCAGGAGAGCTGGCGCTCTTCGAAGCTCAAGGCTGGAGTATCGTCCACATCTTTTATCAGAGCGCATTCATGCCGAACTTGATCGTACACCACACCACCCGCCAGCCTGCCCTCTGTCGCCACTGCGTCTTGCAGACTATACAGCGTAACATACCGATCACCCTCAGTTTCTTCATGGTTCGCAAAGAGCTCCAACGGAGCACTAAGACCCACGAGATGGTAGAAGAAGACCGGTGGCTGGAACGTGCCAGGATAGAAATCTGGCAATTCGAGCGCCTGCTGAAGAAATGCTAGAACGCTTGGATGCAACCTCTCGCGAAGACTCTCGAGTTGGTACGGGGTCAGAGTCGGCGCCCATCGTTCCCAATATGTCCTTTGCGGCAACTCGGATAGATGGTGACCTCGGGCAACCCAGCCATGGCGGACGATGGCGTTGTGCAAGGCGCTGGAGCGTTCGAAGTCCAGTCCATCTTTTGGAGCCGTCGAAAGTGAATATTGTCCTGTGTCATGGTCATGAGCCAGACCGTCATAGTGCTTCATGCAGCCGGTGGAAGGAGGAGGATTCGAGGCAGAAGCTCGAAAACGCTTGATCTCTGCGGTTAATTGCGCAGTCATTTTTCGCGAGAAACGCAGGCGGAAAAGAGTAGAGTACAAATAGAAACGAGAAAAATGGCAACTTACATAGCACACACCAAATGACCGCCAAGCTCTAAGTAATCTCGTCAGAATCGCCTTGGAAGTCCCCCTCCTCTCACCTACCTAGCAAAACCAAGCGAAGGTGGGAAAGGCATGGAAGCACATTACGGCAATGCTAATAATGGCGGCGGTGGTTGTAGCAAGGAGCAGGGATCTCACGGGAAAACAACCACGAAACGGTTTCGGCAAGTCTTCATTCCGGTACAGAATTTCTGTGCATTTGTGTACTGTATACGGCTATGAAGGCTCCTGCAGCTTCCGTGCCTGGTTTAGATGGGAGTTCCCGCGACCTGTATGCACCCATCCTTGTTAGCTGGAGTGCGTCGTTTGGATATAATTTTCCACGTGCGCGTTCACAGGGGTGTGATTGTGGTTGTTGATTCATGTGCTTACCTTGATAGGATGGGCTTCTGTGTTGAAGACGTAGGAGTTTGCGCCGTCGTGGTTGGTTTGCCAGATGTTATCGGGGGCGTGGATGAGGTAGCTACGAAGAAAAGTATCGTTAGTCTATTATTCGGTGTTTTCCTTCGTTGCGTGGTGGTTGAGACGAAACTGTACCTGTACTTCAGCACCTCCGCGAACCAGAACGACTCCTGGAAGTTCATGAATCCACCACCTCCGGCGGCGTTCACGTCGTTGATGGAGGAGAAGCCTGAACCCACGCGGGTCGTGGTGTTGATGGCTTGGATGGCGCTCCAGGCATACTGCAAGAACATCATCGTCAGCGATCCATTCACCCTATTCCTCGAGTAGATGGATGATTGCAACTCACATCCTGATACTTCCTATCGCCCGTAACCCGATAAGCATAATAAAAACTCTCAATAACCTCCGGCCTGAGGATGTAATTCCCATTCGTGATCCAGAAACCCGCGCGCTCATAGAACGCCGTCTGGTTCGCAGGGATGTCCGTCGTGTTCCAACTGAACGACTCGGGGCCGATGCCCGTGAGGGTTTGGGAGTAGGTGTCCTCGCAGGAGTCGACGAGCTGGAGGCCGAAGTCGGTGTACTTTTGCTCTTTGAGGACCAGGCCGCCGAGGAGGAACATGCCGCCGTCGAAGCAGGCGAGATGCTGCGAGTTGTTGTTGGTCACGGTGCCGTCGTATGTGGCGCAGAAGGTGAGGTCGGGGCGGGAGGAGGGGTGCGAGGCGAGGTATTGGATGGCGGAGTCGGCGGCGAGGGTCCAGCTATGTGATGTTAGGGTGTTGGGTAGAAGGTGTTGAGGGAAGGGGCTATCTTACCGATCCTTGTACTGTCCAAACCTGGCGCTGTCGTAGACGTACATCTTGATCAAGTATTCGTAAGCACTGTCGTCGCCACCGTTGAACCCACCAACGGCATCCACGAAGGATCCATTGGAAATGGCAATGTTCGTGCCAACCAAACCAGGGAATGGCTCGCTTGATGGGGGCGATGGGTTGAGGATGTAGCTCTCGCCCTTTTGTGCAAGCTGGCCGTACGATGGGTCGCCGGTCAAGTCTGAGAGATGGGTCCACTCAAGAACGAGCGTGCCGACTGTGGCCAGGCCATTGGTGGTGGAGCCGTCTGTGCTGCGGTTGTTGAAGTAGAGGTTGTTCGACGGCACACCAGATGGAGTGTCGAAGGCGTAGCTGAGGTTGTTGGCGAGATTCCTAGCCTGCTCGAGGAGAATTGGGATTTTGCTTTGCTGGGAAACTATTAGCAAAAATAATCTTCATCCTCGTTTGGATATCAACACTTACGTCCTCCGCCAGGTACTTTAGTGGCCCGCTCAGAAGATCGTATCCAGACAGAAGTCCAGCCACATAACGAATCGTCGTCTCGAACAAACTGACAGCCTCGTTCTCGTAGCTCACAGACCAGTTGATCTTAGGAACGTAGTTGATGATCTGGTTCACAATGTCCTTCTCGCCCATGACCAGAGCGGTAGACAGGGCATCCGCAGCCGACGCACCCCATCCATTCCTCGAGTTGCTGAAGCTGTTGTTCACGGGGAGGAGCTCGTCGTTGGGGAAAGCATATCTGTTGCATCTCTTAGCAAGAATCCCTTCAAGAATAACAACGTGATCTTCTTACTTGTAGTATCCCTCCCACGAGAACTCAAACATCTCCTTCACAGCAGCAGCGCGCTGTCTGGCTTCTTGCTGCGACTCTCCCGTCTGATTGTAGCCATGATGCCCGCCGTGCCAATCAGGGTGATTCCAAGGTCCCTTGCCCCAGCCGTGGTTCCATCCTCCTCCTCCGTATCCTCCTCCGAATTGAGGGACAGCAGCAACAGCCGTCGCAGAGGCGAGCAAGCTTAAAGACCACATCGTGAACAGGTATATCGTGCCGTTCGGTCCAGAGAAATGGGAGGAGAGAAAGAGCAAGAGAGACGAACCCACCCTCGCGAGGACCCAAAACGTGCACGAACAAGACCATTTAAACACAAACTCACCGCATGATGAAGAGGTTCCATCCTCCCTCCCTCCCTCCAATCCCGGGATGCCCACTCCCTGTCAATCCATGCCCGGACCAGGAAGTTCATGGACCCAAATCCACTCCAAAAGCCGGACCTCTGCCCCCCGAAAAACCACTACCGTGCCTGTGCATCCACAGACTATCGTTCTGCACATCGATTCCTCCCGCACTCACTTCCAGCAGCTCTCACTGGCCGCGCCGCCAGCGATCGCCCCCGTCGTGCACCGTTCCTGGCGCTCGATGCGGGGTTCGACCATGGAAGATCGGCCAGATGCGGCAGCGAGAGGAAAGCTTGAAAGCGTGTTTGTGCTTTGCGATGCGACGCTGCAAACCACGGAGCACATGCGATGCGAGTGATGACACTGCAGGGTTGTGTTGACAGGAACAGGTTAGGGGCGTTGCTTGTTTGAGCGGCTGGCTTCGTCACGAGATGCGGGCGGCGGATGCTCGGCTTGTGTGAGGATGTTTATTGTGCGGGAGGTGGAGATGTGGGGGACATCGAGCGCCGAGGAGTTGTTGTGGAGTGGAGTGGTCATGTTTGCGAGACAGGCAGCGGGTGATCTATTGATCACAAATGCGCCTGCAGCGTAGGCGAGGGAAGATGGCTGGCATGCGGTGCCTGTTCATGATCATGAGAGTGAGGATGGTGGTGCAATACAGGGCAGGGTTCATGGTTGCAAGCCGTATAGGCAGAGATCCGAGATTGCGTTGACACGATATACGCGGGCATAGCCCTGGTAAGTAGTGACCGCGTAAAGTGCAAGAAGAAAACAACCCGTGATCGTGTGAAAAGGTGAATGGGTTCCATTAGTACTAGATTCGCAAGGTACAATGCAAGTACCAGTAGATGCAAGCACACCACACATGCACCCTCGCGCCTGTCCAACCGCGCACAAAAGCAAAACATCCGCATGCATGGCGACCGCGTGAGTGTCGATACCGCCGCTTCCATGCAGTCAAGCGTCCAACATGAAGTCATCCCCGTCGAGCAGACTCTTGCTTGCCACGAAGCTGAACCCACCGAATGGGTTGCTCTCCGGTTGGGGGCACGAGGGGAAGTCGTCAAATGGCTTGCTGCCGCGCGTGAACACTGGACTCAGCGGCAGATCAGTGAAGTCCTTGCTGAAGTTCTCGGCGAGCTCGGGGTCGGTTACGAGCGGTTGGATGGGCTATAAAGACAATCAGCTTCGTGATCATAAATCAAATGACGACCATGCACAACTTACCGGCTCCAGCTCTCGCTTCTCGAGTTTCTTCCAGTCAATCTTCCTGAAGAACCGGTGCGACTTGAGGACCTTAACATCCTTGAGCGTGCTACCACCCAGGCGCTTGCTTGGCTCCTTGCGCAGGAGACGGGTAAGTAGATCCTTGGCATCAGGTCCGAGGAAGTAGGGCAGCTGCAACTTCTGCTTGAGGATGTTCTGTTGGATCCTGGCGTGGTTGTTGCCTCCAAAGGGCGGGCTTCCAGTTAGGAGGTCGAAGCCGATAGCCCCAAGACTCCACCAGTCGACTGAAAAGTCGTACGCCTTGCCTTCAACGACTTCTGGTGCCATGTATTCAATCGTGCCTAGGACGCTGTTGGCACGCTCATCCTCGCCATCGAGGGCGACTTTGGAGAGCCCGAAATCGGTGAGGAGAAGATGACCCTCAACATCGAGCAGACAATTCTCCGGCTTCAAATCGCGGTAGATGACGCGAACGTTCTGATGCAAATGCTCCAACGCGAGGACCATTTCAGCCATGTAGAATGAAGCAACACCCTCAGGGAACATGCGCTCCATAGCCAAGTGGGTGAAGAGCTCGCCACCTTGTGCGTATTCCAAGATAAGATAGAGCTTTTCCTGGTCCTGAAAGGCATAGAACAGCTTGACCACAAATGGGTGTCTGTTGACAGACTCGAGGATGGTACGCTCGGTACGGGTCTGCTCGATCAAGCGTTTGTGCACGGTAAGACTGGCTTTCTTGAATTGCTTCTGAGCGTAGAGACGTCCAGTCGCAGCTTGTTTGACCAAGTGCACAGTCCCAAATGCTCCCTTTCCCAGGCATCGCAGTGGCTCAAAGTCGGCCGCGCACATCTTGCGATGGATGGTCTCGGTGCGCAGACCTCCTTCGATCGCGCGAGATGCATAGAGAGGGGTGCGACTTCCAGCGTCTGGAGAGACGAAGTCCTGGTCAAGGGGAACGTCGTAAGACTCCATCTCAGTTTTGTCGCCATCGCTGCCACGAGATGAAGGCGTCACCTCGCCGCTGCCGTCATTCGATCTGGTGGTCATGACACGAGCCAGATTGGGTCGAGTGTCCTCACCGTCTAGCGCAAGAGCATCAAGGCGCGCTTTGAGGGCGCTGACACCATTACCTGGAGTCGCCGGCCTGATCGCCGGGCTAGAAGTGACGCTGGAGAAATCCTGCATTCTGGTTGCGCCGAACCTTGGTGTACCCACCGCAGAAGCATCTGACTCCTCGCCGCCAGATGTCACGGGGGTCTGGAAGCCCTTGATCACATTGACCGCAGGTGCCGCTGGCGGCATGCCCTTCTTCTTGTTCTTCTTGCGCTTCCTGGCTTTCTCCTTAATCGCATCGTGGTCCAGCTTGGGAATAGGGACCTCTTCCTGCACCGGAGCATCCCGCTGCGCAAGTCGCGGGGAGTTGATCTTCATAGGCGGCGAGCGCTGCACATCCAGTGCGCTCATGGTATTCTCGACGTCCATCGCAGGCATTGTCGCAAAGTCGCACTTCTCTTCCAACTAGGCTCGCCCTTCTCGTGCCTCTCACAGGCAATATCCAGTATTTCCTAGACGCTCATCCAGCGAACGTCCTCGATAGTTTCCTCTCTCTCACTCCAACTTTTCGCCCACTCTCAAGGCAAACCCTCTACGGTGGGCTAAACACCGCTAGCAAACGCCACAGCCGACTGGCAAAGCTCGAATCCGTGCGCGACAGGCCCGCAGCGCTGGAGAGGAAAAAGGACGCGTAGATGTCGCCGTCGGCGGAGGTACAGACGGTGGTCGAGCTGGTTCCGGAGTAGCCCATAGATCTCGAATGTGAGTGTGAAAGATTGCGGTATGTCTTGGTCGCCAGGAATTTCTTTCCCGACGATGATGTGTGTGTGGGAAATTGTTTGGGTCGCGAGATTTGTGTGTGGTTGATCAGGAGAAGTGAGAGAGAAGTTGGAACTTGGCTGAGACGAGGTTTCGCTGTCCAGCACATTTCGATGCCCGATGCGGCTGTTCCCGGACCGGCCCTTGGCTTTGGCACGGGGAAATGCTAAGAATAGCCGCATGTGATCGCCACAGGAGGACAGCAGGGGGAGAGTGATTTTCAGGAAAACCACTCAAGAGACAACACCTCGAAATCGCTCAAGCTGCTGAACACATGATGAAATCGCTTTTGATGATGAGGTCGTGTCGACGTGACTAGTAGTGAACTATGCAGCAAACTCCACCGCACCCACCTACCCACCCAACCCGATCAGCTACTTCGCGCACGTTTCGCTGTGATGCCATGCCATGCTCCTCTCCACTCCCAAGATATTAGATGCTTTTTTCAGATGCTTTCACCTCAGTGTACTCCTACAAAAGCACAAAAACGCCCAATCTCTATTGAATCCCAGTCTCTATCTTCCTTGCGTCCTTCCACGTCGGAAGTAATCGTAGCTCGTATCTTCTTCGTTGGAATTGTATCCTGGTGTGTCGCCAGGGATATTTCCATATCGTACAGGGCCGTAGCCACCTGGAGTCCCCGCGAAATGGTCTACAGGCGTGCTGCGTCCTGGTGGTGCTGCGGTCGACATGAGCCCGTCACGGCTCTCCTGCCGTGCGAGGTGGCCTGGTCGAGAGAAGCCATGCTCGCTACCCACTGGTGATTGCTCGCGCAGGTTGGATGGTGTTTGGTGATATCCTGCGGGATACACCATACCAACATCTGCGCCCTTGCGTTCCGAGTCTCGAGACTCGCTGCGGCTTCGGCCATAGGGATCTCGTGATCCGCTGGCACTTCTGCTGTAGTTCGACTCGAATGTGCCTGCCCTTGTGACACCCGTCGTCACACTGCTTGGGGTCCCCGGTCGTATCATATCACCAGAACGACCAAACAGCTCGCCATCGCCTCCAGCTTCGTCGCGGAATTCGGGACGGTTCTTGTAATGCTCAAAGTCCATTTCGTTCTCGTTGACAATTTCCCAGTTCTGTGGTGCAGCGCTAGTGCCACCCGCAGTCTTTCCAGGCTGGCGGTTGTCCATGTTGTCCATGTAGACGTCGCTGTATCCAGTGGCTGTTGCTCCGTCCTGATCCATCGATGTTCGTCCCGTGTAGATGGACTTCAGCAGATGCTGAGACTTTGACGCCACCATGGGCGTGATCAGAGGCTTGTAAAGCACTGGGTGACCGAAGCGAGTTGCAACTCGATCTCCCTTGCGCTTCTTCTTGCCCTCCTCAGTTCCGGCCAAACCCTCGGAATCACCAATGGCCTGTCCTTTCTGATAGTAGTGAATCTCATCGTCGAATGTCCGCGCACAGTACCACTTGAACCCCATGACGATGAACGGCAAGGGGAGCATCGCAGCGAGTCCAGCCCAGTTGGTATTGATGTTGCCCTGCTGTCCGTTGGCAGCGATGACCAACGCCGTGACCGCGTTGCCAAGTATGGTCAGAAACATCATGCGGTTGTAGACAGACCGCCAAAACATGCCCCCAGATTCGTACTTTGTTATGAAAACGTACATTATTAAATATTTCTTCATGAATGAGTCCATCCAGAAGTAGAGCGCCGTGACCGCCAGGACCAGAGGCTGGATGCAAGAGAATGCCAGGGCCACAGTCGAGTAGAACAGAAAGTAGTTGTAGTAGCCAGCGTAGTCGAATGCCTGCGGCGCAGAAAGCTCAATCAACGTACGAGGCTGCATTTGTTGTCAGTGAACGACCTGGCAAATGTGCTAATTCGCAACTTACCGTTGGTGACAAGAATCGCCTCGAGAACGATCCCCAGATCAGTGTGAACAACTGACTCAAATCGACAGCAGCACCCAGGTTTCGCTGCAGCATCCAGGTGATCCAGTACGTACTAACTCCACAAAGACCGAGCATGAATTGATGGAAGATCTGAATGTCTTCCCAGCCCTTCCCCCTGACCGCCTCCGAAACCAAGGTGAACACCGAGGAGAAGAGCGAGAAGACAATGAAGTTGTTGAAGCAGAAGAAATTGTACAAGTTCCTCGCGACGTGTCGTTCTCTGCTCGTCTTGGTCACGTCTCCAGCGTTAATGCAGAGTCGTCGAAAGATGGCGGGAAGGTAGAAGTAGAACGCGGTTGTGAGGGCAGGCGCGAGTACACCCTGCACGATTGCCCACAACGTCGGATGTGCATAATACTCCTCCTTGAAACCTGGCCAGATGTTCGCCAAGTTGTTCAGCTGGGAGAGAAAGACCGCGATGAAAATGTTGGGAATGATCCAGAGGACTGTGAGCAGAGTGATCCAGATGCCGTTGATGAAGTTTTGCCGTCCTCGCTGCTTTTTGGACATGTTCAGGTTCTTCCACACCAGATCGTTGGGCTTTGGTGCCAGGCGGACGATGGTGTTATGCGGGGCCTTCTTGCGCGCATCATACGCAACACTGTGTGCAACTGGTATGCTCTGGTAGCTGGCAAACCCGTATGACAAGGTATTGCGCTTGTCGACCGTCTCTCGAACCTCCCGGATCTCAATCTCCAGCTCTTTGATACGACCAGTCAAGTACTCAATTGCATCGACTCTCGAGCCCTTGGGGTAAGTGCCATGAGACTTGTCGCTCTTGTGTGGCTTGCACGTGGGTCGTTTCGCAGGGAGACGGTCCGGATTCTTCAGGTATTTCGCCAGATGCTCCTCCAGCTCTCGCACCGCCTTCTCGTGCTCTTCGACCAACTCTGGCAAATCCTTGACATTGCGAGCAATTGCAGTCCGAGGCATGTCGTGGGTTGCCTTGACCTCGTCTGTGATCCTCGCCAACCCTTCATCTGACCGAAGTTCTTGCGGAACATCCAAGACCAACAACGTTCGAGCATGCAAGCTTCGTTGATAGTCCGGGCTGTTGAAGTAATCCGTTCGCAACTTCACGATTGCCCGATAGTTGATCCACAGGAAGAACAGTATGACTCCATCGAAAATGTATGACACCACGACATATGCCCAATAACTCTTACTGCCAAAGCTGTACTGTGGCTGTATCCTTGCAAACCACCCAACACCTTTATTCTCATCGCGGTTGGCAGCGATGACGTTGACGGGGATGATGATACCGCATCCAAGAACGGCCACAATCGAGAAAATGTTTCTCAGCATGCGACACACCCGCATGAAAACGGCGGCGTCCAACCCAACTCTTTCTACCAAATCTTGCTCTTTCGTCCGCAATATCGGTGGGATCCAGCCAAACAGACCTTTGCTGACGGGAGGGGGCGCATGCTTGCTGTCGGCATACTTGGCTCGAGGGGCGTAGACAACGTTGTTGTACGGTCGGAGGAAGCAGAAGAGGAGGGCCACGAGAACTGCAAGGCCTAGGGAGAAGCCCAGGGAGGCGACTGCAGAGTTTGCTTGCGACTCTGTATAGAAGGGGCTCTTAATCGCGTCCAAGAACGCTTGTGTCTGATCGTTGTCCCTCGCCGCTATGAGGTCTGCCGGTGCCGACCACATCTTGGCGAATTGAATGGTATGTCCTGATCGTAGTGATGTCGAGAAAGCCAGGCAAAAAGAATCTTTAAGAAGCCCTTTGGCGGGCACAAAGAAACACCCCTCACTCCCGATCCAGATGCCTCGTGGCCGTGTCTCAGACCTTCCTCTATCGGTGAGGTAGCGACAGTCGTAATGAGATCAAGAAGAACGGAACAGAGAAGCGAAGAATGCGAAAAAGAGGTGTCGTCAGAAGCCGCCGCGGGCGTTTCAGTCCAGAGCAACGAGACAGTCTCTGAGCGAACGCCTGGGCACGGGACCAGGAAAGCGAGCGTCAAGTAGTGATGAAAGAGGACCTCGGGTACGATGATGCAAAGAAAGCAGAATAGGTGGAAGAGTAGTAGAGGAGAAGAATACGAGGTGTCGTAGTGCTTCCCCAACCAAAAATGCCCGTACCTCTGCTAGTATCATGTTGGGGCTCCAATCCAATGGCCAAAAGCCCACAGGCATGCATGCAGCTCTGTGCCTGAATTTTCCCATTTCCCCGTCTCACAGGCACGCCGCACGCGCAACTGCGAAATCGAAAATCCTCCTCTCCGTGTCGATGCAACATGCGCGATGATGCACGTCTCTGGCTTCTTTAGCCGCCGCGCGTCGCCCAGGCCGAGAGCTATTTTTGACTCGTGACGGCGGTTCGTCGCATGTTCGTCCAACGCTCCCGACTCCCGCCTTGAGACGGTGTCAACGGTATGCTTCTGGCGTTGTTCTGGAGATGGCGGCGGTCGAGTGGGAGAGAGCGCTAAGGTGGAAGGGTCGAAGGTAAAGGCTAGATATAGATACATGTGGTCGCCGCAGTCAGCGAAATAGGGTCTACGCCGGTTCGATGCTTTGCAGATGTCCACACAAACATCGTCATTATCGAGATGCTAGTCAGAATGGAGTCGCATCATGATGTGGATGTGGATGGTGATAATCCATGGGCATGGGCATGGGAAGACGCGCGGATGTTGGAGTCACGGATTTGTCGTGGCAAGTGAAGCGTTAAAAGCAATCAACCCCGTTCATTGCAATATAGTACATACTCGCCGCCGAGGGCATTGCTGCAGAAGAGCTGACTGATGAGAACACAGTCGTTTCATTTGGTATCATACTCGCGTCCACGAGCAAAGGTTGCAGCCTGTCGTTATCTCAACGCTGCCATTCATCCGTCCCGTCCGAACCCAGAGCCTGATGAAAAGATGCCATGCCGTGAAAGCATGGCGAGCCGATGTAAAGAAGTAGTCATGCCAGTATAAGCTGTCTTGGAGTCGATGAGATCAGATCCAAGCGCTTCTACTCCTCGTCCTCCTCATCGTCGCCACCCTGGAAATGTGTCAGCTGGATGTTTCGAGCATGTGAAGATTAGACAGTACTCACAGCAGTGTAGGCGGCCTTCTCCTCCTCGTACCGCTTCTTGTCGGCAGCAGCCTTGGCCTCATATGGGGCCTTTTGCTTCTCGGTGAGACCCTTCCACTTCTCACCAAGGATCTTGCCAACCTCGCCTGAGAAATGTCAGTAACGCGACAATCACGGCGAGAATAGCAATTGAACTTACCGAACTTGATGCCGGGGTTGTCATCGCGGACCTTGTCGCGCTGGTCGTTGGCGAAGAACATGTAGGCGGAGAGACCGCGCTTTGGCATGTTGGGGTCTGGAAGGCGTCAGCTGATGATCTAGGACGTCCAAATGAGCGTCGGTGAGGTGGTGGACTTACCCTTCTTCTTCTTGCCGCCGGCGGTCTTGTCACCGCCCTTCTTGCTGGCACGCGTGGTCTTGGCTTCCTTAGGCATGATGGCGGTTTCGACTTTGTTTTGAGTCGGGTGCTGAAGATGAAGATGTCAGGTCAGCGGCAATGATCGCAAGATGTTGTCGCGATCGATTAGAAAGTGGTGGCGGGTGTTGTTGACGACGATGTCGAGTCGCGCGTGTTTTGCCTGGCGTTGTGGTGGTGGCCGGCTTTCTTCAAAGCTCGCAGCTGCGGGCGCAATAACACCACCCGCGTGTCGTGACGAGTGAAGCTGAAGGACGCGATGAATGTGTTGGAAGTGACTTACTGAGTGTGTGTTTCGAAGTGGTGATTCTGGTGGTGAAAGTGTCGCGACTGCGGTGGTGCTTGGTTAGTGGTGGTTGATGGACGATGATGAGAACAACACGACGACATCGACTCTGTCGCGACGAGGAGTTGAGAGGCCAAAACAGAGCAGTCGGATGCGTTGCAGCGTGTCAAAACGCGCCAAATGTGGTTGGAAAGCAGGGCGAAGGTGGGCAGTTGAGTTGCAAGGGTGGCACGAAGTTCGATATACTCACAGTAGGCGTGTGATGGCCTTTGGTGAAGTTCGCTGGCAGCGCTGGTGAGAGACTGTAGAGAGGCAAAGAGAGCAGGCGCGCACTGCGTGGGCAAGCTGGAGACTGTGGTGAGCAGCCGCCAGCAACGCCCCGCATCACAACGCACGGACTTCGCTGCAACCTCCTGCTGCCGCGCATGCCACACGTGCAGAGTGCAATACAACCACCATTCTCACAGTCTTTGGACACACATGCGGCATTCGCACGGTCGCTCAATCCCACTCAGCCAAACGATGAGATGCATATCAATCGCGACTGCCAAAGTGAAAGCACCTGCTCTTTCCCGCGCGCGCTCTTGTCTCCGAGTCGGGAAAGCGCGCAACAACAAACGTCACGTGACCGCGTGAAGCGAGATGCTCCCGGCTTTCTCAGCAACAAGCACCCGGACTTTGATGTGAAGTGTGATGAAGAGCAGACGGCACTTGGTAGTTCTCAGGACAGTACATTAGCAATGACCAAAACATTATGGCCAACCACAGAGTCGAAAAGACTAGCCCTGGCCAGACCGATATGACAGTCAAAAGCGAACATCTCCCGGCAATCCTGGCAAACCCCTGGGACTGTGTAAAGATTCGGTCCCAGCAAACAGCGTATGATGGACGAACGAGCTCAGTAATCAGCTTGTCCGACATGGACTTCATTAGAATCAGCTGTATCATCTTTACTCGCTGATCATACTTGGCTTGTTCCAGCTGGATCTGACGGAGCTGACCTGAGTCTCCAGCGTCACGCTCTTATACTGTGACTCTTTCGAAGCCTCTGAACGCCACCACAAGGAAGGCCCCTTGAAGTCCTCACCCATCCGACAGCATCGCAAAGGGATTCTTCTCCAGACCAGCAGGCTGCGACTTGCCACTCTTCTTCGCCCTCTTCGCTTTCTTCCGCGGCCTCTCCTCTTCCAACTCGTCCTTCTCGCCCATTGTGGACAACACCTCGCGAACGATCGCCTGCCAGACATCTTTATCCAGCTCGCCATCTCCGAGAAAGGTTGATATGCTTGGCAAGCTTTCCATATGCTGCGCCAATCCTTTGAGATCCGAAACCTCCTCTGTCTGCAGTTGCACATACGCTACAACCTGCTTGATCATTCTGAATGAGTAGAAAGCAGCTTCGTGTTGTCCGGCAAGGTGTATCAGATGCCATTTGGGCTGCTCGTCACGGGTGATGATAGAAATGGAATCCTCCGGAGAAGGCAGCGTGTATCCATCCGCCTGAAGGTCGCTCAGGACTTGCTGAAAGACGAGGCAGCGCCAGGCATCTGCTTGAGAAAGTCCGTGGCTCTCTTCAGCCCACGCGACAACCTGTTCGATATGAGAGGTTAATTGCTTCGCCTGATCCACTGTCTCGTCTTCGGACAGCGGCTCGACTGGAGTCGAAGCAATGCGAACACCACTTCTCCTGTATTCTTGCACACCGAGTGTCGTATCAGTATGTCGCAACAGCAGGGAATATGCCAAGCTACGGAGTCCGACACCGATATTCCAAGATGTCTTTTTGGACGGGTCGTCGAGAATGAATGGGAGATACATCCTCAGGCCACCGCTTGCCTGCTCGTCAGACGATGACTCCAACTGGTGGATGATTTCTGATACCCTAGAGTCCCTGGCTGTCGATAGTCGATCTTCTGTTGACGTCTTCTTGATCTCAGCCCATGCCGCAACTTCTTCGGTCGTCTGAAAAACGGATTCAAAGCTAGCAAAGTCTGCCTCGGTGCAGGGATCTGTTGACTTGAGCTTGCGGCATGCTTGAACAAAAGGCAGGTTTGCATCCTTCTCCATGAAGTAGGCGGGCTTGATCAGATCATCAATGGGATTCGGAGAACGCTTGGTGATTTCCGACGGCAGGTACTTCTCAGCCGTCCAGGTGATGGCAGAGTCAGTCCGGGAAATAGAAAGGTCGCGAAAGGCCACAACTGCGGTACTTTGACCCAGTCTATACACCAACAGATCGGCATCATCCGAGAAGATGGTCGTGTTGAAGTCATCCCCTTGAGCTTGAGCTGCAGCGACGCAGTAAGGATCGGCTTCACCAGGGACCATGAAAGTCACATTGCCGAAGTCTTCGTGGAAGCGTAGCTCTTCCACGATAGCGAAGACCAGGAACGGGGGCGGGGAGAGGTTCTTCCATGTCTGGCCCGAGAAGGTAGGCGTTGTGCTTCCAATGGTTTGCTTATAGGCCCACAACCGATCAGTATATGACTGGAGTCGGCCGATTCGGACATCTTTCTTCGACGCAGGGAGGGCACCGTCGAACAACATTGCTTGTATCTTGTAGCCGATGGATTGCAGCTCCGTGAGCCAGGTGATTGCAGCATCGACGCAGGCTTTGTATGAGATGTGGGCATTGCGTTGGTCGCATAGGTGGTAGAAAACATGGTGGGCCAGGCCAGGGCCATCGATAATTGCGATCGAGTCTTGTGCAGGTGACTCGGTGCTTCCCAAGGTATCGCGAATAGCATAGTCTCGCATGCGGACTCCAAAACGCTTGATGCCCATGGTCGTGCCTGTCTGGGATTCGTAGCTTCGTCTTTGAGGCGTGAGGATCAGCTTGGATATATACTCTCTCCAGTTTCCAGCATTTCAGAAATGAGAGACATAATACTGGGCTCCGTATTTGCCTTCAGTCCCACCCTCTGAGGATTCAGAAAACTCGATGTCAAAGCAAGTGTGGTAGTGGATTCGTCCAATGTCTTCTGATGTTGCACAGCGGAGATGAATGCGAAAGGCTGACGAATGATCACTTACAGTCTGGGACTGAGACTTGTGTCTCGACGACCGCGACTACAGCGGTATGCGAAGAGGATGTCGAAGTGGAAGAAGGCAGACTCGTTGGTCGAAGAAAAGTTCAATGAGCTGTTCTCGAAGGAAGGTGGGCCGAGCTTTCACTTCCAGGCAGACGACACCCAACTTCGCTCATGACTTCAGCGTCCCTCTCCATCACAATTAAGCATTGGGAAGGGTTGGCACTTCTGTGGTATGAATTCGGTCGCTTCGCAAATGCTTGAGAGGCGATGGAAAGCCCATCTCATTGGCGACCGAAACAAACAAAGTTCTTCAAGCCCAGTCGGAACGAGAACTGTCGAAGACCAAGGGCGTCGATGCGCTTCTTGAACAACTAATCTAAGAGCTAATCTACCAGAGCTGACATCACCCTCGCCGTCCTCGTACTCGATCTCTCCACCGCCGCTATCCCAACGATGCTGTCCCGGGCGAAACATTGAAAGTCGTGAGACCGTCAATCCATCCTCAGTTGGAAGCCACCAGGCCGCCAACGCAAGGGAAAAGGAAGTGTAGCAAGGTTGAAAGCTAGATGGCCGTCAATCGTGAAGTGGCGAAAGCCTTGCGGCCGTCGAGCGATCCTCACGATGGAAGATGTCAATGCAAATATTGCTGCTATCGCAAGCTGGGAGCCGCCGATGCATGTGAAGAAGATGTACCAAGATTGGGGCATCGTCGATGGGTGTAATATCGAAAGCTGAGAAACCGTCGGTGTGCATAAAAGCAGAAGGAAAAGATCATTGAAGGCACTGAAGCCGTCAATGTAAGCAGGGGATGCGTGTGGGGAGTGCCCAGAGCATGCAGGAGGAGTTGATGATCCTCAAATCCGACTAAGCCACGGCTGGAAGACGTTTCAATCTCTCTTCGACCTCTTCTGATCGCCGTCCTCCTCGTCTTCGTCCGGCGTTCTCTCTCTCTTCTGCCCGGGTGCCAGCCGGGATGCCTGCCGCATATCTCGAGCCGGAGCTGCGACGCCATGGTTGGCTTGATCGTTTCGTGTGCTCGGTCGTGCTTGCGGTCGCGGGGATGCATACGCTATACTCGCAGTTGTTGATGGCGGAGGTGGTGGTGGCGGCGGTTGCTGGAAGGCGTATTGCGGCTTCTCCCACTGCGTACGGCCAGTCATCTGCTGTACATAGTACGGACGCTGGTAGGTATGGTCCCATACCCAGTACCAGCCTGCTGGCACGTACAAGCTGCTTGGTGGTGCAGGCGGCGGTGGCGGGACATAGCCATGTGTGGCATATGCCGTGTGTGAATTACCCTGCCTGTGGGGCGTGTTGGGTCTTGGTGCGCCAAACGCCGCAAACGCATCTTGCTGGATGCCCTGGGGCAATGCTGGAGGAGTGTTTGAAGGCCGAGGGCCCATGTGCTGTGCTGGTATATGCTGCATTGGGACACCTTCGTTGCGGTCTTTGGGGTCTGGCACGACAGGGGTGTTTCTGGCGGCGAGCGCCTCCCCTGCCATGTGGAGGATCGTGTCTCTCCACGACTTGGAGGTGGGATTACACCGGTGGTTGGCATTTTCCCCGCAGAAGTGCTTGCAGTTGTTGCAAGGAGCGCCGTTCTGGGCAAAGTCGCACTGCGGGACCGATCAGCAACCATGTATGTCGGGACGGCAACAGGGAGTAAACATACGTCGAGCCAGCGCTTTTGCGAGCAGCTGTTGCACATAATGCCTGGGATGTGCCAGAAAGGGTCTGCAGCCGGGTTTGATGGCGCGATGCCTTGCATCGTGCTGGTCTCGTTGTCGGCGGTCATCGTTGCGATGAATCCGAGGATGTGTATGCGCGGGAGGGTGGCGGGGGGCGCGGGAGAGCGTGCGTGTTGTATGCGGGTTTTGATAATCTTCGCTCACTTGGATGTGGTGGCTGATGCGAGTTGTAGGAAGACAGTACAAACAAAGTTGCGAATTCGGGACGTGCATTCAAATCCAAGAAAGGAAGGAGCGAAATTGCACTGACCAACATAAACGCGCTTTGGCGCCTTGACAACCGGCTTGCTGGACCTCGAAGGTTTCCACATTCGCTCAAACTCGATGACAAAACCGAGCAACCATTGGAGCTCACGAGCAGAATACAACAGTGATATTCCCAGGAGACTTACACCATCGAGGAAACACTAGCTGTTAACAGACCATTTGTCGACTATGGAGAGATCGGGGATTGCGTGCTTGCAACAACAGCTCAGAAACCGTCTGGGACGAGAAGGCGTCTTCAAGTCTAAGCCACGGCCTTCACCTCTTTGAATTCTGCAGGGCCCAAGACTCTGCAATATCGAGGCCTCGCAAAGGGTCAGTGCCGCCGATACCTCGCTCAGCCTTCAACACACTCCCCGGAGATGTCGTCGTGCTGTGCACATTCGACTAATGCAAATGAAGGCCGACTACGGAATCAAGCTTGCGATGTTGGGAAAGGCGTTGCAAGCAACATATGTTACAGGTTCCACAAGATCTCAGCCAAACTTAGCGTCCATGGAGAGCAGCAGCAGGCTGGCATTTGCGGTATGCTAATTTATCTGAGACACTTACAACCGAAAGACTTCAGGTGCTCTCGCTGCCACTTTGCACAGCATGCATCTGGCATGCTGCTATTCAAAGTTCAAACAGTTGCATACCGATGTGCAACCTGCTTCCTGCTGCATGCAATTGCAATTGCTCTTGTTGCATCTCTCTACTTTGACGACTCAAACACTATCGGCTGAAGACCATTAGGAGCACGCATCCAGCTACCGCGAGCCCGGCAAAATAGGACCGAATCGCCACCGATCTCACGGCTGCCAATGCCGGTGGAGCCGAGAGAGCACCTCCAAGCCAAATGCATTCTTAATGACCAGCAAACCTCACGTCGTACGCGAGCGTGCGCGAAACAGACAGCCCTGCACGTGTGCATGTGGAACGACATCCAGAACGCCTCCCCCAAACCTCACCAGACTCCGCACTAGCGCCTACTCGAACTGGCTAGGAAGTATACAATTGATTCGTGGAAAGTCGACCTACCCCAGACTGACGTGCATGAAGGAACGTGTGTATATGAGTACATGTGCGGACCGGGATGCACTACAGCGAGGATGTACTCGTGACTTTGTTGAAAAAGGCTAAAGTCGGTTCGTTGCTGAGGTGGCATTGTTATATATCCAGCTGAGATGTTCTCCGCCCGGGAAGAAGTGTGAAGGTTCGAGAGGTCCAGAGGGAGAGGTGCAACATGGGCAAATTCAAGACGAACTTCTACAATGTCTTGCTGGCGATGTTTGCGGGCACGGGGTAAGATTCAATGTTCACACTTCCTTAGGTCTACACTAACAACGAATCTAGGTCGTTCCTCTTTGGTTACGACTCCGGTGTCATGACAGACGTAATCGCCTCCCCTCACTTCCTCAAATACTTCAACACCGTCAAAACCAGCCCAACAATCGGCGCCATCAACTCCACCTTCTCAGGAGGCGCAGTCTTCGGCTCCCTCATGGGAGGCTTCACGATGGACCGCTTCGGCCGAAAGAAAACCGTCCAGATCGGAGCCTTCATCGCCGCCGTCGGCGCAATCCTCCAATGCGCAGCTGTCAACCTGGCCATGATCCTCGTGGGACGAATCATTGCAGGCTGGGCGGTCGGGCTCATGTCCATGTCGATTCCGGTCTATCAGGCTGAGTGTGCGCATCCCAAGATGAGGGGGTTGATTGTGGGGCTCACGCAGCAGATGATTGGGATTGGGTTTATTGTTTCGACGTGGATTGGGTATGGATGCCATCATGCCCCTGACACCAACTCCGTGCAGTGGAGATTTCCCCTGGCTTTCCAGATCGTCCCGGCTCTGCTGTTGCTCATCGGCTTTGTTTGGTTGCCTGAGAGCCCGAGATGGTATGTACAGTATCCTTAAGCTTGAGAAGACTGTACACTGACGCACAGTCAGGCTTATCGAAAACGACCGCGACGAAGACGGCATGAAAGTTCTCCAAACGCTACATTTCGACGGCTCCAACGACGAATGGATTCGATACGAATACAACGAAATCCGTGCGACCATCAGCGCCGAGAAAGCCATTACCGTCCCAGGCTGGCGCATCATGTTCACCGTCCGTCAATGGCGAACTCGTCTCATGCACGGTACTTTGATGCAAGTGTTCACGCAGCTCACAGGAATCAGTACGTCTACTCCCCTCCCTTTTTTCCAAGCGGCGATCCCCAACAACCCCCCAACAGTGAAAAGCTCCCCCCTCTGACTTCAACTTTCACGTTTTTAGATGTCATCGGTTATTACCAAACCATCATGTACGAGTCCCTAGGCATCACCGGCGGCCGCGCCATCCTCGTCGCCGGAATCTACAACTGCGTCGGCCCCATCGCCAACGCCATCTTGTACGTATTATCAAACACCACCCCAAACCACCCGGTGTCTGCCACAACGACGCGCCACTGACCTCCTCACCCAAAGCATCTTCTTCATCCTCGACCGCGTCGGCCGCAAAAAACCCCTCATCTTCGGCGCCATAGGCATAACCATCGCCCTCGTCTGCGAAGCCGGCCTCAACGCCGCCAACCCAGAAGGAACGCACCACGGCCTCTCCATCGCCGGCGTCTTCTTCATCTTCCTCGTCTCCGTGATCTTCTCCCTATCCTTCGGCCCCATCAGCTGGGTCTACATGTCGGAGATCATGCCCATGCAGATCCGCGGGCGGGGCAATGCCTTCGCGACGGGCATCGGGAATTGGTTGGTGAGTACGTTCTTCGCGCAGGTGTCGCCGATTGCGCTGGGGGATGTGCAGTGGAAGTATTATTTTGTGTTTGTGGCGTTTAATGTGGCGGTGACGTTGCCGACGTTGGTGCTGTTCTTCAAGGAGACGAATCAGTTGAGTTTGGAGGAGATTGATGGGTTGTTTGGGGGCAGGGCGTTGGGCACGCTGCCGATGGAGATTGGGGAGAAGGAGGTTGATGAGGCGGTTCGGAGGGAGAGTGTGGCGAGGGAGAAGAGTGTGGAGGTTAATCAGGTGGATTTGCATGTTGATCCGAGGAAGTCGGGATGATTGGGGAGAGACCTCAAGGAAAGACCTCAACGAGAGACGTTGATGTTTGAGATGTTGCTGGAGCGTTCAAGCCTGATTGCATTGTGAGAGCGATGTTTTTATTCTGCAGCGTTGATATTGTTAGTCCACATCGGGCACTGGCAAGCCATTCCACAATTTCATCTTCAGACCCAATTTCTTCGTTGCCTCGAGCGCATTCTTCTCCCTGAGCTTTCTCGATTCCTCCTCCGTAACAAGGACAAAGTCGTAGGTCATCAGCTTATCACCTTCCTTGACCCCGTATTGCTTCGCTTGCTCTGCATTCACAGTCCCAAGATCGATGAGCAGAGACTCTTTCACCCCAAAGACCGCATCAGACGTTTCGTAAGGATCGCCTCGAAGATACAACGCACTGTCTTGTCAGTCTTAAAACACCAACGTCCAGTCGAGGTCATTACTCACGTTATAAGATGATCATACCCCTCCTTCGCAAACATAAAATGCATATGACTCGGTCGGTAACAATGCCTCTTCAACTGCACCAGCAACTTTCCCACCGGCCCATCATGCGGTATAGGATACGGCACCGGCACAATCGCCTTGAACCAAAACAGCCCCTCCTTGTCAGTATGCATCACCGCCCTCTGATCCGGCCCTTCTCTTCCAGCATATTGCACATCATAGAACCCTTTGCTGTCCGTCTCCCAGATATCGATCTTGACGCCTTCGATGGGGTTGTTCTGCGTGTCTTTGATTGTGCAGAGGACGAGGCAGGGCTCGCCATCCGGGTCGTGGGCTATTTGGGAGCCGTTTGGGGCGCTTTCTGCTTCGTGGGAATGGAAGGGTCCGAGGACTGTGCCTTCGGTGCTTGCTGGGGGTTTGGGGTGGTCGATGCTGTCGACAAGGAGGGAGAGGCCGAGGATGTCAGAGAGGAGGATGAATTCCTGGCATCGAATTAAGCTGTTGTTCACATGTTGTCAATGTCTTGAACACTGACCTGTCGAACATCTGTGCAAATCTGACCCACTGCAGTCAAGAAAAGCAACCCAGTCATCCACTCATCGCTGCTTAGTCTCGTCTCCCTGGCAAAATCATGCAGATGCTGCACTATCCTTTCCAAAAGATACTTCAACCTAGGATTAGGACATTGTGAGTTGATCAATTTGACATTATCGGTGATATTGTCAATGGTAAGATCTTTCAGAGGTGGTACTTCAACTTGAGAGGGATCCATGATTGTTGAGGAAAAGGGAACTGGTTCCAGTAAGAAGGGTGAGATGCCTGCTCTATATCAAGTTCTTGCGAAAGTACGGAAGTCCTGTGCATACATCATGCTCGGCCGATGGAGCTTTAGTAAAGAGTAGCAAATGGTTGCTCAGTTTGGTCGGAATAGCCCCGCGAATGTGGGCGACCCCACATTCTCCGGGGAGTGAAGTCGGCTGATATCTTTGCCGTCTCGTCGAGAGTCCATCTGCCAGGTACTGCCTTGTGTTGTCTCGTCAGATCGCAGTAAGCACTGGATGCTCTTGAAAGAGGGGCCGTCGACCCGCACGGTCCGGCAGAGCGTTGTACAGTCCAGCTTCCGCACACTCGCCGCAGTCTCACAACTTGGCCTGTCCTTCGCTGGCGAACCTTTGCGCTGCAAAATCGATAGCGGCCTTGTATCCAAAGACACCCAACCCACAGATGACTCCCACCGCCTTGTCGCTGAGATAGCTGTGATTCCTCCAGGGTTCGCGAGCATGGACATTCGTTACGTGCAGTTCCAGGAAAGGCAAATCACAGCCTAGCAGCGCATCTCGAGCGCCGACGCTCGTGTGCGTCAATGCTCCTGGGTTGATGATGACGAAGTCGACCTTTCCTCGGGCTTCTTGGATTCTATCGATGATGGCTCCTTCCCAGTTGGACTGAAAGTTGTAAAGTTGAATGCCCAATTGTTCGGCTTGTTTGGTGGCTGCGGTCTGTACGTCGGCGAGAGTTGTGCTGCCATAAAGATGGGGCTCGCGTGTGCCGAGCAGATTCAGGTTTGGGCCATTGATGAGAAGGATCGACTTTTTGGACATATTGACGGCAGGACAAGTGTCGAGATTGAAATGGAAGAGAGTGTTTGGGAAGATAGTAGTTGTTGTTGTGACTGGCCCTGACCTTTAAGACGGCCTAGGCGGGCATCCCAGGCGCCAGACGGAAAAGTGATCTTCCAGGATGTGGATGCAGCCCCAGGTCGAGCGCTTGGGTCCACGATCAGGCTCCTAAACAAACGTTTGACTGCTTGTTAGCCGTGTCCTGTATATTTAGCAACACGTTCAATGTATCAAGATCTTTCCCCATCAACGCAGAGATCAAGGCTTTGACTAGGGCGCTCAGTACAGCGTGCCAGCCGGGAGAATACGTTGTTCTCTCCGTAGTCAACAGATTGACTCCTGCCTTGTCTTTGCGACGTATAGCAACAACAATGTACTCGCTTCGTCCTGTGAACGTTGCCAACATGTGCAAGAGATGGGTGAGTCAGTGTCAGAAGCAAGCCAGCAGGACGCATGAAACACGAAAACGCGCCTTCCCGCTGACTCACCCATCCACTAGCTCCCGCCCTCCCGCCCCTTCCCTCCGCACAGTCCTGATCCCATCGTCCCAAAAATCGCGAGAATCCCACCAAAAACTCACCCAGCCAACACACCCAGGACTAAATCACCCCCATCCCCACACAGCGAGCAGCGACCAGCGACTATGCCAGGCTCCGGCAAGCAATCGCCGCAAGTGCAAGAGCAGATCAAAGAACTGCTCGAGGCCGGCTTCGACCCCACCACCATCCACCGCCGCCTCAAGGTCGGCCGCAGCAGCATCTACCGCATGAAGCGGTGTTTGCAGCAGCATGGCACGAATTACATGCCGCCGGAGTTGAATAAGAAGAATGGGAGGCCGAAGGTGTTGACGCCGGAGCAGGAGTTGGTATGTCAAACATATACACTATACATGCATTCATTCATTCGCCTCCTCTCTGTTCCTGGTCATGATGGAGAAATGTGGCAAACACCATCTCACCCACTGCCCCCCTCTCAAAGAACCCGTCTAACACATATATTAACTTAATAATCCAGGAAGTCCACACCTGGCTCGTCGACCCCAAAAACCGCACCCGCTACCTCGACGACCTCGTCTGGCTGATCCACGACCGCTTCGGCATCGTCTGCTCCACCACCACCATGTCGAAGATGAAGCGCAAATGGCTGCGCGTCATCGAGTACGAGGAAAACGGCGTCCCCATCGATGACCTGACACGGAGTCAACTCCTCGAGACGCATCCGGACCTGCCGCTGTTGAGGCATGATGTTAATGGGAGTGCTGGTGGGCTGGGGCAGCAGCAGCAGCAGCAGCATGATGGTGGTGGGTTGGGGGTCGATGTCGGTGTGGATGTGGGTGGGGTTCCGCAGGCGCAGATGTTGCAGGCGCAGGAGGCGATGCAGGCGCAGATGGGGGCGGAGTTGGATGGGGTTGGGGTCGGGGTGGGGTTTGAGGATGTGGATTTGTCGGGGACGGGGGTCGGTGGGTTGCGGACGGTGTGACAGTGACGGTGAGGGTGGATTCATGGTGGCGTTTCGGGGATGGGTTTGGGAAAGGGAAAGGAAAGTCTGTTTACGAGCGAGTGGGTGCAATAACAAGCAAGTCCACGCGTTTCGCAGCGTGACTTTGAAAACAAGATCATGATTCGATGATTCGACGGACGAACTAAAAGAACAACAAGCAATTCAAACGAGAGAGAGCAACAGAACAGCACAAAAAAAACATATACTTTAGAAAGCACATCTTCTCAGAGTGCAGCAGCCTACCAACTCCACGCTTCCATCAAAAGGACCAAGTCACATCATCCACTCATTCGAAGAAAAAGGCCTCATAACCACTAGCTGAGACCCTCCGCAAGCCCATCCCCTATACTCCGATCCCACTCCGTGCCCCTGTACCTCGAAGGAACATGGACATCATCATCAGGCCCTTCCCTCGACTGCGTGCTCCCACCCGTATCTCCACTCCCACTCAGCGACGCGACCTCCACCGCATCGCCAGCTTTCATCTTCTCGTTCGTGAGTTTCCGCTTGCCGAACCAGCCCTTTCTTCGAACGGCTGTACTGACGCTTTCGCCGTCCACGTTGTCGTTGGTCGTAGCCGTGGCGATGGACTGGCCGTCTGCATCTGCAGCATTCTCAGCGGCGGCGGCGGCGAGTTCTTCAGCGGTGATTTCGACTAATTCGGCGTCTCGGATCCATCTCCTTCGACGTGTCCATTTGCCCCAGTCGTCGGTTCGGCTGCCGTACTTCCACTTGTTGTCGTAGTACGTCCAACCGTCTTTGTCCCGGGCGTCTTTGGATTTCGTGTCGTCGGTCCAAGAAGGGTCGATCTTCCACTCGCTGTCGGGGACCCAGCGCCATTTGATGGTGTCGGAGTCTGTCTCTGGGAGAGGGAAGTCCTCTTTCGCTGGCACTGAATTGTTATGCTCATCCGTCCAGGCTTGGCGTTCGTTAGGGAGGAGATTCGCCGTGAAGCCTAACAGTACCCATCGCCTCTGGTTCTCATACACGGCGAACGTGAATCGAACACCTGCCGTATTGCCTTTGCGTTTCAGAGCATTCACCAACGCTGGCGGTGCTCGAGGTGGCAATGCTGGCGGATTCTTGCCATCCTGTGCGACTGAGCCAACAAAATGCAATCCCGTAATAATCGACGCAATCGAACGAAGCGCGCGACTCCGCCAGAGAATCGATCTCGACGCCCGTGCCGGCCGACTATGCCATGTCATCCCAATCGTCCCCACAACCAAAAGCACCCTCTGCGTCGTGATCAACCTCAACGGAGGCAGCGTAAGCAGAATCCAAACCGGTGTAACCGCCAACAACCGCACGAACATACTCGTCAACGCGGGCCTCGTCGTCGCCTCCGTCGCGGTCGTCTGCGTGCTCAAAAACTCCGTCAACCGCAACAGTGGATCCAGCAACACATCACATCGATTCGTGAAAATCTGCAGCGTATCCAGAATCTCATCCAAGCTCTTCCTCTGCTGAGAGTCGGAGTCCGCTCGACTCCTCTTCTTCTTGTCGCCTCCCCACGTGGTGCTCGACAGGGGACTGTACCGCCGCGAGTACATGCCCGCAATCAACGCCATCACCACCACCACCGGCCCCGCCCACCGCGTGACATCGTCGCCGTAGAGTATCACGAACCAGAATCCCGCCACCAGCAGGAAATTCTCCCACGGATCGCCCGTCGTCCATGACAGTAACCCCGCGAGGTAATTGAGTGGAACGATGAACGGATGCGAATACGCCAGCGCCCTCGTCACCTGCGGGGGCGTCGCGGCGAGCAGGGCAGATTTCTGATGGATGAGGACCGTCGCTCGGCTGCGGTTTCGGGTCGCGGTCTGTTGGTTGGGCGAGAAGGATGCTACGGTGGGTTCGGGGAGGGTGGTGCTGGTGGTGGAGGAGTCTTGTTGCGTGGCGGCGCCATTTTCATTGCGCTCGTCCGCTGGCCGTGAGCTCATGGAGGTGGTCCAAGGTGTTTCTGCGACGGTGAAGCGCGTGGTCAGTCGCTTGAGTTTCTTCTTCAGGCGGAGGGGCATGTTCTGCGGGCAGCTGCTGCTGCTGCGGCTGCCACCACGACCAAGCGCAGTAGCAGGCGCAGAGGACTGCCACTATCGCAGAACATACATGTAGATAGAATGCTGGAGGAGGGGACAAACAACATACCAAAAGCTGCCATGAAACGAACAAGAGGCGGTCATCACTGAAACGTCCTCGGTGCGTGACGGCGGCCAACAATCGGCATGGCCCTATTAACAGCAGCAACCAGCAGAGGCAGAGCAGCGTGCGAGTTGGAGCCAGCGGTCGTGCTCGGCGTCATGGCAGAGACCATCGTCACCGGAGCGAGGGATGCCTGCTGAGGACCTGAGTTTCCGCTGACATGTGACCCAAACTCGCTGGCTCGGCGGGGCTGGCATGTGTCAATGCGAGCACGATCGGTGGTTGCGCGTACAGTAAGCGAGAAAGACGTGGGATACTTGCTACTACTCTTTGACTATGTACACCACTGGGCCTTTGTATGCTTTTCGCCCTTTGATGAAATACCACGCGATTGAGAGTATCGCGACGCCTCCGAACATGGCACATCCCCAGTTCATCGTCTCCGCCGTCACGGATCTATCCACGGGGAAGAAAGATATGATGACGGTGAATACCTGGTAGACCACCGAAAAGGCGTTGATGTACACCCCGAATCGACCCAGACTCCAGCGAGCAGGCGGCAACGGCTCTCCAAACAGACGACGCCAGAGCACGCACGAGATGCTCACCGCGTACGTCAATCCAACCGCTCCAGTGACGAGCCCCAGAATGGAGTTGAAAGCCGAGGATCCCCCCAGAATCAGCAGTGACAGTACCACCGAGATCGTGAGAGATGCTAGCATGGAGTTGATTGGTAGTGGAGTGCCTCCAATGGTGACCAATTTGGTGAACCACAACCGGAAGGGAAGGCCCTCGTCGCGTGCGAAGCTCCATGCCTGACGAGATCCTGCCGCCACGGCGTTGATGCACATTGCAATGGAGAGGACGATGATGGGAACGGTCATTCCAATAGCACCGGCGTCGCTGTCGACTGCGGTTCGAAAAACGTCGATGAAGGGGTATGTTGAGGTTGATTCGACAATCTGCGAGAGTGTAAGTGGTGACAAAAGCAAGAATACGGATTGCTCTCCTGTACCTGTGTCTGCAGATCTTGAATCGAGAAGACGAAAGTGATGATGGTGACCAGACCCAGTATCCCGTTGATGACAATGGTTCCCATCATCATGCGGGGCACGGTCAGCGACGCATCGCTGACCTCTTCAGCCATATGAGCTGCCGAGTCTGCTCCTATAAAAGCAGATGATGCACTCAGTTGTCCAACGACGCAGGCTGCACCCACACTGCTCCATCCACCGTTGTTCTCGAACTTGGTAAAGACATCCGCAGCAGATGCTTTCGGAGCGAGCGCCCACAGCGGAACGATCACAGCTAAGAAGCCAGCAAGGTGAAGTATCAGCACGGCGCCTTCGAAGCGTGGTAGCAGCTTGGCGCCGAAAGCATTGAAAAGGACCGCCAATACGCAAATGGCCATAGTGATCAGGGTACCATGCCACCGCTCGGGTGTATATCCCGGAGAATGCAACGTCGCGAGGACCAAGATCAAGTTGCCAGCCTGATACGCGGCGACTGCAACGAAGGCTTGCCATCCAAGTGCCGACAGCCAACCAGACAGATAGCTCATGGCCTTCTGTGCTCGAGGAGGCGCGAATTCGCTCACCCAGAAGTATTGCCCTCCACTCGTGGGACTCATGCTGGCCATTTCCGCGAGAGAGGCGATGACGAGCATGGAGCAGAGCCATGTGGCGACGTACACCCAGATGGTTCCTGCGCGGCCACCGTTGATGAGGGAGAAGGTCGAGGCGGTGATGATGCCTAGCCAGGTGCCCTGCGTGAAGTTAGTGCGATGTTCGAACGAGGTCTACCTCCCTTTTCCACTCAAAGTGGAACCATCCCCATTGCTACCAAGCTGTCCAAGCAATCTGGAGTACGACCCAGAGCTTAGTCGCTCTAGCAATCGGAGGGATGTGTGACGATGCCATGCATCGCACTTTGAGCGGGATGATGAGGGATGAGGGTAAAAGGGAGCGGACCATAACAACGCATGTAAGGCCTAGGACGGCGATTGAACGGAATGAGCGCTGTAGTGTGTGTCAGCTCTGGTCCGAGAGGTGAGTAGGTACTCCAACTTTTAGAAGCTGGGTCTTGCCCATGCGGTGCATATCAGTGTCATCGTGAAGCGTATTTATGGTCGCAGACTTCTCGTCCACATCGGGTGAGCCCTCATGTCGAGAGTTCTCGACGACACCCAGCTTCTGGGTATGCATTGTGTGGTCGAAAGCAATCAAACTTGTTGAGCCTCAGGCGAGGGATTGCGCAGTACATATATGTACTCGAGCTTCCCTGCATACAACATAGCTGAGGATCGACAACGTTACTGCAAGTTGCGATGCCCAGAATGCATGGGATTGGCCTTTGTGAATGTTTTGCTCAGAATCGCTCGCAAGCTCCTTCGAAAAGGGCAATGATGGCAAGGAGATAGTGCATCTTGGTCAGCTTAGTCGGACTGGACGGTGGACGCAGGACGGAAAGGTCACCGAAGGCACGTTGCTCAAATAGTTGATACTTGCACCGGTAGCGCCAGAGTGGTCTTGCTTCATCACCTTTTCTCAACCATAAAATGATATTCTGAGACAATGAACCGTGATGCGATCCCACAGTTCATGTCGCTCCATTCGAGATTCGACTACCCGGTAGCTAATCGAGCAATCTTTGCAACGGCAGCATCAAGGCGACGTTGGCCCATTTTGTGCCGTACGGAAGACGTTGTTTGTTGTCAATGGCGGCCTGGAAACGAGCGTTGTTCTGCACGTGAAGGCGTGATGGAAGGAGAACGATCGGGAAGGGATGTGGCTCGGCTCGGGCTCTGGCGCCCCACGTTTGGCTAGCCTAAAAGAGCTTAGCTCACACTGATGTCACAGCGCGTAACGTCAAAGTCAACAAGGCAAGGCAAGCACGTTGTCCAAGATGAGCTCAGAGCTGGCTGCCGCAAACAAAACCCCTTCACTGAAATAAACACCCGTTCGCCTCCCGCCTCTTCTCCATCCAACCCACCCATTCTATCAATCTTGACTACACCACACCACCCACCCACACCCGAGAGAGCACTGCGACACATCGACAATGAAGCTCAACCTTGCGTCCACGTTGGTGGTTGCGCTCGCGACACAGAACGTCGCCGCTGACTGGTTTGGCAAAGCTGGTATGTATCTCACATCTCCTCTTCTCAAGAGCTGTGAGCTTCGTTCTGGTGGCAGCACGAGATCAAGGAGAGTGGTCTGCACCGAGAACAATACTACCCCAATCCCCTCGCCCTGGCATTGCCATTGAGGCTACCAGAAAAGTCATTTCCTTTGTTTCTGGGTCAACAGCACCATGACGCACACCATATATCACTATTCGAATCCAGTCTGACTAACTCGAGGCCGTACAGCATACAACAAGTGGCACGAGACCGAGCTCGAGAGATGGCTGTCTGACCACGACGTCCCATACCCAGCTGCCGCCGACCGCAAGGACCTGGAAGATTTGGTCAAGAACAACTGGGAAAACAACGTGGTCAAGCCCTACAACTCCTGGGATACCAACCGCCTTCAAAGCTATCTTGGTGCGAAGGGTCAGGAGGTGAAGAAGGGCACGGAGAAGAACAAGGACACCCTCGTCGCTCAGGTCCAGAACTACTGGCACGAGACCGCCGACCAAGCCAACGAGGCCTACCACAACGTCGCCAACTGGATCTTCGACACGTAAGTCTGTTAATCCTCCAAACGCTTTCAACCACTAACACATTACAGCTGGACCGAGTCCCAGCTCAAGGCTTTCCTCGACAAGCACGGCATCCCCAACCCTCAGCCACGCACTCGTGACTCCCTCCTCGCCACCGCCCGCTCCAACTACCAGTCGGTTGCCAACAAGCTTGGCGAGTCTGTCAACTACCCCGGCAACTGGCTCTACGAGCAATGGTCCGACTCTGAGCTCAAGGCTTGGCTCGACGAACGCGGTGTCCCCGTTCCACAGCCAGGCTCTCGCGACAAGCTCATCGCCTCTGTCCGCCGTAACGCTAAGATCGCCTCCGACCGTGCCGCCGAACAGTACGCCTCTGCCTCGTCTTCTGCTGCCTCAGCCCAGCAGTCCCTGAGTGATGCGCTGTTGGAGAGCTGGAGCGACAGCCAGATCAAGGAGTGGGCAGACAAGAACGGCATCAAGGTTCCACAGGGCAGCAAGCGCAACGAGCTCATCGCACTCGCTCGCAAGCACTCTGCTCAGTTCGTTCAAGGCAACTCTGCCTCTTCTGCCTCCAAGTCTGCTGCCTCCGCCTACGGTGCCGCCACCTCGAGCGCCGGCAACTGGTTTGCTCAGTCGACCGACGATGCCTACGGCAGTGCCCGCTACTACTACGATTGGGTCGCCAACCAGCTCGGCTTCGCTTCTGCTGATGCCTCCAAGAGCTTGAGCTCTGCCTCGTCCACCGCCAGCGTTGAGGCTTCCAAGTCCTCGGTTGCCGCCTCCAAGTCTGCCTCTTCCGCGTCCGGAGCTGCCGCTAAGTCCGCCTCCTCTGCATCGAAACAGGCCAGCAAGAGCGCACAGAAGGGTGCTGACCAGGCCGGTGAGGCTTACAAGAAGGCCACTGACCGCATCAAGGAGGAGTTGTAAACACAATCACTCTCACAGGACGTATGATAGAGAAGGAAAAGGAGAGAAGACAGGAAGGTGTGTGAAGTAAGGAGGAATAGCGTCTGCCTTTGGGCTAGTAACATCACGACTGCCTTGACGAGAGACCCCACAAGTTGCAATCGGCGCACGAGAATGGATCACGAAGAAAGCAATGAATGACCTGTACTACTAATACCCAGATAGCACGGCGTCCCTAGGGTAGCGAATGACTTGTAATGGATGGCTTCTAAAAGTTGATGGTTATTGTCTTTCTTTTGTTCTCTCACCCAACCGTACAGTCTTAAAATGCTCTGCTCAAGTTTGACACCTCAACACAACGTTTGATTCTCGTGAGCATAAAAGAATGCCAGGGTTAATGGCATCACTTGCCTGCTGCATGCTAGGTGTAGGGGTGATTGAATAACCTTGAATCTGCGTCGAGTAGCTATTCTCATGTTCGACATTACTGTACACAACGTCGACACGGACACCGAAGCGCTCCGATGTGCGCGTGCTGGTTTATAGGTTCAAAGAACAAGGCCTGGCCTTCATGATGGAGAAATCAAATGATTGTTCTTGTCGGTCTTGTTCCGAATTTCCCCAATCCTTCCAGGTTGGTATGTTCAGCGAGGGGTATTGTTTTTTTCGCCACATTCCTCGGAAGGGAAGCTATCGTGTCTTTCTGAGTTAAAAAGGGTGGAACGGAGTGACTGCTGTGATCTTCACTGGACCTCTTCTCCGCCTGTACATTTACCTGTTGCGCAGACTGTCATGTCCCATGGAGAGACGTCTAGGTCTACGAGCTTGTTTGCTTGTCAGAGGTTAGGTTGCTGTGGGCTTTGCTTGCTGGCTGCTTCTGGGACCACCACCGGTAAGCATGTGGTGGGAGCCGGTCTCTTGAGGCTTTCTCTTAGCCATCTGTTCTGATGCGTCGGGTACAGGAACTGTTGTGTGGAGGAGGCGGCAAAGTGCGCTCGAGCCGTGTCCGTGTCCGTGGAGTGTTCGGGGTTTGTTGCTATTCTTGAGGCTGTTGTAGTGCTCGAGGAAGAGTTGGAGAACTGGCGTGTTGATAGGATTGGTTTCATGTGAGTAAGGAGATGAGAGTAAGGTTTCTAGAGGTGCTCGATGGAATGATCGGGGCGAGAGAGGGAGAGAAAGAGCGTGAGTACTTGATGATCAAATTGGGGTGCGCAGGACGGCATAGTGACTTCGTGGCGAACAGAGAAGATGAGGATGGTGATAAGAAAGATCTGACGTTCTGAACCTACCATCAGAGCTGTCAAAATATGATTTGTCCGTCGTCCGACACAGGAAAAGCGTAGCATTGTTTTATGGGACGGTGGACACGATGCAAACAGCGATCGTTCAAGAAGTCATTCATCGAGCCTGAGTCCAGGTCTTTGCAAGCTCTCGCCATGAAAGCCTGAAGTGGGTGGCCGTCAACACGCTACATCATCGTGCTGCTTCTTTCTCCTGCATCGTGCATATAGCTGACGATGCCTTGGATCATGTCGGGACCAGCACCGTCAATCCGGGTTTTATTGCTGTGCGCGTGGGTCTTGTTATGTGAATTGCAGAACATTCAGCCCTATCAGAACGAGTGTCCGCTTGGAGTTGCTGCCGTCAGCTTGAAGGAAGGGCGGAGCCATGATGCAATGAGATGTCAATTTCGTATTAAATGCGGCCGAGGAGGGACAGGCAGCTCGTTGACGTCCGTCTTTTCGCGATTCTCGGATAATGGCTTTGTTGCGAGAGGTAGAGCAAAAGAACCTGTTCAGCTGTCCCTGCGAACTTGCCGAAATGGTAGACGCCGTCGAGCACTGCCAGATCCTCGAAAGCGAAGCGTGGCCGAGGGCATTCCTGTTCCTGAAGAGCTGAAACACGCTGATACTGCATTTAGATAAAGCCTATCGTTTGGCTCGTCCAATTGCTTGCAGATGCGAGGAATCCCTCCGACTCCTTCGGATTCCTGGTGCTGGTTTCTTGCTTTGCACTGCCGTCTCGAGTCTTGGCTTCTTTTCAAAGCGTCATGTCATCGTCGAGGCCACCATCGCCGAGGCATGTTTTCGAAACCCCTCTGTAGTCGAGAAGTATTGGATGCAGTGGTCACCAGGACAATGACGCAGGCGCGAAAAGATGGAGAACACGATGCAAGAGGTGAAGTCGGAGAGATTGTGCGCCAACCAAGCGCCTCCCCGGAAAAGAGATCGGCGCTTGGGCCTTGGGCTCATTCTCGGCAGCGGCAAGTGGAGCGATGCGCTCAGCCTTCCACTCCAACATCACCCGCCCATTCTAATCAAGTCTTAGTTAGCCTCGCCAGCTAATTAGGCGGGCGAACCACACGTCCAGCCTATTCTCGACCTCCTGACCCGTCTTTTGACATCAACAACGCACACATGTCATCGTCATTCACCGACCCTTCCTCTTCTTCTCCACGATCTCTTCCCTCCATCGGGAATCTGCAGTCCCACGTGAGCATTCCCTGGCGAGCGTCATACAGCAGATCGCTGTGCAAGGCCAGACGAGAATCACCACGCAAAAGACACGGCCCAAGAGAGTGGGTTGCGATACTTCACTCACACGCGGACACGTGTGAAGCGCGCGCGCCCTTTCATCATCATAGGCTTGGGCCTCTCAGCGAATGGAGCCCAGTGCGCCTTGGGTCTCGTGTTTCATGCCTTGCACAGCCGGCTCGCAAACCCTGAACTATACATATGACGAGCCTCGAGAGTTTGGCTGTCTTGTGCTTCGCCCATGGCCCCCATACGGAGGGTTCTTATGTCGATCCATCCTCTTCTGCAGCAGTTCTTGGATCATGTCCCGTCGCTGTCATCCACCAAGGAACTATGCAACTTGTTGTTTGTCGAGGTGGATGCGAGAGTTAGGTGCACGTGCCTCTATTGTCCTATTCACCCACAATCAGATGTCATTGAGCTTATAGGCACGGATGTCCGGCTTGTGTCGGCTGGTCGAGTATAAGTCCAACCTCTTGGTCCGACAAAACACTTCTTTCTGAAACATCTCTTCCTTTCTTCTTGCTGACAGCAACACGCACGGCATTGGCTAGAGTTTGTTCCATTCGATACATCTTCGGTCCTCGACTTTCGCTATGAAGCTCCTCATCTTACCAGCTTCATTGCTATACCTTGCCTTCACCACCGCATCGCCTCTTGCAAAGCGAGACTACCCTGCAGTCGGCGCCTGTTCCGGACAATGCTCTGGACGCCTTCACGACCCGAGTGTTGTCTACCGTGCAGACACCAAGACCTACTACCGCTTCGCCACGAATGGTAAGTCACCGACATCCAACTGCTCGTACAGCCTGACTGACGTCTCGACAGATGGCATCAACACCGCAACCGCCCCCCGCCTCAGCGGACCATGGACTTTCCAAGGCCCAGCCATGCCAGACGGCTCCAGCATCGACCTGCCAGGGAACCATGACCTCTGGGTATGCATGCACAACCACCCCAATCCCCCGACCCACCATCCCTGTCTAACACCGCAAATAGGCTCCCGACGTCTTCCACCTCGACAACACCTACTACCTCTACTACTCCGTCTCCCAAATGGGCTCCATGAACTCCGACATAGGCGTCGCCACCTCCCCCACCATGGACCCGGGCTCCTGGACCGACCACGGCAGCATCGGCATCCCCAAAGACTCGCGCTACAACAAAATCGACGCCAACCTCTACTTCCCGTCCGGCGCCTCCGCCCCCGTCCTCAACTTCGGCTCCTTCTGGCAAAACATCTTCCAAGTCCCCATGAACAACCCCCCACTCACCATCTCCTCCCCAACCGCCACGCACCTCGCGCAAAATACCACCACTCGTCCCGCAGGCCTCGTCTCAGGCTCCATGGAAGGCGCCTACCAATTCCAATGGAACGGCTACACGTACCTCTTCTTCTCCTCGGGAAACTGCTGCAACGAACCCGCCAACGCCACGAACCCGGACCAATCCCTCGCCCCATCTGGCGAAGAGTACCATATCATGGTCTGTCGCTCGTCCTCGCCATCCGGCGGCTTCGTCGACCAGCAAGGCCGGGATTGTCTGACCGCCAACGGCGGCACGATGGTTCTGGAGAGCCATGGCGACGTCTATGCGCCTGGAGGACAGGGGGTTATGTATGATCCGAATCTGGGCGCGCCGGTGGTTTATTACCATTACGTGCGGCCAAGTGTGAGTTATGCGTATGATGAGTTTTTCTTTGGCTGGAATCGGTTGAGTTTTGCGGGTGGGTGGCCGGTGGTGGTTTGAGAGGGACATGAGTATTGCGGATGAGGATGATGACTGATTGATTGATGGATTGATTGGTGATACCCTGGGTTGCAGCTTCTTCGGGAAGGACTAGCAGCGAGAGATACGAGAACAAAGCCTCTAACGAAGACACGCGCAAATGAAACGAGCAAAGCTTTTCTGCATTGTCGACCACTCCACACCGCATCCAACTCCTCTTCCTTCCACTACACTACACCTTCCTCCTAACCAACCCCTTCAAAAAATCAAAACTATTACTATCACTCTGCAACTCCACCCGCCTCCCCACACCCCGCTCAACCACCTCCTCCGCAACCAAAAGTCCCCAATCCCGAGTGATGCCCTGAATCCTCGCCTTAACGCCCCCTTCACTCTCCAACGTCACAACCTGCCCGCTGTGCAGCCACATCTCGTAGTACTCCTTCTCGAACTGCAAGTCGAAGCCCACGACGCAGAAACGCGCGTAGAGGGCTTCGAAGGCGGAGAGGATGGAGGCGAGGAGTTTTTCGAGGGTGAGGGGTGGGAGGGGTTTGTTGGTTGGGAGGAGTCGGGAGAGGGAGGTTGTGGGCGAGGAGGACTCGAGGACGTTGAGGCCGATGCCGAGGATGAGGGTATAGTCTCCGCCCGAGTAGGAGGTGTTGACGAGGATGCCGCCGATTTTGACGTACGCGGCTGGGTCGGTGGGTGAGGCGGCGGGGTCGAGGGCGTAGACGTCGTTGGGCCATTTTAGGCGGATGGGGAGGGTTTCGTAGCCGCGGTCGTAGGTGCGGATTCCTTGCACGACGGCCATGGCGGCGAGGTATTGGACGAAGACGACGGGCGCGGAGCTGGAGAGCGTGAGGCTGTGTTTGAAGACGGTGCTGAACATTAGGCTGCCCGGTGGGGACACCCAGGCGTTGGTGCCGCGGCCGCGGGCGGAGATTTGGGTGGTTGCTGTGGCGGTTGTGCCGATGGGGAGGGTGGAGAGGAGCGTTGGGTTCTTTTCGAGGAGCGTTTGGGTTGAGGTCATAACTTCGCCGTAGAGGAGGACGCGGCCGTAGTCGCCGGCGATGCCGGGGTGTTTGGTTTTGTAGTGTTGGAGGTTGGCGAAGAAGGCGTGGTGGTTGAAGTTGGTGGTATCCTTCGGATCTGGTAAGGAGGTTGTGTGCAGGCTGAGGCGTGTGGTGATGGCATCAGAGTCGGGGGTTCTGTCGACGGTCGAATCAGCCTTGTTTTGCTCATCCTCGACTGGCTTGGCTTTGGGCTTGGTGGGTGTGGTGACAGCGTCGATGAGCACGTCTGCGGCTTTCTTGACAGGCGAAGGCAGAGCATCTTTCATACTACTCATGCTCCATCGATCATCATCTCTCTCGAGCTTGAACGTGTCTTGCTCGCCTTTGATGATCTGCTCGCCCGTTTCATCACTGATGATGCCCGCCTCTTGCCAGGATTGCAGCAAGTCCGTAATCTCATCGGGCTGGGAGAAAGAGAGATGTAAACGGGAGAGAGACGGTACCGCTTGATCCTCTTGGCTCACTTGGAGTCCAAGTTTGGTTAAGCACGCCTTCATGAAGTCTGTCCTTGACTTGTCGTCCGCTAAGAGAGCGTCCACGATCTTGCTGTAATCTGGGTTTGATGGTTCGCTGCGGTTCAAGTTCATGCCCGCGAATCTAGCACGAATCCATTAGCATCTCAATGACAAGAATGGGGCTGCACATACTCTGGATGTGGCCCAGTCAGAAGAGCAGCACCCTCCCCAACCTTCCGAAAGACCACAGCAGCCTTAATTTTGCCTCCCTCGACATGCAACTCCTCCTTGAAGCTCGCCAATACTTCCACACCCTGCTCTTGAAACTTCTCGGCATCGACAAAGACTCCGCCGCCATTGTAGTAACTCTTGAAGTGCTGTGTTGCCGCACTCGTCAGGGCATCTTGGTTGACCTGTAGCTCAACTGCCCTCGCACCCGCCTCGCTCTGATAAACGAAGCCCGCAAACGCGAGGCCTCTACAGGTTCCAGGAAAGAAGCCAAGTTCTCTATCCCCAATAACTTCCATGCCTTTCTTGCCGACTTCAAATTCGCATTTGCTCGCTCCGTAGTATCCCCCAGCACAGAGGCCGAGATACTTGCCGCCCATCTGGACGTATTGCTTTATCCTTCGGTTTCCAGCACCGTTCAGCATCCGACAATAGCCTGCATCTGCTCCACCAGGGAATACGAGCAGAGCACATGTCGCAAGCCATGGTTCTTTGAGGAGCTGGTCGGAAGAGATTGTTTGCACGGTGTAGTTGGGGCCGAGGAGGCGACGGAGAGACCAAGTGGCATGGCGTACAGAGGATAGAGAGGCTCCTGGGCCGGTGTATATGAGGACGTTGACCCTCTTGGTAGTCGAGGACATGGTGGCGAAAAGTGGTCACGTGTGGGGTTGATGTCTTTTTCGTCTCCCGTTTTCGTCCTTCAACGAATCATCAAAGATTTTGCGAGTTGTGAAATTGCAATGTCGAATACCGAGAAGGACAAAGCTGCGCCCGGGGAAGTCGAGGATGATGATGAGCCTGATGAATGGTGTGTTGAAAAGGATCCAGCTAGCTTTGGGGACCCGAGTCTGACTTCGAACTTTTGTAGGGACAAGCGGATCTTCAGTACCGGATGTGCTGGTACGGCGACCGACAAGAATCGCGTCTCATCAATGCTAATGTCTCATAGATGAAAACACCACCCTGAACGACTGCTTCCGGGACAAGAAGGACTGGAGAGCTTGCAAAGACGAGGTGAGTCGAGAAAAGCACCTACAATATGGTTCAGCATGTGTACAGGTTGGCTAGAGCAGAATGGCTTTTCTAACAGTTCAATGCCTAGATGGAGGCTTTCAAGCAGTGTTGGAAGCGGCAAGGCAATGACCAGAGGACCGACTCGAAAGATGTTTGAGGGTCGAGAGAAGGTGTCAACTGGTAGCTTTGGGCAAACGAGGAAGCTGGAGAACGGCGGCTCTTTTCTTGTCAACAATCCATCAATGCAATCAAGCGAGCACGCTGCACATTGCTAGGACTTTGTACAAAATACCAGTAATGTCCAATCAATGCAATAGTTCAAGACCCTCAAAGATTCACATGCTTTCTCCCCTCGGCAACGCCCGCACCCACCCGAAACCCTGCCGCGAACCTCACTGCATGTTTCATCGCATCGCCATAGCTCCCAAAAACCCATCCACCCTACAATGCCAGCACCCGCCTCAAGACGGGCCTTCTCCCGCCTCCTCACCACCCTGCGCACCCCCTCCACCCACCGCCGCGCCTTCTCCTCCATCCCCGCACGACAGCAGCAACAACAACAACAACCCCAACCCGCCACCACCCCATCTCCCCAAACCGCCGCCCAAGTCCAACACGACCTCTCCCCCTCCGACGAATCCCAACCCCTCCGCTCCCTAACCGAAGGCCTCTCCGACCCCCCGCCCATCCTCTCCGAAGATGAAAAACAAGTCGACTGGACCCGCTCCTTCCACGGCCTCTCCTCCTCGCCCTTCACGCCCGAGCAATCCGACATCTTGCAGCAGAGATTGGATTTCGATGATATTGAGATCAAACCCGATGGCATCGTGTACTTGCCGGAGATTAAGTATAGGAGGATTTTGAATCGCGCGTTTGGGCCTGGCGGGTGGGGGCTTGCGCCGAGAGGGGAGACGATTGTTACGGGGAAGGTGGTGACGAGGGAGTATGGGTTGGTTTGTGGGGGGAGGTAGGTCAACATGAAAATCATTCTCTATATATACAGAGGGACGTGTCACTGATATTTTAAATCTAGATTAGTCTCCATCGCCCGCGGCGAACAAACCTACTTCGACCCGGATGGCATCCCCACCGCGACCGAAGGCTGCAAATCCAACGCCCTGATGCGGTGCTGCAAGGACCTGGGCATCGCGTCTGAGCTCTGGGATCCGCGGTTCATCAAGAAGTTTATGGCGGAGATGGGGAAGGAGACGATGGTGGAGCATGCGGCGACGAAGAAGAGGAGGAAGCATTGGATGCGGAAGGGTGATGAGGTGAAGTATCCTTTTAAGGATATTGGGATGCCTGGGGCTGGGACGGGTGGGAGTGGGAATGGTGGTGGGGGTGTGGCGGCGCAGGCGGGGAGGGCTTATAGGACGACGACGAAGACGGCGGAGAAGACGGCGGAGAAGAAGTGAAGAGGGGGTAGAAGAGGAAGATATGCATTTGGATAATTTGTGGCCTAAACATGGCTTCAATCGCACGAGGCAAAAGAACCGCCTCCGAAGGGACACGATCCGGCCGGGACGAGGAAGGTAGAAGAGATGGCATGTATACCAGGTGTCTCGACAACGGACACCACAGAGCCGAGGATGGCTCACATTGTACAGAATAGACCAAAGACGTCGACCACTTTCAACTCTGTATAAACAATGCCTTCGACGACCAAGACAGCCTCGAGTGACGTGAACGTGACCGAGAATGTCAAATCTCAAATTTCAAGTCGCGATAAATACAGGGTATCTCAAAAAACAAACCCACACACACTCTCTCACTCTAAACATTCTAATCCATCGTACCAGTATCGCTGCACAAATCCCCCAACATCCCCCTACCCCCTCCACCACCCACCCACATCTCCTAATCCATCTCCGTCCCCATCCCCCCACCCTTCCCTGTACCCGCCACCCTCTTCCCCTTCTTCAACGGACCAACCTGCTCCTCCACACTCTTCCGCAACCCCATCTCCGCCACCGTACTCCCCGGACTCTGCGGCGTCTTAACCAGCGGCTCCGGCTCCTCGACCAAAGCCTCGGACACGACCGCATTCGTCTCCACATCCTCTGCATCAAACGTCGATTTCTGACTCGCTTTGCTCGGCGTCGCCGCTTTGACTTCCCTCACACTTCGCGGGGAACGCGGAGACGTAGGCGCGAGACCGCGGTGTCCGTCTGTGAACGACGCGGTCGATGGCGACGCGGGAGGGGTGGTATGCGAGGATTCCGGACGGTGGTAGGCGTTCTCGGGTTTCTTGGGCGGTGCAGGGTTGGGGTTTATGAGTCGCGCCACGAGGTTCCGCTCGTCGACCGCGTCGCTGTCTTCCCCGTCGGAGCCTTCGAAATATGAGTCGTCCCACACGGCGCTTTCTTGCCGACTCAGCACGCTCTTGCGCGAGCTGTAGGAGCCCTCGGCGCCGTGCCTAGAGACGTCGAGGGCTTTCAGTTCATCGCGGGCTTCGCGCGTTTCGCTCTGCGTGCGGGGTGGGATTTGTTTGGAAGTTTGGCTGTTGACTTGTTCGCCCGTGCTGGGGTCGATGGGCGCATCCATGGGTTTGGCGCGTTCGCGGGCGGGCTCGTCTTCGTCGCGGGTTCGCGCGGCGTGCGTGTCGGCGAAGTGCGTGTCGCAGAGATGTTTGACCACGGGCCAGCCGTAGGCGTTGGCGAACATGCGGCGGACGACCATGTTGTTGTGGGCGTCGGGTTCGAGGCGGACGAGGACTTTGCGCCAGCTTAGGTCGCGGTGGTAGGCGCGGGCGATTTTCTCTTCGACTTTCATGCCACCAGACTCTGTTGATGAGGCTGTGTCGTTGCTCTTGATGGAGACATCTGAAGTGTTGGATCTTTGACTCGATTTCAAGCTCCCGTCAGAACCAAAGGACATCAGCTTGGTGCCACTACGCTTTGCTGGAGGAGGTGGAATGTCTTCTGGGTGGTAGACACGATCGTGGAAGATGGTTCGAGACCGCGTGCTTGGATCTGTAATCCACTGCCGGCTAGGCAATGGAGGATGCAGAATATCACCAGCGGACTCGAAGATAGACGTCTTGGGAGGCGCCTGAAGTTCACCATTGGCCGAATGTGTCAGGCTGTCGCCTCGTGTCGCCGCTGGTCGCTTCTGAACTTGACCAGTGTGGAAGTGAGGCATGTGTGGTCGCATTGTTGGGTTATGGTACGTCTCCCCGTCGTGATCATCCGTAACGTTGTCGCTGCTCTCATCGTTTCCATGGTAGACGGTCTGGGCACGACGCAAAGCCTTGGTCGTCTTTTTAGACGTTGGTGGCGGCGCCTTGACCTTGTCAGGGGTGTTTGGACGGAAGAAGTTGAGAAAGCCGCTGAACATGCCCGCGTTCTGCTCTGGCGTGACCTGCTTGCTGACCGAAGCCTGAGGACTACTTTGGCGGGATTGTGGATCCGAACTCTCTTCTTCGTAGCTGATGCGGTTCGTCTGTCGCTTGTTGTCCTCGGCGGTTTCATCTTCCGCAGGCTGAGGCACAGCATCGCCTTCGCCTTGACGGACGTGTTCGTTCTGCTCGTCTTCTGAGTCCCCCGTTCGCTCTGCGCGGACATTCGGAGGAAGTTGAGAGGCGTTGGCTCCTATCAACTCAGCCCAGCCCCATTCAGCGACTGTACCGATCAGGCCGTTCTCACGCCGTGCTTTTTCCACCTTGCCCAGTCCTCGCCAATCCAAGAACAGGAGACAGCTCGTACGGAGAGGCACGATACCGTCATTGACCACATTGGAGTAGACCGTTCGATTGCGGAACATCTTTAGGACGTGATGAGCTGGACCTGTTGGCAAGATACGCAGAAGAGGCTTGGCAGTAGGATCCTCCTGCTTCTTGTTTGGGTCGTCCTTCTGGTTCCCATTTCCAAAGCTGCCCATCATAGCATTCCATCCTTTGCTGGCTATGGTGGGTGGCCGCCAAGTAAGACCGAGATCTTGACCAGTCCGACCGACCAGTCCGAAGTCAAGCGCGAACTTGACATACATGGGGTTCTCGTTACTCAGACCAAGCATTGGGGAAGCCATGCAGATGAAGTTCACCGGCTTGATTTGTTGAAAGAAAGTCGGGCTGTGCTTATGGATGTAAGCAATAGCGTAAGTTTGGATGAGCCCCCCCAAGCTGTGTCCAACAAACGATATGCTGGTGAACTTGTAGGGAAGATCCTCTGCTTTCTTGGCATGATTTGGCGTGTGTACGCTGCTCCCCTCGTGAGAAGGTACGCCATCTCGTTTGGCTTTGTTGTCGGCACTCGCAAAAGTGTCGGTGAATTTGCGCGTAAAGTTTTTCTTGATGGGCAAGAATGGCTGATCCGGATATGTGAAGCGCAGGATGTACTTAGCAAGCCTTTTGCCCAGGTATTGAATGCCATTCTCAGTCTTGACTGCATTGCCTGGGAAGCCTCGAACGATGGTCTCTTCTTCGTCGTCGTCTTCTTCTGGCGGCGCATCGTTGTCACGCTCTTCCTGTCCACCAGATAAGGGGGCGGTCGCGGTGGCGGTGTTTTCTTGGCTGCCTGTCAATTCCTCGTTTAGTTGCTTCGAAGGTTCATCCGATCCAGTCTCGGTCTCTGTCGTTTCACTCTTCTGCGACTCTTTATAGGCCTCTTTGCGTTTCTTGGCATCTTCTCTCGCCTGGGCGACAGTAGCATCAATGCTCTCCTTCAAGAATAACATGTCTGCGCCGATATTGCTATGCAAGCCATGCGTGACCACGACCAAATGAACCTTTCTCCTTTTGCGCTCCTTCTTAGGCTTCGTCTCCTCCTCTTTCCGTTCGACATTTATTGACTTCCTACTCTTCTTATCATCCTCGTCATCCCACGATGGCAACGGCGGCTTGTCCCACAGCGCCTCAGTATCCTCCACGACCAACCTCACAGCCTTCGAGTATACGCCTTCATGCTGTACGTGGCCCCGTCTACGTGCCTCCTTGCGCTCTCGTTCCGACTGCACTTCTTTGATCTTGCCTGGGCCCCCATGACCCTGACCCGCAACAGCCGCAAACCCAAAGTCCAAACTCCTCTCGTCTCTTCCAATGAACATTTCAAATTCCACAGAAGCAGAGTTTGAGAACAGAATCTGTGATGCAATCTCTACAATCCAGGTCACACTGCCCTTATCAGACTCTTGATTCTGCGAACTCTGTGTGCTCCTTCTCCGCCCCAAATGCGCCCCAGTCTCTCTTATCTCTTCAGGAACCAGCAACTTCGCAGACCAACTCCCACCAGCCTTGACCATAGGCTCATACTCCGGCACTCCATCTCGTTTCGGGTTCTCGACTTTATGGTGTGGGTTGAACGTCGCCGGGTAAGCCGCGACGTGTAAGGTGTAAGGACCATGGACCCAGGCCGCGCGCAACGGGATGGCGCATGTATTCTTGACTTTCAGATGCAAATGCGAGGGCGTCGGGAGGATGCGATCGTTGCTCGGGGTGTAGGTCAAGGTGTATCGCACGACTTCACCGACTTTGACGCTGCCGGCCTGGTGGACCAGCAACATGTTCCCGGGCTGGTGGAGTCGGCGTCGCTCGTGGACCGCGGGATCAGGCTGCTTGAAGAAGGAGAAGCCGGCGCACTTGGGCTCGGTCGAGTCGAAGTGTTGGTCGGGCAGCAGTAGTAGCTTGAACAGCCGCGGCTGGAGGAGCATTCACTTGTGCAACGCTAGCCAAAGTATGCTATCGTGCTAGGAGTACCGATCCAGTCTCGCAGGTCGCCATATCGTCTTTATGTTTGATCTCTCTTGAGTATGAGAGACAGGTGTTCGCGTGAGTGGGCGGGTCAGTGAAGGTCGTTCGAGACGGAAGCCGTCCATGCCGAAGAGGCGCGTGCCCTTCAAAACGACGTCAAGCTTCCAAACAAACTTTCGCCCACGTGCCTGCCGGTACCGCGGATCCTGTATCTGCCGCGGCCTCCTATCCGCGTATTTCGTAACATACATCCACCTCGCATAAATCTCGAAGTACGCATACGCTATTGAGGCGCAGTATCGTGGCATGCGTATACTTGAGAAAAGGAGAAACCAAACGTGGTTTGAGTGTAGCCGTACCTGCTGCATCTCTCCGGCATCAACAACACCCTTGGACTTCAGGCTTGCTCTGAATTTCCCATCCTCAACCACCTGGATATCGGGATTATATAATTATGCCATGAGCCTCCTGCTGGACCGCTCTTGGCTACTGGCTGACCGACATGTTGTCATCGAATCCTGTCAAGACTGGGCGTTCTTCCCCTTCCTTGTAAAGGATAGATTCATAGGCGTAGCGCAGAAGCACCTTACTTTCGTCATACGATGAGATACAGCTATACACAAGAGACAGGCCACACGAAGACAGCAAGAAACCACGTCGAGCCCCGATGGTCCTGAAAGCCCTCTGTACTCTGCTGAGATCCGCCGCCCGTCCTTGAAGCCCTACTTCCAAAACGCCGGCTCGTCCTCGTCATCTACGATTATCCTTTTCTTCCAGAAAGCCGGTTCATCCTCATCGTCGACGATTGCCCTTTTCTTCCAAAAAGCCGGCTCATCTTCGTCGTCCACGATACTACCACGTTTTTCTGCCCCGGGTTAGTGACCTTCACGATACAGTCCAGGACTCGTATGGACTTGCCCATGGGTCTCGCGTTGACGAGGAGAGCAGAGAAGCCGAGCAGGCATAGGACAGTAATGAACTTCATCTTCAGAGAAGTGCACGAGTTCCGAGAGTTTGAGTGGGTTTGCCTCTAAGTAACGTATCAATGTTGCCACTAATAAATACTCGCAGGCTCTTCACACATCTCCATTGCCAATGTTACATCGCAGCACCCTCAAAGTATACAACCAGGACGATGTCCATTTCTTGCATCGGACGCAACTTCATCACCAAGTTAGTAATGCATGAGCACGCAGTCAGATTCAACACTGAGCAGCTTCCACCATTCAGGACAACTTTTTCTAGTAGCTCGTTCAGTCACCGGTATCCTATCGCATGTGATTCTAAGTGCTCTTGATCAAGCGCGACCCCTTGGCCTCTTGTGGTATAGTAGCCCGAGAATTGCCATCGAAGGAAGGTGACATCCAGCTGATATGCATCCAGTGTTACCCACCGTGATCGTACATGCTTCTCGTTCAGGTGGCATTGGCCACCTCGAAAGCTAGGTAGGGCTCTTGCCGGCGAGCTGCCATCCAGCGCTTGACTTCTTCGACTGAGTTTCAATTCTTGGTCAGACCAAGCAGTCAACATCAGAACATTGCCCTGGAAAGACGAACAGAGCATGGAGAAAGACAGCGGGCATGCTTTGCTCGATCCCCATTTCGAGACACCAGAAGACCAGGATTCAGCCTCGACGCTCTCGCCTTGGCCTTATACGGAAAGACATCAGCGAAATCGTCCATACTGTCTGGCGCCAATACGCACATGGCTCTGGGCCCTGATTGTCGTGGTACCATGGTGCATCTCGGGTGCACTCATGTTCTACATTGTCAAAACCACTTCCTGGGGTCACGACAGATTCCGTCAGCCAAAACTGTTCCCCTCGCAGATGACATATTCGCCCGCGCAAAACGAAGTCGAGTACAAAGTCAGGGTCTTTGAGCAAAACCTCGAAGACGCCCCGCTCGAATTTCGACATCCTGATACTGTCGACCAGGCATGGAGTGATTTATACAATTGTATGGAATGCTCTTCTCCATGGCTGGCAGCTCCTACTGATGGGACCCGATAGTTGGGATGAGTGCTATCTCAAAGAACGAAGCGTCCAAGCTCACAAATTACACCACAAGGCTTTCGCCAGGCCACCCTGAATATACGGTCCAACTGGATGTGTTTCATCAACGCATGTGCAGACAACAACCAATGAACATGCTGATCGCTAATGCTGCACAGTCCACTGCCTCAACGCCCTGCGACAAGGTCTACAGCCGTACTACGGCATGAAGAACGAGTCCTGGCATCGCCTCACCGTTGAAGAGAAGGCTCGCTTTCGAAACGAGTCTCCCAAGCAAGCAAGCCACATTCACATCGATGCCCAACACATCAATCATTGCTTGAACTCCCTCCGCAATTCCATCATGTGCCATTCGGACGTCAGCACGGTCGTGTGGCACTGGGACCAGCCGTCAGATAGCAGGAAGGCTTTCAATCGGGGCTTCTTGACGGTACCGCATACCTGTCGGTAAGTCACGTCACGCCGTCTCCCGTGCCACTGTCACCGTCAACGATGGACCGCTCTGATGTCTCATTGCAGCAACTTCGAGAGGATCAGGGAGTGGGGCCGTTCGAGGACAACGGAGAATGAGCTTGATCTTTATACTCGGCCGCCGGAAGATGATATCGTGATTCCTACGTTTCCATAACAGATCCGGCGGCGTGCAAGGCTGTGGTTGACGGCCAACCGGACACAAGCTGGATTTTCCAGAATAGCGGCGTGTGGTGTCAGATTCGGCTCACCGCATTACGTACGGCGAAGATAAGCGATACGATGCGAGCACGATCGTGGAAGTGCAAAAAGCCCATAACTCAACAGTGTATGTTAGCTATGGGCGAAGCCATTTCGAACAGAACCGTGTACGTTATGAATAGGCGCTTGCCAGAACTTTTGGCAAGCTCCGCGACTGCATTCGGCGGAGCTGCCACAACGGCTGCTTCACATGTCAAAGCCGCTCTCACCCAGACATTCACCTACAAAATATCCCGTCCAGGCCCAATTCTTTAGCTGGTATGGTATATCGGTGACACAAAAAGCTATGATTCCTGTACATGCCGCCCTTCGAGACGTCCTGCGGTATGGTCACCCCCAGAGTCATCAATGCTTCGTCTGACCGCTCCCAGCCACGACCTCGGCTTACGATGCCTGAGGACTGCCGTCCCATCTGGTCGAGTGTACAGACAACTACGGCCAAAACCCGCGGCTCGATGTCTTGCAACAACATCTCGAAGAGCAGAACCTCTGCCCTCGTCTAACAACCGACTTGGCCAAGACACGCCTTTCGATCGATTAGGTGGTTCACCCAAGGCATTCAAGGCTTCTGCGAAGCCGGACCATCTGTTGAATGCGAGATATCGTTCTGTTGGTCAACCCTCGACATCTGTAGCTTGGTCTCAAATTGATGGTTCTGCAGCATCCTATCCCGAGATTCGAAGGCGAAGGCGTGCCTCCTTTGTCCCTTCTGTTCGAGAATGGAGAGCTGAAAGTATACGATGAAGCTGAGAATCATTCTACGAAAGTGTGAGTTCGAAAGTGATGGTTCCAATACGGCCTGCTGACCCTATCTAGGCCTGGACGGTGGTTAAGGTAGATCGCAAATCGTGCCTTCAGTCCATTCGATCTGACAAGCCAGGGATAATTGCTCCGACAGCCGAAATCACGATACTGCCCAGCGGCAGATCAATGTCTTCAGGGTAAGCTCGATATAACGAATCCACGCTCGGGATCTGATAGGTGCCTAGGGAGATATCAATACCGACATCGCCAACTGCGAGATTGCCGGCGACTACATCACCGTCACTTGTGAGCTGCTCATCAATCGAAAGTGCAACTGGTACTGACCAGTCTATGCAGTCGGCGACGGCCACAAGAGCAAGTACCCAGTTGCGTCAATTCTCAAACGGAGAGGGTACAAGATGACACAGGCTCGATTTGGCATTGCACCGTACGCTCTCAGCATGCCTGTTTTGTCACGCCCAAGCCGACTGACCCTTTGCAGGATATCCATATGGGACGCAGACATTGCAAGGGCACCTCCTGCTGTACCGTACTCGGCAATGGTCCACAAAGCTGGGATGGCCTCGCTGTTGCATAAGATTGTGAGTGTATTGTTATCTCAAGTCAGCTCACTAATTTGCTAATTGGGTGCCAGCGAACATGGGGATTCTGTGTGGTTGAGAATATGCCTGCTACGCCTCAGGCTACTGAACAGCTTCTTGAATCCATTGGACCGATACGAAACACTCACTACGGTATGATCTCCGTGCACAGTCAGATATGCATGGGGAGCTGACCTTCTCTCAGGCGCCTTCTACGACTTTACTGCCGACCTCTCTTCAAAAGACACAGCTTATACAAGCGAAGCACTAGAGCCTCATACTGACAACACCTACTTCACCGAACCTGCAGGACTCCAAGCCTTACACATGCTCTCACACACGGAAGGCACCGGAGGCGAAAGTTCCCTCGTTGATGGCTTTGGCGCAGCAGTCCAACTCTACGTCGAAGATCGCGAAGCGTACCTCACCCTCAGCGAGACAGGCGTCTACGCTCACGCCAGTGGAAACGACGGGATCAGCATCCAACCCTCGCAAGCCTTCCCAACGCTCTCCCACGACCCAGAACTGGGCTATCTCACTCAAGTCCGCTGGAACAACGCCGACCGTGCTGGCGTCGCCGCTGACTATGATGCACTGGATCAATGGTACGACGCTGCGGGCAAATTCGACAAAATCCTCAATGATCCCAAGAACCAGTACTGGTTCCAGCTAGAGCCTGGCCAGACGCTGCTTTTTGATAATTGGCGAGTCTTGCACGGACGAGCTGCTTTCACAGGCAAGAGACGAATGTGTGGTGGTTACATCCCAAGAGACGACTTTATCTCCAAGTACCGCATAATGTGTCTGAGCGCAGAGGATATCAACTTCTCGACAGTGACGGGATGATTGATGAAGGCCAATTCAACAGGCGACGAAGCGAGATGAAATGAATGGATGATTGAGTGAAATACCCCGAATTCGCCGAGTCAATGCAGAAAGAGATAGGAGTCCAGATATCTAACTAGAAAAGCCGCAAGGTCTGCTGTATTGTTTCGTTTCCTGTCACGTGTCAGACGAAGGAATCAGTGCATGTTGATTTGTTGACGGCCGATCACGAGCACGATCATTTGCAAGGAGCCTCGGCGTTGCGGAGCAGCTTCCCAGTTCCAACCACCTCATCCCAGCCCTATCTCCACACTCTCCCCATCTTATACCCCAAACAAAAACACGATGCGATAAACCGAGAACAAAAATCACCGTTCGTCTCCTAATACCATCGATGCCCTAAGCGATGTCCTCGCCATCATCCTCCGCCGGCTCCTCGGGGAGCAGCCTCAAAAAGCCCATCGACCCCATAACCCGCACCGCCCTGCGCTACACCCTCTCTCCGCGCGAGTACGAACTCCTCCACGCCTACCTCATCTCCAAAGCGCCCCGACGCGTACAGAAACAAACGCCCTCCCCGCCGCGCTTTGATAAAATCACGAAGAGCACCTCGGAATCCGGCGATTACAATGTCTCCGCGGTGCGCGCGAGTTTGCGGGTGTTTGTGGGTTTGTTGGTGGGGTTGAAGGGGCTCGAGGGGGTGATGAGGAGGTTAGAGAAGGGAAAGGGGGAGGTCAAGGAGGTGGTGGGTGGTGTGAAGTACAAGAATACGAGGATCGCAGGGAGTTTTGCGTTGATGTTGTTGGCGCATCGGTTGTTGCATCGGTTCTTCATTCGCTTGAGGACGAGTCTGCTGGAGGAGTCGGCGAAGCCGTTTAGGAGGAGGAATCCGGGCGTGACGAAGGCGTTGACGAGTCGGTATACGCCTGCGGTTGGGGCGAGTTTGGCGGGGTTCTTTCTGGGCGTGAGTCCGGCGGATCAGTTGCGGATGACGATTGCGATATATGTGTTTTCGAAGGGGCTGGAGTTTGGGTATAATTACCTTGCGGCGGAGGGGTATATCTGGGGTAAAGAGAAGAAGGATCGGCCGTGGTGGTTTGGGAGCTGGTTGATCATGCCGTTGGCTTGTGGGCAGTTGCTGCACGCGTTTGTGTTTGATCGCGAGTGTTTCCCGGAGAGCTATGGCAAGTTCATCTTGCAGCGCAGTCCGGAGTATATCCAGTTTCGACCGAAGGACTACCCATCGACGAAGGCCTGGCCTGGGACTTTTGACATCGTGGATGCTCTGGCTGAGCTGAGCAAGTTGCGTTGGCCGACGTTTGTCTCGCCGATACTGTTTCCTGGGAACAAGAATACTCTGCCCAAAGGACGAGCGATCCAGAAGATGACGCCTCTTTCGAGCAGCGCGCATCCCGGGACCAAGTACACTTCTTGCGCCTTTCTCCACCCGCACGATCCCAGTTGCGCAAGGACGTACCTCAAATACTGGCTCGCCGCGTTCCCGCCAATCTTGAAGTTCTTCACGCTCGTCTACGGCGGTTTCGCCCTGCTGGCGTACAAATCTCTCCTGAAGGATCCCTCGCCCTTCGTAAACCGTGTGTCGAAGCGCATTCTCAAAGCTTCGATCTTCATCACAGGCGCCATTGGCACATCCTGGGGCTCGATCTGCTTGTTCAACAATACCCTCCCTCGCAGCATGCTTCCAACGCAGAGATGGTTCCTCGGAGGTATGCTCGGTGGTCTCTGGGCTTACGTTGCAAGAAGCGAAGAAAGAGACAACTTCATGTACAGTTTCAGACTATCTGTCGACTCGCTTTACAAAGTGGGCAAGAAGAGACGCTGGTGGAGGGGTTTGAAGAATGGCGATGTACTTGTCTTTGTGATGAGTTTGGCGGTTATCAACTTTGTCTATGAAGGGCGGTCGGAGGCTGTTGTTGGAGGACTCAATCGTAAGCTGGCGAGCATGATGAGAGGAGAGGGATGGGTGGACGTTTGTGCCCGGAAGAAGAGCGTTGTAGAGGAGGAGAAGAAGGATGTATGAGGTCTTGTACGATCGTTCCGAGCTTTCTTTGATTGTGGTGTTCTGGGACTACATAGCGTTTGATACCCACGTTTTGGAGAGAGGTGTATGAAGTATATCGTGCGAAGATGAGTATCTCTTTGTTCCTACAATCGCTTTATCTACGCGACTCGTCAAAGCTTGGCACCATCCTCGGCCGCAGCTGCCTCCGCCCAAGCGATCGGCAACGGCATCTCAGTAGCGGCGATCGTCTCGTCTCAACTCCGACCTCACCTCATACGCACAACAACACAATTCTCTTCCAAAACGCACTCATGAGACCCAATGGACGAACCACTAGCAGAGTTCACAACAGCGCCGGCACCCGAGCCTACCAATGACGCCCAGGACCTGGAAGGTGCACCAGCTGCCCCGCCCAGCAGCTCCGTGCTCTCAGACGCCCCGACCACGGACGCAGCCGAGCCAGATACCATTGTGGTCGGAGCATCAGCAACACAACCACCGGAGCCTACACGACAGCCTTCAGCGCAGACGGAGGAACTCGTGCGGAGAATCAATGAGAACGCGGCGAGCGCTGCGAAGGCTGGGACGCCGCCTTGGGAGGCTGCGAGGGAGGCGGTTATGAAGGATATGGTTACTTCGGAGCAGTTTGCGATTGTGCCTGCGAGGGGCGGGGGCCGTGGGAGGGGGCGAGGGAGGGGTGGGAAGAGGGCGAGTTTTGCTGGGGAGGATGAGGATGGTGTTAAGATTGAGGAGGGTGCTTTGAGTACGCCTGGGTCTGGACGACCGAGGGGGAGAGGCGGGAGGCCGAGAGGGAGAGGTCGTGGTACTGGCAGGAGCGGTAAGCGTAAGAGGGATGACGAGGATGATGGTGCGTCCGACTCTAGCGACGAGGTGACTCCCATCGCCACCATGACCAAGTCCGGCCGATCGATCCAAAAGCCTTCGAGTTTTGTGCCACCGCCTCCACAGTCACCGACGACGAACAAGCGTAAGCGTCCTTACAATCGACGCAACCCAGAGAACGCCGTCTGCAAGTCTTGTCTGCGTGGTACTAGTCCTGCCAGCAACATGATTGTTTTCTGCGATGGGTGCAATACGCCATATCATCGGTACTGTCACAAGCCGCCGATTGATCAGGCGGTCATTGATCAGGTTGATAAGGAGTGGTATTGCAGTCAGTGCGAGAGCGATAGAATCGTTCCTGTTCCTGAGGCTGAGGTGGCTGGGTTTGTGAGTGTGCCGAATGCTTCTGCAGAGGAGGTGAGTTCCTGGGCATCTTCGAGTTGAGTGAGTTGAACTGATTATGGTGTGACTCAGCGCCAGAAGTACTTCTCCAGCCTAACGCAGGGCATGCTCGTCACGCTCATGACGAAAGCCACGACTCTCCAGCCGGACCTCCCAGTCTTCGAGCCGGCCTTCAAGAACAAGATCGCAAACTCTATGACGAACGGACACTCACATACAGCACCGACTTCAGATGCGGCTGCTCCTCAACAACCTGTTATCTCAGCGCCACCACCCCTCCAGCCCCAACACGCCCACCCACCTGTCGCAGACGACGCAAACTACGGCCCTGAAGTCCACCCACCAAACTATCCTCGCCCGGGACAAGGGCTGATGAAGAGCTTACCGCCTGAGCAGGAGGATTTGCAGTGGTTGGTGGAGGACGATGATCGGTTTGGAGTGTTTACGCATCTTTATCAGGCGGATGCTACGGCTGGGGCTGCGAATGGAGGTGCATGAGGAGAGCATGAGGTTCTTTTGCTAATGTATGAGATATGGGGATGTATCACTAGTACGGAGGGGATGTGATGATGAGGGTGATGGCTTGCGAGAGATTGTATTGGTATTGCTACAGTTCTCGAGTATGCAAGGTAAAGGAGATGTATTCTACACGGTAAACGTGGCCTCAGATGCAAGTGGTGTTTTCATTTTGGTCTTGAATCTTTTGAAGCTCATTCATCAAGTCTAAGCGCAGCATGACTGCCGATGTGCTGCTGCGATGACTTGTGGTGATGGTGAACACATCTGCCGGCCTGCAGTGGCTTCGAAACACTTGAGCCGAAATGTCCAGTTCGTCAAGTGCACTACGTACCAGCAACTTTGCATTCGGGTCGTGGAGTCTGACCAAGTTAAAGGACTTGAATTGACTTTGATCAGGCTCCGGCAGGAGCTCATTGTCCTTTGCCAAAGCTTGAACTCGTTCATTGCTGATCAGAGTCGGAAGATGAGATCAGAAGAATCGCTTAGCTCGACATAACGTGGGTTGGTCCACGACCTGCTGTCATCGATCCGGTGGAGCATGAGTCTGAATCGCTGCGCTGCGACGAAAATGTAATCTCTGTGACGAGGATACGGTTAAACTTTTGCATTGATCGACTGTCGATTTACAAGTCTTTAATAGACGCACGCAAGGCTTCAATCTCCGCTATCCGCTTCTTTCGTATCGGTTCATAGTCCGATGCCCCACGCGCTCGTAGCAAGATATCGAGATATCGTTCAAGGTCAGATTTTGCAAGCAGTAGTCGAGCATCGCGGTTCAAGCCGTGGGTGGCAAGGATATTTGCTACCGTCGTCTGCTCACATAGTCAGCATGATATCCTTTGTGATTTGAAAGGATACTTACCGCATGTTCGTACGCTCGCGTGTGATGAGCGCACCAAGTATCAGCTTGTGAAGGAACATAACGCACAAGGACGAAGAACGCAGACAAGCCTTCGTGAGCAGCTTCCAAAGCCCCATAGATGTCGGATTCATAGCCGGCTGCCTCGTCTTTGTCCATGTAGAGACACATAAGAACCCAGTAGAAGTTGCTGGAGACCGAGATGATTTGCCGCAATAGACGTGTATCTTGGCCGCCGAACCGACTTTCGCTGTACGAGTTGAATGGCGGGCTCCAATTCGAGTACATGGATCGGAACTCTGAGATCAGTTGCGCTTTGTGAGCGGCATCCGTGCAGAGTCCTCGATGAAGAGCCCTTGGTATGCATATTTTGTTTTGGCACCATGATGCGTACTCCCACATTGCGCGGAGGAAATTGACGTCGTTGACTCGTGATTCGTCATCGACAGAGTTGGTCGATAAGTCAGTCAAGGGCGACGATGTCTCTGGAGAATCGTGTTGACTTAGGCCTGGAATTAATTCATGGCATCGCAAGCATGTCGGATCGATGTCGTGGAAGGTTGTCCCGGGAGGCATCTCGCAGTACAAGGACAAGCTTGTGTCTTGGAACATGGTGGCTTGCCATAGCCTGCAGCATTGCTGTCTCTGTAGAAAGGAGTCGTCAGGCCTGACGACATCTGGGTTCCGATTCAGACCAAGACCGTAAGCTTGTCGTTGAGTCATCCCCGAGAAAGTCCAGGCGTCTGAGATGTGGTTGTTGCTGATCAGATAGTACGTGATCATGACCATGGTTTGCATAGTCGATAAGGAACATCGGTTGAGGTACGAAAATAAGCACAAGGATTGATGCGACGCACTAACGTAAAATTGGCTCATTTGGACTCTTTCATCCGGAGGGACGTTGTCGACGTGTTGAGTACCACAGGCGAATACGATGAACATGAGTGCGATGAAGGCCGCATCGCTCTCGCACCTCTCATCGAGGGACTTCGCCCAGAAGAGCTCGTAGTCGGCGGTGAACTGGGGTCTAAAGATGACTGGATATAGGGGGTCGACGGCGTTGAAGTACTTCTCCACGAGGAGGTCTGCTTGGCTTTTACTCGGTAGAACACCCACAACCTCAGACAAGCCACCGATACAGGTCCAGTAGTTTCCAAACGGGTGTTGTTTATTTTCGTAGTGCGGGAATAGAGTGAATCGTTCATGCTTCCCCGTTGAGGGTCGACTGGAAGATGGCGAGAACTTGTCCTCAGTCGGGCTGTGGGCGGACGGGATGTCGAGGTCGGTTCCATTCAGGAACTGAGTGAAGAGGTCGGTGTCAAAGGTCTCCATTACAGGCGGCGGCATGGCATGATGGCTGCTAGACTGGTTGGTCGGTTGGGAACGCTTGCGCGGGCGATATCCTCCGGTGGCGGCGAGGATGTCTGCTACGTGCGTGTAACGACAAGTAGTCTGGCGACGTAGGCTGCGCTCCGTCAAAGCCTGTTCAAGACAGAGACACGGTCTAGGATACGCAAGTTTCGAGCTTACCATGAGAGACAAGTCGGACGTGCCCGATCACATCTCACTTTACGGCTCACACATTCACCACCTGGAACCGTCAGCAGAACATCGCGAACGTATGATGGGCGGTGCTTACAATTCAGAGTGGGCTTGTTGCGCTTGCCCTTGCGACTACGCCGTCTGGCCGCTTCCTCATCGACTTCTGTCGCATGGTCTATGGAAGATGACTGATGGAGGCTCGTTGTCCTCTATAAACGAATCCGTTACTGGCTTTGCAGCGGTAAACAGCTCTCAAGATGGCACAATGACAGGGACCGGACCTGCAGATAGAGGGGGATCCGGACATGAAAACGAACGGGGGGCGGGCCAGCGGAGTGACGCTTTGTAGAAGGCACTGGGTAAGCTCAAAGGCTCCATGTGGGGTCGACGCAGTAGAGCGCCACGAACCGTCTTAGAATGAACTCTAAATTGTTTCTATCACGTGTCTGTGTTGATCACATTGATATGGATCACAGAGGCGATCTGTGCCTTGGAGATATCGAAGGGGTCGATTTGACAAAATCGAGCTGCAAAAGGCTATTGCTCTCCGGCGTGAACTTCGTGTGCAGCCTCACTTTGAGTTTGAGCTAAGGGCTGCGCAAGGCTGTCACGGAAAGTAGCCTGTGCGCTCATTTTATCCATGAGCTGTATTGCGATGAACTACAATTTGCAACATCTAATCTAAGCGTTCATACTGGTGGCGATCATGTCAGTGTGATGTCTTTGAGTTGTTCAATGGGCAAGCTCACTTGATGAGAACCGTCTTGGGTTCAGTGTACGCACGCAAAGCCTAGGGGAGAGTCAGACCGAGTGATAGAAAGCACTAAACGTCAATCGCGACATACGTATTCTCCAAACTCTCGACCGATACCAGATTGCTTTCGTCCTCCAAATGGTACTTGCATATTCATCTATTCTGGTCAGTCGCAGTCTCACCAACGGCAGCAGGTAACGTACATAGCTAACGCAGTTGATTCCTACAACACCCGTATCAAGCCTTTTAGACACACGGAGTGCGCGACTGATATCCTTGGTGAAAACACCGCTCATTAGGCCGTACTCCGTATCGTTCGCCAACTTGAGCACCTCGTCCTCGGTTTCAAAGGTCTTGATCACCGCTACAGGTCCGAAGATTTCGTTCTTGTAGATCTCGGCATCTGCGTTTGGGTTGAGGAACACAGTTGGCTCCATGTAGCATCCAGTATCACCGTGCTGGACACCACCAACCACAAGTTCTGCCTCTTTCTTACCGCGTTCGATCACTCCACGAACTCTCTCAAACTGGCCTTCGTCGACCAACGGTCCGATCTTGACGCTGCTGTCCTGTGGATCTCCAATATCGGAGGTGGCAGCCTTCATTCTCTCCACGTATTTGTCGATGAAGTCCTTCGAGATGGAAGAGTGAATGTACACGCGGGTGGCAGCGACACAGACTTGACCTGACCGAGCAAGGATGGCGTTGACAGTCCATGTTAAAGCGTTGTCCAGATTGGCATCCTCGAATATGACCGCTGGACTCTTCCCGCCAAGCTCAAGAGTGACTCGTTTCAAGTTGCTCTTCGCCGCCGCCTCTTGGATTTTCTTTCCCGTTGGAATACTCCCCGTAAAGCTGATTTTGCGTATTCGCATGTGGCTCGCCAAGAGTGCACCAACATCTCCAGCCCCGGTAACAACCTGCACAACTCCCTTTGGAATCCCGGCCTTCTCGAAGAGAGGGGCGATAGCCAAGCTCCCAAGTGGTGTCTTTTCAGAAGGTTTGACGATTATCACATTGCCTGTTGCCAAGGCTGGGATGACCTTGAGTATCATTGTCGGTACAGGGGCGTTGAAAGGGTTCACGGCGGCGCACACTCCAAGAGGTTCGTGAGTAACTATCTTGGTGAAGCCTGCGTGCATGTGTTAGTGACCCAACAACAGCAGTATGCACAACTTGTTATAGAGTACCATCATCAGCAGGAAAGAAGTCTCCCTTCTGCTTGTCTGTCCACCCCGAAAAGTAGAGAATGCAGTTCTTGATGTACGTTTTTTCTCTTGTGGGTATTATCGATGTTGGATTGCCGGATGTAAGGGAGTCCAGAGACAGTATAGGAATCAGCTCTTCTTCCATGAGCGCAGCGAGTCGGTGCAAGCACTCTGTTCTTTGTAATGCGGTGAATTTGCTCCATTCTCCAGCGTACGCCGCTTCAGCAGCTTGCACCGCAATCTCAACATCTTCTTCGCCAGCTATGGGAACGGCATTGACAACTTCCTGGTTGTTCTTGGGGTTCTTCAGGGCATATGTCTTTCCAGACTTGGCCGGTACGTACTCTCCGTTGATGTACAGCTTCGTGAAGTCTGCCGGGTTGTACTTTGACGAGGCGGAAGACATGATGCCGGTGTGACTACGGAGTGGTCAGATTGAATCAGGACGTGGTATCTGAGCTGGCACCACCACAATCGAAGCTCGCCCGTTCCGTCGACCATCTTGTCACGCAGCAAAAACCGCGGGGTTTGCACGGCGCTCATGCAGGTACATGCCGATCCTCCACAACTTCCATGGAGATGTGTTCTAGAAATGCGGGGAGAGGCTTTCACAAGTCTTAGGATATAGTGCGGAAACAAGTTCGGATATACGGCTTTGTTGCGTCTCTGCGGGTACGGTTATGCTGATGACTGTCTCCGGTATGGAGAAGGCCTTTCAAGTCTCTGCAGGCTCGAACTGCAGATTGCGGAGCTTTTTGCCATCTCGATACAAGCCGTCGACCAATTGCTTCCTCCTTGCTTGACCTTCGTAGGGTAACTCGTTCACAAAAGCCCAATGCATCGCTTCTTTATACCCCTTTTGCTTCCAGTCGTTCAGGTTGGCGTTCGGAAAGAAAGGTAGTGCGTCCAACGGCGCCACGTCGTGAGCGATGAGAAGCAGGATGTTGGGGTCAGCATCGAATTCTTTCAAGGCTGATATCGATTTCTCGGCCGTTGGGGGGTCAGCATAAAACGAAGCCTGGCCTGTGGACACGTTGTAGAAGGGGACCTGAACGAGTCAGTCACACTACATTAATTCACAAGAATTGACCTCAAACCTCTTTGGCTTTAGACGGCTTTGGATTGTGAAGGCCGCACACGGACAAGGCCTAGGCAAGTATGGATCCAAGGCTGTCACGGAGGGAATTTGATCTGGCATGGGTAGAAATTCGGAAGGTCGTACTGAGCCTGTGAGGGGAGTGAGTGACAACGCAGCATTGACTGATGGAATTGTACGCGTGGCTGACCTGTGAAGTGACATGTATCGCCACCGAGGAAGATGGCAGTGTCTGGAGTCGTTTTGACCAGGGCTGCTATGTGTCCGACGGCATGGCCAGGGCTGTTCAATATGTGCAAAGAACCATCGCCGAAATAATCCCAGGCTTGGAACTTGCCAATACGGAGTTCGTCACTGAATGGTACCTCGATGACATCTCTGCCAGCAAAAGCGGACTCGGGAAAGGGAGAGCTTTCCAGGGATGGCCATCCCGGTAGGAATGTCTCTTCAAATCCAGGTCCAACATAAAGCTTGATGTATTTTGGCAGAGCACCTGTGTCTCCGGAGTGATCGAAATGCCAGTGGCTAAGGACTACCGCACTGATGTCGTTGATATCGACTCCACCGTCGGAAAGGATCTCGTGAGTGTCTTTGGTAACTCGCAATCCCGGCACATGCCCATTGATCAAGTCAAAGATATGAGGGACCGAGTTATACCAGTCTTTGCGAGCCCCTAGGTCGAACACAAGCTGGGTATTCGTAGACTTGTGCACTATGTGAAACGCGTAGGTCGGCAGATTCATCCATTCGTGGCCGGGAATGTCTGGCTGAACCAGGTAAGAAGGCGGAGCAGTGATCTCAGTGGTGGTATTGATGATGGAGAGCTCGCATATGGAATCGCCTTTCGGCAAACTCAGTGTTGGACGAGCCATTGAGGTCTGATCTCGAGTCTGATGTTCAGCACCTTGATGATCGGTAAGAACGCTTTTTCGTTTTCTTCGCCTGACTTGTTTTGCAAGATGTCACACTCCGTCGTACAATGCGGAGTAGCTGTACCTGCTCGCCTATTTCCGTTGTATGAGCTCGATGCCGGTCGTGCGGAGACTTCTTCTTACGTGGAAGCTGGCCGCGACAGCCACAAGGCTTCATCATCCAGATCTGCGACCCCATGTCCTCGATATGGTCGGTCTTTCTAGGCACTCGTCGGGCACAATTTCTGATGTTCACATCTGAAAGAAGATCGGTTCAAGTATGAGTTTTGTCGAGATTTCGTTTACTCTACAATCGGGGCTTTGCCTCCGCATTGACCGTCTTCATCATCTCTTCCCGCAATATTCGCTTTAAAAGCTTGCCACTCGCCGACCTAGGTAGTGCGTCTATGAATACCACGCCTCCTAGTTGCTTGTACTTTGCCAGGCGTTCGATAATATATTTCTTGACCTCAGCTTCAGTCAATTCGACGTCTGGCCTCTTTACCACATATGCGAGAGGGGTTTCACCAAAATCTTTGGATGGCATACCGATGACCGCGGTGTCTCCAATCTTGAGATGCTGTAACAGCACGGCCTCCAACTCGCTTGGACTAACTTGGTTTGCCCGAACCTTGATGAGCTCCTGAAAACAGTCAAATTGCTGGATGTAGAGCAAGCCTCTTGCACAACTTACCTTCTTCCGATCGACTATGTACCATAGCTTGGACTTCCCGTCTCTATAAGCAATGTCTCCGGTATGGAAAAAGCCATCTGAGTCCCAGTCTCTGGCGTTGGCTTCTGGATTATCGAAGTACCCCTGGCATACGAGGGGCCCTCGGACGCAAAGCTCGCCTCGACGATCATATCCAGAGATATCGTTGCCATCTTCGTCAACTAATTTGGAGTCCATGTTTGGCAGCATGTTGCCAACTGAGCCTGTCGCATCGTCCAAGGGATACCGGCTCATAGAGCAAGTACAAGACGTTTCTGTCATGCCCCAAACCTGCGTGAGAGGCGCATCGGGTGCCATAAGGGCCTTGAGCTTCGACTGAGACCATTTATCGACGGGAGCGGCACCGGCATGACCAATTCGAATGGACTTCAAGCTGTATTTCTTCGACAGGGGCGAGTTCACGATAGCATGGATGACCGGAGGAACGAAGGCGCCTTCAGTGATCTGGTACTTCTCCACAACTTTGAAGAAAGTCTCGAGGTCGAACTTCTTCACGACGTAGCATTCATCACCCGAACGGAGAGAAGCATAATGCGCCAGTGGAGCTGTGGCGGCGTGGAACATTGGCAGAATCACAATCCTTCTTCGTTCCCAGGTTGTAGGGTTCCATTCTGTGAATAGACGGTGTTCGGCAATCAAGTTGTAATGGCTGAGTTGTGCAGCTTTTGGAAGTCCTGCATTGAGTCATTAGTTCTACCAATCATTGTCTTTCCAACAGAGGTTGCAGACCGGTTGTACCGCTACTAAAGAGCCGCGCAAGCACAGTGTCCTTCGAAGTCTCCAGGTTGTCAAAGTGTGGCCAGTCAATTTCGCCATGGTCGAACAGACTTCTCCACGACTTGTATCCTTTCTGGCCCTGGTCATCGAAAATTAGAATGCGATCATTTGAAATCTTCACTCGTTGCGCAGCAGCAGTGATAGCATCCAGCAGCTCTGGTGCGACGACTATTAGGCGAGCCTTGGATGCTTTCAGGTGATGAACCAGTTCATATGTCCTGCAACGTTTAAGCAAGAGGCATCGAAAATTCATGAGCGAAGATCGTACTGATACGCTGGGTTTGTACCCGTATACACTCCACCTGTGGCTCTGGGTAAGCGGGCATTCACTTGGGAGGACGCCAAGGGCCATACCAAATCCTGCAATTCCGTTCACAAGAACCGAGTAATTAATATCATTGAAGGAGTGTATCGACACGCAATCGCCTTGGGAAAGTCCTGCGGCTTTGAAACCCGCAGCCAGTTGTCGAATCGCCTTGTGGCACTGCGCTGCCGTCCAGAATCGTTCTGGGTCGAGGGCGTCAATGTACAAAGGCTTGTTCTGATCGAATTGAGGCTCGTCAAAATAGTACGACAGTATGTCTATGGTTGGAATGCTGGGCACGTGTCAGTGGCTGTGGATCGCCCCAAGTATGGATCGGCTCACGGAAAGTGTTCCTCGGCGAGGAATGGCATCTTCGCACCGAATCGACCCCAGCGTAAGGCGATTGCTGTTCAATGAGCAAGCTCTTACAGCTTTCCCCTGCTCAAAGCATTCATTTTGCATCTCCGTGATGATCGTGTGAAGAGCCGAGTCTGCTGTTGTGGCTTTGGAATGATCGCCTATTTCCTCAAGGCCGTCCGTCTTATATCCATCAGAGCTGCATTTGATCCCGCCTCGACTTGAGTGCAGGTCTGAAGCCGCATTCGCTGATCTTCATACGTCGCCCACACATCAGCATAAGAATGGTGCGAAGTGAGATTAGCCGCTGACGCAGGTGGGCTTGGGCTACGATACTGTTGAAGGACCTTGCCAGAGAAGCTAGACTTGGCTCGTGGAAGCGCGTCAAACGCGAGATGACGTATCGCCGTCAAAACGCAAAACACGTGATCAGGCTCCAGCCTCCTATCAAAAGGAGAATTGTGGGAGAAAATCGATTGTGTTAATGCGCATACACTTCCGACTATTTAGATCCGATCATTAGGGTAGGAACTATGTATTGCAGCGTCAATCACAGTTGTTGAGCAAGATACACGTAGCATTCTACAATAAGTCAGCTTCTGTGTTCTGCAAGCCCTGTTGTTGGAACAATACTCACTTCCAGCTTCCCAGTGATCGGATCGATGAGCTCTATAACATCTCTTAAAGCTCCTTCACCAAGGGACAATCCTTCTGGCAGGGCTTCGGGATTTGCTAGTTGGAGCTGGGTTATTTGCGCCCCGAGCGTGAGAAGATTGCACTCGTTGTCTCAAGCAAAGGATGTGAGCGATGGATTGGAGGATCAATAAGCCGTGGACGAGGAGTGCTTACCTGGTTTCTGCCACCCTAGCTCATACGGTAGCCTCTCTTGCTCTATAGTTGCTGTTAGTGGACCACAAGTATTCACTTGTCGGGGGGCATCCTACCGAACAGTGACCTCACATATTTCACGGGAGCGACACCGGTACCATCGTTCTTGCCCATTGTTTGTAGATACAATGCCGTCTCTCCGTAGCTGAGCACGATCTGTCGAGGTCCATATATGAATTTGTCAGGATTCAGAGCTCTTTGCACCTTGATGCGGTTGTATCTTGCGAGCGAAGCCTGCTTGATGCTGGTGTTCTCCTGGCCTGCGTAATATGCCAGCACTTGATCCCATTTGGCTTGATTGAAGCTATGATCGTTGCCTTCGTAGTAATCAGCTCTTGAAAGACTTCCGTCATGCTCGATGGGGAACTGCTGCGGGTCAGTCACGCCTTACGCTTGTTGTCGGGGTTCTTACGTTGTGACGGTCCAGGTCGTCCATGTTGAACGAGGTTGCCAGTGGGTTCGACGGTGCCATGAGAGCTAGCAGACCGACTCCAGTGGCGAAATCTGCACCCACATTCAAGCCTTCCTTCAATCCAGTGATCACTAGTTCAATTAGATTTACAGCGTCGGGGGCCACCTTTTCACTAACCGTCGGTAAGTGTTAGGCCTTTGCCGTTGCGAGGCAGGAAACCTACGAACGGTAAGTACGACGCTTTTCGAATCGATACAAGGATACTATACCATGATTTGCCAATGAATTGATGCCTATATCCCGAAATGTTAGCGAACGATCAAACTACCAGCGAAGATGTCCAGCTTTCAATGCTTTCAATGTCATACCAGGACAAGGAGATCGGACTACAGATGATCAGCAAAAAGTGCCTCTGAACAATACCCACTCCGGTTTCACTGTACCGTCCTTCGCGCCCGGCGCAATGTACTCATGGCCTGCTGGAACCTGTGCTAAACAAGTCGCGGCAAGTAACAACACAATGCTCGCAGTCTTCATGTTGGCAATGCGGTAGTGAATTTTCGAGTCCGCTCAATGTGTGCATACAACAAGCTGAGCGAGAATGCACTACATATAGAAGAAAGCTACTCCGATTGACAAGCGAGTATCGCAACCATTGACTAATGGGCGCTCGCACATTGGTGATTGCGTGTACATCACTTTTAAGCTAGGCAAAGTCTCTTCGCAGAAGAAAGAATGCGAGGATTTGTACTGTCCAACACCGACTATTGCCGCTGCGAGGCACCGTGGACGGAAAAATGTTCCGTCTATGGCCATGCCTACAAAACGTCACATAATAGACCATTCATTGGTTAGTACATCAAGAATGTCCACTGCTTTGGTCACTCCAAGAACTGTAAACCAGAGCGCGCAACTTTTGTCATTTTCACGAATAGCTAGCTACTCGGCAGTATCTTCCGCATGTTCCTTACGACTAACAAGACTCCACACCCTGGTTCAAGACTCCACCTGGATACATCCCACACAACTGTGCCCAAATTGGTGCCGAAAGGCTTAGATGAAGGGCGGAAGCTTGGGGATTGGCAGCAACTGATAGATGTCGACAGGCTGGCCGTTGATGTATGTCGGGCTTTCACGCGAAGGTAGATGGTCAGCATGATTTTGATACTGTACGTTTCGCTCCCGGGGCATGCTCACATTTCCGCGTAAGCGCGAACAGCGGAGATACGGCAGTTGGTGTTGAAATCGATGTAGACCTGACCGGAGAAAGTTACCGGTATTGGGACCAGCGATTGTACACCAAGGGTAACGTTTGTGAATATAACTGTCGTGCCATTATCTGGGAAATCGACGTATTGGCCGGTGACCTTCGAGAAGACTTGACGGGTTTCAGTTCCCTGTTGAACGATATCAGCTGCCATACCACGACTTCCAGACGGTGCTGACTCACGAAGTTAACTACTCCTGAACCGGTAACGGCCACAGGGACTGGACCACCGCCTGTTGAATGAGATGATCAGTAAGAATATCCAAAGTGAGAGGCGGGCTTGTCTTTCATACCGTTGGGGTAACTATTCATGGCGAAGTCAGCGATGTCTTTTGTGAGACTCATAGGTGAAGACGTACATGACGGTGCCACAGGAACCGTTGTGATCTGGAACACCAAATGGAATGGCGTTAAAGGCGTTGTAAGTCGAAACAGGATCAGGCTGAGAGTAAGCGTATGGAACCATGTTGGAGTAATTGATTCGTTGCTCTGCAGTGCAAGCCGCCATTGCCGAACCTAGCAATGGGGCCACAAGGAACATTGCGGAGAGCATTCTCGTACTGTGTCACTGTAGTGGTGCCTGGATGTTGAGCTTTTGGGGAGATGAAGTCTGACTTCGTTTGTCAAACAAGCCAGTGTTTATAGTCGGCCGTCGTACTGCCATCAAGCCACAAGGAATTTTCCGTAAATCGGCGCCATTGTCTGAGAAATTTTGTTTCTGATCGTGGAAAGCGTCAAGCAGGTCCTGCCATAGGTGGGCATAGAAAGCCCGCATTAGTTCGGTGAGCACGCCTGAGCATTGTCTATATCCGACCGTCCGGTTCATTGCTGGAGATCACGAAGCACTCATTCTGGATCAACTCCGAATATTTTGACGAATGCAGTATATGATGAGCAGTGGCTGAAAGAGGGGTCGCCAAGAAGGATCCTGCTTGTAGAATCGCTTGACGCGAAGCTCGGGTCGTTGTATACATACAGGCAAGGCTAATTGATCGTCTAGCTATCCTAGGCAGTTGATTGACACCAAGAACCTCCGTTGACGCCTAGCAAGTGACCGAACTCTAGTCGCAAGCCAAGAACTGTGGAGTTGACGCGAGTTTCAACGGGCACTGGGGGAGGCTGCGTTTCCCCGAATTGTGCTCGTGATTGGCACGAGTTTGGGTGCTTAGGATTGGGACTGCATCGGGGGACCGACGATCGGTTTCGTACAAAACTGGACAAGCTTGGGCAGAGACTGTGTCGCTTGCTGGACAGATTTGCAGGATGTCTCTTTTGAACGAGGTGCGGCAGCTTGCAATCGTGGAGGGAATAGGACGGACGATATCTACAGACCTTGATGAAGCTGCTCCAATCGTGTTTACCTCTCCGTTGGAAGCCTTGTATCTATGTCTTGCAATGAAACGGATTGGCGGGCTTTGGGTAGGGAGTTCCAGCATCTTGCAGTCTTCTTTTGGACGCAGGACAACGCTTGGGACGCTGTCTTCATGCGGAAATCGTGTATATGCTCTCTGAATTCACTCTCCGTATTACAGCCTGGCGCTGTTCTGTTGAGCCTTCAACGCCCGTTGATAGTTCTTATACAACTGTCGAACAGCCAAGTCGAGCATGACATCCTCACTTCCACCCTGTCTGTTGTTAGTTCTCTTATGATTGCAGGGGTCTGTCTGAACATACTGGTATTCTTGCTCCAGCAACCTCTCGAGCTGCTTTCTCCACTAGTGAGCCCTGCCCGCCTTTCGTGTAGCCGTTTCCACCGAAAAGGAGTTGTGCACATTGAGCACACTCGTTTAGCACCATCGCTGATTTTGCCTTGGCTAGAGCTGTGAGACCACCGAGCTTCGTATCTGCAACGTCCTTCTTCATGTGCACCATTTGATAGATAAAACTCTCTACCCATGCCCACTGTGTTTCAAGCTCGCCAATCGCTTTCGCTAGACGATGTCTAACCACAGGCTGCTCGATCAAAGGCTGCCCAAAGGCATGCCGTTTCATTGCGTATTCAAACCCGGCGGCGAGAACCATTCGAGCCTGTGTCGTGACACTTACGCAGATGTCTAATCGTTCGTGATTGAAGTTCGTCTGACAAGCATGAACTGTTAGCCCTCCGACACTCAGCTGGCGTTTAGAGGAGCACATACCATAATGTATTTCATCCCTTCGCCTTCTTTGCCAATGAGATTCTGTACAGGAACTTCAACATCATCTAGCTCGATGAATGTCGTCCCTGACGAATGGTGTCCCGAGCAATCCATCTTCCTCATGCTTACCCCTTTGTGGCCTTTTAACGGTACTAGCAGGACTGACAAGCCTCCTGGACCCTTACCACCAGTTCGTACGCACATGGATGCCCAGTCAGACCACAGACCATTCGTGACCCATTTCTTCGTTCCGTTGACGATGTAAAACTTTCCGTCCGATGACTTCTCGGCCGTCGTTTGGACATTAGCTACGTCACTGCCAGCATCTGGCTCGGTAATTGCAATGCAGATTCGGGTATTGCCCTTCAACAAGTCTGGAAGGACGCGCTGCTGGAGCTGTCGGTCTGCAAACTTGAGGATAGGCGGAATGCCAAAGCAGAAACCTGCAGTCAAGCTTGATCCGGGTCCATTGAGGCCAGTGCGTTGCATTTCCGAAGCATAAATTGAGAAGTGAATGTAGTCGAATTCCTCGATGGTGATCGGGCCAATCTTCTCAACACCAATGGACCTTAGCCACTCCAATGGCAAGGGTGCAGGCAGGTTAGGTATTAGCATGTTGTTTCGGCAAAATGTCTCTGCGATGGAAGTGAGCCGACGAAACGGAATCTCTACGACCGAGGGGAGACAGTTGAACGTACTATACACTTCTGCGGGCACCTCTCCTTGCTCTTCCCATTCCATGGCATACTGGGTAAACTCCTTTGAGATGAACTCGCGGCAGTATTGCTGCCATCTCCGATGCGACTCGTTGTAGTAGGGCGACGGATGCCCGTCTAGCCAAGGAGGCTCACTGAGTGGTGTTGGGATCGTCATCTTGTGCCCAATGGCAGCCTCTCTACACGAGGAATAAGGTCTTCAGCAAGAAAGTGTCGAGTTCTGTTATTTTGACCTGACCATAGTGGTGTGGTATGGACTGCAGCACTAAGGCAGTTCTCAACCACGGCCCAGCAACAGCCGAGTCGTAAATCCGACCTATTTCCAGCACTACTATCACCCGATCAATCCCACGGATGTTTGGCCTGTGGATGAATTTGCACGAGTAAGCACCCCTCATTTGGTTCTTCAATGGCATTCGAGTTGAATCGGCTGACTCCACGTGCCTCTTGAAAATGGTCGCGAGAGATCAATCCATACACTCCCTGAAATAATTGCAAAGATCATGCCTAGCGCGGCTAACATAATGGAGCGAGATACAGTGGTAATAGGGGGAGGATTTGGAGGCTGCTATTTGTTACACCTCCTTCGCAAGTATGGCTATTCAGCGGTTCTGCTGGAAGCCGCTCCAAGACTCGGAGGAGTATGGGCTACAAGTTGCTATCCAGGGGCTCGAGTCGACTGTGAGCTTCCTTACTACGGCTTCTCTGATCCAGCTATCTGGTCGACGTGGAATTGGACGGAGCGATTTCCATCGTACAGAGAGCTCAGGGATTACTTCGTCCACGTCGACAAGGTCTGGGGTCTTTCCCAGGATGTTTTATTCAACTCGAGAGTGAACCAGGTGGTATGGGAAGAAGACTCCCATACCTGGTTGATAAGCACTGCCGATAACCAGAAGTTCAGAAGCACATGGGCACTGGCAGCAACAGGAACGTCTTTCAAGCCCAACATCCCCGATATTAAGGGGATGGATCGCATCACGGGCCAGATGCACCATTCCGCAGCGTGGCCTGAAAATCATGTTGACCTGTCCGGAAAAAGGGTGGCAATCATTGGTGCAGGGTCGACTGTATCCAAGTGATGCAAGAATCCGCCAAGGCTGCGTCTCGCGTCGTTCAATATATCAGGACACCGAACTTTGCCGTTCCAATGCGGCAGCGCCAGATCTCCGAAGACGAGATTTATCATTCAAAACCGCACATCCCGCATGTGTTCAAGGCTTGCAAGCAAAGCCCTAGTGGTTTACCGTTTAGTCGTGCAACTCGAAAGACGTTTGATGATTCTGAAGCAGAGCGGCTAGAAGTCTGGGAGGAGAATTGGAGGCGTGGGGGATTCAACTTGTAAGTCGTGTCAGTGGTTCGCCACCGTCCAGGTCAAGCTGATGACTCGTGCTCCAGTGGCCTAGGCAGCTATGCGGATACCATCATCTCAAAAGAAGCCAATTATGCAGCCTATGCGTTCTGGAGGGCAAAGATTCGAGCTCGAATCACTGATCCTCAGAAGGCAGACATACTTGCACCCGAAACACCGCCATACTTCATAGGTACGAAGCGACCGAGCCTGGAGCAAGACTATTTCGAAATGTGTGACCGACCTAACGTTGACATCATCAACAACCCGATCACTGAAGTGACAAATTCGGGTATTGTAACCGAAGATGGAAGGACCAAGGAATTCGATATCATTGCCGTTTGTACCGGTTATGACGCTGTGACCGGTGGTTTGCGAACGATGGGCATTAAGGGCCGCAATGGGCTCGACCTTGGAGACAAGTGGAAAGATGGCGTGAGCACATTTCTTGGGATGACCGTAGCCGGCTACCCCAATATGTTCATCGTCTACGGGCCGCAAGGTGAGTCTTGTCCTGGTAAACAGCGTCGGGAGGTTGTTGACAGTGTATTAGCTCCGACTTCCCTGACCAATGGACCGCCTTTCATCGAGCTACAGTGCGAGTGGATCCTGAATGTCCTAAACAAGCAACGAGACGAGAAATTGACTACCGTGGAGGCGAAGAAGGAGAGAGAAGAGGCCTGGAGAGAGCACACTCTAGATCTAGCGAGCAAGACCTTGTCAGTACAGACGGACTCATGGTGGACGGGTGCCAACGTGAAAGGCAAGAAGCGTGAGTTCCTGTTGTACATGGGAGGTATGCCGGTGTTCTTCGAAGCCGCAAACAAAGCGCTGGAAGGATGGAGCGGTTTCGATGTGAAACCAGTAAGCTAGATCGAATTCCCAGTCGTACTTCGCAATTCTTGAAATCTTACGGTACCTTTTCCTCCGGCTTTCTCAAAGCTTGTCCATAATCGCCAGCATTGGGCATCCGAACGATTGTATGTGTGTGGAATTTCATCGGCTCCTTGTTGGTAAGGAATACGCCCGAATGATGGTCGAACTCGAAGATTATGACTGGACTTTGGACGCGAAAGTAGAATGGATCCTCGTCGCCGTAATCCCCAATCCAGCTGAAGTAGGTCTCGTGGAAGTGCTCCCTGATTTGTTCTTTGCGCCGCTGCCTGACCGATGCAGGATGATACAACAGGAATTCTTCTGCAATGTCCAGAACGAGCTGTTGTTGGTCGGGCGTGAATGAGGATACCTTCACGCCTTCGTAAGGGACAACTCTGTTATCTCTGAAGGCTCCACACAAATGTCTCTGATCATCCTGGTTCCAACGATCGATCTTGAGATCCCCGGTCTGAAGCATTTGCGGATCTCTCATCAATTTATAAGTCTGGGCTGACTGCTGCTGCTCTTTGGTAAGGCTCTGCATCAACTTCAAGCCCAAGTTGCCTTCCTTGTGGAGAATCTGTGTTCCTTTCCACGGTCCGGAGTCGATCAAATTCGGTTCAGCTCCAGTGAAAGTGGGAGCGACGATAATGTTGCCTCCCTTGATGAATATGCTCAAACACAAATGATGTCCATACAGAGACCAGCCCCAGGCTCGTGATGTTGAAGGTTCGCCGAAAAGAAGAAAGTTGTACGAGTATTTGTTCATGATCGTTGGAACTTCGCAGCATTCTCCCAGGAAATGATTGATGCGCATAGCTGAAAGAGCCTTTTGATACCCTTCAGGAGACAGTGTGGCTTCGATTATGCCAAGGATCGACTGGGCTGTGTCTTCGGGCAACTCTTCTAGCCGCAATCCAAAGGGTCGAAGCAAGAACTCTGGATTCGACCAACATCGCCATTCACGGGCATTAATTGGGTATTGAACTTTCTTCCGCTCTTCGGGATCGAGAATTTGGAGTGTCTTGGTGGTGGCATCTACGATGGCTTTAACCGGTACGCCTAGATCTTCGTCTTGGAATAGTCCTGATCGCACAACACCTATCGTATCTGTTAGCCTGAAGCATGTTGTTCATCTGTGAATGATCCACTACCATCGTTTGTCACCCCGGTGTACGGCTCCTTCAACAGCTCCTTCCAGGCTTGAGTTAGATTATATATCCAAGGAGGTTGTTTGTTCTTTTGAAATGCTTCGGAGTACTCGTACGGGGTCTGTTGCTTTGCTGTCGTAAACCTTGGGATGCTCAAATCTGGCAAATGCGATCTAAAAGCTGCAGCAAGACCTGCATGAACCGAGCCATTCATCTTCACAACAAGCTGCTAGAGTTGGCCTAGTTGTTGCCGACTAGTAAGGCTTTTTCTGCGTCTCGGGTTTGTTCCTCTGCAACGTTCGACCTATCCTCACTTCTGACAAATTGTCTCGAGGATATTTCGTTCTTCTTGAATACGACATGCTTCCCCTCTTGTGCTGACTCTCACGAAATTCATGAGGTGATGTTGCCACCGGATCCTCCGCACGGCATGTTCTTGTCCGAGCTTCGTACGACGTCACGGATAAAAACCCAGTCTCTCCCACTTCTTCACTCCTTCTCTGCTTCCCATCACACCGCAGTACCAGAGCAGAGGGCCGCGACGCTAGAAATCTCGCAAGTATTCCGCAATATGCGACTCCGAAATCCACTCGGACCGCCGGACTAAGAGAGTTCCAGGCCGGTGAAGAAGTCTTCTTGGCTTTAACAGGACGGCTGTCTACTCTTCCATGGATATCGTCGACAGAGAAATCAACATCTGAGTTTCCGTGCCAGACTGACAGCAACACCGGCGAAAATGGCAGCCCTCAATCCACCTCAAAGGCCCTTCCGCCTTGTCACCGTGAATACCGCTCCAGAGAGAGCCAAGCGCCTAGTTGGCAGAGTGGTCGAGGCGTTGAAGGACAGATATACCATATTTCATGCGGCCAACTGCGAAAGTACGCCAGAGCTTCCGTCTGTGCTGTCCGATCTAACACCGAACAGCAATTGAAAGTGTCGAACAGACTGTTCAGGATATTCAGCCGGACATCCTCGTGGGTATCTGTCCGTCTGCCACTCATAGGCTTGCTAACACCTGGAACGCCAGTTCTGCGCATCCATGTGGTCATCCGAACAAGCAGCCGAGATTCAGACCATTGCTCGTGGAGTGAAGCCAAACATTGCCACATATGCAATCCCGCAGGGTCTACAAGTCGAACAAGGGCCGGATGCGGTGGTTGAACATTTGACATGCATGGTCCCGCAAGTTTTGCAGACTCACTTTGGCCAATCGAGCAGCTCTGGATCCAGATGAAGTCGCTGTTGGCATTCACGGGTCTGGCCTAGGGCGGGCTGAAACGACTTCCTCGCGCTCTCGTCAATAGCGAGTAGAGCGTGACATGTAACTCGAAGACGTCACATTTACCTCGCTCATGCTTGGGCGTGAATGCCAATATTCCGAGGCTGTTGCTGCAAACGCAAGACGGCGTTCCAAAGCCCTTTTCCCGAAGGCACCAAAGATGCTGCGACATTGAAGATCATCAAATGAATACATCAAGAACCGGGCAGATGGAGTCTAATATAGTAAAACAGGATATATGCAGCCATCCATCACAGTCATGCATGATGCGACTCAAACTCCACGCTTCTCCAACGCTTCGTTCAACGTTCGCTGGAAGTCAGCAATGAGGGGCTCTTTGATCAAAGAGATGTGCGTTCCAGGGACATCATGGAACGCGACGTTCTCATCCTTGACAAAACCTCGCCACCCGCCTAGTACCTCGCTCTTCCAGACTTCAGGAGTAGAGCCGAAATGCGGCATGGGATCAGCACGAAAGATATCTGTCGTACTGACTTGCCCGCTGGGTTCGTACTTGTCCACAATCAGCCGCATGCAATCCTCGACTCTTCCGAAGGCCTGGAGACGCGGAACCGTCAGATCCATGTTCTCGATGAATTCTGGAGAGAACTTGGTGAACAGCACCTCATAAAACTCCTCGTCGCTCAAGTGAGCGGTCTCTTCCTTGAAAGAGTTGGACTCTGCCTCGGTCATGTCTGTTACGACCGGCAACACTTCAAACATCAGTGTTCGATACTGGACCTGTCCCATGGTGACTTTGAGGTTTGGAGGGTTGTCGATCCCGCCACAGAAAACGATGGATTCTCCAGCTTCTTCGAACATCTTGGCTAACTCGAAGCACAAGAGACCACCGAAACAATAACCCAGGAAAGCGTATGGACCTTTGGGCTGTACACGGCGAATGGCTTGGTAGTACGTGTCCAGAAGATCCTGCAGGCCGTCAAATGTACCTTCACCAGGATGAAGGCCTCTGGCGCGCAAGGCGTAGATTGGACGGTCTGGCAGATACTTTAATAGCCCAATCCAGCATAGGAACTCTCCAGCACCCGGATGAAGAAGAAATAGCGGTTGCTTGCTGCCTTCGGTCGCCAAAGGCACGATGGGGTCATATTGCTGCGAGACTGTTCCAAGAAGTGTGAGCTCATACTCCAAATCTGCGAGCGAGTGACATCGGAGCAGCAACGGCATCGGAATTTCCTGGTGAATCTTGAGGCCCTTCTCGAGAGCCTTCTTCAACCGCATGAATCCCAGACTGTTGATACCGGACGAAAGCAGAGCATCCGGTCCTATGAGATCCTCTGGTGGCACATTAACGATTCCTGCGTAGATTTGCGCAATTTCTCTCTGCAGTGGAGGCAGCGAGTCCAGAGAGCGGGCCCCATTGGTCGTCTTTTGATCACTGGCCGCGTTGGCAGCCTGGTCAAGGCCGAGGATGTAGTCATTGAATCCTCCGGTCTCGAAAGACTGCTTTAACTTCGCCCGAGACAGCTTCCCAATCGTTGATTTGGGCATTAACACCTTGGGCAGAGAAATGACGTGCAATGGTTTCTGTGCACAGACGGTGAAAACGCACTTGTCAATGGCTTGAAGAGTGGCTCGCATATTCTTAGGTCCAATAGCGGCCTCCGTTGGATTAAACAGGATTACCACCGCCTCTGAGTTCCTTTCCTGGTCCCAGGTCGAAAAGGCAGCGGTATATGAGACTTCCAGGCCCGATATACCCGCAGTCTCTAGGGCGTACTCGATCTCGAACGACGAGTAGTTGTTGCCGTTCAGGACGAGAACCTCTTTCTGGCGGCCGAGAAGATGGAGGTTACCTTCGGCATCGATTCTGCCAATGTCGCCCGTGTTCATCCAGCCATCGTCGGTCATACATGCCGCCGTTGCGGTTGGGTTGTTATAATAGCCTTTGAAGATGACGTCTCCGCGAACAAATACGAGCCCTTCATCCGGATTGGCCTGATCATCGTCCTCGCGGCTGACGATTTTCACCTCCATAACTCCAGGAAGATGCTTTCCAACGCTGGCGAAGGTGTTGCCATTCCGCACGTCGTAGTCTGGACTTTCGAGGTTGTAGTAACATGCAGAGCATGTCTCACTCAACCCATACGCGGCCTTGATGGTATGCGGTGGAGCTCCACATTGTCGAAGGATCCTGTCAGTGGCGTGGAGTGTCGTTGTTCGATTTGCTTCGCCACCACACATGATGACCGAAAGATGGCTCAGGTCAACACCATCCACGCCATCCGGCTGGCTCTCCAGTGACTTTGCTGCAACTGCCAGGAAGAAGTTCGGCGAGAATGTGTAGCCGATCTTGTATTGACTCAACACATGGAAGAATCGATACGGCTCAAGCACCAGGTCCGATGTGGGAAGAAACACCTGGTCTGTGCCATTATAGATGGCTTGGAGATGGACTTCGCAGAAACAGGCCGAATGATCGAATGCTGTGAACCAATCAGTTCCACTCAAGACTATCTTTTCTGCCAGGACTCACAGATCCAGGACATAAACGTCTTGTCGTACGTCGACAGATGTGAAGATTTAGCCTCCACAGAACGAATCAATTGAGCCTGCGAATACTGGACGGCTTTGGAATGCCCAGTGCTCCCCGAAGTAAACAGAATTGCCGCAATATCATCACGGCTAATCTTTGACAGTCCGCTGGAAATGGCGCCATTGTCGGATTTTCGTTTGTCGATTTGCTCGACAGTCTTGACATTGAGCTTTCGAGAGGCAAAGAATGCAGACAGCTTGTGTGTCGTCAGTACAGGAGCATCGCCGAACAACGACTTGAGATTGTCCAGCTGGCCAGCAGCTGTCTTGGGCTCATTGGAGACTGGATTGAGCACAGCACAGATGCCTCCTGCTGCGGTGACGGACCAGAACCAAAGTACGTTTTCCCAATGGGTCTCGAAGTACGTGATGGCTATCGAACCCTTCTCCACAATGCCGGCATTGACCAATCGAGATCCATTGATCTAAAAGCGTCAGCATGTTCGAAGAGGTAGGGTCGTATTTCGCGAACCTTTGCTTGCTCGTAAAGCTCTGCGTACGTTACCCTCGACGGAGCCTCACTCCATCCACGATCGAGGAAAAGCAAGCCATTGTCATTGCCTGCTGCTGCCGCGTCTTCCAGCAGTTCAAAAATGTGTTGAGGGCTCGACGGTTTTGACAACATGATGAACGATGGCCAAAAAATCCTTTGACGGACGAACCAACACAGTGATAACGAATATCAAAAGGCCACGACAACAAACTGTCATGTCTCGTTGCGACCTCGTCAAAACAACTTCCAAGACGCGTTTGCCATGTCTGGTCGTCCGATCCTCGATGTGGTCAAGGCTGCGTCGACCACCTTATCCGAACGGTTCGAAGCGCAGATCGTGTTTCAAACTGCAACCACACAACGTGCCATTGCATTGGACGTCGATGATATCAAGAACTCCACCGACCTGACCAACTCTTCTAGCGTGCATTGGTGAGCTGACTGCGTGGGCGGATTGACAAATGCCCCGAGATATCCAAGCATCACATCAATCCCAACAATTTAACAAACGCCTATGAAATGCATGTGACGAGGACTCCGACCGGGATGATGTGGATGCGGCGCAATCTACCTTTGCTGCTGCTGGGTCGGACTTCGATGGTTCGAGTAAGTGCGCGAACCAAAGACCAATGATGGGGCCAGGCGATTGCCGAGACATGTTGAAACGGTGCAGATCGCTGCACTGCTGGAGCATATCTGCAGCCTCGTATTAAGTTCGTATCAAACTTTCGGATCCTACGATGTTGGCATATCGCACCATATCAGCCACTCATGAGCCATCAACGGCCGCCCTTCCACCTTACTTCATGCTTATTCGAAAGCTACCAGAGACTACGGTACTACATCAATAACCCACCTGGTCACTGGATACAGAGCCAGAGTGGCGATCAAAAGTCGAATTGATTGACGAACTCTCGACGATCGGTCATGCAGCAGCACGTGGTGGAAGGGTCATTACACCCAAGTTCGAGACGATGTCGAAGCGATCTGAACTATCGCGTACTGATATGAACTGCCGTATCAGTTGTTGCGACCTTGCAAGATGAAACTACTGCGCGAGTTCCACTATCGGGCCTCCGATGTCTCGGACACCGCCGTGCGGGTATGATCTACCGTCACAGATACTACTGATTGATCGACAACACTGTCGCTGGTGCGTCTGCGTGGTAGCTCCACCAGTTCGCTTAAAACTTGATAATCACCATCAGCATGTCGAGCCGGACCCGTGGTAGCAGTCCGATGATGGTCGTTGATACCATCGCCAAGATGCTCCTCGATGCAGCCAGCCTGGCCTCAAGGCGGCCCGTACGCCCGACGGATTTGGTCTTCCGTCATACGACCATGGAATGGGATCATTTGTCGGCATGTTGCAGCTTGCAAGTAATTAGCCCCCACGTCGGGAGCACATCGGTGGCGTAGGATGTCGCTATCGTAGACAGGCCTCAGCCGTTCTCGGTTTTGGGTGCATTCAGCAGTGGTGGGTAGAGGCGTCTGAACGCACTAGTGAGACTTCGCTCTCACACTCTGCGTTTCTGGTGTGGTTCGGATTGAATGGAGAGCTGTGAGGCTTGATCAGACTTGAAGATATCTGGTCTCGTCGGATCAGCTCATCACTGGAGAAGTCAGGCGGAACCAGATGTATCGTTAACCATGTCGTCGAAGTGCAATGTTTTGATTTACGGTGGTGGAGGTAAGCAACCCAAGAACAGAGCACGTCCATGGAAACAACATGCTAAGAGATCCACCGCAGCCGTCGGATCCATCTTCGGATGGAGACTTGCACAACAAAGCACAAATCGAGTCTCTGTGGTTTGCAGGTCAAACTTCGAGCGTGTACGAAGCACTGGCTACGCATTGAAGACCGCAGCATGGGGTTCTGGATGCTTCATTCCGGACCAGGTCTTCAAAGCTGGTCACGTCAGGAGATCATCACATCTACAAAGTTACGACTATGTTGTTTGCTCCAACAAGTTTGCCGGTGACTTGACACCAACTCTGAGGGATCTCTCAGGTATCATTCGTCCCACGACAACCCTGGTCACCGCCCAGAATGGCATGGATGTCGAGGTTCCTTTACGAAGAGCGTTTCCAACAAACACCATCCTAACTACTATCTGCAATATCGGATGCAGTCAGATCTTGCCTGGCCTCGTCGAACAAACAGCCGACCTAAAACGAAAAGCGTTCCTCATTGGCGTTCCTTACCACGACAATAGCGACCGCAACGCAGCACTTCGACGCAGGAATGCTCTTGCCGCTATGGATTCTGAGTTCGACAGCATAGACTGCGTGGCCGAGGCGAGGTGGCGAAAACTAATTTTCAACTGTGCCTGGAACTCTACTACGGCACTGACAGGCCTCAACACCCATGAACTTCTGCGACGCAGCGGCGCAAGTCAGATGGTCTTGCAGCTCGCCCAGGAAGCTTACAATGTCGCCATAGCTTCGGGCATCCAACTCGACCCTCAGATGCCACACGAAACGATCAAAGCTGCGGCAACCAGTGCTCCAATCACTCCATCAACTCTCCAAGACGCGAGGAACAAACGTCCCATGGAGCTGACTCCTATCTTCGGTAAGTTCAATCGTACATGTGCAGGAGTTCGCAGCGTATAGAAATGCTGATGGTTCGCATCCAAAGGTTATCTTGTCATGCAAGCAGCAAAGGTCGGCGTGCAAGTCCCGTGCATCACGTTAATGTACGACCTACTGCGCCAGATGAACGATGCATTGGTGGCTCGGCAGAGCTGGCAGGTTCCAGATATGCTTTTGCCCGCAGTCGAGCAGCTCTTGGGCAGAGAGCAGATCAGAGAGCGTTAAAGTTTCGAGTGACAGAATCTGCTTTTGATGAATCTCGGTATATCTTGTGTTCTCCAGATTGTTGATAGACTTATCGAATGTTAATTGAGCTTGCCTAACATTATTCTTGACATAACCGAGATCGTGCTGAAGTAACTACTGCTAAGAACCATGACATCAAGCATACACCGTAATAAGCTTCCCGTAACGCAACATCACCTCATCATTGCCCATAACTTCTCTCGCATGCTCATTTGCGGTCGTAGCAACCTCAAGCCCACCATCCGCCAATCTAGGGTGTACCCTGACAGTGGGAGCGCAGTTGGAGAACATGTTGGGATTGCCCATGTAGCGAACCCTGTCAGCACGACCGAGCACACTGCCCCAGTCAAGCAGATTCGACTGCACTTTCGAGAAATCATTGAAGCCAATGTTGTGGATGTTGAGCAGAGCCAGAGGGTTAGGACAGATGGACAGTTCTGGAGACATGGTCGCGGCCTTGGACAACCAAGACTCCCACAGAGACTGATCCCAACCACTGACAGCTTTACGCACATGCTGGGCTGCAGCTTGTATGCCCTCGTTGGCATCGGCTTCGAGCTTTGCGATGGGGCAGTTGAGGAAGACAATGTCTACAGCATTGCCGATGTACTTGCTTGGCAAGGGCGGCTGGAGACGGTGTCGTATGTTGATTGGAAAGAGAGCAAAAGACGTCTCGTGTCCCTTGCTTTTGCTCTTGAGAGAATGAGCAGTGCGCGACCAGAAGAGCCCCACGAGTGCATCGATGGTCGAGATCCATTGAGATTTGTCCGTACCAGAAGCGTCTTGCTTCAGTTTGGACAGACTTTCGGCACTGAAGTACCACACGCACCATTTGACGTCCTCTGCTTGCACATTAACATTCGACAGATGCTCTTTCTTGGCAGTCTCCAAGACTCCCAGAGCAGTCTCCTTGGAAGGAGTCAACTTTGGTAGATTGACCTGAGACTTCTCCGTTGGGAAGAGATCCCAATTCACATGGGTGAAATCTTTGGCACCATCGATGGGTGTGGAAAGCCGTTTTCTGATGTCATAATCCGGAGTTTCAATTCTGTGGCTTTGGAATGGCTTGCCATCACTGACGTCTGCGGTGTGCTTTGACCAGATCTCCTCGATTTCTGCTATAGAAGCCCCGTCTGTAAGTAGATGGTTCATAGCTATGCACAACGCAAGCCCGCCGTTAAGAACATTGAGCTGCGCTTTGAAGAATGAGGCCCCCTCGAAGATTTGAGACATGGTGCCAGGTGGCGAGAAAGGCACCACGACGTCGGACATGGGCCAGTGCTGGCTTTTCAAGGACGCATAATCTGGTATTCCATGCTTGCCAACGAGGTTGTCGAATGTAAACTCGGCAGGACCATTGCTTGGGATGTTGATGACCAGGTCGCGAGGATCTTCAGATCCACGTCCGGTCATACCAGTGAGACCAGGTACATCGGCCAGCAGTCGAGACATGCCTTCTTTTAGAACATCGTAGATGAATCCTGCTTTGCTTCGATCGTCCAAAGGCCAGAAGAGTGTTTGTTTGGCCCAGATCTTGGGACTGTACGCGTCGCAAACGGACAGTTTGATCACTTGTTTCTGGACATCGATGCAGGGGTAGACGTTGAACTCATCGCTGGTTGAACCCATGGTTGCTGGTCGAGTGCCTCAAGATTGTCGCTTCAGACCCAGAATCTCTCAATTCTATGCAATGGTATCGAGACGTTTTTTCTCCAGACGTTCGAATGCTACGACGTTCTGTGAGCCTGCTGTGCCCAGTCACACGGCCAACACACCTGGACAAGCATTTTGTCACGAGGCTGAACCTCCAACAAGACACGCTACCGTTCCGGCAGGAATTAACGAGCGCACAGTTGCCGTACCATGGTTCGCTCCCCGTTATCTGGGATCGGCGTTCCCATTACATGCATATTTCCGAAAGCCAGCACATGAGCGTTGCAGAAATGGTACCATCGCTTGCGGACATGTTCCGTGGGATGAGAGGCCAAAGTCTAGGGTCCGCAACGCCGGGGACATTCCCGCCCAACGACTGGCCCATGAAGGTGGTCAAGGGGGTGCTTTTTAATCTCTGCTCGCAAGCGACCCTTTGATAGGCAGAGCCCGCTGCAAAAGGCATTGGCATTTCAAATCGCGACAAATGAGGTTGTGCATACAGGCGTGTGTCGATAAGGCAGACGCTAGGTGAGATACGAAGTGGAGCGAGGTGGATGATCGACGAGGTGAGGTCAAGATTGAGTGTAGATCATACCGTTTCGAGAATGGCGTCACCCGTCGGCAGTTGTCGCCGGGAACTCCTGCGCCAAGCGAATGATGGTGTGCTCGATGAAGCACAGTGCTGCTGGGATGGGGCTCGCTTTCGTAACACCAACACCAGCATCTGTGTAACGCGATTTAGATGAAGTGCTCGTATACGCGAGTCCTGCTACCCGGTTTTGCTTTTGGTTTGAGCCGCTGCCCTCCATCAACTTCGCACCCCTTTCGGACTCGCCGGTCGGAAAGCGGTAATCGGTATCCGGTGACTTGAGAAGAAACAACGGATATGGTGGCTGGGACGTGTGGATGTGTGAAGGAAGTGTACCCTTGTCAGATATGCAACGGCGCGTCGATGGAACTGAAACACCCACCATCGCTGACTCTCTTCACGACTCAATCCACTCCACTACTGTGCCTCTTCACGAAAACGTGCCGTCCACACCCTCACATTTGCGAGCATGCGACGAGTATGGTGAGTTGCATCTGGGTCATTGATTAACTCCACTTTGTTGCATTTCAGCTTGAAGATTGTCTCGGGACCACCGTTCATCTCACGCACGCTTCCTTCTTGAATCTTCACATGTTGAAGCGACACGCACCGCTGGAAAATGATGTTCTTGGTAATACTGGCCGAAAATTTGTAAGAAAAGTTCAATTACCATACAGACAGACTATACTTTTACCGAAATCCGCCTTTTCACTTCAAGCAGTCAGAATCTCCCACGAGGTCGATCCAGCGAATGTTCCTTCATTGCTCTCTGCCTTGCCACCGCCAAAGCCCTTTGCCTGCCACTTCTCAACACCCTCGAAGCCCTTGAGCTGCTCGCCGAATGTCTTGAACAGATCCGCATTCAGCTTCTCGTACGAGGCGTACGGCTTAGGCCAGGTGCCCAGACGCTGATAGGCGAGCTTCAGTAGATGGAGATGATGCTTGATCAGCTCGCTTCGCTGCGAGTCGCTCAGATTGCTTCCTGGTTGCTCAGCGTCGTGGGTAACACCGTGCTCTGCGAGGATGGCAGCAGCAGTATCATCGTCGTCATCGTCAGCCCCAACAGCGCCGCCAGTGCTGTCGTTGAGAAGCCATCGGAGGACGTCCTCGTGCACCAGCACAGCCTTCTTGAAGTGGTCGGCAGCCAAGCCGGCAGCAGCACTGTCCCTGGAGACTTCACGCTGGTAGTATTGACCGGTCGTGGTATAAAGCTGTGCCAACAGGTCGTAAGTCTCCAGCGTAGCTGGATGCTTGATGCCATGCACCCGCTTCATGTTGTACGCGATGTCTTCGCAGAGACGGATGGCTTTGATCTGGCGTCCAGCGAGGTACCTGGCGCAGATCAAGCGGCGACCAAGGTTGAGCAGGATGTTGGATGGCCATGCTCGTTGCGCTTCGCGAGTATTCCAGAGCTCATTAAGCAGTGACTCCAATGTGTCGTAGTCTTTCTGCTCACCGAGCAGTGCAATGAGCTCGTTCAATTCGGTCAGCTGCACTTGAGCGAAGTTGATCTTTTGCTCTCGGCAGATCTTCAGAATGTCCTTGATGATGTTGTTGGACAGCTGCAGCAACTTCTTGCGGAGCTCTGGATCAGGACACCTGTTCTCGCCACGGCCATCGAGCTGAGATGCAAGGCCAAAGCCACGGGCCACAGCTCGAGTGCCACGATAGCCATTGCGGTATTGAGCGTAGCTAAAGGCCATCTATGTTGAAGTCAGTCAAAAGAGTGTCAAGCAATCTAGGGTAAGAAATGGTCGTACCTTAGCAACGTCATGAGCATTCGTGAAGTCGTTCTTCTCAATCAGCCGTGCCACAGTCTGATTCGAAGAGACGATGACCACCCGCACAAAGTCGGAGATCTTCTTGTTACCAATGTAGTCCAGGATGCCAATGATGAAATGCCTTGGCGAGTCCTTGCTCAGCAACAGGAAGTTTGCCGCATCACGCTGGACGAACAGGTCAGTGCAGTGGTGCTCAACATTGCCGATCAAAGCAGTCCGATTCCATGCTCGGAGTAGATGTCGGAGCGGAGCCGCAGCAATGAGGACCTTGTCGAGGCCTGCTTTGGACGTCGTGAGCTGCTTAAAGTTCCAGTAGAAGATTGACTGCGCTTTGAGGGTGGCCATAATCTCCGAAAAGGTGATTGACAAGTCCTTGCGAAGGTGATATTCCAGAGTTGCCAAGAAGAAGATTGAGGCGCTGCTGCTTTCAGTCACGTTGATGGTGGCCTTGGACGACTTCTCCTTCGAGATCAACTGGTAGTGAAGCTCCTCGACAAGTTGAATGCACTGTGTCATCAAGTTGCAGGCTTGGAAAGTCTGAATCAATGACACAGCAGACTCATACATCTTCTCTGAGGAGGTTTCCTTGGTGACGATATCGACAGTCGCCGTGGTGAGCTCTTTCACGGCGGCTTCAGTCTTCTGTTGACGGATGTAGAGCTGAGACACCTCTCTCAGACTCGACAACGTGGACTCGTGCGAGTAACCGTATTGCTGCCTTGTTTCCGCGTACTGCTGAGAGCAAGCACTGGAAGCACGCTCCAGAGTTTCTGAGCTGGCAGATTTCGAGTCCGAGTGGAACACACGTCGCTTATAGATGGAGATCATCGCCTGGCGAAGCTCAGAGGAGTTGAGTGACAAGGAGCTTGAGTCCTTCGACTGAGAAGCAGAGCGAGACGCCTCTTCGTACAGCGAAAGTGACTCTTCAATGTGCTTCTCGCTGTGTTGATTGACCCTAGCAAGGGCGATGGTGGCTTCAATGGCAGTCGAAGAGCTGGCTCCAAAGACAGAGCGAGTAGTCTCGCGATATTGGGAAGTCACTGTCCGCAAGACTTCCCAGTCGGCCTTCGTTTCTTCCAGACATTGATAGTAGCGCTCGTACAAGTTCCGAACAAAGGACTCTTGGCTGAAGTACTTGAACTCCTTGTGCTTGCTGATGAATGTTGTCCAGATCATACCGTATGCGGTGACAGCATCACTGTACCGTCTCTCTTCCCAGTAAGACTCTGCAACGACGATGGCAGCGTCGATTGCTTTTGGATGACAAGTCTGCGAGTCCTTGCTGAGAGCAGTCACAATCTGCTGATAATACTCGATCCAGTAAGGGTGGCTTCGGGCATGAGCACGGCATCTCGTTGCCAGTTCGTACAAGATTGCAATTGTGCTGTCGTGACTCGGGCCAAGTATACGTCTGTAGACTGCCAGTAGCTCCTGGTACGTAGCAATGATCTTATCTGGGTGACCGCGTCTGGTGTAGAAACCGATCAGGAGGGTTTTGGCCTTTTCAAGGAGAGTGTGATCTTTGGGCACCGTCAAGGAGGCCCTAAAGAGCCTCACATAGACATCCTCTGCCTTCTCGAAGGAACGCTGCTGGATGTAGCATTCAGCCAGTTGCTCGACGAGTTCAATCGACTCCTTCTGAAATGTGCTTGTCATAGTCACTTCGTGGACCGACCTTGACAAGAACGAGCTCCAGGTGCGATCCAAGGTTGCGCGCACGACGAAGACCGCCTGTTCATAGTTCCTCTGGGCGATGTACTGCGACGTGAGCTGCTTCGAGAGCGTCAATGTCGTGCTGTCGATGGACTTGCTCTTGTTGGTGATCAGAACGTGGAACATATCCCATTGCGAAGAGGAGGAACTGGTTGAATGGTGTTCCTGCTTGGATGAAGTCAAGGCCTGCTGCGAGACCTGAGTCATCTCCTCTTCGATTTCTGTAAAGGATCGGGAGGATTCTTCCTTGCGTACGTTGCGGTAGTACGAAGAAACGTGCTTGAAGATGGCAAGCGAGGCAGCGTATTCGCCAAAGGACTTAAGAGTGCGTGCAGACTCCGTAAGTCTGGAGACAATGCTCTCATGGTACGACAGCTCGTGGCTCTGGTACTCACGCCAGAGTGAGGTGTGCAGACTGTTGGCTTCCACCTGTCGCTTTTGGGTCGCCAGGAACTTGGAGTATGCTTGCACAGTCTCGATCTTCTTCTGATGAAACTCAGCCGACAAGTTCGTGCGACAAGTCTCTGCAAGACGCTGCCAGAGTTCAATGTAGGCTTGCTCGGCATGGACAATCTCTTTCTGCGCAAGATATGTTTCAATCTGGCGCAGAAGGGATTCGACCTGAACCATGTCCAGAGTTGTGACTGTCTCTTGATCCTCATTCTCCTCCGAGAAGATGCCACCCTTGTATGTCTCGAGTGTGGTTCCCTTATTCTTCCCCAGGCTGATACGAAGGTGTTGGTCAATGGCGCGGCTATGATCGGAGTGTTTGCCATGCGTCTCGGCAACGTCGCCTTGTAGAATGCGAAGAATCTCCGTGGCCTTGTCTTGTTCGTTGATGTACGTGTAGAGTTCTGCCAACTGCTCCTTGATCTGAATAACGTAGTCGGAGGATTCGCCGTATCTCCGTTCGTAGGCGGTGATTAGCAGCAATAGTATGTTCTCTCTGTGGGTCATGATCTCAGTTCTGCTGGTTGTCACCCGGCTATGAGATAGACGGAGAAACCGAAGGGCTGTTTCGACCACAATGGGGTGAGAGATCGAAAGAACATTGCGGCCGATGGTGGAGATCTTGTAATATAGAATGCTCCCACGATCGACGTCCTGCATCATTTCGTAGTAGCCGGCCGTGTTGATCAAAGACTGGAGTACCGCCGGATGTTGCTCAGTGAAGATCTTGATGCGAAGGCGGGCGACCAAATCATGGAGTTCAACTTCTTGTGCACCAGGGAATTGGTCATCCCAACACAGCCACTCAAGAACGGGCATCAAGGTGCTGTCTGGAAAGACTTTCTGGACCTCAGCAGGGACCTGAATTTCTTTGCCTTGCGAGATGATGGGTGTTTGCTGTAGGTGCCACGTCCAGTATCTCACGACATACTCTAGCAGAATATGCCGAGCAAACGAGTGGTCGACGGGACTGCGGTCAGTATCATCGAGAGTTGGCTCTCCCTTCTCGGGCAGAGAGAGTTTGGCGTATGCCAGAAGTCGGAGCAGAATGTCCATTGTCTGATCTTTGACGGACGTGGTGACCTTGCCCTGTCTGAAGGCATTCCTCAAAGCTGACTGAACAGCATTGTGCCTTGGCCGCACGATGTCTTCTTGAATCGTGACAAGTGGTTTTAATGACTGCACGGTGCGGTGCACATCGACCCGCCGGCCCGATCGAGTTCCATCATGTGGGTTGACAGCGAAGAGATTCTCGATTTCGTGGTAGGTCAATGGCCTCGCGGCGTAGACCAGCCACGACAAGATCAATTTGGCATCTTCGGAAAGCTCTGCACCGGACAATATTTTCTGGACCAGCTCATCAACCGTTGTCTTCGGGTTGAGGTTGTTAACAGCCTTGGAAAAACTGTCGGATGTCTTCTCGAGTCGAAGGACTTCAGACGTGAGGATCGCCCACAAGAAAGAACCGTTGCTTGCTTCAATGACACGGCCAATGATGCCTTCCTGATCACGCCCGCCTTTGCTTCGGAAGTGGCTGCAGTGGATGAGAACCTTCATGGTGACTTCGTGAATGTCATCGTGGGTATCGTCATGAGAGATGGACTGTTGAACTCCGTGGGCACCGGTCGGCAGGGACAGGGCCTCAGAGAGTGCGACAAGCTTGACAGCTTTGCCTTGGTGGACGGCATGAACTAAACGTTGCAGAAGTCCTTGGCCAGCAGAAGGACCACCGATCAACTCGTCTAGACCCTCAACAATGAGGATAGTCTCACGGCTTCGGTCCAGTGGGCTGCGAAGCGCATCCTCCAGTGCGTGCCAAAGCAGGTCTTCATACTTGCTTGGGTCGGCAGTGAAACGTGCGTGTTCGTAAGCTCGAGCAAGGGCGTGGTAGAGGTGAACATTGCCCACACGAAGATTCAGCAACTGATGTAGCAAGCCCTTGACAACGTTCAAAGAGGTTGCCTGCGATGGTACTGCACCGACAGAGTAGAAGGCTGTAGCATATGATTTGCGTCCGATCGGTCTCTGGAGCCTTTCAGCCAAAGACGCTGCTAGGGTCGATTTGCCAGATCCTGCAGGGCCGTTGACGAGGAGAGTTGTGTCATCACTCTTCACAAACTTGGCCAGATCGTCATAAATCCAGACACAAGTGAATTCTGCCATCTCATCGGAGATGAGGGTGTGATCGAGCTCGACCGAAGCCAGAACACGGTCTTGAGGTGCGAGCCATCGGTTGAGGGAGGTGACTTCCACGACTGAGAATCATCAGCAAGGCAACCCAGGAGACAATGAGAAAACTTACTGTCTTCTCCATCGAAGTCTTCGTCACTGATCTGTTCTTTCCAAATCATTTCGCTGATTTCATCACATCGACGGCGGAAGCCACCGATAGTGTCTCCGAACACCTCATGCATATCCAAGCTGGCAGCTTCCCCAGAACTGCCATGGACGGTCTTGTAAAAGCGGAGAGCGACATCGACCAGAAGAGTCAGCAGATCCGTGTAAATCGTACAAAGTTGTTCGTAGACCTCAGAAGAGAGCGACAAGACCTCCGACCTCGCCAACAGAGAGGAAACAGAGGAAGAGCATTGATACAAGAAGGCAAAAGCCTTGTAGAGAGCGTCCGAATTTTCGTGGCCAAGCTGTGCGATTGCATTAGTAGAAGTTGGCAAAGACATGTAGAGAATGACATACCTCCAAGAGCAACCGCGTGTGGCCGTAACCCAAATGAGCCGCCGGCTCGTTGTCAAGGGCGTGACCCTTGAGTGCTTTCTCGAAACCGTGCAAACGCTCAGTGAAATACAAAGCACGAATTAAAACCGTGTCCCATTTGCTACCCTTGTGCGGCAATGTTGAAAGTCTCTCCGCACGAATCCATTCGACGAGCTCGATGAACGTGACCTTGTCTGCGGTCTCAGAGATGCCAGCACCAAGCTCAGCAATGCTCTTCCTCTTAAGTGAGATCGCCGCGTCTCTGACAATGGTGGTCTTTTGACTGCGGCTGCCTGAAAAGGTCATGGAATTCCGCATCTTGGTGCTTCCGCGAGTGGAGCCTCCGTAGCGGAAGACTGAGGGAGAGTCCGGTGGCGAGAAGTAGCCATTGGTCTGAGAGCCGTTGACCAGGGGGCCTTTCATAGATGGTGGGGTTGCTTTTTGCATGTTGATCGTTGAATTTCTCGTGGAAGTAATGACAGGAGAATGTGAGGTTCCTGCTTGGGGTTTTTGATCTGACTGAGATGGACCAGAAACTTTCTCTGGAACTGGAGCTGGAGCTGGAGCTGGAAGAGCTTTATGCGGTCTTGAAGGGACCTCGTCAAGGGTGTCACTTGAGCAGCAGCCACAGAGCTTCAGCTTAAACGATGTCCACCAATGGCGATGATTTTTGCTCGCTCGGGCAGGGTGTTGTCCGGCCAGTTTGGCGTGAATGCAGTAAGCAGCGATTCGAGTACGAGAGGGTGTTCAGTCTGGTAAATAGGAGAGCTTGTACCTTTGGTCACTTTATGTCGTCAAGAGCTGGCTCGAGCTGTGGAGAGCTCGATCGGTAGCCCCGAGTGATCGTGGCTGGCTGGCGCCATCGACTGCGACGGCGGCATGTTGAGTTGGGCGCCTGCAGCAGCTCAAGTCACCCAGCATCATAGCTCCAGCATGTTGCAACACCATGGAAATTACAGCAAGAAGTCCAAGACGACTCAAAGCACTGTCGATTGGCCCAGGGTTACGACGGTCCAATGGGTTGAGTATTTGGGAGGCTGGCTGGGGCAAAGTGTCCGCCAAAAGGGAAGCTGCATTGCCAATCGACGTGGTGATCTTGTTGAATATTAACCAAGCGGACTGGTGTATTGGTGAAGTGATTGTAAGGTACGTGTGCTACCAATGCCTGCGGTCTAGATGTTGTGACAATAGAGTTCCCTCGGACTGGCCGGCCCGCGATCACAGCTGCAGAGGCACGTTTCCTAAAGTAGCAGTCACACGTCTTGAGCGCTACAAGAGGCGGCGGGGATTGCGTCCAGCCTGCCGTTTGCCGACACATCACTGGCAGTTCACAACGCCCAAGTTTCTGGCGCTAGTCGATTGCGGCATCAATTCTCCGACCTTCCTCTGAGCTCCTGCTGATCATGCCGGATTAGAGCTATACAAAAGCCCGCTGCATGCACAGATTTGAGCTCGATTCTGGCAAATGCACTTGATGCAGCTTGTGCACTATTCGCATCCGGCTAAGGCGAACGATGAGGTCAACGAAAATGAGGGCATTTACGCTGCGTGGGGTACGATGGGTAGAACAGCCAGACTTGGTTGCTTGGGTTTTTTGTGGGGACATGGAGGCTACACAAGCTCTTAGCAATGCAAGCGGTCGTCATGAAGGTGATCATGCTCAGAAGGCGGTATGACGCTGTCGGTCTCTGTTGAGATGCTGTGGTTCGAGGTACGACGGAGTTTTAGAGCTCTCGCTGGATTGTCGTTGGTTGAATCGATCTCGATGTCTCTTCAGTGCGGGGCCTTTCCAAGGGTCGTTCACGCGCTTGAAGCAGCAATGATGCTATCCGCCATGCCGGAAAGAGTCTCAGACACGACTTCAACTTCGCCGAAGATATCTTCCAGTGCTTCCTTCTCGAATACCGTGCAGAATGCCCCTCTGAAACCAACTCTTTGCGCAGCGCTCGTGTCCCACATGTGTGCAGCGGCGAACCATGGCCGAGGTTGTGTTCCTGAGCTCAGCTGCTCCAACAATGGTTTGTACGACTCTGGGTCCGGTTTGCCAATGTTTGACGTGTCACAGCTTAGCAGGTTCTCGTACGGGAAGTCAATGCCCGCCTGTTCGAAATATGCGGCACATCCCGTTCCGTCGGCTGCCGTCAATGCCCAAACTCGAAGGTCGGCTGCACGCAATTTCTCGATGCACTCTCTGGCCCCTGGACGCATTTCGAGCTTCTTGTATCCATGGTCCATGATGAACTGTACGTCCTCAGAGCTTGCGAATTGCCGTGGTTCTGCAATGCCGGCCTTGAACAGCATGCGCCAGAAGATCGCCTGAACAACTTGTGCAAACCCAACATATCTGCCGGACATGCTCAGATAAGTGTATTCGCGCTCGGCGGTCTCAAGCCACATCTGGCAGAGTAGTATCGGTTTGATACCTTCTGCCCGCAATTTGTCGCCCAATCGATCGTCCGTCGCTCTGAACATGGCCTCGTAACCGACAAGGGTCCCGACCACATCGAAAACCACGTTGCCTTTGGGGGAAGCCATCGTTGTCGAAAGGTATCCTGTGCTGCTGTACGGGGAGGTAGTATTCTTTCTTCCGTCGCCGATGCCAATGGATCCTTGAAATCGGCCCCGAATGGTTAGGCTCCCTCAAGCTGGTTGAGTATCCGTCGAGCTCCAAATCATTGTATTTGAGGACAGCGTGCTTGAAGTAACTTCAGAGCATTCAGGCGTGTCGGGATGCCTCATGGAGCAACCAAAGGGCGTGATACCGTCGTCTACCTTGCGAATAGGGACATGACGCCCACTTGAGCGCAGTGGATATGTCAGCTCCCGCAATAGTTCCGACCAGCCAAGCGAGAGATTCCGTCCATCACTGTGCAGCGACTTTCGCAATTGCTGCGAAAGCTTGCGGGTATTCGAAAGATGTGCGTGTCAATTCCTGAGAGAGTGATGTTGTGGTAGGTTTCAGCGACTTCAGGAAGCAAAGTCTTCACCGCCGCTGAACCTCAACCGCCTCCTGAGTCTTGACGCTAGTCTGCTTTAAGACGGGAAGCGGCAGATCGTTTAGCCGCTCTAGATATCCATGTACCTAGGAGTCGAACTTGCCCAACATAAAATGAACAACAATTCTCTTCGCGACTGAGTATAAATATCCCAGATATGTTTTCAAATGGAACGGACAAAAGAGACTGCTTTCGCTAAAAGACAAACAAACAGGAAAGGGGTTGAGGGCACAACGACAAATTCATCTTGTCAATCGCGAGACCGCAAGACCGCAAGACAGTACGACTAATAAACTGGTCGACGTGGGCCGGTAAGACTGTGTATTGCCAGTGTTTGCAAGCAATGATGGGGTACTGTTGCATATACTATAACGGTGCGTTACTGAGGTTTACTTACACCAAACACGACACGAACTGTCTGAGCCCAAGCGAGAAACTATACCCTAAATCAATCTTAACCTTAAGGTTCCTCGATCAACCGACCCGGAGCACACCCTATCAGCGAGTTAGCAACTGATTGAATGCTTGTGGTTCCGAGTGCAACATACAAATATTGGCCCACATCTGTTGAAATCCAGCCCAGCAGTGACCTACAGCAGAGTCTGCAGGCACCACACTCTGCCCAGTACAACCTCCGTTGCTGCACCAAATTGCCTGGACTGAGTGTTCGTCAGATAAAAGCACTGTATTCTTGGAGGGCCTCCAAATGCAGAGACGTACACTGATTGAAGCACCACTCGTCTCTACCATCGTAAGATGCGTAGAGGGCGCTACTGGCTCCGAAGGGACCACCCATGGTGTGTCCAAACCCTTCTGATCCTTCCCCACGGTTGTGGTCGAGGTCGAAGAAACGAGACTCCATGAATTCTTTACAGTCTGTATCGCGGTAGCTGTGGCCGTATCAGTAGACAAACAGCATATTGGGAACGAGAGCGAAAGGCTTCACAAATTGACCTGCACAGCAGTAGCACCCAGAGCCCAGATGGACCCGAGAAAGATGGGAGACTTCATTCTCCGTAGAAGAGAGCAAGTAATGTGGGGAGAAGGCAAGAAGATGTTGGAGTTGAAGCTTCGTTGCAAAATCGAACATGTTGTTGAATATATATGCGTTTGCCAAACAACATGCGCAGTCGGATAACGCTATTGACCGTACGGAGATCCACCAGGAGCTCGTACATGTTGTAGAATTGGATGTAGTACCCCATGTGGCAGTTAGAGTGCTCTTGTCGTTCTATACGAGTGGCATACGCGCGGTCAGCCTGATGCACTGATGACTAGCCAAAAGCTTCCCTTTACAAGCAGTCCAGTAGCAATCTGTACGAGGATGTAGAGCAATGCAATTGTGTTTTGAAGCTGGCCAGTCAAGGAAGGTGGATGCATGTTTCGGGTCCCGCCAGGATTGAACTGACGAACGGTTCTGCTGAATCTTGTCGTCGGCTCTGTCGTCGTCAACCCTTGCGAACGCCTGGATTCGGACTTCGTGCTAGGACCAACATTGCTTCGCTCACAAAGGACTTGCCACAGAGGAGTGAGGTGCGCTCAGAAAGATTCATGCAAGAGAGATTGAGATGAGAGATGTGAAAAGATATCTGAACCCAATTCATTCAAGTCAAAACTGTCTTGAGTTTTCTTTTTCCTTCATCAACAAGACATTAAACACACGTCGGTGCTGTTCTCCTCCCAAACTCCCCTGCCTATGCAAACTTGCTAATCACAAGATACAGATCTTGTACAGTCATCTTTCTCCTTCTCCTCAATCGTCATATTTCAATGACCTAGTAAGTCGTAGGGTGAGCAGTCGGCGTAACGAGCGAAAGCTGGCCGTTGGTCGAGACGCACTCAGCACCGTTGGGGTACTGGTGGGCCGGGTTGCAGGCGTAGCCGGTGGTCGATGGGGCTGGAGTCACGAGGGTGAGGGAGCCCGTTGTCGAGATGCACGAGGCGCCGTTGGGGTAGGAGTGTGCTGGGTTGCAGGCGTAGCCGGTGGACGATGGGGCTGGGGTCACGAGGGTGAGGGAACCAGCGGTCGAGATGCACGAGGCGCCGTTGGGGTAGGAGTGAGCTGGGTTGCAGGCGTAGGTGCTGCTGGAGGTCGGAACGCTGGCGGCCGTGGCGGTGCAGTCGCCGCGAGCGATGGCGGCGGCGTTGCAGATCAGGGGAGTAGTGGTCACCGAGGCAGATGACGCAGTGCGGTACTCAGGGACATCGACTGAGCGGGTGACGAGAGTGATCGAGCCAGACTGGGAGACACAGGTCGCGCCGTTAGGGTAGGAGTGAGCTGGGTTGCAGGCGTAGACGCTGCTGGTGAAGCTGGCGTTGGGAACCGAGCCGGTGATCTTGTGGGCTTGAGAGCTGGTCGAGACAGGCTTAGAGCTCATGCCGGTGTAGACAGTCTGGGTGACAGTGATGTAGGCGACTGGTGGGTTCGTGCAAGCTGGGGCAGCTGGGCAGTGGCATGCCTCAGAGGTCGACTTGGGAGCTGGCGGTGGGATTGGGGTGTTGACCTTCTGGGTGCTCTGCGGTGGCTGAGGAACAGCAGTGGTGACCTTGTAGACGCTGGTGACAGTGGAGTGGCCGCTGTAGACAGAAGTCACGGTTGTGCCCTTGTTGACGCTGGTAGTAGTCTGTGGGCAGTAGGTCGTGTAGACAGTTGTGTGCTCGTAGACCGTGGTTGGCTGGCTTGGCTTGCTCTGGACTGGAGTTGATGGAGCTGGGCTGTTGGAGGTGAATTGGTTGTAGCCCAAGCAGCCAGCGAACTCAGAAGCACACTGAGCGTAGTTTGGTGGGTTGCTTGGGTTCTTCACAGAGCGGCAGTCATCGTACTTCTTCTGGCAGTCGGCGGAAGGCGAAGGAGCAGCCGAAGTTGGGACGGTGCTGGTGTGAGGAACGACAGATGATGGGCAGCCACCCTTGCAGGAGGTAACAACGACGGTGCTGGTAGTCAAAGTCGTAACAGTGGCCTGGCCAGAAGTCTGAGTGACTGGGCAAGTCGTAACAGTCGTGTAGGTGGTGTAATCAACAGTGGTGGTAGCTGGTGGGAAGACAAGTCCACGAGTGCCGTTGACGCTGGTGCAGGTCTGACCGTTAGGGTAAGAATGAGCTGGGTTGCAGTCGTAGGCCGAGAAGCTTGAGGAAGCAGTCCTGTACTCAGGGACATCGACAGAGTAGGTGACCAGAGTCAAGTGGCCGGACTCAGAAACGCAGGTAGCGCCACTGGGGTAGCTATGGGCCGGGTTGCATGCGTAGGTCGAAGAAGCAGATGGAGCTGGCGTGACGAGGGAAAGCTGTCCGTTGGTGGAGACGCACGATGCACCGTTAGGGTAAGAGTGTGCCGGATTGCAAGCGTATGTCGTAGAAGCCGAAGGAGATGCGGTCCTGGATTCTGGAACGTCGACAGAGTAGGTCACCAAAGTCAAACGGCCAGACTCAGAGACGCAAGTCGCTCCGTTAAGGTAAGAGTGGGCCGGGTTGCATGCATATGTCGACGATGCTGATGGAGCTGGAGTTACCAGCGAGAGCTGACCGTTGGTCGAGATGCAGCTCTGTCCATTGGGGTAGGAGTGTGCCGGGTTGCAGGCATAGGTGGTCGAAGCAGACGCAGTCCTCGACTCAGGCACATCAACGGAGTAAGTGACGAGCGTGAGCGAACCGCCTTGCTCGACACATGTAGCACCATTCGGGTAGCTATGGGCTGGGTTGCAGGCATAGGTCGAGGAGGCAGATGGTGCTGGAGTCACCAGAGACAATTGTCCGTCGGTGGAAACGCAGCTGGCTCCATTTGGGTAAGAATGGGCTGGGTTGCCTGAAGGATCATTAGCATGGTCTTCGAGGGATCGATGTTGAACGATACTTACAAGCATAGGTAGTCGTAGCTGCACCACCGCCGTAGGCCGTCAAGTTACCGTTGGCAGCCGCAGGGACAGCAGCCACCGCGGCAGCGAAGGCCAGAGAGGAGAGCCTGTTGTACATGGCTCCGAGTATTGAAATAATGAACAATCGATGAGATCAAAGGAAACAAGAAACGCTGGTTGTCGTTGCTGTTGCTGATATACAAGGCTGAAGGATGAAGAAGCGATGGAATGCTGATGATGAGAATGAAAGGGCTTACCTCGAAATCCTTCCTCCTCTATATACACAACTTCTCTTCATTCGTATCCAAAGTCCCAGCTCAAACAGCCAGATGGTCCCCACGTCAAAGTCCCCGTATTCCAGCAAAAGGTGGCTCTGGCAAGTCAAAGATAGAAACCAGACGTCATGTCAACCACAGCAACCCTTCGTAAGCTGCCCGGGGCATCGAGAAAACACGACGGTCAAATGCTAGCCTCGCCTCTAACATTTCAGGCTAAAGGCAGACAGCATGGTATGTCTTGGAAGGATCGCCACGTGTGGCGACGGCGTCTGACGGATGTTCTCTCCAATGGCTGCTGGTACCTTCTAACGGTCCAGCCGTAAGACGAAAGCCCAGCGCTCGTTCCATCAGAGTCCTTGATCGCTCGTGTTAAGATTAGACGGGTCTTGTCTCTCGTGTCGGCCCTCGATGAGATCATTCCGCTATGCTCGGCGTCAAGTTCGGTCGCCTTGTTTGTTGAAGCTTAGGTATACGAGAATTTTCCGTCGTATCAATTGGAGGGGCTGGAACTTTCACTCAGAAGGATTCGGCTTAGCTTGTGTAACCTTAAACTTTAGTAGCGCCCTATGCGGTACCGCTACATCTTTGTGCGCAGCAAGTTGCAAGGTATGAAAAATCTGCAAATAGCAACAGAATGTATGTACAGAGTAGAAAGATCTAGTGTACTTAGCTTCAGAACACTCCAGATTCTTGCGGCGGCTGTTGTTCTCGGATGAGACCGGTGGTGTTGCTCTATTCTGTCCTTCTCTTCGATGGCACCTGGATGCCCTCGTTCCCGCCGGAATCGACGCAAGTACCGATTTCTGGCTATGAGGCTGTGTTGATGTCCAAAGAAACGTCGAGTTCTGCCCTGATGCACACCGTCTCCAGTCTGTGCGATGGAAATTTGCCTCGTGATCAGTAGCCTTCGCCAAGAGCCGATCGTACCCATCGCCAGCCACCGTCAATGTCGACTCGTATTGTCAGTCGTTGACGTAGCCATGCTGTTCCTCATCAGTCGTCTGTGGGCTTCTTCTACACCAATCCGCTCGCAATTTCACAACCCGTGTACGATCGTTCGTCGAGTCTCAGAGTGGTAGTAGTCAGGCCAACATGCACGCAAGCCTTGCCATCGAATGATGGTTCTTCCAGTAGGACGAGATTACCGCCTCTTTCCAGCCAATCGACAGTCGAAAAGTCACACGTTGGGTATCATTCTGCATGCCTAAGTGTAGCTGTAACCAGCGCTCTATCCCCTTCCCACCCCAGAGCCTGATTCTCATGGTATATCCGCTGATTTACGTCGTTGATACATCGCCGATAGCATACATTCCGACGCCGTTTGCAGTGAAATCCAGTCCAGAATTCCGATGCCTCTCCTCTGTATGGCCCTGAACGCTGGTGCTCCATCGTCGAGACATGTACTGTACTGTATGTCCTTTCCATTCCCAAAACCACGCTCAAAACGCCATCGCTCCCAAACGCAGACCCAAACCCACCTCCTCAACAACACCGCCCCCTCTCCACCCCCCTCTTAACCTCATCCTCCACCTCTCCCCCATCGACCCCATAACTCGTCAACCCACCGGGCGTAACAATCCCACCCAACCAACTCCTCCTCTTATCCCCGGGCCCGAGCCGAAAACTTCCATTGCCCCCACCAGGCAACAGATCAAAATACCCATCCACGCGCTCACTCATCGGCGTCTTCAGCATCGCATCCTCCATGAGTTTAACCTTCTCCTGCCGCAGCGCGTGTTGCTCCACGAGTTTGCGCGTGATGACACGGAAGACTTCGTCGATACCCTCCCCGTCCTTGGCGGAGATCTCGTGGCAGCAATCCCATATCTGCTCTTGGCCCCAGAAGCCACTGCTGCGGTTGCTCTGCGGACTGCCCAGTCCCAGTCCCACCCCCATCGGTGTCACAGCAGCAGCAGCAGCGGAAGGATACAACTGCTCCGCAACATACCCAATACACATCTCAAACGGCACCTCCCTCAGCGCGGGCTTCTCAGCCACAACATCGCTCTTCGTCCCCACCACATGCAGAATCATATCCCCCCACCCCACCCCATCCCCACCATTACAATTCTCCCTCAACTCCCTCAACCAGCTCCCCATCTCCTCGAAACTCCTCCGACTCGTCACATCATAGCACAGAATCGCCGCGTTCGCCCCGCGATAATACAGCCGCGATAAGCTCCGGAACCGCTCCTGCCCCGCGGTATCCCAGATCTGCAGACGGATGGTGGTGTTCGTTTCGGGGTCCGAGACGCGGGTCGTGAGGAAGGAGGCGCCGACGGTGGATTGCGCTTTGGAAGGGGGGATGAAGGCGTTTTGGACGTAGCGGTGCACGAGGGTCGTTTTGCCGACGTTTTGGGAGCCGAGGACGACGAGTTTGGCTTCGAGGGAGGGCGGTGGGGAGTGCGTGTGGTGGGTCATTGTTGGGGTGAGTGCGTGAGCTAGAGGATGTGGTTTGGGGATTTAAGGAGTGAGGTCGCTATCTTGTGCTCCTGTTTTCTCTCTCACCGCCGACAGCAGAGGTGGTGTGATCGTGTGACTTTCGATGAATTGAAGAGTGCCATATCTGGTCGTCCTGCGATCAATCCCCTTGATCCAAATCAATTAAACCAGTCTCCGTAAGAAATCTTTTCCAACACACAAGCGATATGAAGACGGATTCAGGAGAAGAGGAAACGACCCCATCATGACGACACAAAGTAAACACGCGATCAACGCCAACGCTAAGCCCGATCGTGGCAGATTCGGCGGTGAGGCCGTCGGGCCATGTGATGCGTTTCCCGTGTCTTGGTTGATCGATTCCTCGCTTCAAGAGCTCGAAGGAGGATGAATGCCACCACATGATCGGAATCTGACTGCAGGAAAGCAGGATAAGGTGAAAAGACTGCGTAGAGAAGACGGGTTCCGTCCCAAGGAGAAGACATTGCCGAAACTCAATCATCGATCTTGCAGCCTTGGCAATTACTCGTTGGAGTTGGACATGCGCTGGCACGTGGTATACAAATGTGTCGTCTGAATTAGACTGAGGGATAGAATTATTTTCATTGTTCGTAATAACCCCTAAGAAGCGACCAGTCCCTTCATACCACCCGCCGCAAATCCAAACAGCGAGTCCATACTAACCCAACCCCATCCACTCTTGTCCAAGTACGCCTTCACCACATCCCAGCAGACCATGAAACGCTCCCGGTTCTGACTCGCCAATATCTTCGGCTTCTCTTTCAGATCCTCCTCGACCTTCACCAGGCCACCGGCGTTCAGCTTCTCCAAGCTCTTGTCGAGGTCGAAGATGCCTTGCAAGTATAGGAGCTGGTTGTACAGCGCCTTCTCACTGTACTCGAACTGCATGCGTCCTGAGCACCCGAAAGCACGACCGTTCGGCCCCAGACATCGATGTCCGTACACGCTCATCTGGCGGGTGCGCATGCCACATGCTGGGTCGTCGCAGATGAGCCAGCCCGAGTAGTAGCGAGACGTGTGCTTGCGAATTTGCGTCTCGAGCTGTGCCGAGAGCGTCAGAGTCGTCATGCGTTTCTTGCACTCATCTCGTGGGCATGCCAGGCCTTCGTGCGTGAGGGCACCAACTGGGACGAGAGGTGCCTCATCTGACGAAGGTGAGTAGTTGATGCCGCGGTACTCAAAATGATGCTTGCAGCCCAAACACAGCAGCTCCAACGGCTCGCAGTCCTTGAATCGGATGTGATCCGGAATTTGACTCTCCAATGTGGTGATCTCGTTGGTCTGCTCTGCAGCTTTACCAGCGCCGCTGACCCTGTACTTGCTGGTATCCAGACCCAAGCATTCTGCCAGCAAAGTCACGTTTGTGCCACTGATAGGGGCACAAAGACGCTCAACCGGTGGCAGGATCTGCTTGTGCAGGTAGTAGTCGACATCAGCGGTGAGTCCGCTGTCCTTGGCCATGATCTCATCCAATTCGTGGGCATTCTTGGCTGCGCTCTCTTGTGATCCAGAGTTGCTGCCGCAGATAACGAAGGCCATGACATCCTTCGCTTTCACCTGCTTGCCCTTCGCCAGTCGCTTGAGAGCGACCTGCACTGAAGGCATCGTGTTTCCGTTGGGGTACTCCTTGGGGTCCTTGCCGAGTTGCGTGTAGATGGTGTACTTGTGGGGAGGGATCTCGTTGTTCCGCATCTTTTCACTCAGCGAACGGAGGTAGTCATGAATCTGAGAGACAGCCTTTTCAGGATCCTCTCCAGAAAGCAGATAATCCAGGATTTGCCTACGAGTTGTTAGTTGCGTCTCCTTCAGGGAGAGTGCAGTACTCACTTCGATGTATCCTTTGACAGAGCGCAATATTCTCTCCGCTTCATGTCCAAACCCTTGACATCCAGCTTTTCAACCCACTTCTGGTCATCAACTTGCACCATCTGAATCGCAGCGTACTTCTTCTTGGCATGCAGAAGCAAGCGGCGGAAAATGTGATCGATCTCGATCTCCAGAAGCTGATAACGCTCGTTGACGCTTTTCTGAAACTCCTTGCCCATCTTGATTGCGTCTAGGATGTTGTCGACGTTGGTGTTGACCATGACCGAGTCAGTATCGCCGTAGATAACACGCAGAGCATGCGCCGACTCTGCGAGATCTTTCGTCGATTGCAAAATTTCTCGCCCTTTGGAAGTCGTCAGGGCAGCAAGTGGTCTGGCGTAAAACCGAGACTTCGTATATCCCAGACATCCGTACATAGAGTTGGCTGTCAGCTTCAAGGCCATTTGCTTGATGTCCCACGTGTTCAGCTGGTCCTCAGTCGCCGTCTTGTCTTTCATCAACTTCTTCACCTCTCGTCGACGTGTCACAAGCGTGCGAATCAGTCGAGGAAGAATGCCCTTGTTGCTCGTATCTTCTGGTACTGCGGGGATCTTGTCGTCGTCGTCTGAGATGTCGCTGCGCTCGATCGTGGTGAAGCAGATGTTGTACTCCTGGATGATGCTGGGGTAGAGCGAGTTGAAGTCCATAACAAGGATGAAGTTGTCGTAGAGACCCTTCTCAGGCTCAAAGACGAGACCTCCTTTGAACTTGTCCTTCTTCTTGGCATCAGCGCCCTCATCACCCTCTGCGTTCTCCTCGTCGAGCTTCTTGTTTGCCGCGCCTTTGCCAAAGACCTTGTCTGGGCAGATATACTTGTTACGGTAGAACTCGTGTAACAAAATGTACTCGTTGCGCTCAGATCGGGTACCACTCAATGTTCGGGTCCAGGAGTTGCCAGCCAGATTGGTCAGGACCTTCGTCAATGGCAAAAGCTGGCGCTTCAACGCAATGGCAGCAATGAAGTATGTGTCCACTTCACACATCTTGACAAAATTCATCAAGCCCTCTCGGCTAGCTGCCATTGCCAACGCCTTCTCAGGGTCGATACGGATGTGTTTGCCGTCGAGGAACAGCTGGACCATTTCGTCCAAGCTCCAGTCTTGACAGCCTTGTGTGATACTCTTGCCCATATCATTAGCAATATCGCAGAGCAATCGACCTGCAGCAAGGTGACGCTCGACAAAGAAGCTCGCGCCTCCTTTACCAACATTCTTGGGCCAGTCGCCACGCTTCAGTCGACCAATTCGATGCCAGCCAGGTGTCTTGCGGTCACGCATACGACTGAGCAAGACATTGAAGTCGACATTGTCAAAGTTGTGGCCGACAATGGCGTCTGGGTCGTGTTGCTGGATGATTGCAAGAAGGATGCTCAGAAGTGCGGCTTCGTTTCTTTCCATCTTGATTTTATGATTTGCCTTCTCTGCCTCGATCTTGAAGCCCAGAGGGTATTCGCCGTTAGGGCGCATGACGGTGTACAACCGACTGGGAATCTTCTCTGGGGGTGTCGTATCCGTCAGGGAGACATTTTCGTAGAAGCGGACACTGGCGACTAAGATTTCGTTCTTGTTCTCTTTCTGGTTGAATGTGGTTCGCAAAGCCATGGACATCAGTGTCAAAGGAGGTGCTTCCAGATTGTCAGTCTCGCCCAGAGTGGTGATACCATTCGGCTTGTCGACTTGAAGTTCCAGCTTGCACCACGAGGCGTTGTTGACGGCATTGAAGTTTGCATTCTCAATTCTAAGCCAGCATGGTCCCATGATATTCTTCCAGAGTACAAACTGCTCAAACAAAGCTGTGTTAGTACCGAACACATGAGAGAAAGTTTCTCCCCTGATCTCCGCTGGAAGGGCAGACTTGTCGTAGGGGTACAGTAGTTTGAGATATTCGGCCTCCTTGGGAATGCCAGGCAGCTCAAAAGCGTACTTTCGAGAACATGGCTTGATCTTGTGCATGGTGATCTTGTTCTTCGTCATCAGCTTGTCGACTTCCTCGTAGACGCTACTGAAGTCGACCTCCTCGTCCGTGTCTCGTCCATGCTTGTTACGGTATTCGCGAGGGAGGAAGTATAACTTGCGCAAGATGTTGTCGACCTTGACAAAGCATGATGCAAAGCTGCCGTCTTTGCGATTCTTGACTTTGCCGAACAGACACAAGCTGCCATTGACCTCGGTGTAATCAGTCCAGAAGAAGAAAAGCGAGCCATCGTCCTCGAGAGCATCCTTAGCAGAGAGCTTTCCGGCCACGGCAGGCTCAGCGGCAGGGCTGCTCAGAATGTTCAACTTCTCCGTCACGTTGTTGATCGCAGTCATGTCCACGTGCTCGGCTGGGGGTCGAGTTGGAGAAGAGCTGTCTGGAGTCGGATACGCTGTTTTGGCCATCTTTGGGACAGGTCGGCTGCCTCTCATATTCACGCTGGTGGCCTTCAGATTTGACGATCCAGTGACCTCCGCAATCTCCATCAGATCATCTTCCTCGGCGTGTTCTGTCTTTACGTTCGCATGCTCTTTACGCTCAGCTACCTTTGCAGCAGGAGAAGACGGCAAAGGATCGCTCATTGGTACGTCGTCGTCTTGCGCCTGCACGAAGTAGGCATCGTCATCGTCGCGAGTCGAGACGAGGGGAGGAGTGTCGATAACATCTTGAGGCGCCGGCTTCTTTGCACGCTGAGAGGCAGCATCGCGGTCTTCCAGTGGTGGGGAGAGGACTCGAGTCTTGCGGCGGTCGTTACTCTTCACGGGCTTCCCATATGAAGGTGCACGTGTTTGGATATTCGAGTCGACCTCACCGAGTAGACCTGCCATGAAGGCATCGTCGTCGGCTGTGTTCCGGGCCGGTTTTGGCTTGGGAGCGTTCGCGGCTGTTTTCTGGTTGAAGTACTTGCTGATGCCCTTGTTCAGTTTCTCAGTTCGCTCGGCATCTTCTTCTCGCTTGCGTTTGGCTGTACTCCAAGGTCAGAATTGCAAAGATCAGGGCTTTCTGAGATACAAACCAGCTTTGCTGTTTCGCGGCAGATCATCTTCACTTTCACTATCGTCTCGGGCCTGTCGCTCATCCTGCCAATCTTCGCGTCCGTCATCAGCATATCCGGCGCCATTGTCGTCCACGACGAAGTCATCCTGGTCCAGACGGCTCCTGACCACCTTTTTATATCCTTCATCGTCCACCGTCTCGTAGATTGACTCGGCCTCCTGGACTTCGTAGTCGTCGAATCCAGTTTTGCCCGCCGCACGCAAAGCGCGTAGCTGGGCGAGACGCTCTGCCCTGGAGGGAGCCATTGCCGTTGGTCGAGATGTATGGAATGGGATGCGGATATATTTATGCGACGAGCATATCGGAAAGCTGCACAGCCCAGTAGACAAGTCCTGTTCAGAAGGTGCGAATGTGAGTGGGTGTGTTGGTCGAAGCTGGCTCTTTGCGGGCGAGAGGTGAACGCGGGACGCGCAGCTTCCCTAGCGTGTTCGAGCGCGTCTGAATCTACCGAGCTTCGCCCGTGCCAAGCCGGAGAAACGTGCGACCGACAAGCGAGCACCGCAACTTCAATTTGCTCCAGCCCAAACTCGATTTTCTTCTCTCTCCAGGTCGGAGTCAAACGACAACAGCTGGGACAAGATGGCCATCAAGCACAACCAGCAGATCCCGCACAACCGTGAGAAACACAGCGTCCCTTTCAGTAATTTACGACATCCACTGACGCCTCGCAGATTTCCGCAAGGACTGGCAGCGCCGTGTCCGCGTGCACTTTGACCAGGTAATTCCCCTCTCACTTCCCACGACTTGAGAGCAGTGGCGCCGGTCGTGCAATGACACTCGAACCTCGATTCTGACGATTCGTCTTTACAGCCCGGTCGCAAGCAGCGCAGACGCAATGCCCGCCACGAGAAGGCCGCCAAGGTCGCACCACGCCCAGTCGACCGTCTGAGGCCTGTGGTGCGCTGCCCGACCCTCAAGTACAACCGCCGCGTTCGTGCTGGTCGTGGCTTCTCGCTCGCTGAGCTGAAGGTATGGAAAGATGCGGTACAAACCATCAAGAACGAGATCTGACAAGGACACTGCAGGAGGCTGGCATCCCACGCAAGCTGGCGCCAACTGTCGGCATCGCCGTCGACCCTCGCCGCCAGAACCTGTCCGAGGAGTCGCTCAAGGCCAACGTCCAGCGCCTCAAGGAGTACAAGGAGCGTCTTGTTCTCTTCCCCCGCAAGATCAAGTCCCCCAAGCAGGGCGACGCCCCCAAGGACGAGGTCGACGCTGCCAAGCAGATCGGCGAGGACCTCTACGACGGCAAGGTCAAGCTCTCCAACAAGGCTTTCCCCATCTCCAACAAGGTCACCGTCCAGGAGGGCAAGGTCAGCGACTACCCAAGCACCGAGAACGCCTACCGCACTCTTCGTGTCGCTCGCTCCGATGCTCGCCTGGTTGGCAAGCGCGAGAAGCGTGCCAAGGCGAAGGAGGACGAGGAGGCCGCCAAGAAGAAATAGACTGTCCATCAAAAGGCATTCTATTCTGCTGGGAAGTGATTCGCTGCATTTTGCATGGCGTTGGGCGGGGCAAATGTCAAAATGGGACAATGGGATTTCAGGCGCGTGGTCAGCGCTCATGGCTTGATACCAGACTAGCTCGTCACGAAACGAAGCAGATGAACGAATCTTCCCAGTCAAACTACAGTTCCACCCCGTCATGTGGTTCATTCGATGTGCGTAAGACATTAATCGTCACTAGTATTGATCTGTCGTTTTCTGCTCAGAGGATTCCTGCCCTCCTTCACAGCCCAGGTGATGCTGCTCAAAACGGCTGCCGCAGCAAGACTCGCACCACAGAAAACCTGCACTCCCAACCACCACTGCCGATTTCCTCCAATAGCACCCGCCACAGGATTCCCCAACAAAACCCCCAGCGCAAGACAAAAATTATTCATCCCCATCCTGCCTCCAACGAACCTCATATCCGGCGTGATACTCGCCACAGTCGGCGTCTGCAAACTGACAAAAGCCCCCGAAAACGCCCCATACAACAAACTCCACACAATCAACCCGGCCACACTCCCCTTCACCACAATCCACACAAACGCCAAAACCGCCGAAATAGCAGTCGTAACAGCCAGGACCGGTAGACTGCCCCAACGATCCGCCATCAGCGCGGGGATCGTACGACCGACCACCGAACCCGCGGAGAGGATCGGCAGCATGTACCAGGACAAGGAAGGGGTTGTCGAGGGGAGGGTGGAGGTCGTGTAGTCGGTGATGTAGAAGAAGGGGATGTAGAGGCCCATTGCGCCGGTGAAGGAGACGAGGGCGAAGAGCGTGAAGAGGGGTTCGCGGAAGCCGGAGATGTCGATTAGTTTGGGCCGGGGTGGGGGGAGGGTGCGTTGGGTTGAGAGGGCTGTGGAGAGAGGGTTAGTGGGTTGGCGGTTTCTGGGGGAAGGGGATTTGGGGCATACAGAATGCCGCGAGGCAGGTTGCGAGGGCGATGAAGCCTATTACGCGCAACGTCCATCCGAATCCGACCCTGGGCTCTAGTTTGTGGAAGACGATAGGGTAGATCACTCCTCCTAGACTACTCCCCGTCGCCGCCAGCCCCGTCGCAAGCGCCATCCGCCTAGCAAACCACCCCGGTATCACCCCCACCGCCGTAATGAACAGCATCCCGGCACCGATACCCACACAAACACCCTGCGCGAGCATAAACTCCCAATAAATCCTACAAGCCGACGTCGTCATAAGTCCCAGCACGACGAAGACCGTCCCGAGGAGCACGAGGATCTTGGGGTGTCCACGGTCGAGGACGCAGCCTGCGAAGATGGACGTCACGGCGAGGAGGAAGCCTTGCATGGTGCCGATCCAGGAGATTGTGGATGGGGAGGTTGTGGGGAGGAGGGTGGATGGGTAGTAGAGTTGGAAGACGCCGAAGGCTGTTACTATGCCCCTGTGTTGTCGTCGATAGCTTTAGGTGCGTGTGGGAGGGCATGGGGATGGGGGATGGTTCTCACCAGGAGTTGAAATATAGCATGAACCCCGAGACGACCTGTAGCCACGCCTGGAGGCCGCTATCTGGAGGCAGAGAGACATCGTCGGGTTTGCACGTAGGCTCGTTGGGCGATGTGGCGATGGAGTCGCTGCTGGCGTTGGACGCAGAGGTGCAGTCGCTGCTTCGACGTTTTTCTTCCGCTCCATCAGAGTCGTACGTCTTGCCGGTTTCGAGATCGACGGGATCTTTGCGTTCGGCAGCCATTGTAGGCTCTGGCATTGCGGATGTCTGGGGAGAAAGAAGAGAAGGACGAACGCTCCGATAACGCAGAAGGCAATAGAAACATAGACAGACGACTAAAGAAATCAAAACGGTCCTACCTCCTACCTTACAACTTACAACTTCTCCACGGAGGCAAACCTATCCAAAGCGGACCGCATTGCTGGCTATGCATTGCCGATCATCCACCGCCCACCTCGCAGCCAAAACCCGAAACAGATCTCTAACCAGATGAAGTCAGTCCACAATAGACTTCGCAGCGTTTGGAAGATGTCATATTTTCTGGCTTGTGGAAGCTAGACATTTTGTTGAGGGTCCAATGGGTGGACTTCTGGGGATGTCGGTTTGAAGTTTATCGGGGATGGGCAGACTGGATTAGATATCCATGGGAGATGATTCGTTCCTGGGGAGGATGTGGTGTGTTGTTGCGATGAGATTTCTCTGTTAGCTGCAAGTGCTTCTTCTCGAGGAGCACTTGACTTTGACCAGACGTCGTCATCGTTGGCAGCTGTCCTTGAGAGCCACACTATCGACTTGGCAAGTGTCGCCGGAGATGTTCTCCTACCAGCTCAGGCGGGTGAGAGGCGTCGAAGAAGCATATCTTCAAGAAAGTCAGCTCGTCAGAGAAACGAGTCTCCTTCGCGGATGCCGAGGACCAAAGAGTATTTCGCGGCACACATAGCTCCCGATCAATGGTTCGCGTTCAAGATTCCCGTGGGAAGTTCCACTTCATAGGGTTTGTATAGCGGTCGACGATCTTCTTGGGCAAGATAGAGCTGTTAAACTCGGCCAGAAGGACCACAGCTCTAAGATAGCTCTTGATGTCGCTGTGTCTTGCTCAAGGACTCATCAAGATGACATATCGAGATGCAACGTCGCGAGCGGGATGAGAGTGTTGTTGAGCACTACAGGACGAAGAGGCTGATGTCGATGTGCAGAAGGTTTCGGGACGATCGGAGAATTTTGCCGGACCACTTTCGATGACGATCGGGGACAGGTCCTTCTCATCTATCATCGTCTTGTTTGATTGACGGACACGCCTCATCTCGCTGGCGACGAGCCTACACCTTTTACCTCCAACTTATCCACAATGGTCCTGCCGTTTCCCAAGCCAGTCTGACCCAAGACTCAGAATTTGAAACAGCTTCAGATTGCCCCTTTCCTCTTTCCTCGGTTTAGCACAATGCTCCGGTATTGCGTCTCTTCTTGCCCATCTTCAAAATCATTCCTCCTGAACTTCTGCCCTATTTTCGCCAGAAACCGGCAAGATTTCTTCCAAATTCTCCACATCAGTCCGAAATTCGACATACTTCTCAAGCAAGCAAATCCTTCCCGCTTTCACTCATATCCGCCCTCCATGCCATGTTCTCGGGAAATCTGACACCTCTAATTTCACCAAGTTATACGGGCGAGCGGCCTCGCAGCCTGATTGGCTTGATGGCTACAGCGAGTGGTCGCAAGATACTCTGGTCAGTATTGATGACTACGAGATCAAAGGTTATGCATGGACTTTGGATTGCTTGAGGCTCTTGGTTCTGCATTGACGCAGGGATATTCTTACCAGCTGTGCCACTGCTCAAGTTGAAAACATCAGTTCACCTCGAAGACAGATCGAGCAGGAGACGCCACCGACGTCATGACTTCTCACGAAGATGCGTCTTTTCAAGAGCAGACAACCTCACCAGGTCAGTATCTCCGAAAGTCCGTTGTCGATACGTATTCAATATATCGACACCTCTTACAATGGAAAAGCGAAGCCTTGCCAAGTGTCAAGCTACGACAACGTTGTCCCTGCGAGCCAGGAACCTCACCACGCCATCATCTCGAGAATGCTTGATTTCGAGGGGTAACACGTAGAGCACCTCTCTGAGTGTTGGCCTCACGCCCACTCAAGCGCCATGGTGGGACGACTGCGAGTCCTCGTAGTAGGGGCATCGATAGCCGGCCCAGCAACGGCGTATTGGCTTGCAAGAGCAGGTGCTGAAGTTACGGTCATTGAACGATTTGCTGGCATTCGAAAGGGTGGGGATACAGATGTTCACCGCTCCAACCCTTCGAATCGTACGCTATTCTTCCGTTGCTTACAGGAGGGCAAGCCGTGGATATTCGTGGCTGTGGTGTAACGGTGATGCGGCGTATGCCTGGGATGGAAGAGCTTGTGCGTGCGAAGCCGACTGGAGAAGAGGGTGTAGGCATTGTTCGCAATGGTAAGCCTTGCAAAGTGATTTGAGAAGATGTGAAAGGTTTAAGTGTCCTCTAGACGGACGGCCATATGGGATCATTCGGGCAACTGGCAACCCGGACCAACAGTCTCTTGTTTCTGAATTCGAGATCTTCAGGGGTGACCTTTCGACCATCTTGCACGATCTCACGAGGAGATATCAGAGGATCAGTTACATATTCGATGAAGAGATCGTCTCCATAAACCAGCAAGCCTCCGAAGGACCTGTTCAAGTCGACTTCGCCAGCGGGAGACAAAGCGCAACCTTCGATCTCGTTGTTGCTGCGGACGGTGCAACATCGAGAACACGCGCCATCGGCCTCCAGTGTGGCGTACGCGACCACATACATCCGACGAATACCTGGGCAGCATACTTCTCCACGAAGAAAGACTATCTCGGTGGAAGCAAAGTCGGCCTCGGGTATAGTGCACCCGGAGGTCGATTCACCACCGCAGGGTCCAAAAGCTCAGGAGGAGGACATGCCATGATGATGAGTCGAGGCACCGCGGCGGCCTTTCGACAAGCAGCCGAGCAAGGCAGCGAGCGAGAGTTCGTCGCTGAGCATTACGTGGACGCTGGTTGGATCAGCAACGAACTGGTCGAAGAGCTGAAGACGGCCGAAGACTTCTACGCCAGCGAGATCGTCCAGGTCAAAGTCCCACAGCTACACAAAGGCCGCTTCGTCCTCGTCGGAGACGCTGGTTACGCGGTTGGACCAACAGGTTTCGGTACGAGCATCGCTCTCGCGGGTGCTTATATCTTAGCAGGCGAGATCAAGAAACATGCTGGTGATGTTGACGCCGCCCTGGAAGCTTATGAGGGTCAGATGCGGCCTTTGATCAGGGAGATGCAGAAGATCCCGCCGATTCTGGGGTCCATCGTGGCGCCGCAGTCAGCGTGGGTGATATGGGTTAGGAATTGCATCTTTGCTTTGGTGGCTTGGAGTGGTATTGCGGAGTATTTGCAGCGGTTCTTTGCTGGTGCTTTTGAAGATTCGAAGGAGTTTCCGTTGCCCGAGTATGAATGGAACTAGTGAGGGCAGCACAGAGCCGGTTCGGTGTCATCTTCATGTGAGTCGCTATCCTTCAGTGTCAAGACGAGAGACCAGAAGTGCTGACTAACATCGGCCAAAGATCTTCGTTTTCACTTGAGGTTTCTCTGGTCATCAGTACAACCAAGCTGATCACTTTCCCCGAATTGCATGCACAGCATCCAGCCGTTGAATCATAGCCCTTCAATTGATCGCAAGCCTCTGAACTGCGCACCAGGCAACTCGATGGACCATTCGACTCTTGCCCTTGAAGAAAAGAATAATGCAGCACAAGAAAGTACGTCGAGCCGGAGTGCTATTACGCCCTAACGGCGGTACCACAGCGGCATTCACTCACCCTCGTATTCGGAACGACGCTCATCAGGGGCTTGGCGCATGCCGTGTCTGCGGAGTTATGTACGGTCGTTCCTCGCGTACGGCTCGTCAAATGCCCAAGCGAGGCCACAGACACGCTGCAGTCCAGTGCTCGCTGTGTGAGGCTCGGATCAAAGCGAGACCGAACGAAGATGGCAAAATGGAATGCGGTCGGTAGGCCATTCGCTCCTAATAAGAGACATCATGCAGTGGGCCGTAACGCGGAAACGCATCGCAAATTCACCGCTCAAACTCCGAAACTGTCGCTCTAAATACTATCGATCTCGCGGAACATGGCAAGCACACAGCTGGAGAAGCAAACTGAGCCAGTGCAAGGAGACCGACTTGAAGAGGCCAAAGACATTAGCGATCGTGGCACTGGGGAGGACGTTGAGCAGGCGCAGATACCGCAGCCGGAAGACGAGCACGACACCTCGGCCGAGCATGATGAGTTCGAAGTCACTTGGGACGGCGACGATGATCCTTCCAACCCGATGAATTGGAGCAACTCACGAAAGATCTCAATCATAGCGATGGTATCTTTCGTGACGTTCCTCACGTAAGTGTTCTCAACAAGCCACTATATCCAGCACACTGACACCTTTCGATCAAGACCTCTGGCATCGTCAATGTTCGCACCAGGCGTCCCCAATGTAATGGAAGAATTCAGCACGTCTTCCAACCTCCTTGCAGCATTCGTGGTGTCGATATACGTCCTTGGGTTCGCCTTTGGCCCCTTGGTCGTTGCTCCGGCCAGTGAGCTTCTCGGTCGATCTCCAGTATACCACATCTGCAACACCCTCTTCGTGATCTTCACCATTCTCAACGCGGTGGCCGTCAATCTTCCAATGCTTATTGCGTTTCGATTCTTTGCTGGTTTCGCTGGAGTTGGAGCTATCACGATTGGCAGTGGGACGATTGCCGATCTGATACCTCCTGAGAGGAGAGGAATGTCTATGGCGTTGTACTCCATGGGTCCGATATTTGGACCTATCGTTGTAAGTGAAGTCTCTTATCACCTGTTCTGGATCTTGAGTTTGACTTTTTACAGGGACCCATTGCTGGTGGCTTTTTAACCCAGGGTGCAGGATGGCGCTGGGTGTTTTGGGTGATTACTATCTCGGTAAGACTACCACTGACAACCATTGAAGCATGGCTAAATTCGAATAGGGCGGCGTGGTTACCGTTGCCTGCTTCTTCGTCCTGCGAGAGACTCTGGCGACCGTCATCCTGGAGAAGAAGGCAATCCGACTGAGAAAAGAGACAAACAACCCAGACTGGCATGTCCGAAAACCGCTGGATCTTCCCCCTCGACAGCTTCTCATGCAGAGCATCGTTCGACCTATGCGAATCCTCCTACTCACTCCTGTTGCATCGGCCATGAGCATCTACATCGCAATCTTGTACGGGCTCTTGTACATCCTCTTCACCACATTCACCTTTGTCTTCAAAGATCAGTACGGTTTCTCGACATCGAGTGCTGGGCTCTCCTATCTCGGAAGCGGTGTTGGCACCTTAGCTGGCCTCTTGTACGCAACAATGCTCAGCGACAGAAAAGTTCGCCAGAAGATCGCAATCAACCAGAAACCCCAACCAGAAGACCGCCTACCGCTGTACATGGTTCTCCCGAGCTGTCTCTCAATCCCTGTGGGATTCTTCATTTACGGCTGGGGAGCCCAGTACCAAGTCCACTGGATCGTGCCTCAAGTTGGAACGGTCATCACCAGTTTCGGAGTCATCATCATCCTGATGTGTGTTCAGACCTATCTTGTGGACACCTTCACAACGTACGCTGCCAGCGCAATCGCAGCCAACACGGTTTTGAGGAGTCTCCTGGGCGCGCTTCTACCTCTTTGCGGACTTGACATATATGACGCTTTGGGACTGGGATGGGGGAACACGCTTTTCGGCCTGATTGCGTTTATCATTGCTCCGATTCCAATACTCTTTGGACTCTATGGAGAACGGTTGAGAGCCATGAAGCCGTTTGTTGGATGAAGCAAGATGGGGGATGAAGAAGCACGCCAAGTATAGATGATAGATTTCACATAAGCTTGTACCTCCTCACGGATCGAATGCTTTTCGGTATTCATGTGAAAAGCATAAATCAAGAAACAACTAGAGGCAGCCGAAACGTTGTGTGTCTAGGAGCACTCACTGCCGTGGAACTCATCAACAAATTTCCACGGCGTCCTAGACTCTGCCGTCCACCATCGGCATGTAACGATAGGGGATGGTGAGGAATGTGGCTGCCTACTCAATGCTTGTTCGTCAAGCCCCGTTCGTCATCCTTCGGATTCGTGCAGGAGTGGAGAAATTGCAGCCAGCAAGCTCAGAATAAACTTCGCATTCAATGCTAGCCCCTCTTTAGAGTTCAAGATCGCCGCTTAGCGTAGCCTTAGACAAGGCTCTATGCCTGCAACGCCAACCTGTTTGTGGCTCGCGGCAGGTTGACGAGAAGACCCCCGACGAAACTTCCCGTGCATTGTGAAGAGTAACCACAGACTGGTGGTGCTTTTTCCCAGACATTGCTTGTAGCAGAGCGCGTTGGCGCGGCTGTGCACCTTCGCACTCGGGCACTAGCGGTGCGATCTTCTTGTTTTATCTCCAGGCTACCACAAAGTCAAGACGAAGCGTTCAAATTGGTGGTGGATATGGTTCTCCTATAACTATGCAACCTTCGCTCCATGTAGTCACAACATCAACATCAACATTAACACCGCCAAATTCGAATACCCCGCCATAGCACGCCGACCAACGCAAACACCTTGCAACAGATATGGCATCTCAGGACTCAGACGCCAATTGCCAATCGGTGTATCCATATGACCCGAGCTTACCACTGGCTGCTGTAGCGGTCTCGTTTTATGCCATTGTGGTCGGACTCCACGTATGGCGATTGATCTTGACCCGGGCCTGGGACAACATCTTCATGGTGATTGGAGGATTTTGTAAGTAGATGTAGTCTCCGACGCTGGGATATTTACTAACCTTCCTCAGTCCAACTTGTTGGCTACGCAGCTCGCCTCTACCTGAGCCAAAATGTCTGCAGCAAAAGCGCATACGGTGCGCAGGCTGTGCTCTTACTTCTCGGCCCGTCGACGTTGATGTTCACGGTCACTTTGACCCACACCCAGTACATCAAAGCACTCAATGCCGATAAGATCTGCTGGCTTCCGATCCGAATGCAACGTCCGTTGTACTTCTGCATCAACTTCCTCTGCATCTTCGTCCAAGGGGTTGGCGGCATCGACATGGCAGCGGCTTCAGAACGTGGACTGGCCGAGGCGGGCGGAAAGATCAAAATCGCTTCGTTCGTGGCACAGATGGTCTTCTGGGTCTTCATCGCCTCGGAGAATGGCTGGGTCACATACCGGTACGGGGCGCTGCTGCGTCGGTCTGCAAACCGGGCTCAGGACGAGTCCGGCATGGTGCCTGATATCAAACCCACTTTCGCACGTTTCAAGCTCTGGAGTCAACTTTTTGGCCTCGCCATTTCGATCATTGTTGGCCGCAACATGATGCGATTGACGGAGCTTGGCGTGGACTTTCTCAAGAACAACGAGTGGCCTGGGTATGCTTTCGATGGTTATCAGATGGTGGTCGTCATGGGTGCTTGGGGTGTCTTCTGTCTTCCGGGAAAGTGTAAAGAGGTGTTGGCATCGCACGAGCGTTATCAGCACTTAGAGTTGATGAGGTCGAACTCTTCTCAGGAAAGAGCTTTGGTGTGATGATCCGGGGTCACCACAGCATGCAGCGTTGGAGCGTGATCAACAATTTGAATAGATCTCAATTCAATTCCGTCAACAAGCGTTACGAACATTTGCAATATTATCAAATTTATCAATCTTCTCATCACCTTTGTTTGAGCTCCTTGAAGAAGCGAGGGCGAGACTCGTGCTTCACTGCCAGTGAAGTATTCATGCATTGTACAACCGAAGAACATCGCTGCACAGGCGCGTAGAGCCGGAACGTGGAGTTCCCTTCAATCGTGATGAACATGCTCCTCACCGAAAGCGAGCGAAAGCGAGGTTTCATTCACTTACCCCAGATAAAGGTTCCCGCTAGTTTCAGATTGCGCAAGAACAGCGGACACGCCCACAGGAGCTTCGCATTGAACCCGAAGCATGATTCAGGGTTAGTCGATATATGTAGGCAGGAGAAGTAGGTCGTACAGACACTACTGCACAACGCGATGCGCGTGCCGCTAAGTCTCACCAAGAACTGATCGTCGTCGTCGTCGTCGTCGTCAGACTACGAAGTAATGGCGAAATTGCACAACGGCGCGTCGTACATCGTCTTCGTATACATCGTCTTCACGCATCGGTGCGACAAGCGGCAAGTAGCGGCGGGACGACGATTGGGGGAATCTGGACTCCACTCTTCAATCAAACATCATCAAAATATGATGGTGTTCTCATCAATACTCCTAGTCATTGCGCTAACACTATTAGCGGCAGTAATCCTGCTTGACAATCCGATGCATAACGACGCTGTAGCTTCAATGCGCTATCGAGGACTCCCGAGTTTGCACAAGCCTTCATAGCCGCCCAGCTGCCGATTGCTACTGCATAAGTATGGCGGGCCCTCGCCCTATCCTCACATCCACATCAAGAAGGCGAAAACCTGAGGAGGAATTCACATTTCTGGACAAAGTTTCACATCCCAGACCCCGGACGAAATGGCAAGCGCAGGGACGAGCAGAAACGTCCGGACTGAGTTGAATTACTCGAAACCTGTTGAAGGCAATACCATTTCTATCGACTTCACAAAGCCAGGAGCAGAGGCGAAGTTCGAGGATCTCAACGAGAATGGCTCGACCAGCCACGATGTGACCATCAACGACGTTCGCGGTAAAACACAAGATTTGAGTTTGGCGAGCAATGGCTTTCAGTACGTCTCACACGACGTCGCCGGTCTTGGTGATTGCAAGACCGAGCAGGAAATTACAGACCTACTACTGCCCGCCACCAAGGAGCTTGTGCAGAATCAGTACGTTTGAAGCCAGTTAGAAGCCAATCTTTCGACTGACCATGTACACTTACAGACTTGGGGCCTCTCGAATTGACATCCTCACTAGCCGTATCCGCAGCAAATACTCCACAGATCCAGCCAAGCGTCAAGAATACCGTGGTCCTGCAAACAGCGTCCATTCAGACTTCACTCCTGCTGGAGCCCTGAAGCAACTCGAAAATGTCATCACTGATGCCGAAGAGCGCCAGCAACTCATCGAGAACCATCGAGTCTATGTCATCAACGTATGGCGACCTCTCAAGCCGATCACTCGAGATCCTCTCGCCGTCTGCGATTGGCAAACCGTCGATCGGCACCGCGACTGGATTTCGAAAAGGTTCATATACCCTGGCAATTGGTCCGAGCTGGGAACCCCAGTCTATCATCCAGATCACCGATGGTACTGGATCAGCAATCAGCGGCCTAACGAAGCACTGGTGTTCGTGCAATTCGATGGTGACAAAGTCGACGAAGGAGGAATGACTGTCGCTCACACTGCCTTCGTCGACCCAGACTTCAATGAAGGGCCTCCACGTGAGAGTATGGAGATCAAGATGTTTGCTTTTGTACCCAGGGTGTGAGTTGTTCGACCCTATCATGGAAATAGATAGCTAGAATCGTCGCATACTTTGTTATTGAGTAGTTGAACCTGCTTCTTTTTCTCTGTCCTGTTCCACTGCGCCCATCTTTCTGACGAAGGCAACGTCACATCGTACCTGGCCGGAGAGGGTCACTTGCAATGCTGGCAAATCGCCTGACCTCACCGAGAATGAAACAACACTTGAATGTGACTTAGGCTGGCAAGTGTTGCTTTGTTAGTTCCGCTAACTCCTGGATCTTGTCCTCCGCCGCTCCCTTGCAACTTCCTGTTCTCTGTACTAAGTACTTGTCTGTATCTGGGTCGTAGCGTCCTTTACGATCTGTATGAGCGTCAATCGATGGACGACGCTCGCCTTACCCTTAACCTTTCGGTCAAACCTTCACACTTCGAACGCATAATGCCCGTCAGGTGAATATGCAATGACACCCCCAAGTTCTCCATACCCACGAGGAAAAATTTGTCTGGTGGAGAACACTGACGAACCACACAGTCGCTGCAGACAAGGTATGGTCCGCAGTCGAGGATATTTGGTTATGGGTGTCGCCAACGCTGTGGTACAGCATGACTGGAGCAAGGTCCAACTCAAAAAGCAACGCAGCCGCGACATGCCTGGAGTCTGCTCATGTTATGCTCCCTCCAAGAGTCTAAAAATGGAAGAGACAGTGATAGCAGTACTATATAGCCTAGGAGCCAAGTAGCAAAACGCACCCTCGAGAAGTTGCATGGTACAAAAACTGTCCCAGTAAGGCTGCGGCACAGAACGTCAACCTCGCTTACACCTTCAATATTTTGTGGCACCCCTTTGTCTGCGCCGCATTGAGATGGTCAAGCTTTAAAGGCATCTCCACAAACGTAAGTAAATAGCGAGTCGTTTCTTTGTTGATGGTAGCTTAGCGCCAAATTTTAGTCTACTACTGAACGTGCTCAGTGTATGAAAGCGATTGAAAAGCACAATATTTCTCCGGCATACTGACTAAGGACCATCCATCTCACAAAGCCCTTTGACGGGTTGATAGAGAGCTGCTATTGAGTAGACCGTTCCCCAGGACTGAAGCTGTGCCAGCGTCCTGAAGAAGGCTGTCGTTTTCACCCCAGACCTACGGAACCAGACCATGAAGGACTTTACGTTAGCCCTACTGCTGAGCGCTGCCCTCAGCAGTGCCCTGCCACAGGAGATTGACTGGGACGCGGTCGAAGCACTGAAACCGATTCCGACGGCTTCGATCCCAATTGTCAGCGCGGCAGCTGCAGCAACCACATTCGCGATCAATACAGCCTCTGCTGTTTCTGCCGTGTCCTCAGCGGTACTCGCTCGCCCTTCGGAGGCCATCATCGCTGCTCGTCACGCAAAGCATCATGTGCGCCACGCTCATCTTGCAGCACGGGACAACACCACTTCTAGCGACAACTCCAAGTGTCCTCAGAAACCAGCAGCAGACGATACCCCTGACGCATTTCTGCAGATTGGGACTTTCGCCCAGACTGCCCTGAAAGCAAGCGCCCCGGCCGGTTACAGTCAAGTTTATGTGAACAAGAACGGCTCCAGCGAGTTCATCTATCCGTACATGGGTTTCACAACTCTTAGCTCCTATGATACAGCAGAATGTTCAAAGCGATGTGATGCCATCAGCGGCTGCCAATCCATCAACATCTACTTCGAGCGCGACCCCAGCATCGAACCCACAGCCGGGTGCACCAACCCAGCATCCTCCACCGTGATCAAATGCGTCTACTGGGGCAGCCCCGTGACGCCCGACTCAACAACCAACACCGGCCAATGGCGCAAAAACTTCAAAGTCCTCGTCGCCGGCTCAAACGGCTACGTCAACACCACACACTCCCACCCGAAAGGCTACGACGACCTCATCTACCTCAACAACTCCGCCATCATCGCACCCCCCAACTGCCGCGGCTACGAAACCTACATGGGCGTCAAAATCTTCCAGAACAAACCCTTCTCCATCGACCTCTGCGCCAGCGCGTGCTCGGCGTCGAGCGAGTACAACCGCGCCCATCCGGATAAAACCGGGTATTTCCAGACGTGCCAGTTCTTCAACACGTATATCTTGTACAATGAGACGAGGTCGGTGGGACAGTATTGTGCGCTGTATAATGAGACGTGGGGGAAGGAGTTTGCGACGAATTTTGGGCAGTGGAGGAATGGGAGGAGGTTTACGCTGGGGAGCAGTTGGATGGTGTCGAATAGTACGGGGGATTTCGATAAGCCGAGGGGGTGTGCGAATGGGCAGACGTGTGAATGAGCAGGCATGCTCATGAAGTTGGAGTCTTCAGGATTAGAAGAGTTACTAGGTAGTATTTGGAGTTGACGTACCTGAAAGTGCATTGCAAGTAGGGAGGTTGCTTCACAGCCTGAGAGCGTGGCCAGCTGTACATGTTCGATCTTCTGCCCGACTATGGCTCAAATGCACTGGAATGCGCTTAATGACCATATGAACTTGCCTCATAGTCTTGAGTAAGTACGTGAGCAAACCAACCAGACTTTCCTGCCTCAAGAAAACCCTTCATCTTTCCACCTTTTCAAAGCTCAACCACCAACTTCGTCGCGCTAACCCCAGCCTTGCACAGCTTCAGCGCCTCATCAATCTTATCCAAACCCTTCCCCACGACCTTCGGCGGCGGCAAAGGCAATACCTTGCCCTTCTCCAGGGCAGGCGTAGCATACTCCTCAAACACCTTCCCCGCAATATCGTTCACTGCGAAGATCATTCCAGCCTGTACGTTGCTTGGTACGCCTTCAGAGGGCGGTGGATGCACAGCAGCGAGATGGCCGCCGCCGACTTTCTCCAAGATGGCCAGGTCGTGGGCGTATGTGTCGGGCGAGGAGACTGCGTCGAAGATGCCGACGACGGAGCTACCCTTAGGGACCGAGGCGAGGACGCTGGCGACGAGGTTGGGGTCGTCACGATCGATGACTTGTTCCGCGCCGCAGCGTTTGCAGAGGTCAAAGTTCTTTGGACTGGCGATGGAAATGATGGTAATGCCAGCGGCTGTGCCGAGCTGTGTGACCATGGAGCCGACGGAAGAAGAGCCGCCGTAGACGATGAGGGTCTTGTTGAGCGAGTTTGCAGGAGCGTCGAGAGAGGGGTATGGAAGGCCTAGTGCGGGTGTTGAGACGCCGGGCATGGCGATGCCGGGTTCTTTGAGAGATAGGGCGCAGACGGCGGCTTCGAGGGCGAAGGGAACAACGACACTGTCCTTGAAGGAGATCGAGTCGGGAAGGATAGCGGCTTTGGAGGCGAGGACGACGCTGTAGAGCTGATAGGCGCCATCCCGAGCTTGGCCTGTGGTGAGGTTGATACAGTGTCTGTTTCATCGACCTGAGTGTCAGTGACCTGCTTCCCAAAAATATCGCTTTGCTGCTTCGGACTCACCCAACAACCCTATCCCCCTTCTTGAAACGTTCCACGTCCGCTCCAACTTCATACACCTCACCCGCAACATCACACCCAAAACAAGCCGGCCACTGCTGAACAAACACACCGACGTCCTGCATATGCGTATCCAATGGATTGATCGCAACCGCAGCATTCTTCACGACAATCTCGCCTGGACCTGCCGTTGGCATGGGAGCATCGCCGACCTCGAGAGGAGTATCCGGCTTGTGCAGCCACGCAGCTTGATTCTTGGGATTGGTCATATCTGCTAAGGAGGAGTGAGAGTCTGACGAGAAGAGTTGAATGGGATGATGAGGGTCGATGTCGCTCCAGGAGAACCAGGCGTTGCCTTGCATTGATATATGATGTCTTGAGAGAATAGAGGAAGTCTGAGGGATTTAACTGGTGGATTGCAAAGTGCCAGGATATCGCCGAGACATTTCAAAGCAGTGGTGAGGACGTTGGAGGGAGTTCTCCGGGAGTCATTGCTGGGGTGATTGGTTTGAGGCTGGAAGAATCGCCGGAATCTGTCCGCGGTTGGAATGCCATGTGCTGTTCTTCAGCCTTACAGGGAATAGGGCAGTCCGGGGCTTGCTCATCAGATACTTTTCACATTGGATGTGTCTCGATTGTAGACCAAGTGCTGCGCAATAGAACCTCACGGTGTTTATCGTACCATTATCCACGGTTATCATAAAATCCTTCCACGAGTTTTCCTGTTCCATGATGCCTATGCAGATGCTAATTCACGTACCATCCAAACACAACGCCGTGCTATGCTATTCGTCCTCGTTAACGCAGTATCTCTATCCCATACCCGCCTAAAGTGCGAAAACACCAAAAAGCAATACAACTACACCCAGCCCCGAGGACGCAAGGATCCGCCTCGAGCCAGCACTGCTTGACGACGCAGCTGCCGCAGTAGTGCCCGTGGGCCGATTTCCTGTCGTTGTGCTCGAACGTGTGCTCGAAGTGCCCGAAGTGCTGGACGAGCTACCCGTAGACGATGTCTGCACCACATCAACGGTGCTAGCGCTGCTACCTGTCCCAACAACGACACGCCCAGAAGATGCAGCGCTTAAAACTTGGCTTCCTACTGTGACAGCAGGGCCTCCTGGAGTCAGAGTCTCCGTCTTGCCTCCGTTGACGACCTGCACGGCGCTCGAGTCACCTGGTAGCTCTGACATGGTGTACGCTTGAGCGGGGAATGTCGCTGCCGTGGGTGCTTGGACAGCGTCGATTGTGCTGGCGTCCTTGCCTGTGCCTACGACTACCGCGCCTGAGGACCCCGCACTCATGATCTGGCTGCCTACTGTAACGGCAGATGCACCAGGCGTAAGTGTTGCAGTATGATCTCCGTTGACGACTTGGATTGCGCTTTGGTGGTCGGTCACTGGGGAGAAGGACATGCCATTTGGTGCTTGAGCGGCGTTGATGGTGCTAGCGTCTTGTCCAGTGCCCACGACGATGTTACCCGATGGTCCAGCGCTCATGATCTGGCTCCCGACTGTGACAGCTGGGCCGCCTGCGGTGAGAATTGCAGAGTGATCTTCGTTGACAACCTGAACAGCATTTGGTTGTGCGACGGGCGACAAAGAGATAGCTTGCGGGTCTGCCTGAACGACTTTCGGTTGAGAGCCTGACGGCAAGGGCGCTGGCGGGCTGGGATCCTGTGGGTGATCCTGTGGGTGATCTTGCGGATGATCAGTTGGCGATGGAGCAGGTGGGCTAGGATCTTGTTGATGACCTGATGGCGATGGAGCAGGCGGGCTAGTGTCCTGTTGAGGATCTTGTTGTTGATGACCTGTCGGTGATGGAGCATTGGGGCTCTCATTCGGACTTGGGCCCTCTGACTGTGCAGGCTGTGGAGCATCTGGACTCGCATTTGGTGTGGGACCCTGGGACTGCTCTGGCTTCGGAGCAGGAGCATCGCTCTTTTGAGGACTCGGTGAATCCGGCTGCTTAGGAACCGACGGCACAGGCTCACCATTCGCACTGACAGGAGCATTATCCGGAGCCGCAGTAGGGACAGCAGTATTCGGCGCCGGACCCGTCGCAGGCGTCGCGGGCTGGGCCAGAGCACCAAATGTATTCATAGGCTTATTCTCCGTCTTCGCCTCCGTAAGAGCAAGAGGAGGATCGTACACGCCGCGGATATCGCCCCAGCAATCCGTCCAGTCGTCCTGCAGCCCTCGAAGCAAGTCGTTGTTGACGACGAGGATTGGCTTGTAGGGGGCTGTTGTGGGACATGTCTCGGTGCAGGCGTGCTCGCGGGCGTAGGTTTGGCACCAGGGCTGCGAGGAGTAGATGCTGTATGGGACGGGGTCGTGGTACAAGTCCTCTACTGTGAAGGGCGCGGTTGCGGTCCAGACTTGTGTTGGGCGGAAGTGTGCGTCGCAGGGAACTGTGCCGGCGTAGACCGAGGAGAGAGGTTTGTCGGGCGGGATGGCGAGGATTGTCTCTCCGATCTCCTTTCCAATCGTCCCGCAGGCGTTGGCCGCATACAGCGATTTGTAGGAGATGTACAGCGTTGGAGAAGTAAAAGTCGTGCCTAACGTCTCTACAGTGACGATTGGAGGTGGAGTTGGGCTCGCCTTCGCTGAGGCATTGTTGCTCTGCGTCGCCGTGGCAGGCCAGTAGATGAGCTGCACGGTACCACCCGTCACTGCACATCTTCCGCAACCGAGCGTGCAGCTTGGAGCTTGTCCCATGGTCGACGATGTTGGCCAGACCCAGCTGGTGCTATAGCCATTATAGAAGCCTAGCGTACCCTGGTTGAAGAAAAACGCTTCACCGGCATTAGCAATACCAGGTCTGAAGGCGCCATCCAGCTGATATTTGTCCCTCACCGTCTGGCACAGAGGACCTCCGATCGAGGCTGCAGTGCACAGGGGTGTCTGGAATCCGACAGTTCCTTCATACTTCGAGTAGTATGACTCTTCGACAGCCGAGTACGACGACGCACACGGCGGGACTGAGTTCGTGTTTGCCAGGAAACCGGCATTGATGTCGCAGTGAGGAGGCGGAGTGGGCGATGGGACGAGTCTGCTCGTGATAAACGCCTCCCAAGAACTCTGACAGTCCGGGATTACGGACGGCAATGAACAAGTGGGCTTCGGAGGGACTTTTGTCACTTCGACCGTCGATGTGTTGTACTCCGTGTTCGTGTTTGTATACACCTCAGTTGTGCCTGCGTATGACGACTGCGTTATAACCGTGCTTGATGTGGTGTCGATGGTTTGAGTGGAAATCGTAAAGCCTCCATTCACGATATTCTTGACAGTATGAATTTCTGTGCAGCAAAGTTAGCAGCCACCAACGTCTCAAGACAGCGTTGTCACTTACCTGTGACCGCAGTGGAGGTAGCTGCTGGGTGTCCAGAGTCGATCTGAGAGCCGGTGACTAGCCATATAGACGTAGCGACGGTCGTGAGATCATTCTGACTCAAAGAGGCGTCGTACGATGCTTGACTTGCAGACCAATAGTCGTTCCAAGAGGCATAGCAATCGCCCACACTGCCATTCTTTGCGCTCGCCGTCCCATTAAACCCAGTAGCAGAGGGAGTCGTCGACGGTGTCGTATCAGGATGCACGGTCTGATTTGCAACCAAAATATCGCCATTCTGCAACTTGGTCGCCGTCAAAACCGTGCCGCTCACGGTGAGTTCGCCTTCTGAAACAGGCTGCGTTCCTGGTATGCTTGAGCCGGGGCTCATGCCCACTCCCTGTGCCACATAGTCGCCAACGCCATGAGATGATGCTAGGGACTCGTTAGCATTGAAGCACTTTAAGAGTAAACCACGGAACCCACAGGCTGCTCGGACGAAACTCAGAAAAGGAAGAGATAGGAAAGCCACGAGGGCGGCCATCATAGCTTTGGCTTCAGAGCAAGGAAACGAGAGTACTCCCTCAGAACGAGAGCGGTTGGCGGGAAAGATACTGCTTCGAGGGTATAGAGACGGGGGTAAAGGGAAATGTATGGCCACCACGCTTTCGCTGAACGTCCCTCCGTGGTACTGCCACACAGCTCACCACATTCCCCTCTGGAGTTGAGGCTGAGGGGCTAATAAAAACGTGCCCCGATGATCCCGTTTCGCCCACGCGACCGTTTCATGCTCAGCCGCATGGAAAATGACAAACTTTGGTCTAGTAGCGTTGCGCTAGGGCGCGGTTCGAGGCTTCCAGATGCAGCTGAAGTGAGCGTTGCCCAACTCGGGTGTTTACAGCCCTAATCGCTTGTCAGAAAGCTGTATAGAGTCTTTAAGCGATGTCCTTACTAAGAAAAAGCTGAATCAGTCGATCTTCGGCTATGAGTAAATACACATACAGGTCCATGCCGCCTACCTCCTTCTCAGGCTGGTCTCCTCCTCTCCTTCAGCCCTGCTCTTGTGCGTCAGGTCGAAAGCTTTCATTGCGGAAAGTGCTCGCTGGCTTCATCCCTCCCTTCAAGGCCCCAACCAACGATGTAGAACGCTGCATCCTCCATCCTCCACCCTTCACTCCTCACAACACCAACACACCCACCGCGACACCACCCAACACCACCGCCGGAATCCCATGACCCTTGACCGCACCACTCCACCCCTCCTTCCCATACACCCCCGCCGCAACCCCATCCGTAGTAGCCAAAAGCCCCGCCACAAAACCCACCACAACGCCCACACTCCTCCACTCGCCCATCGCCGCGAACGTCAACAGCAAAGCCCCAAAGGCGACTTCCCGGCAGGCGAAGAGGAGCGGCCAGAAATTCCCCTCGTCGTCCGCCTCTTTCGATGACGATACGCTCTCGGCTCTGTCCTTCAAATTCGAGGACGCAGTCTGTATCTTGTGGGACAGCCTCCCATCATACCGCAGCCCAAAAGCCTTGACGCAGGACACGGGATCGTAGAATACCCAGAGGCCGACTTGGAGCATGTGTAAGCCCAGGACGATGGAGAGCGCTTTGCAGGTGCCGAGAGGCGTGGAGTTGGCCCAGAGGGTGCGGGGGCTGAAGTCGAAGATTGGGGCGGTTGAGGACATCTTTGGCGTGGGAAGGCGAGTTGTCGTCGCGCAAGGCGGAGAGAGATCTCCGGCTGTTGTCTTTGTGAGACGAAATGCGGTTCGTGATGTGCTCCTGGCTATGTTTGCAGGACGGGCAATGCGGACATATAGTTTCTCCAGCTACTATGTGGCAGAGCTCGAGGTCCAAGTACCTAGCTTGCAAGGCAGATGCCTCGAAAAGGTAGGGAAATCTCGCTCTTTTTCAATTTGACGCACAGCTGCTCGCACTCGCACTCATGACTGGGGTCGGCAGCACGTACGTCACGGGTACGATTGTATGTGGTTTCATTGGGGAGAGGTCGGTTGGCGATCCTTCAAGCAGTTTGATGGTTCTCCTCGTGATGGGGCCAGGATCCTGGGGCCAATAGCTCCCTCAAAAGTTGCCGCATTTGGACGGGAGTTGAGAATCCGTGGATCACCTTCAAGTGGCGTTAGTCATCACAGCGCCGAGAAGTCAAAGGTGAAGTCGCTATGTTGTGTTTGTAGGATTGAGGAATAGGTTCATTACCATGCCTGCGTGCTGCATTCAACGCGGAAAGGCTCCATCCTTCTATACTGTACAGAGTCGAGTATCGTTGAAAGTCCATCCGTCAAAACATGTATGCTGCCCAACGCCGTGCTCCACGCTGCCCTCGAAAACCACTGTACACAATTACTGCTTTTTCTACAGTTTACTTCTTCTGCCTCGCCAGCTCTTCTCGTACACTCCCTCCACTTGCTCGCCACCAGACATCACCGCCCCATCGTAACATTCTCTCGCATGCAGCCGTAGGACCATCGACCGCAGGTCTGACGTCCAGGTAAAAGACAGGCTCACCCGTCGGTTCCGGTGGACCCGAGTAGTAGTCAATCACATATCTCAGCTCCTTGGTCCTGCCACTAGGCAATTGCCGCTCCACAAACCAGTCGTGGCGATCAAAAGGCGGGTTGTCAGGGAATTGACTTGGGTATAGCCAGCTCATGAAACTGAGCATCCGTGCTTTCGGTGTGAGATCGCCCGGTCGGCCTTCGAAGCGTAAGAGTTTGGGCTCCGGGTCCTCTTCTCCTTGTCGCCGCATTCGCTTGATCGCATCTATTGTGGCTTGTTGTGCGTATCCTTCTTCACCCTTTGCGCATTTCTCCCAACCCTTATAAAGTCCACCCTGAAATCGATCTTCCCACGCCTTGATTTCTTCCCACGCTCCTTCGTTCAGAAAGTTGTGTACCGCGACCATGCTCTCCACATGCTCAGCCGGCGTATCCGTGTATCCTTTCCGTAGCATAGCGTTGTACATTTGCTGCGGCGAGGGGTACTCCCAGTTTCCTTGCCCATCGCCACGAGGTATTGTCGAGGCTTCGCGCTCGAGAGGGAGGTTGACGGACTGGAGATCTGTTTCGCGCTTGTTGGAGATGTTGCTCGGCATGTAGTTCAGAGGGTTCAGTTTCGAGATGTATGAGGGCGTTGCGTTGGCCGGAGGCGCATCGTGTTTTACGGGGCATGCGCTGGGTCGGTCGGTGGTGGAAGGCGGTGACGGCGGAGGTGTGAGAGCAGTCTTCGTCTTGTTGTGCATCGGACATGATGGCTGCGAATGTTAGCCTCCTATCCTCTTCACGATAGGACGTATCCATACCGGTGGCTCTGCATTCGCTCTTGAAGGGATAGGATGAGGGGCTACTGGTCGCGAAGAAGTCGTCTCTGCCCAGAACCAGCCCATGGTTGCGAGTATGTCAGTGTGTGATTACTGTGTGAATGTCGCTATTGAAGATTTGTCGGAGGCAAAGTGGAAGAAAAGTGCAGGAGAGGCGCGTTTCTTCGATGACGCTCCGACGTCGCTGACCAAAGTGAATGTCGGCAAGGGTCTTCCGGGCTGGGCCAAAGTTTGTTTGCGCGACCTCAGGCTATCCGATCTTTCCCGACTTCACGGCTGCTGTTGCTGCTTTTCGACAACTCTACAAAATGGAGGTCCTCTTCAAAGGCTGAACTTCTTCACGACTATGAACTCGAATTCAAAAAGAAACACTCGCCACAGTCCTGGAGTTGGACAGGTCGCTGCCAGTGATAGCCAATCACTCCGATGTGTGTGCAGACGCTGGAAGAATCTAGTCAAAACGATGGGCTCCCCGACAGTACAAAAATCATGCCAACTCGTCTCTTCATGAACAATATGCTACAGGTGCTGAGCAGCGTTCCGTGGTGTTCTTGAAGTCCAGTATCTCAAAAGCCTCGCCCCAAGACATCCATTCGATTGACAGCTACTAAGCAACAACATACATCACCACAACCAAACATCCTCTTCAATGCCCCTCACATCCCCGGACCCAGAGGCTGTCTTTACAATGCCTCAATCTTTGCCCGTCCCCATGTCCCTTCCCATCCCTCTCTCTTCGCTCCATCCCATCCCAGATCCCTCCTTCACCGCCCACAATGCCCTCCCCACCCCCCTCCGCCTCCATCCTCCCGCGCACGACCTACACCCTCACAACCACGAAATCCCGCCCCGGCGACGGCCTCCAAGGCATGACCGTCGAATGCGAAGCCGTCTCCATGGTCCCCAAAGTCCCCATCTGGCCCGCCGACGCCCCCGTGCCCGAATGCCACAAGAAAGACTCCATCGTCTCCGCATCCTCCAAGGGGAAGGGGAAAGGCAAGGAGAGGAGGATGAGTAGTTCACAAGCAGCTGATGGTGAAGGCGACGACGAAAACAGCGGCGAGTCATCCGAATCCTCATTCCATAACGACGAGTTGCTGGATATAAACTGCCAACCCCTCGTCAAATCAACTTCGCGAATCTCCCGCTTCTCCGCCTACGGGATCTCCGCGCCAGAGTCACCCAGACGGACGTCATCGTCAACCACCGCCGTCGGCGACGACGAACCGGGGGAATGGTGGCTGGAGAAAAAACGCCGTCTGAGCAACACATCGTTCGTCTCCCCCGCCGGGCGCCGCGCAAGTCTGAGCTACGGCACAGTCGATTCCGCGAAGCTGGAGAGGGGTCTGTGTAAACGGTGTTTCCAGCCACGGATTCCAGAAGCGACGTTTGAGAGGCAGAATCGCAGGGATGCCTGCCTGACGGCGACGTGGATTTGTTTGGCGAATGCGGTTTTCCCGTTTTGTGGGGCTGGGATGGTTTGGTGGAGTATCGGGCATCCGGAGCAGCCTGGGCCGGGGTTTGTGAGTTTCGAGTTGTTGCTTTGTTGTTGTGATTTGGGGGGTTGAGGCTGATGTGTGGTGGGGTTTAGCTTTCTATTATCCCGTTTAGCCTGTGGATGATTTTCATCACGGTTGTCTTCACGCTCTGGCGACCTTCTGCACGGCCGAGATGCACCTGTCCCAATCTGAGCGATAGGAGGAGGAGTTCGACGTCTCCATTATTGGAAAGAGCGCGGCAGGATCTGGATGAACTGGAGAGATGGAGGTGGGAGAAGAGAAGAAGGGGAAGCAAAGCGAGCAAGTTCTCATCAACATCAATTGTTGTCTAGAATGTATGTACGCAACTCACCACACATCTTGGATCGTCTATCTTCTAAAGCTTGCTGTCCGCCTGTGCCGCGAGGAACTCCTTGCTGAACGGGTAGTCAGTGTATCCGCCTTCGCCGGGCGTGTAGAAAGTCTTGCGCTCGTAGGGGTTCAGTTCGATGTTATGCTGGAGTCGAAATGGGAGGTCTGGCGTGCTGATGAAGTACCTTCCGAACCCGATGAGGATGTTGTCGGATGTGTACATGTCGCCTACGACTTTGCGGGCTTTCTCGGGTGTGTATCCGCCTGCGATGATGATTGGTACTTCCGTCCCTACGACTTTGATGAATGGGTCCAGCTCGACGGTACCGTCCTCTGCTGTTCGGTACACGCCATCCGCTGCACTGCCGGAGATGCGGCTTTCGATGAAGTGGATGTACGCGAGGTCTAGCTTGAGCAGCTCTTTGGTGATGTATGTGAAGTTGTCGATCGTTCGGTCGCCCATACCCATGCCTTGGAATTCAACGTAGGGTGAGAGGCGAATGGCGACCTTCTTGCTGTCGCCCGTTGCCTTGATGATGGCTTTGGTGACTTCGAGGCCGAATTTTGCGCGCTTTTCGATGCTGCCACCCCAGGCGTCTGTTCGCTGGTTGCTGACGTCTTGCCAGAATTGATCTATGAGATAGCCATTGGCGCCTGTGGAAAGTCAATGAGAGCTGATTCGGTACTGCTGTGATGTGATTCCTTACCATGAATCTCAACACCATCAAAGCCAGCCTTTATGGCATTGGCAGCTCCTTGAGCATAGTCGTTGATGAACTCATGGATCTCATCTTCAGTCATCGCGTCAGGCGTTGTCCCCGCTTTGCCAGTAGATGTCTGCTCAGCAGGCACAGCAATGGCACTAGCACTGCGTACTTTCCAGCCACCTTCCTCCTGCAAGACTTTCTCCTGCGCAACACGGCCAAGGCCCCACAGTTGGAGGTAGATAAAAGACCCCTTCTTATGAACCGCATCGACAACGTCTTTCCAGCCGGCGATTTGAGTTTCGCTCCATATGCCAGGAATGTTTGGGTAGCCACCCGCTTGTCCAGATACAAATGTCGCTTCAGTGATGAGTAGAGTCCCGGGGACCGATGCTCGCTGTTCGTAGTACTCTTTGGCATGCTCGCTGACATTGTGGTCCTTATCCGCACGGAAACGAGTAAGCGGAGCCATGACAACGCGGTTCTTCAGCAGCGAGTTGCCGACTTTGATCGGCTTGAAGAGTCGGTCTGCCATGGTTGCTAGAGGTTTTGCTGAAAGTCGCCCTGGAGTTTCTCCGAGAACGATGAGTAGTCTAATGGTCGACGAAGAGGAAGACAGATCTTATATCAGCCGGAAGACGTCCACGACCGCTTGGTGATACGATGTTCGACTCGTACGAAAGTGAGATGACTGGCTGACCGGACGAAAAGGTATTTATTGGAAGACCTTCTGTAATACTTATCTTCTCACATGCCTAGGCCCTGATTACAAACAAGAAGTGAGGTCTGAAATCTTTAGCTTCAATCGCATTGCCGCTATGCCGAAGCACGCCAGAGCTTCAATGTCAGAGCGCCGTCAGTATTTAGCGGTACTGCGTCTCTAACCCATACGATGGACAGCGGTTTGGACACCATGGTGAAGTCGATAATAAGTAACGTGGACGTGTTCTGACAAGACAATCCTTGGACTTGTGTGAAGAAACGTGTCTCGGGAGCAGCCGCCGCGCGAACACGTCTCACCTTTCTGGAGCAGTCGCAACTTTATTGACCCTCGAGACGGAAAAGGAGTCTCTCGTTAGACAAACATTTCTCTTGGAGAAAGGACAACGTGTTGGACGAGGCAGGCAGCAGCAGTAGCAAGCAAGCACTACCTACTTACCTACCTCCATGCTACTTCAGTCTTTACAATTGGATCTTCTCTCATCAATTCCTTGATCTCACCCTTCCAACGATTCGAACTGAACGAGAGATAAAGTGAAGAACCACCGCAAAGATGCCCACCTACTGGCTCTCAGACAGCCAGAGTACGTCTTCTTCCCCTCCCTCCCCACATACCAGCCAACCAAACTAACAACCCATCTCACAGAAATCGGCGTCGCCTTCTGCACCGGCGGTGTGTGTGCTACCCATCCATCCTCCCCCTTCCCATACTGACACAAAGAACCAAGGCGGCTTCTTCCTCCTCTTCGGCCTGATCCTCCTCTTCGACCGCGCCCTCCTCGCCATGGGCGACATCCTCTTCCTCGTCGGCATCACCCTCCTCCTAGGCCCGCAGCGGACGTTCCTCTTCTTCGCACGGAAGCAGAAATGGCGCGGTGAGGCCCTCCAACCACCTCCCTCCCCCCACCCCATCTAACGCCACAATGCACAGGCTCCCTAGCTTTCTGGGCCGGCATCCTCCTCATCCTCCTCCGCTGGCCCTTCGTCGGCTTCGTGGTGCAGTGCTACGGCATGTTCATCCTCTTCGGGGAGTTCTTCAAGACGATCGCCGGGTTCGCGTATAATATTCCCGTTGTGGGGCCTTATGTTGCGAGGGCGTTGAGTGTGGCGGGGGATAAGGCGGGGGCGGATGAGAGGGCGCACAAGGATTTACCGGTTTGAATGATCTGAAGAAAGGCATGGGAGGGATTGCGGGATGGTTGTGGGTGGTGAAGAGGGATTGGATATGAGCGAGGATTGGGGTTGGGGAGGGGATGTGTGGGCTATGAGGATATGAAGAGACCAAGATGAGGACATTCAGTGGGATGGAGGTCAAGATGAGAGAAGAGAAGTGACATTACACGACGCTCGACCAAGATACCCCATGATACGCCGCTTAAAAGAAAAACGAAGGCCAGACGCCTCCAAAGGGCCACGCTTGCATGGAGGAATGGTATAATGCTATTCCAAAAACAGCCATTGAAAAAGAGCAAAACACGAGACTTTTGATCGCGCCTCTCATCTCTGCCGAAAGATACCACGCTCCCATGCCTGCCTGTCCTCCATACGCCTGAACCGAAAACACATGATTTCATCTACGCATCAACACTCAGTGCACGCCATTGGCGCCATTGGTCTTCTGGCTCTTCACCTGCCGTCTGGCGCGGACTGCATCGGCGAGCTGCTCGAGGACGTCGACCGTCGTGTCCCAGTCGATGCACGCGTCGGTGATGGAGACGCCTTTCTGGAGTGCGGCGAGACCTCCTGTGGCTGGAGTCTTTTGGTTGCCTTCGTGGATGTTGGATTCGATCATGACGCCGACAATGCCGTCTTCGCCTTCGCGGAGCTGATCGCCGATGGTTTGTGCGACTTTGGGTTGGTTTCTGTGGTTCTTGAGGGAGTTGCCTTGAAAAATGTTAGTCTAGTGAACTGCCCAAGTCGAGTATTTTACCTTACCATGCGAGCAGTCGATCATCATGACCTCTGGGAAGCCCTTCTTGCCCAAAGCTTCCCTCGTAGCCTTCACATTGTCCTTGTCGAAGTTGGTGCCCTTGGTTCCGCCTCGGAGAATGACGAAGCAGTCTGGGTTACCAGCAGTCTTGGTAATGGCAGCCAGACCCTGCTTGGTCACACCCATGAAGTGGTGCTTTGCAGCAGCAGCCCCAATGGCATCCACCGCAACCGTAAGTCCACCATCCGTGCCGTTCTTGAACCCCATTGGGAAAGACAGACCAGAAGCAAGCTCACGGTGCAACTGAGACTCTGTCGTCCGCGCACCAATGGCGCCCAGGGAGATCAGATCCGCAAGGAACTGAGGAGAGATAGTATCTAGCATCTCACTCGCAATGGGCATTCCTTGGCTCGTCAAGTCGCAGAAGAGTTTCCTGCTGACACGCAGGCCCTTGTTGATCTTGTAGCTCTCGTCGATATCCGGATCGTTGATCAGACCCTTCCATCCAACCGTCGTCCGTGGCTTCTCGAGGTAGGCGCGCATAATAATGCAAAGATCGGACTTCAGCTTGTCGGCGAGCTTGACGAGGCGGGAGCAGTACTCGACGGCGGTCTCGGGGTCGTGCAGCGAGCAAGGGCCGACCATGACGAGGAGACGGTCGTCGCGCTGTTTGATGATCTCGACGGCATCGCGGCGGCCTTTGAGGACGGTGGGGAGGGAGTTGGGTGGTGGGGGCAGTTCGGAGGTGAGGAGTTGGGGTGGGATGAGAGGGTCGTAGCCCAGGACTGGTGAGGGCATGTCAGTTGGATGTGTTTCATGGTGGTGGGTGATGTGTAGACAAACCGCGAACGTCGTCGCTGAGTTGCTGCTCGGCCTGTGCAGGTGAGAGTGAAGGTGCGTCTTCGGCAGCCATTGTGAGGATCGGGTGCTGGCTTGTGAGAGCGTTGGTGGAGTGAGTCAGTCCGTGAAGAGCTGTCAGTCGTGACGAAGATGATTATGTTCAGTTGGACTGTGTATATGAGCAAGGAAAGAGGAGGAAGGAGGAGGAGAAGATTATTGTCCTTATGACTTGTGATTTGCTTGTGCAAGCGGTGACTGTTCTGCAGCTTGCGGGCACTCTGGAACCAAAATTAATCCTCCATCCTGGCCTCGGCCCGATCGATATGACGCAGGGACGAGACAACGTGGGCCAATGCTTCGATGTGTGTTTCCACTGCATTTTGCTGAAGGGGTAATGCATGAAAAGAACAGCTCAAACAATCAAAATTTGATGGATTTCGGCATCAAAACCATTAATTGAACTGGAAGGGTCGGACCCTCCAGCAAGACGGTGCGCCTTCCCTTTGGAGTGTTTATGACCGTGATGTGAAACAGTCTCCTGGAGGCCAGTAGAATTTCTTCACCCCAAATAATCGATCGTGTTCCATTGTCTCGCTGCACTAAAGGTACAGAGTGGTCGAAGCATGCAGCGGAAGCGTCAAAATCACGACGCCATCAATATTTGATGCAGCGGTTGATGAGCGACGAACGCGCATAGATGAGTCAATGTGAGGTATTCTCACCTCCAGCGGGTCAGGATTGTGAGGTTTCGCAAGACTCGAACTCGAAGCAAACGGAGACGTCACGTGCATTGCGGGGTGTTTCCACCAGCTAAGCCATTCGACGCCAAGCTTTGGCGCCTTCCATCTTTGAGCTGTGACTCCACCGCCAGAATTTCTGACTCGCTTCCACCACGCTCAACTGCTCACCACCGCCGTCGACCAACCACCACCCGACATCAACTCACCAACCGACACCACCACGACGGCAACACCACCTCGCACAACAAGAATCGTCAAACACCGACTACACCCCTTCACCCGCCACTTGGCGACCACCGCACCCTCCATCGCTTTTTTACAAGCAATCGACATTCGCACCACCACTCATGACCCCAGACAATCCAGTCTAGTATCAAGACCATGGCGCCGGCAGTACCCCCTGCTCGCCCTCGTCGGGCACCTCTGAGTAGCCTGAAGCAACCTCATCCCCAAAAGCGCACTCGTGGGCCAAAGGCCAAGATCAGCAAGACCTGTCCCAACCCAACCTGTGGCGGCTCCAATGTCGAAGAACAGGATGGCCAGCTCGTCTGCAAGGACTGCTTCACCGTTGTTGCCGAAACCAACATCGTCGCCGAAGTCGAATTCAACGACGAAGGCGGCGGCCGAGCAACCGTGCAGGGCGCTTCCGTCCACGAGAACTCCCGCCATGCAACCACTTTCGGCGCCGACACATTCAAGAGACTCGGTGGTGGCGCACGCAACTCCGCCGCTGAGACTGACCGCGCTGGCAAGCGTGCCCTTGCTGCCTTGTGTCCCAAGCTCGGCATCACCGACGACATTACCGTCCAGGCTGAGTCCATCTGGAACATGGCCGCCCTGAACGGCTTCACCTCTGGCCGTAGGTCGGATGAAGTCGCTGCCGCCTGCTTGTACGGCGCTTGTCGTCGACGCAAGGAAAACACCATCCTGCTCATGGACATTGCCGAGCTCATCGAAATCAACGTCTTTCGACTCGGCGAAGTCTACAAGGACATGTGCAGAGAACTCTATCTCGCTGACGAGACCGGTGTTGGCTTTCAATACCTGGTCGAGCTCGAACCCCTCATATTCAAGTACTGCCAAAAGCTGCAGTTCGGAGACAAGACCAACGTCGTCGCTGAAGACGCCCTCAAGATCATCCGACGTATGAACCGCGACTGGATCGTGTCGGGTCGCCACCCAGCTGGCCTATGTGGTGCTTGCATCATTCTTGCTGCCAAGATGAACAACTTCCAGCGCAGCGTCCGGGAAGTCGTCTATGTCTCCAAGGTCGCCGATGTCACCATTGCCAAGCGTGTTGAAGAGTTCCGCCGAACCAAGAGCGCCGCTCTCACCGTCAACGAGTTCCGCGAGTACGCCAACAGAATCAAGTATCAGCACGATCCACCCTCCATGACATTGGCTGAGGAGAGAGAGCGCATTATGCAGAATAAGAAGCGAAAGAGAGAAGAGCACCGCCAAAGCACTGCACGCGATTCGCAAGCCCGTGAATCTGTCATTGAGATTCCCGACGATGCTACTGATGCATCTTCCCGCCTGTCCTCGCTCGAGCCAGGCACTCCAGCACCAGAAGGAGTTGATGAAGGCAATTCGCCTAAGCGACAGCGGATGAACAACGGTGAAGCGCAACCTACGCCACCTCCAACGCAGCAAAACATCGAGACTGCAGCCTCCCCATCTCAAATCCCACAAGACGCATCCTATTCCTTGCAGGCCACAGCAAGCGATTCTTTTACATCGCAAGAGACACAAGCTGGTCCTTCCACATTCCTTCCTCCAACGCAGCAAAACGTCGAGACTGCAACCTCCACATCACAAACCCCACAAGCCGCATCCTCGTCCTTGCAGGCCACAGCAACGGATTTCTTTACGTCGCAAGAGACACAAGCCGGTCTTTCCACATTCCTTCAACCACCGCAATTTCAACCAGTGAACACCCCACCACACACACAAGAATCAGTCAAGCGCAAGCGCGATGGCAATGATCAAACAGCTGGAGCTGATGCCCAGCCTGCAGCAGCAAAGCGCATGCGAACCGAAGAACCAGAAGTTCCTCCATCTCAAGAATCCGCCCCACCACCTCAAACCGCACCGCGCTATGACGCCGACGGTTTTGCCATCCCAGCTTTGCCACAGGCACTGGCGGCACAGTTCCCGTTCCCAATCGACCCTGCGCTCACTGGCGAGGTACCATCGTCGCCAGAGCCAGAGCAGCCTGCAAAGCGCGGCCGCAAGCGCAAGACGGACAAGCCACCAGAGATCATCCTCTCTCAAGAAGAGTTAGATGACGAAGACTATCTGGAGAAGGATATTGAGGCCGCCCTCGGAAATCAAGAACTTGAGGATAAACGCACCGAAGTGGAAAAGGCAAAGGCAGTAGCAATGGAAGAAGAGAGAATCGAGAGAGAACTCAAGCGAGCCCAAGCCCTGTCCGAAGAGCGGCAGAAGATGGACATTGAGAAGAACAAGGCGAGACGCGAAGCTCAAGATGACGGCGACTGGTTCGGTCCTGCTCCGACGGGAGTCGAAGTCACCGCAGAAGAGCTCGAGAAAGAGTTCGAAAATGATCCAGAGGTTGATCGTTGCGTACTGCAGCCGTTCGAAGTGGAGGTCAAGGAGCGTATCTGGGTTGCTCATAACGAAGACTGGCTGCGTAGGCAAGCCGAGAGAGAGCTGATTGCCAAGAATGCGCCCGCTCAGAGCAAGCGAAAGACCAAGAAGGGAGGCAAGGAGAAGACGAAGAAGAAGAAGCGCGGCAAGATGGGAGATGGTAGCGTCCTCACAGACAGCGCAACGCCAATTCTGACGCCAGCCGATGCTGCCAGAGCCATGCTTGAAAAGAGAGCCCCCAACAAGTCCGCACACGTCGACTTCAGCGCTTTGGTGAAGATCTATGGTCGGGACACGCCTTCACGTGCAAGCAGCTCGGCGGCGGAAGGCAGCGGTAGTGGTAGTGGCAGTGGGCCACAATCAAGAGAAGAGACTCCTGCTGCATCACGACAGCAGTCAGCGACACCAGCACCGTCCGAGACAGACAGCCAAGCCGCACCACCATCGAGGGACGAGACTCCTGCCGCATCACGACAGCAGTCAGCGACACCAGCACCGTCCGAAGTAGAGAGCCAAGCGGCCGAGGGAGCTGCCGCAAGCCCCGAGGCAGATGCTGGCGGACAGGAGGCAGTGGAGAATGGCGAGGAGCAGGCCCGCGGTGGCGAAGAGGAGGCGGAGGGCGGCGAAGAGCACGTCGATGTTGACACCCAGGTCCAACCAGCGACCTGGGACAACATCGACGAAGACTACTACGAGGAGGAGGAGGAAGAAGAAGAGAACGATTACCGTCGAGCAATCAATGCCGACGTGGAGGAGGACGAGTTCGGTGTCGTTGGCGGAGGCTACGACAGCGAGGGCGAGGAGTACGAGTAATTGGCCACCGCAATGTCGTGAAGACTTCGGGTTGGGCGGGCAGCATGGCGACAGGAGGGTGGGAGGGTTAGGGCCGGGTATGTATACCAGGAGCTCACTCACGACCGGAGAGCGGTGTTGATGTCGCGAAAGGGGAATGGATGGGCCGGGTGTTTACACCTGGAGCTCGTCCAGACCATGATGACTGATGTTGACATTTGCTTGAAGGAAGTGGGTAAGGGCCGGGTTACATACCTGGAGCTCAACCCCGAACATCGCCTGAAGTCGTGTTGACCGCTTCGAATCGAAGTTGGATCGACATTCGCGAAGCCAATTACTCTACGCCGGACCCCGCTGCGTAGATAGAAAAGCAGAAAAAAAAACCAGCATATTTATTAATCTTCGTCTCGTTTTTCTGTTTTGAAAATACGTGCATGTGAAGCATCGGCATGAGTAGCAGAGTGATAACGCTCTCAAGACTGCAAGAGGTATGTACGACCTTGTGCTTCGTTGGAGTCCAACCCCTCAACGGCGTCAATGGCATCCTGGAACACTTTTGACGGTCGTCCCCCGTAAATCTTATTTGCGGGGTCTTTTAATCCCATCTCAAACACACCATCCAGCGTGCGAAGCACAAGCGACTGACTGACCAGCCTCCCGCGCCTCCGCCTCAAAACATCAACATTCACAACCAGCCGTCTCATCTTCCTTCCCCCCTCCGGAAAACAAGCCTTGATCCCCTCCAACATCTCCCTCACCGTCTCCCTCTCCTCATCCCCGACATCAGAAGACGATAACCCGACGCAAATCGTAAGATCCGAGATATACTCCATCGCCCCGCTCGAAAGCGGAGACGCAAGATCCGTCTTCCTCGTCGCAGGCACGATTTTATTCCAGGACTCGAGGTTGGGAGGGAGGTTGTCGACGCTGTCTAGCATGGAGCCGGTGTGTTCGACGGAGATGTGGCTTGTGAGGCCGCCACGGAAACCGCAGAGTTCGAGGATGAAGGTGTTTTGGGAGTAGAAGATTGTGTAGACGAGGGAGTGGAAGCGTTTGCTGATGGAGGCGAGGGGGAGGCCTGAGGAGGGTGGTGGGGAGGAGGTGTGGGAGAGGGAGAGGGCGTGGATGGAGTGGAGTTGGCGGTGGGGTGGTTTGACCCCGACTTCTGGGCTGAAGTGGAAGATCGTATTCGTCCTGATCAGCAGCGCGAGGATCTCGTGTAGCAATTCGTTCGGCAGCCGCTCAATCGCACTCCCCCCTTCCCCTTTCCTTCCCCTGGGGCCCTTCCCCCTCCCAGCAGCCTTTCCCTTCTTCAACTGCCTCACCCTCAACCTCTGCACAACCGCGCAATGATTCGGCACAACCATCACCTCCCGACCCGCAGGATCCTCTCCATCCGCACGCCCCGTCGTATGGACCCTTTGGCCGAGCCGATTCTTCGTCCAGGTCCCGGAGACTTTGGGGCGCCCGAGGTAAGGGGGGGAGGAGATGCGGCGGAGGCGGCAGTGGCCTGTGGCGAGGGCTTTGCGGGGGGCTTTGCCGCAGGTGGATTTGCGGGCGGTTTGTTTGGTGCGGGCCATGGTGAAGCTTGAAATGGGAAGATTGGGGCGTGGGAAGGGTGGATGGAGGAGGGAATCGGGAAGGGTTATATATATGCCTCTGTGTGGGGTATAGCTGTGCGAGGGAATCCTGCGAACTGCTGTCACATGCGCTAGCGCGAAGCTTCGGCTTGAGGCTTATCGATAAAGGGGGCCTTGCTGCCTAAGTACATAAGCAGCTCTACGAACTCAATCAGGTACCGCAGACTGGTCGGTCAGAATGTGTTGGCTTGCTGTGCCGAACAGTCTCTTCACGATCGACGCCGCTGGGAAGCTGTGCTCGATTGCACCCAGAAGGGCGAGATGGGAGGACAAATGGCCGGCCGCTCGCTCTCTCCTTGCCTTCTCTGGAGATTTTAGTTCAGCCATCGAGACGAGCAAGGCGGGCATGACGAGGGGCACTATCATCAAGGGAACGCAGCTGATGGCGTCGTCCTTGAGATATGATTGTACGATGAAGGTGATGCCTTCCTCTGCGATGTCGATGATGTCGGTTTGTGATGATTCGCTCCTGCTCCCGCTCTTCTCATGGAGTTGACATATCGCGATCAAGGTGGCGTGCTGACATAGTTGCAGGTGTCGGTGGCATAGAGTGACAGCCGGAGTGAACATCTCGGGGTCTGGTACTTGCTCGTTCTCCCACTGTGACAACAGCTTGTCAACTGGTACAGGCTTCGACTGCAGAGACAGATGCAGCGCCAGTGCAGCCTCGACTGAACCTCGCCACATTCTCGTCAGCTCTTCAGCCTCCGCATCGGTATGGATCCGGTCGCCGAGAAGAATCATGTCTTGGAATGAACATTCGGACTTGAAAGTGTGACTGGTCTCCCCGCCGAGCCTTAATGGTCGTCCCATGCTATATGACAGCCATGCATCTCGAAGCATACAGCAATGCCACATGGTCTTTTGGAACACATTATTCGTCGTCGAGTTGTCGCGGTCAGATAACAAGTTATCATGGAGACCCAAGCTCTGCGCCAAGCTGAATGCTATCCCAGTCCAATACCACGACTGCTTGACATCCTCGACATCATCGAAGAAGAAACTGAGGAGTAGGGCCGACTGGATAAGTACGTATTTGTCGTTCTCGCCACTAATGTCGAAGAGCGTCTTGGCTCGTATGTGATATAACGCTTTCGTCTCCACGCTTCGACACGCTGGCACATAGCATGCACTGACAGAGAACATGCTCCAGAGTAGAAGTAGGTTGATCTTCTCGAGCCTGCCGTCCGCATGATCTCGCAGGAAAGTCCCTCCATCCAGGACCGGGAACTGCGGATGGACAAAGCGGAAGTAGGCCCTCAGAAGATCGTGGCTCTCGTCGGGGAGGGCAAAACATCCTTTGGCTTCGAGATACGCCAGATCTTCTGCAGGAAGTGTGCTGTCCCTCGAGCTAGAGATCGTCAAGTGTCGGCCTTTACTGGAGTGCGAAGGCGGATTTACGATGTCCAGCAAAGATCCGTATCCGCTTTCGCCAAAGTATAGCGATGATGTCTGGCGAGAGTCTGGATGTGAACCGACGGATGCGGTGACTTCGGCTCGGTCGATGTGGAAACTGACTGTCTTTGGCGCATGGGCGACATCTAGAACAGGCAGCTTTCGACTCCGATCGGCTTCCACATGGTTGTGGTTTCTGACCCTCGACGTATACGGTTTCCGTGACCGTAGCCTGCACTCTGTCCCGCGCTCTAAGCAGGCTGAGCAAGGACGCAAGGCTTGGAAATGATCCGTCCAGGGTTGAACATCGCACTTGATCTTCCGCTTGTGGCACGCGGAGCACACGACGATAGCTCGTCTCTTATTAGCCATGGTGGTAAATCTCAAGGTTGCTGGGGTGCAGACGGGCTAGGCTGAGAGGAATGCCTGTGGGTTTTTCAAACGTGCGTTGCCGAATTTACCGTTAGGCAACTACTTATTGCGGTCCCACATTGATTATTGTCATCAGGATTCCAAGACCACTTTCTTCCTATTCTTGCTGATCCTCTTGCTGTTTCTGCAGCGGGTCCGCCGTCCTCCGGACTTTGTCATGCGGGAAGGAACAGGGGGGACGAATGATGACGCAGCTTGGGTGAGATTTGTGGATTTCTTCCGCCGGCATTTTCGCTAAGTTCGTCTGCATGATCTCACGCTCCATAGCGAAGAGAAGAACAACGACGTTTTCTGCTCAGAAAAAGTGACTTTCGATCGCTCTTGGATGATGAAAATAGTTCCGCTTCAGCCCCGACGACTTGTAATACGCTCCACTCCATCGGACTCGCGTGACCAGGCCAAGAACTCGAGAGGAGCCACGATGGACGATATAAATGCTGGGGTGTCGACTGCAGAGTCGAGATCATCAACTTCATATCTCCTCTGGCCATCATGAGAGTAGCAAGCATCGCAGCCGGACTTGCAGCTACGGCATCCGCACAATCAGCCCAAGAACTGATCAACTCGGTCTTGAATCCTGCACCAGGCACTTCACCGTATTCTTCCTACTCAACACAGATCTACTACAATGCCACCCTGTTCAACGAGACACCTATCGCGTCAACGAATTACGACAAGCTGGAAGCCTCGGCGAAGTTACGTTTAGATCCAGCTGCATATGATTATGCTGCAGGCGGTGCTGGATTAGAGACGACCGTTGCCAACAACCGGGCAGCTTTCTCTCGGGTAGGAGGATATCGATGTTGATTACGGCTAGCACATCGCTGACCAGGAACAGTGGAGCATTCTCCCTCGGGTGATGCGTGAGGTATATCCCAAGCGCAACCTGACTACGACTTTGTTCGGCAAGACTCTCCCTGCCCCGATTGTGATGGCTCCAGTCGGCGTCCAGACATTATACCATCCGGACGGAGAGCGTGCAACTGCATCTGTATTCGGGGAACTTGGACTGCCATTCACCCTCAGCACCGCAACGAGTACGGGCTTTGCAGATGTCGCCAAGGCCAATGGAGTGAATAGCACTCGATGGTACCAGTTGTACTGGCCAAGCGATGATGATCTGACGCGGTCGTATCTGAAGACCGCAAAGGAAAACGGATACGACGTCCTCGTCGTCACGGTAGACACCTGGGATCTAGGCTGGAGGACTCGTGACCTAGATCGAGGATTCTTCCCTTTCATCCGGGGTATTGGGGTTCAGATCGGCCTGGAAGATCCAGTGGCACATCAGAAGCTGGGTTTCAACCCTCTGGCGAAGAACGCAACGGCTGAGCAGAAGCAGACTGCGGCGCTCTATCATGTCATCACGACATCGAGAGGAATCTCGCCAGTGTGGGATAGGTTGCCATTCTTGAGGGAAGCTTGGGGCGATGGACTGATCGTGCTCAAAGGGGTGCAGACGGCTGAGGACGCACAGCTGGCTGTTCAGCATGGTATTGATGGGGTCATCGTGAGCAATGTGAGTGAAACTCCACAGGCAAATTCTATCTCCAGTCAGCTAACATCAACAAGCACGGCGGCCGTCAAATAGACGGCGCAATCGGCTCTCTCGACGCCCTTTACAACGTCACAAATGTAGTCAAGGGGCAGCTGGCTATTGGCTTTGATGGCGGCATTAGAGGAGGCGCAGACATGTGAGTAGGGCCAGAGAACACCATTCTACCGTGACTGACCGTATGCGTAGATTTAAAGCACTCGCCATCGGTGCCGATTTCGTCCAAGTCGGCCGCCCAGTCCTATGGGGTTTGGCTCATGAAGGAGCGAAGGGAGTCAGGCATGTGATGAAGTCTCTGCTTGCGGAGTTTGAGTTGACCGTGGGACTTGCGGGTTGCCAGCACGTTCAAAAGCTGAATCGAACACATCTCTTGAGGGTATGATGGATTGGTCGAGCCGCAGGCAATGGATCACAGTACCAGAATAGGGGCTGCCTTAGTAGATGGAGTTTAGTTCGCGAGTTCTTTTTGCAGTCTCTCGAGTCCAAGAAGTTATGATATTTGTTATGAGGCCCGACGCTTTGCCTTGATCCTCCTCCTTCAAAAGAGAGCACACTTGCTTCTCAACGACCTGCCAAAAAGATACAGCACACATCCATCACGACTTCTTCCGACGTCTCGATACACACAGCCCCATCCCCACCCCTCTGCACATCAGATGTGCATGATGCCCGTTCCCTGCGAGTCATGCCCAGCTCCCCGCCCAATCGCAGCCGCAGCAGCCGCGAAGGATCCCGCTGCGAGTTTGTGATGAACCAGTGGTACGAGGTGTCGCAAGACCTGTTTTCGGGTTTCTCGTTGAACGAGTCGTATGGCGAACACGTGTAAGCAGGTGCGGTGACCTCAACATAACTCAAAACGAAAATGCTGTTATCACCTGTGGTAGGAGACGACGATGATGATGAAGAAACAGAGCATTCAGAACGAAGATCTAGAACCTCAAGCCGTTTTTCCAAACGGTCGCATGACCACATGTCTCATCAATCTTGGGCGTCTGCTGAGAGCGATTACATCAACCCGCGTCTCTCCCACACCCACACGCGAAGAAGTGGGAGGCGTTCATCACATGCACGCGTCCTCTTCGCACGCCATGACACGGCTGACAGGCCGATCAAACGATAAGCAAGAGGGGCACCTGAAACACGGGCCTGACGAGGCAAAAGATAGCTCTCGAACTCTTTCTCTGCTCTGCAAGTGTGTATATAAGGTATAAAAGGTAGGGCTGCATGCACGCACGCGTCTGTCCATCCATAGCTTTTGTGCATCCTGTTCCATTGGTACGCTCTTACGTGTCTTTGCATATCCAGGTTTGCTGTCACGATTGCTGCAACTCCCTGCATTCATCGGTGCCAAGGTGCCAATTGCGTGCTGTTCGGCATTGTAGGTTCTCTCGGCAGTGTGTGAACCAGGTATTGGAGACGAGAGGGTCTGGCTCGTTGGGGCGAAGTGCAGGTGGTGAAAGGCCTAGATCTTGGAGAGATTATTACTTGGGATAGAGGTTGTCAGCGTCAGCGGTGAAAGGACAGACGAGTCCCCAAGGAAACAAGAAAAGAAACCTACATATTTGAAAAGCCAGGCCGCGAAAGACGAATTCTCAGTTCAGACGACAAGGTCAGTCACCCACTCCCGCCTCAATTCCATCCATCAAAGGCTAATACCCGCCAGATACCCACTTGCAACCCCCCAAGAATCATGAGCCACAGCCCAGCACACAGCACTCGCACTCCCTCTCCCAAACAACGACGCTCCCCGAACCAACGAGTCCACTTCCTCCTCTCCCCCAACGACACCGACGACCCAACATGCAACTGCGGGAATCTCTTCTGTTTCGGCGGGACCAGGTGTTCGAAGAAAGGGAGCGGGACGCCCGGGTATGAGGATTATGAGCCGGAGAGTTGGTGGAAGGAACGGAGTGAGGGTGGCATGATTGTTGAGGTTAGGAGGGGGTGATTTCGGGAGGGCGAGGAGGGAGAGAAGGTGTAATGTGTATGATTTAGAGACTGGACGCAAGTCTGCGGTGGGTTGAGGGTGTAATAATGGCCGTTTGTACGATGGGGTTGGTCGATCAGGGATTTTCGACGGTGGCCATGATGAATAGATTGTAATCTTAGCTGGTCCTATTGTCGATACGTATGATTGCAATGACATTGCCTTGATCCGGAATCAATTAATCGACGTCCAGCCGTTCGCACGTTTCCTGCCCAACCCTTCCTCGCTTGAGACATCGTCTTCGCGGCAGGTCGGGTCTGGACTGTCCTCGATGAAGTCGCGATCCAGGTCGTCCTTCCCCTCGCCGGTATTCAAGATGTCGGCTGGCTTGATGGTCTTGCGCGAAGTCGACATTTTGGCCAACTTGCTGTCCTCCATAGACGAGACCAACTTAAACAGCATGCCTTTCTTCTCCGTCAAATCCAACATCCACTCGTCAAAAGCCAGCTCTACCTTCATCGTATTCCACTGCTCCTCCCTCGCCCGCATCCCTAGTGTCGCCACGCTGCGCAACGTTCCCAGCGAATCCTGACTACGGTGGTGATCCGTGATCACCTCCCTCAACTCCATTCCCTCATATGCAATCTGCATTAAAGGCAATAGCTTTCCCAGCTCCTCCATCTTGAACCCCTTGACACACAGCCTGCCCTTGATCTTCCCACATGTCTCTTTGATGTACTGAAGCCAACATCTCAGAATCTCGAGATTGTTGACAGAGACGATGAGGGAGAACTCATTGAGACAGTAGTAGATCGCACGTGCTTCGAGTCTGATTTACCTGCATACGCGGAGGAGGGCTGGGTCTTTGCGTTTCGAGCTGCGGATTTGCTGGGGTTTGGTGTTGTCGACCAAGACGAGTTCGTAGATGTTGTTGCGGAGTTCGGGAGGGAGCTTCATGAAGTGGTTGACCCTGAGCTTGCGTGGTTGGGATTTGCGAGCTGTCTTCTTGCGTTTGGCCGTGGCGCTGTATCGCCATGTCTTGCTCGGGTCGGGCGCCTCAATTGCCATGGTCCTGAGGTCGCACTTTTTGGTGATAGTGATCGGGTCATAAGAAAGTACAGAATCGGCAGATTGGAGATGGTCCAGCCGCACGAAACACAGGAAGGGCAAATGAACATGAAGCATGTGAATACTTACAGAGGAATTCCCGTTAGACATGTGAACTCATGGAAGCGAAAGATGAGACGGAAAACACGTTTACCAGTGCCTAGTCCCCGGAGCACCTTTCACACTGGTAGTATCAATATCACTCGTCACTGCCAAACAGTCAGTAAGACACCCGGTGAATCATGCTGCCCTGCTACGCACCCCATCCCCCATAGAAATCCCCAGGTTGAGGAATCACCCTCTCCCCATCAACATAACAATCCCAAGGCCCGGCATAAAAGCTCAGATAATCCTTGATATCCTTAAACCTCCCACTCGGATCATCATACGACCACACCCGGCTCTTGACCACCTCACCACTACTCGGATTCCTCAAGTCATAATACGACGCGATGCCCTTCCACTCGCAGAACGAGTTGCGGCTGTTCTTCTCCAAAGGAATCTTCATAGACGATGGAGGGAGGTAGTACGTGGGCGGATGGTATGTTTCTAGGACCCAATACGCCTCTTTCGTGTCCGCGATGACTTGTTCACCCCATTTGACTTGCAGATGGCGAGGTGTTCGCTCGCATGTTGGGGGTCGAGGAAAGGTGGCGGGGTTCAACTTGGGTTTGGCGGAAGACATTATTGTTCGTTTGAACATGTGATAGGTGATGTGTGGACTACATGGTGCGAATGGTAGGTGAATGTTGACGGATCAGCTATGGACATCGTCATCGATGTCTGTACCTGCGTCTCACGTGAAGCCAGAGATTGCTGCCTGGGGCACGAGCACGGCGGCTGCTCCCGAGACACGTTTCTTCAGACTTCACGTCAACAAAACCTCTCTTCTCCGCCCCTATCATATTCTGCACGTCGTCATCGTTCAAGCTCACGAACATGGCAAGACGACATTTCGTTCATCGACGGTCGTCGATTCTGCCGGATTGACATCTCAATGACCTGCAGCCACCCTTGGCAGCCGGCGGGGACATGTACTGAAAGCCAGGTACCTGCTGCGTAACAACTAATGAGCCTCAGCCTTTCTCTGTCTACATGGCCGGGTCGGTCAACTTGAAGCTGTTTGGCTTCATACTAACTCTTCAAGGTCTTCGTGTTTGTGGACAAGCTTCTCGGACCAAGTGCGTAGGTAGCATGAGCGCGAGATATCCATACAACCTGATGCCCTTGCGGCCCTCGTGCAAGGAAATCAGACTCTTGCAGCTCGACGACACGGAGATCTCGACTGGATCTCCTCTGATTTGCAGCTTCCATGTGTCCACGCTGAAAATCCACAAAAATGGCGCGAGACAGCCCGAATCGATTGGAGAGTTGGGAGATTCTTCCTGCGGCTCAAAGAGCCCAGACGATGCCTTGGCCTACAGCGCTGTGTCTTACACTTGGGGCAACAACCCGGAGACTGCTCCAATGGTGATCAACGGTCATCTGGTCCAAGTGCCCGCGAACACCGAGATAGCCCTGCGTGGGTTGCTCACGCAAATACTCAGAACGACGCATCGAGAAAAGCATGCTACTGAGCCAACGAGCGGTGACCAGCGTTTGCCTCTACTCTGGATCGATGCGCTGTGCATTGACCAAGAAAATCTGACAGAGAAGAGCCAGCAGGTAGCGATGATGGGTGAGATATACTCTCGCGCGGACGAAGTCTTGGTCTGGCTCGGCGATGACGGTGATGGGCTGGGTCCGGAGCTCGAGGCGTTGCTCAACGATATTTACGCAGACTGCGCGCGGGCGACAGACGACTTTACGAATTTGCATGACATTTTGTTCCCCAAGAGTGATCAAGGAATGAGTCGGGGAATGAGAGATGCGGCCGCCCGGCATTTTTGGTCGGGGCCTCTCACAGAGCACATCATCGACCGGTCCGATTTCACAACTTCCAAGGTGGACATACTGACGGCGTTCTTCTCCCTCCCGTGGTTCAGCAGGGTATGGATCATCCAGGAGATCTTGCTCGCGAAACGGGCGAGGCTCTACTGGGGCGAGGTATCCATTCCATGGCCAGTGGCCTCGCTGGCCGCCCAATGGCTGCTGTATGGAGTCAATGGCATTGCTGCAGTGGGCGATCCCAACTTCAATAAAGCCGTCACACGTGTGATGGACGCTGTCTTGCACGCCTCGACACTGTATGTCATGGGTGCAGATGTGCTTCGGATGCTGTTCGACAGTCTCGGAGCGCTAGAGCATAACCTCGCGACTCTTTTAAACTGGTCGAGCCTGTTCAACACGACCGAGCCGAGGGATAACATCTACGCGCTCCTGGGTCTCTTGTATCCACGGGACCGCGAAGAGCTCCAGCAGGAATTCCCGGCTCTGAGGCCGGATTACAGCCTCGACCTCGTCACCGTCTACACCCAAGCCACCCGAGCCGTCATCCTCACGACTGGATCCATCTACAACTTAAAGACAGCCGGGCTCCACCAAGCTTCACTGCCAGACTGCCCCTCTCTGCCCTCATGGGTTCCAAGATACGGCCGCCGCGCCCCAGCCGCGCACGGCAACTCCGTCCCAATCTCCGACACCGCTGCAATGGAAATGCTCGCCCCGATACCCGAACAAATCGCCCTCCCGCCTCATTCAAGACTCCTCCGCATCAAAGCCCACATCCTACACACCGTCGCAGACGTCGGTCCAGCGATCCACGCGTTCTTCCACGCCCAAGATCTCGACGACGCAGCGAGAAAAGAATTCTTCATGCACTACCTCGCCCGCCTCCTCGAGACGTGGCGATTCGCCCGCAACGCCTGCGGCCTGCCCAAGTCTCGCACGCACACCCTGCTCGAGAAAGCCAAGACTCTCTTCTGCGGCGCGCGCCCCTCCAACCCAATCGCCACCGCCCACGCCAAAACCACAACCCACTCAATAGCCCTAACCCTCATCAGCGGCCTCACCGCCGACGGCGAACCCGCCCACGACGCCCCTGACTTCCTCTCCCAAATATCTCCTCTCATGAAAGCCCTCGAAACCTATCGTCCAGGGACGCCGACCATACCCCCAGAAGTCATCCCCTTCCTCCTCGCCGTCGGCCGCCACAGCGCAAACCGCCACTTCTTCATCACGGCGGAGGGCTCGTTCGGGATGGGCCCGCCGGGCATTCGACGGGGCGATCGCACGGCGTTTCTGTTCGGGCATGCGTGGCCGTTTGTGGTGAGACAGGAGAAGGAAGGGCATTGGGTGTTGATGGGGGATGTTTACTGGGATGGGTTTATGGATGGGTTGCATTTTCGGCGGTTGAGGGAGGAGGGCGTGCTTGAGCGGATGGTGAGGTGGATTGATATCTATTGATGGTCTACTATTCATGACGTGGCAAATGACAATGCTCGAATTCAGGAAGCTAAGATAGAATTCTTTTTCTTATGGTATCGTTACACTTGTTTCGCGATAGAGACGCCAAACACCTCGCTGAGACCCTCAGCAAGACACACGGCACCATCTAGTGCTTGGTCACCAAACTCTCGCCCGCCTCCTCCTTGGCCTTACCATACTTCTTCAATCGGATGGCATTCACGCTGATGAAACCCGTGGTGTCGCTGGGCTCAAAGTCGCCAATCTCGTCCATGCTGCTCTCGCTGGCATCGTACAGCTTCTCGGTATCGGACCACCGTCCCACCACAGTGAACATGCCCTTGAAAGCCCGGCATCGGACACTCCCGTTGACCTTCTTCTGCGAGGCGGTGATGCTTTCCTCGAGGAACTCGCGCTCGGGCGAGAAGTAGAGGCCGTTGTAGAGGAGTTTGGCGTAGTTGAAGGTGAGGAATTGGTCTCGCAGGGCGCGGACTTCGCGGTCCATGACGAGGCCTTCGAGGTCGACGTGTGCGGCGCGGAGCATGGTGAAGCCGGGGGTTTCGTAGCAGCCTCGGGACTTGAGGCCGATGAAGCGGTTCTCGACGATGTCGATGCGGCCGACGCCGTGCTTGCGGGCGATGGCGTTGGCGGTGAGGAAGAGGTCGACCGAGTCGGTGGCCGTCTTCTTGCCGCCCTCGTACTCGAGCTTCACAGGCAGACCCTTCTCGAAAGAGACGGTGAAGTCTTCTGGGGTATCTGGAGCCTTGGTGGGATCGGTCGTGAGTTTCCACATATCCTCTGGTGGAGTAATGTTTGGATCCTCCAGAATCCCCGCCTCGTAGCTGCAGTGTGCCAAGTTCTCATCCATACTCCACGGCTTGCTCTTGGTGCTCGTGACGGGGATGCCCTTCGCCGAGGCGTAGTCGAGAAGGTCCTGACGACCCTTGAACTTGTTGTAGAAGACTGGGTCTCGCCATGGAGCGATGACCTTGATGGAGGGCTGGAGGGCGTAGAAGGCGAGCTCGAAGCGGACTTGGTCGTTGCCCTTGCCGGTGCAGCCGTGCGAGACGGCGAAGCAGCCTTCCTTCTGGGCGACGGCGACCTGGGCGCGGGCGATGACGGGGCGGGCGAGGGAGGTGCCGAGGAGGTAGACGTTCTCGTAGATGGCGTTGCAGGCGATGGCTGGGTAGCAGAGCTCTTCGATGAACTACAAATAATAAGCATTCAACATCGACTGAAGTCCGTAATGTGTATTCAACTCACCTCCCGACGCAAGTCCTCAATATAGCACTTGGTAGCACCAATCTTGAGGGCCTTATCTTTGGCGGCCTCGAAGTCCTCCTCCTGGCCAACATCGGCCATGAAGGCAATCACCTCATATCCCTCTTCCTACCAGCCAGTCAGTCGTTGGTTCTTCCCTCACTGCCGAGCTTCCCCAACCCCAATGGCTTATACTCACCAAGAGATACTTCAGGATGCAGCTGGTATCCAGACCGCCCGAGTAGGCCAAGCAAACCTTTCCCTTGCCCATCGTGCCGGAATATATAACTTTTCAAGCTTGAATGCAGAGTTCGAGACTTCAATGGCAGGCAGAAGAGGTTTTTGGAGGAGAGCGGAATGTTTGTGGTTTGGGTTCTCGTGACTCCTCAAGAAAAAAAGCTTGCGTCTGCGTCAGTTCATGCCAGCCACGGCAGCTGATAAGACCTTATCGGCGCAAGGAAGCTTCGCTAGTTTCAGGGCAGGCGCAGGGTTCGGCCGGAGAGCCCCGGGGGCTGTGATTGGCTGAATTGAGGGTGTTGAACTTCACTTCACTTCACTTTCACCCTCTAGCCTTTGACCTTGAAAGACACCTACCCACACTCATGGGACTCAGTGCAATGATCTTGTATTCAGCCACTCTTTGGCAGGAACCAGCTATCTCTTCACTCTTCTACCACGCCTCGTCCCAATAGCCCGGGAAATCGGCCTCATTGACTATGTCAATTTTGCTCTCGACTTCGCCCCAATTCTCCTCGTTGATCTTAACGCCTTCGAACTCGCCCTTGTCCAACCAATAGTGGGTGTGTCGCAAACGACACCGCTTATCCTGGATGCAGTCCAAACAGATGCCGACACACATCTCCTTGATCTTCTCGACGCTGCTTGCGATGGTGATGTGCGTCGGGGCGTTGATCTGGACATCCTCATATTCGGTAGTGTAGCTGTGAAGAGATCCGGTACTGCCCTGTCTCATTCGTCGTCGAGACTCTCCCCAATGATCTCCGAAAGGACTAAGAGCGTGCGAGATTTCTCTGTACACAATGGCTCCTTTGCATGGTTTCGCCCTAGTGACTGTTTCCCTTGTGGACATCAAGGGGATGCGCACACCGCCGAGCTGGTCGAGTAGCTCTTGCAAACTGTGGTCTCTGAACTTGAGTGGCATGAGATCCAGCTTGTTGAGGTGCTCTAACAGCTTCTGCACATCCGACTCAGAGTCGGCCACTTCGCTGGCTTTGCTGAACTGATCGATCAGCGCCGTGACCTGCGCCGTGAACTCCTGCCGAGCAATACTCTGTTGACAGAAAAGGGAGCCAAGAAGCTTGGGTGGGAAGTGGTCCAGACACTTCCTGCCGAACTGTCCGGCTTGGATGGTAGGTCTCCTCAACACCAGCTGTTGGGTGAAGTAGCGGAACGCGGCCGCCTGGTCAAGCAGAACCGTCGCAGCGACCAGGCGATTCAACTCGCCAGCGTCGTCCATATCGATCTTGCCACCAGTATCGTTGATCAACGTGCAGACCGGTAGTCTGATAGCTCCGACGACGTCGTACTTATCGGCCATCAAGCCCAGTTCGAGAAGAGATGCAGGCGGCATGTAATCTTGGTCGTCCTCGACCGGGATTCCATGATGCAGCAGCAAACACAAGTTCCTCAACGGTATCGGCGAATCCTTCACAACAATCTCATGCGGCCTCTCCGAACTCCTCCCCGCGCCCGCCTGTCCCTCCGCGAACTTCCTGCTAAACAGCGCCTTGAAGACCTTGGAGCTCATGGCGAGGATGCACGAGCTGACTCGAAGCTTCTGTGGTGGATGGAAGCCGTCGTCGGCGTTGATGATGATGTCGCCGAAGTCGCAGATGCATTCCTCGTTGGGCTCGAAGAGGGTCGTGAGTGGGATGTCTGTGTCGCCGTCGGAGAGGGGCGGTGATGGTGGTGGTACCGTCGGAGGGTCTGCAGTGGAGTCTGCCATGATGTGGCGACTTTGTGGAGGGTGGCAGTCAGGTGTGACTGTTGTGGGTATTTGGAGGAAGTTGTGTTGGTTGTGGAAGAGGAAGCGGAGTAGTTAAGTGGTCGCGAGCTAGTGGCTTGGCGGAAGCAAGTATCACATGTGAATGGAAACGAGAAGCACGGACGCACTTCTTAGAGATTGGTGTCATGTGACAACGCTTTGAACATTCGCCTCAGGATCTATACCCAAATATCCCAACCCACGCTCTTCTCGTAAAGGTCCACGTCCATCTACCAAGTGTCCTTCCAAAACGCCGGCCTGGGATAATTCTGCAGCAGTCCCATGTAAAACCTATCTCTGTCAACAACACCGATCCCCGTATCGCTCGGCAAACCCCTAGGCCCCCTATCGACCCTGAACACATCCAGATCAAGCTCACGCGCACTGTCGCGGTCGTCACGAGCGTGTTGAACCCAGGGTTGCGGATGAGCGACCCGACAAGCAGCTCTGTGTTGCGAGCCTGGCCTCTTCACACAATCCAAGCAGAGACCGACGCATATCTCTCGGACGTTCCGCGCGGCAAATAGTGCATGGCGCTGGGTGACCAGGACGACTTGGGCGTTTTCCAGCTTCAGTCGGTAGCAGGATCTGAGGTGCTTGGTGCCGTCAGACGCCCGTGCCGTCTCTATTGGGGGCACCATGGCGAGGTTTCTGTCGAAGGTAAAGTCAGGGCAAGCGCAGATTTCGGTATCGGACAGCAATGCTGGCATCTCGATGTCTTCTAGCTTTTGCGCCAGTGTCTTGATGGAGTGCTCGGGGCTGTCGAACTTCGCAGGGAGAAGGCCAGCGTCTGTGAGTCTTCGTAGAAGTTCCGTCGCGAGCTCGTCTTTGCCACAGATCTTTGCTGTTTTGGAGAACTCCGATATCAGAACGGCAACGTGGTGAGCCAAGGTTTTCTGAGCTGTGTTTACTTGGGCGTGAGATTTGCGAAGAACCTTTTGGGGATGTGATCAGAGCACTTGTCGTCGAAGTAGCTCAGATTGGTGTTGGAGTCGCCCACATTGACGAACTTCCTCGTCAGCTTGCGGAAGATAACAGGCATGTCGAGAATGTAAGACGCCGCGATCAAGTCGCACAGTTCCTTCCGCGAACGCCATCCGCTTGTATTTTGCGATTGTACTTGGGCCTGTAGAAGACTTTCGTTCGGCAATCGAAGCTGATCGACGCACTAATACTTGTCGACCAGAATCGCATATTGCAGGACCACGGACGGAGAAAGCTTCATTTCGTCTTCCAACTTCTTGTGGTGAATCACACAACACAGAATCTGTACCACCGTTCGGTTCTCTCTGATTTGAACCTCCCTCTTATCAGAACCATTCCGATCATTCTTCTGTCCTTCGGCAAAGTCGCCATTGAGTAACTTATCGAAGAATGGGCATGCTTGAGCCAGCATATCAGTGCTGACCTGAAATCGGCTTTCGAGGTTCTTGTCATCGACAACGTGAAGCACGACGTCTCCGAGTGGATGGAAGATGTCGATCGGTGGCTGGAAGAGAGTCTCAAGGTCATAGTCGTCTTCGCCCGTTGCGGGTGCTGTCTCTGTCGGAAGTGTTGCCTCTGTCATCGGTCGTAAAAGTTGAAACAAGAACATGAGTGGCTCTGGGAATGGGAGGAGGGCAGGAAGTACCTGTAGATGTAAAATGTCATCGGGAACTCAGCAAACAGGATACCTTTCAACAGTGCCAGCTCGTTTGCATGCAAGTGAATAGTGCGAGCTACGAGAACACAACGAAGTACATGCACCATACATGACTAGAGCCTTCTGCATTCTTCCCATTTTTGCTGATGTCTACTTTTCGATAGGCTGTCGAAGAAAGTGAAGACAATGCCATGGTGAAACGCATAGACTCCGTCGTCATGCTGTGCAACCTGTGCCAGGTTGGAAGAAAAGAGAGGATTCATATGCATTGTCATGGTTTGTGGACGATATATGTGAAAGCGTTGTGTGAGGAGATGGGGTGGTGATAGTCGGGAGAGAAGGAGTGAGGTCTTAAAGAAATTGATATCCCACTTCGGATCCCCGCCCCCGTCGGCTTGCCCCACGCCTGCAACTTCACATCAACATGATGCCTCGCGCATCTGACTCTTCTGATCCTCGTGCCCACAACGACACACATACGCTCGACTCATCGACTGACTGACTACCAGCTCACCAAACACTCACCAAACACTCACCCAAACAACCACTCTAATCACCACCGTACGCCAAAAACATTCACCACACCCAACCCAAGACTAACCAGTTCAAAATGCCAAAGAACGACTCCTACCTCAACTTGTGCATCGAGCAGGCCGTCAAGTCGCCTCTCCACTATCGCCATGGCGCTATTGTCGTGCGCGGCGGCAAGGTCATTGGACACGGCTACAATGACTACCGCCCGGGCTTCAATGGAGGCGCTCTGAAGCATGGTCGCATCGCCCATGGTACCTTCGACGGCGACGCTGTCCAAGAGCTGAAGTCTAAGTTAAAGAAGAAGGACAAGAATAAGCAGCAGCAGCCAAGTGGTACATTCGTTCGCTTCGAAGGCACTGGTGGCGGTCATGGCGCCAACCAGCCTCTCTCGATGCACTCAGAAATGATGGCCATCTACACTGCCCTCTCCGCCTCTTCGACGATGTCCTCCACGACCTTCTCGCGCGAAAAACCGTGCTTCAAACTACCGCGTTCGGATAAACGTAAAGCGCGACTACGACGAGAGGTCCTCATGTCGTACGTCGCGGCCGTCTGCGAGACCTCCACACGCACCGGCAAGTCGCAGGTTCAAGAGTGCGGTTTTGAAGCTTCCACACCTCAACCAGGTGTCGCAGGAAGCGGCTTCCAACCACAACAAGAAGGAGGACCGCAACTACAACGACAACAAGGAGGACGAGTACGAGGACAATGCTCTGCTCAAGCAGGTGCTCAAGGATACGAGTCTGGCGTTTCACGAGGAGCTGAGTGGAGAGAAACATCATCACCACCAGAGCCGGAAACAGAAGAAGAATGGGAAGAAGAACGAGTATCAGTATCAGTACGACCGGTATGGGAGTCAGACACAACACGCACAGGCACAACAACAGCCCAACTCATCTGCGTCTAAGTCGAGGCGTGGTGATGATTCAGACAGCTACGATGTGATACGAGGTTATGATGCTACGATTACGAGTCATGATGAGGAGGATAACGGTGATATGACAAACGTGGCGGGTCCGGCTTCGATGCCCTCTTGTCAAGCCATGAAGCGGAAGAAGGACTACAAACGGGTATGTACCTTGAGTGTTGATTCTGTCATCCAGTCTAACGTTTCGCAGTCTGGTAAGATGAGGAGCAAAGACCAGTCGGATGATCAATCAGGACGCAGCGAACCGATGCTTCTACCCACAGGACGATCCGGCGCCTCCAGTGCGCATGTGGCAGACCGAAAGAGACACCCCAGGCTCCAAGGCGCTGACCTCTACGTGACTCGAGTTGGATGGCAGGGCAAGCCCGCGAGGAAGCCACCGAAAACGAAGGCATCCAGCCGTGCAGCTGAGATCGAACCTGCAGATGAGGCTGATGCACTTGAGGAAGCATTGACGGAAAGCACTTCATCTCTTGCTAGCCTCTCTGTGGCAAGCTCTCACTCGGCAACTGGCTCTCTACATGACGAGTTGGTCAACCGCAACCCATCTCCATCGCCATCCGACGCCAGCGCGGTAGACAGCTGCGGTTTCGATCGCTCCAAAGTGCACGCTTCTCGCCCTTGCTACCGCTGCATTGCCTTTATGCATTCCGTAGGCGTCAGGCGTGTCTTCTGGACCAACGATGCTGGCGAATGGGAGGGCGGCAAGGTAGCGAAGCTGGTCGAAGGCATGGAGACGAGCATGGACGAAGTCGCTTCGTCTGGAAATAGTGGCGGTCCCATGGGTAATGGTGTCTTTGTGACGAAGCATGAGGTGTTGATGCTGAGACGAATGATGGGTGCTAAAGGAATGTCTTGAAAAGTTCCCAACGGCGATATAGGCCGTCGAGCTATACTTACCTGGGTAGTCATTGAGAGCGTCGATCTGAAGATGACAGCCTTACTGCGGCTGAGAAGGCGGGTAAGAAACACCTCAAATTAGGTTCAAGTATGGGTACAGGATGATCTCATGCACTTCCTTTAGCTTTTAGGGCTCTTTGCCTTCTATACACAGATTCACGGACCGAAAGACTCGTTGCTCACACTTTCAGCACTGTCGCCCAAAGAGAACTCCGGTAACCCATCAAGAATCCTCTCTACTCTGTAAACAGAACTGGCCCAACTGCCCTAAATGCAGTCAGCAAACCTCCTCCTGGATCGTGGCCAAGAAGCCAAAGCGACCCCTTCAAATCAACTACTAGACTCGAGCCTTGAGAAAAAGTCCGCCACCACCCAACACCTCGAAACCCTCACAACCAGCATAATAACCAGCTTCAATGCCCAAGACTTCACCACCCCCTTCACCACCCTCGCCTCCCCACACTACACCTACGCCCACCGACACTCCACCGGCGAAATCCTCCACCTCGACCGCTCCGGCGCCCAAACCTTTGTGGAAACCCTCGTCAAGTCAAAACATCCTCAGCATTACGCGGATGTTTTAAGTCTTTCGACCCGAGTGGATGAGGAGAGGGGATACGCGAATGTGTGGGTTAGTTTGAGGGTTAGTGATGGTGGGGAGGGGAGGGTGGGGTTGAGGGAGAGGGTTAGTGTTTTTTCGTGGAGGTGGGAGGGGATGGGGACGGGGAAGGGGTGGGTTTGGTGGACGCATGCTTGTGCGGATGATGTGCCTGGGGTGCCGTTTTGACCAGGGTGGTTGGGTGGGGAGTGGTAGGACGGGATTGTGATTGCGCCAATACTGGTATTTGGTGGCATTGACTTACGACACCTGATCCATTACATCGGAAGGCTACCAATCCTATTTAATCGGCCACGACAGTCAGACGGAACGATTATGACCGCCTACACTCGGAACGACTGCGGATGTCCAACATGCAGCTCTTACGGCTAGAAGGCCCAGAAGGGATCCGGCCACGGTTGCAGCAACAGTTTCGGCTTCCTCGTCAAGAATACTTTTGGCTGGTAGCATCAAGGCCGCCGGTGAGATCGTATGTGGGACGAGCTACAGCGTTATGGGTAAAAATGGGACACAGTCAAAAGAAAGATGAGAGTGGAGCCGGGTCGGTGGACAACCAGATGTGGACAATGAGACGCACGTCGACAAGGCTCGATTATCCATCCTGCCCCTAGACCCTCAGCATCGAAATGTCGAAGGTGCTCGGACTGGGGTCTGTAAGGGATTTAGTCTCAACAGAGGACAACGCTGCTGACTTCTCTGATCCATTCTTATTATCTCTCTATTTTGTTTAGGATATGGGCTGTCTGTGTACACATTTCATCAACTGTGTCCGTTCTCCATTTTTGACATAAGGCTGAGCATTGTTCGTTGTCTTGGACGGACAAAGGATGGCAATCATCTAACAAAGGCATTGTTGAGTGCTTGAAATGAATCTCTTTCGACCTTCTCAGGATACTATGCATCAGTCCGCAGGCATTCACTCCAGACAAGTCTCACACGACGCACGACACAAGGCTGTTGGGAAAGGACCGCTTTTTAAGTACTGTGCATACTCTGAAGTGTTCATCTATCACCACACTCTGCGAGGACGAAGTACCCAACACGGATAATCGTAGACTCAAACAGGAAGACCAACTCGAACCAACCCTCAACAGCACCACTCCCTGCAACATGGAGTTCGCTTCAGGCCTCCACGCCCTCCTGACTAATGAATCGCCACATTCCAGCACCCTCAACGCCGTACTGATCATCTTCTTCACAGCCCTTGCCATCGTCATGGTCTACAGCATCCAGCGCGACATCAACGCCCAAGTCGACCAATTCCGTCTCGCCGCCTTACCATTCTCGCTGCGTGTCGCCTTCGCCCGCACTCGCCTCAACAATGCAAAGTATCGACTCAATCTCTTGTACTCGCGGATGTGTCCTGAAGAGTGGGCGAAGTACCAGAAGATTGTGCAGACGAGGCGGGAGATCATGGAGTACGTCGAAGCAGAGGCCGAGGAGCCTTTGAAAGCGCTGGAGCAGGCGGAGAAGTATCAGGTTTGGTGGTGGACGGGGGTTGTCGATGTGCCGGTTTTGAAGCTGTATTTGAGCGAAGATGTGCTTGAGCGGGATAGTGATGACGATGGGTATTGGTTCTCAGATGATGATGAGGAGTGAGTGTGTGGATGAGGTGGTAGCAGCTTTGGTAGGAGATGAGAACTTTATAGCCTGTTGCTCAGTCAACCCGCATCCGTAGATAGGAAGTATGATAATGTGATGTGTCTCCTATTCGAAAGAAGTTACTGCAATTCTGATTTTTCATGACCACAAAATCCAGCCTTACCCCAGCCTGACTCGAACACCCCTAACGACTCCAGCAAATGCCCTCCGCAGCCCGTCGTACAGGCTGGGTTGAGGCGCAGATTTCACTTCCAACACCGAAATAATACTTTCGTAAAGTGGTTCCAGTGGTATCGTACATGGCCACTTTACCACATGGCGGACCAAAGCCCAAATCAAGAAGCTTTCCGACAGCCTCAGCGAGATCGTGGATCCAGTGTTCAAATAACTTACCAGCCAGTCGTAGGATTGATATAAGCAATTCTTCATGCTTTTTGAAACGAGGCAGACGAGCTGCCTCTCAGGTCAGACGGCGGCAGCAGGCAAGCTGGGTTACTGCTTTGGGCGAAGTCGCCCGAAATAGGCCGCTTTCCAAGCCCAAGGCAGCCAGGGTACTTGATGTGGCAGACTTGCGGCAAAATTGAGCTCGGTCTAGACGACTGATATCATGTCGGATGGCCGGCCCCCAAGGCTCGAGGTCATATCTTCGAAGCCATCTCTGATACCTCGATGACTCTGGAGATTCTGTAGGCCTGAAGTTTATAACTTATACCAGCAGCAAGAGCGTCAAGTGACAGGATGTCTTGAACTCCCTGTCAGGCTTACCAAGCACCAAGAAGCCATAGCTTCGGAACTCTACGGCACATGCATTTAGGAGCTTACCAGAAACGATCTTATAAGCTTGCCATTTCAGCTCCGAGATGAAATACTCGTGTCCAGGGGAAGAAAGACAAACTAATGATACTGGTGTAGAATCATGAGGTCACCTGCATACTGCACATTGAAAACATCTTTGTCGGGTAATACAGCTTTCCATGGACTCTCACTTTGCTTTGCTGAAGCAGCTGGATCCTGAATGGCTGGCCCGAACTCTCAAAGGCCGCGTGCAATATTTGGAAGAGCAACAAAAGCTTTACAAGCGACAGCCAGGACGAGGAGAATCGTCAGATTTCAAGAGTGTTGAGCAAGTGCAACAGAATTCTCATGAGGCGCAGAGCCCCCGAAGTGACGATGCCGGCGAAGAGACCATCGTGCAGTACAGCAACCTGCCCGCTGGGCCGCACGACATCACTGTAGCAGACCTTCATCTCCATCCCGATCGTGCTCCTCTCTCTAAGCACATCGAATTGGTGCGAAGACATGACTGGGCCTCGACACGGCTTGGCGCCATAAGCACATGGTCCACGACGCTAAGACGTACCGTCAACATGTGCATGAACGACCCGAAGCCTACCATGCTCTGGTGGGGCCCGGAACGCATCGCTATCTACAATGAAGGATACGGACAGATTCTTGCCAACAAACATCCGGCTGCTTTGGGGAAGACTGCGCACGAGATTTGGCCCGAACTGACTGACACAAACATATTCGAGACTGCGTGGGAGCTGGGAGATCGCACCGGAGAGACCTCTTTTGCACACCGCGATCTCTTCCTCGTTCAGAGGAATGATTATGTGGAGGAGGCGTATGCATCGTGGAGCATCATCCCGATTCCCGGACCTAATGGTAATCTCGGGTTCTACAACATGGTAATTGAAGTAACGCAAGACGTTCTCAATGAGCGACGGATGACTCTTTTGCACAAGCTGGAACAGTGCTTGTCAAGTGCGGAGACTGTGCGAGACTTTTATACACAAGTTCTTGCTGGACTTCAATCGGATGCTCACGAGATACCATTCGCCGCGCTCTACGGGCCAGCTTCTCGCGTCAACAACAACTCTTTGTCTTCCGCACATAACTCTCCCGATGATGACGAATGCTCCAGCAGCGCCCAGTCTGAGCCGGCTTCAGTCTTTGCCCAAGCGGCTTGGACACTCAAAGGAGTGATTGCCCAAGATTCAGGGCCAGAATATCAATCAAACAGTCTACCATCGACAATTGACCTCGACAGCGGGTCAGCACTCTTTACGCCCTGGTTCCGAGACTGTATTGTAACAAAGACAGTGGCTGTTCTCCAGGCGAGCGAAGGCACGCTTCCGAGTACACTTGTAGCTGCAGCGAAGCCAAGAGAGCCGCAGTACCAGCCTTTGGCGCATGCTGTGCTGTTGCCCATTTGGACGAACTATCAGGAGCATCGTTCTGGATTCCTGATATTGGGATTGAACTCTAGACGACCATATGATGCGGACTATCAACGATTCATACGGCTGCTGCACAACCAGCTGACCACTACATTGGCTTCACTGGTCATGGCCGAGGAAGAAGCAAGACGCAACCGCGTAGCTGCGAGACTGGCAGCCAGAGACCGAATTCGCCTTGTCGAGCAGTTGGCGGAAAGGACGCACCAAGTTCAGCAGAGCGAAATCCGCTTCCGGAGCATGGCAGACTTCGCTCCGATTGGCATCTTCGAGTTGAATGCCGTTGGACAGCTGCAGTACGCGAATGAGCAATGGATAGAGTTGACGAGTTGCCGACTTGACCAACTTCAAGATTTCGAAACCTTCACCAATGCCCTCGTGGAGGAAGATCGGCAGCATGCTTGGCGAGAGTGGAAAAAGTTGGAAGCTGGTGAACAGGTACGATTTGAATGCCGTCTTGATCGTTCGTTCACCACAGACGAAGTTTTCAACGGAGAACGTATGATGAGAGATACTTGGATCTTAGTAGCTGCGTATGCGTTGCGGGATGACGATCATGGCCCATCGAGCGATCAGGTAAAGGGGGTCTTTGGCTGTCTCGTCGATATCAGCCGGCAGAAATGTAGGCTGGAACAATTTTTGCGACTTCTTCGTTCTCGAAGCACTGATAATGTACAGGGATCGAAGGCTTTCAAGAACGGCAAGCCCGCCTGCAACAAGAGCGTCGCCGTCAGCAGGAAAACTTCATGGACTCGACAAACCACGAAGCACGAAATCCTCTCGCGGCCATAACTTTGTGCGCAGAAGATGTCCACTCCACCATGGAGTCGCTCGTTCAACAGTCGCAAGGGCCTCGTCTATCTATGGACCGTGACACCGCCTTGGCTATCCTCGAAGGTGCTGAAATTATCATGTCCTGCGCAAAACATCAGAAGACTATCATCGACGATGTTCTTACCCTGAGTAAACTGGATTCGAACATGCTAAGTGTGTCGCCTGAGCCGGTTCATCCAGTTAGTATTCTGGATCAGGCGATAAAGATGTTCAGGGGCGAGGTACAACGAAGTGATGTAGGTGAACCCAGTTGAATATTCTTTTCCGGGGCGAGACGGCGTGAGCCAGTACTGAAGCCCTGGCGCTGGAACTACAATTCACTTGAGACGTGTGCTAACTCGCTGCTGCGCTATATAGGTGGAGTTGGTATACACGATCGACACATCCTTCTTTGCCTCCAAGGTCGACTGGCTTCTGCTGGATGCAACCAGATTCCTACAGGTCCTCGTCAATCTTCTCAACAATGCAGTCAAATTCACACAGAGAGCAATGACGAGAAGGATTTCTATTGTCCTGGGTGCAAGTAAGTCGGACTGAAGGCTGCACGACTCTCATTCGACCTGAAACATTGAAGGCTGTGATATCCTTTTCAGCTGTGGAAGAACGGAGCCCGGCTTGATATTTCCAACATCTGCTAACCCTTCTTTCTAGGCACTTCTCGACCAACAGACAAAGCTTTCGGCGTTCGCTTCGCCCCTGTCGCTGAATATGGCACACTCGCTGAGGGCGCCTCTGAAGAAGGAGTGTATCTTAACGTCAGTGTGACTGATACCGGACCAGGCATGTCAGATGAAGAACTCAACCATCTGTTCGAAAAGTTCCGCCAAGCGTCTCCAAAAACGTATGCCCAGTATGGTGGCACTGGCTTGGGTCTATGGATCTGCAAAGAACTCTGTGCCAAGTTAGGAGGCCAAATTGGTGTGGCTTCTCACCTTTCCGGGGAAACGCAAGCCGATTCAATTGGACAAGGTGGAAGTGGTTCAACCTTCGCATTTTATGTGAGTCTGCTCGGAATTTAGATGCTCTTGGGTGTATTGGGAGAGCCGGAGGCACCGATCTGCACTTCGAAAGCCATAGAACGACAGCGCCTCCTGACAACGCTTGTCTACGTGAACATACGCTGACCATGCTGTGCTCTAATTGAGGTATACTCCCCGCGCTGCGATTCGCATTTTGATGCACAGAAGGAAGTCGTATCCAGAAACGACGAGGCAAAAGAGCCAGAACCGCAAGTACAGAACCCGACTGTTCAACACAAGAACTCGATAACGATCGAACTTCCGACCAGTCATGAAGGCAACGGCACAAATATTACCAATATCCCTCAGGCCACCTCGCCATCCACTTCTCTACCAACGACAGACATCCATATTCTTATAGTAAGTTGGCAAGAGAGGCGAAACTCTAGTTAAGGCTTTCGTCTCCATAAATTTGGAGAGATTGCAAGCCTTTCAACGAGATCTCCCATTAGCCCGATATGTATGCTGATTCATCTTACTGTATAGGTCGAAGACAATCTGATGAACCAAAAGGTATTGCATAGACAGCTCTCTCGAGCAGGTTATACGCGAATCTCAATAGCAAACCACGGTCTCGAAGCCCTCGATCTTCTCTACCCAGCCTTACCCTCAAGGCCACTGACCCCCCCCCC